CGCGAACAGAGCGCGAGCACTGTGTTCGCGCTCTGTTCGCGGCGCCGTAGCAGGCGGATTAGCCGCCAAAAAGGGCACGCGCGAACACGCGAACGCCGAGAACACCCAAATCCGCGGATTTCGGTGATTCATCCGGTGTGGCCGACTCGGTCAAATCCGGCTTCGACCTCTTAAGCGAGCCCGTACCATCGGGGGAAGGGTTGTGCTTGTGGTTTCTGGCAAGATTTTGACGTTGCACAAAAACGACAGCCCGGGAACCCAGCGCACCGTCGGGGTTGCGTTCCCGCAACCATCTGAAATGGCGTGCATGAAATAGCTGAAGCACGGTGCTACTACGCCACTTGTTACACAAGTGGTTTTGCCCCAATCACGGTGCTAGTGCGTTTTTCTTTACCTCCCCCCAGTCAACCTTCTCTTTTTTATTCCTTGAAGTTGAAACAAAGAAACGACGGTGGAACGAAGTAAAAATATAAGAATATACACAATCTCCATCTACTGCTGGCTCTGAGTGAAGCAGCAGCCCAAAAGACGCTGCACCGAAAACTACAGGGTGGCTTACGTGTACTTTTGCTTCTTTTTCTAGAAAATACAGTATCAATAATGACGAGGACGACGATGTAAGTAGGTCGTCGTTCTTGTATCTTTCCTTTGCTGGACAAAATCAAAAAGAAGAAAACGCAACAAATTATGGCCGCTGTTGCAGCTTCTGACGTCGGAGTTAATGTGGTGTGGAGCTTTGTCCGCCTGAAGCACGTTAACCGCGTGCCCATTCACGAGGCCCTGGTCTGCGCTCTCTGCCTGCTGCGAGAATCGACCACGCCCTCTCATCACGCCCGGGCACTGAAAGCCTTAGGCACTTTGGGGTATTGGCGCTCAGCATGGGCTGCCTACAATCTTGTGAAAGAACGCGGATCTTCGATGGGGGTTGTGTCGGAGGTACGCCAAATGGTGCTCTCGGCTACGCTGAATGCCATGGCAAAAGCTGGGCAGTGGCGTGCATGTGAAGCGGTCGTTAAGGAGCAAGAGGAGCTCACTGTGTCCTCTCATGAGGATCGCGATCATGGATGCGTCGACAGCGATAGCAAGGCCAAGGCCGCCGTGCAGTCACTTTCGGGCCGCCCATTTCTTCTCTCCGTGGATTGTTGCAATGCAGTGCTGCATGCGTACGCGGTGACTGGAGAACACATCCGAGCGATCAAGTTTTTTTCGGCGCAGACCAACGCGAGAAGCCCACAAGCGTACACGAGCCTAATGCAGGCCTGCGAAAAGGCGGGCGACTTCGTCGCCGCTCGGAAAGTATTTGAGTTGCAAATGGGGAGCCTAGTTGCGGCCGCCGGAGCAGGGAGGGAGAAGGCTGAGCCTGAGGCCTCGAGTATGGCAGACGGTCTAAAAATAAGCGACGGCAGTTGCCCTGAAAAGAATTTCGATATGGTCCAGCTTGCCAGCATGATCGCAAATTGTGCAAAAACTGGGGATTCAGAAACCGCTCTGAAACTTCTGGCTTTGGCAGAAGGTCACCAAAGAACTAGCGAGAAAGCGAACCTGATGAAACATTCACCTGGAAGCTCAACAGCAAGCAACCACTTGCATTGCAGTTCATCGTCTTCATCATCGCCTGGACCACCGCCCACTTCGTTATCTGTGGAAAAAAATCCTATACCAGACGAGAAGAAGAAGAACTTGGCTACCACGCCTGCTGCTCCTGATCTTGTACTGTACACCTCCACTTTAGTTGCGTGTGAGCGCGCTGGACGTTGGGAAGACGCCCTGGAGGTGTTGCAGCGGATGCGTCAGAAGCAAGTCGATCATTTCCTGCCTACGCGACGTGCGAAGGCACCCAAAACCGGGCTCTCGTCCTGTTTCTTCATCTGCATCGCCGCCTGCGAGAAAGCAAGAAAGTTTTCCCACAGCGAGGACCTGGTGCGCGAAATGCAACACTTGAAACTCATCCGCACCACGCCGGGGAGGCAGCTGCGTCAGCAGGGCAGCGAGGAGGACCACGTCGCGGAAACCTTTCCATGGACCGGAATTGGGTCCTCTTTCGACAAGGTGGATACTTCTAGCTGCTCGAACAACGAGCATCTTTCGACGGCAGCGCCGCTTATTCCGGCACCAGCCCTCTTCGATTGGGAAGACAACTCTAGTTTCGACTCCTGTGCGAACCGTTCGACATCAGATGGAAGTACTGGGACCAGAACATCAGCATCTTGGTCGTCCTCGGAAACCGCTTTTTCTGGGGGAGCAAGCGCCTCTCGTGATCGTCTCAGTCCCCGTCCCGCCAGTGGTCCACCCTCTACCACGAAGATAGGTGCGCGCACGGACAGGACCGCGACATCATGTGCCCAACAGGATCACCATGACGTACTAGATCAAGATCATCTCGCGGCTGATGCGGATGACTCACGTTTGTCTTTTTCATCTGAGCCGCTAGTTTTCGATTTGCACGGACTTCCTGCCGCAGCCGCTCGCGCCATGGTTCGTGTGGTGATTGCGAAGGAGTGCGGCACCGGGCTGGATTTGGTTTTTGTTACCGGCAGAGAGTCGCACTCCAAAGCGACCACCCTAACAAAACATCGGTTGCGACCGGCGCTGGAACGAATGTTGCGCGCTGAATTGGGATTGTCCTGTCGCGCGCTTCCAGGAAATGATGGGCGGTTGCTGGTGACAGGAGCATCGCTCGAGAGTCGGAGACGACAGGTGCGGCGCAACGAAGAAGGAGCTGCTCATGATCATCAGTAAAAACCTGCACTATGATCGTTGTTTCACGACGACGACAACGCGCCCATTGTGGGGCGCAGATGCAGAAAAGTCGTGGTCATTCTGCCGTGTGATAGGTTCTTGGTGAAGGTGTAGAAGTTATTCTGTGCATCACTTGAGTCAACGTCCATCTGTTTCTGTTTCTTTATGCCTTTGTGGTCACCATTTCCGTTACAGTTCAGATGTCCTCGTCCTTCCTCCTCCATTTCTAGTATTCGTATTGGTAGCGCTACTACTACTAGTAGCGCTCTTATTTTTATTGTTTGCGCCATTTGCAGCGTGCTTGCTGCAGGGACCTAGTTTTTGCTACAGAGAGAATGACACAGCGATTACTTACAGGCAAGCGCAAGCGACTACAACATTATGAGAAGTATTCAAAAAGATCAAGATCCTTTTAAGTTCAAGTAGAGTTGTCAAACGAATTCGATATCGAAATCGGAAATGAACCATTTTTTGCCATATCAATGCAGAGAGTCATTGATGATGATGCTGCAAGACCAAGAGCACCCTGTCCTTGAAGACAGTTAATGTTCACGTAGAAGTCTTCTAACTCTAAAGCTAAACTCATCCATGTGCAACGAGAACAAAACAGGACCGCGTTCGACTTCTCACTTCTAGTAAGTAGGTTTTAGAAGTGTAGATGAGAGAACAAGAAGATATTAAACAGTGGTCAGTGTGTATCTATGTAGTCTTCGTGTTGGATCAGTGTGTCAGCACGTGGCCGCGTCGGAGGTTTCTCTTTCTTCAAAAAGAACAAAATGCAAAAGCGGTAAGGGCAGATTTGAATTTGTGTCTGGTCCTCAAATTACGTCGGTCTGCGCGTCAAGAAGATATCCAAGAATCCCAAAAGCGAATAAATCTGAAGCAGGCCGTGTACTACCATAAAAGTAAAAGTCAATGTGAGTGTGGTGCTCGTGTCAAATTAGAAATTAAACATAAACAATTCTGAAGTTGTTCCTCTACTTCATGAACTTCACCATGTCTATTTTCAATAGATAATCGCTTGAGAAAAAAATCTGCGACTGCTGCAGCGTCGACGATTTTGATGACGAAGACATATTTATTACGAGCCTGCTTTTGAGGAGTCGTGGCTTCAAATGTTGACATCAGTAATGATCCAGGACCGCCGCGCCCGGCTTCATGGTGGCCCTATATCACATAGGTACGCCAGAAGTGCAGCTGGCAGGTCTAGTTTTAGGAGTTCGCCGTACTTTGATTTGTGGCGAGAAACGTCGACAGACATCAGCATCACAAGAATTATATCAATGTCTTGGAGAACGAGAAGTTGAAGTTGTAGGGGAGGCCCGCCCCGGGAGCGGAGGTAGTTCGTGCGGCGTTGATATTAACCGCCGGCAGTGCAAGAGCCGGTTCTTGTCCTCGGTACGTCCTTTGTGGTCCTCTACTACATTTCCATTGCGGCTCGCGGAGGAAGAACTACTAGGGTAATGAAGCAGTAACTTGTAGTCCGCTCGCCTGCCGGGGACTTCTTGTACCAGCGGCCTCTACTTACCTTCGCTCCACCGCGTTTGCAAGATGCGGCAGACCACCTCGTCGAGGAAGCAGGCTCATCTGCCCGAGCACAGGCAGAGGAACCTAGCTGCTGCTCGCGACATTAACATAAATCACAAGCACTTCCCAAACAGCGGAATAGCGCACGTTCCAAAGGGGTACAAGAAATTTAGTGGCCTCGATAACAGCGATAGCGACGGCGCAAGCAGCAGGGAGCAAAGCAGAAGTGAGAGCTCTAACAGGGCCGCGAAAAAACCGTCTGCAGCAGAACAATGGTTGGCGTTCCAGGACTCGCAAACGTCTGCAGAACGTCAGGCTCACATTGAGTCAGAGGCGAACAAATTCATCTCGCAGATGAACAAGTCGGCACTAAAGCAGCCCAAGGCAAAGACGAAGGAAGAAGAGCATGAGAAAACGGTGAAGAGAGTACTCAAAGAAGAGAAGCGCATGATATCCACCCGTGCAACTGCAAAAGTATCGTACTGCTCGCAATAAACGAATCGCGCGTACAGTTTTTGCAACATCAACACAGCTCTGGTTCTCCTGCCCAATCCAGCAACGCGAATTCCATTTTTTTTTATTCCTTCTGATGAACTAAAAAATTGCATTTGCAAGGTATACGTAATTTCATCTACTACTAGAACTAGAAGTGCGATTACTTTTGCAATGCATAATTGGACCGATTAGCAAATGATCGCATCTCGTCCTCGGACGACTCGTCGTGCGGGAGCGACAGCAACAAGGCTCTTCGACAGGGGAAAATCTTGAAGGAGAAACTGCAAAAATTTTCGGTATTTTCCAAGTATGCGCAGCAATCCAAGATAGTGCGCGATATGCGACAAAGTCCCCCCTGCGCGGCCTCGTCTTGCAGCAGTTCTAGCAAGAGCAGACGGAGGAGCCAGGGCTCCGCTGACTCCGGAAGCAGGAGGAGTTCTTGGAACAACAAGAGAAGCAAGCACGGCGGCGGTCCGGCCTCCAAGCGGTTATCTCACGATGGCGATGCAGTTTGGGACGCGTACGTCGCAGCGCAGAAGAAAGGGGTTGTCGTGGAGCCCGAAAAGGACATTGAAGACAACCTCGAGCGGGCGGAAGCGAAGGGGGCGCAGATCCTGTCTCGGCTGGACGCGATAATAGACCTGCCGCTCAACAACATCCCCTTCGAAACCTGGGAATCGCTACAAAACGCCGTCATTCTGAGCGACAAGAAAAGCCTGCTGCCGGAAGGGCTTTCCGCGCAGGTAAAGCTGCACCACCTACTGAAAATCGAGGATCTGCTGTTCCGCGTAAACAAGAATTACCGCGGGGTGCAGCAAAAGTATGACCGGGAAAAGGCCGAAGCGGAGAAAAAGCGGTACGAGAGGATGCTGCTGAGGCAGCAGCGCAAGGCCCGCGAGACCGCCGAGGCCCTCGAGGAAGAACAAATGAGCGACGGGAAAAAAAAGCAAAAGCGTCATAATGAGAACCAGGACGACGAGGATGGAATCGATTCTTGCCGCAAAAAGTTGCAGTTCGTACCAGGAGGCCACAACTATCCGCGCGAACAGGCCGGGGGCAGTAGTTCGTCGTCCTCGTCCGCCTCGCGGGAACAAAATAACGCGCTTCGATCTTCCTCTGCGACTGAGGAAATGCAGGAGGTGGAAACCCCGTTCGGCGGTTTGAAGGTTGTTGGATTAAGAGTCGGGGATGATCTTGATTAGGGGAGAAAAATCTTGCCATCTCTACAAAAATTTTGTACCACCAGAACACGCGCAAAAACAAGGTTGTTTTTTGGGGTCCCAACCTATTTGGCGGCCCGCTTCCGGGCCCCACAGCCCCGGCAAATTTGGCTGGCGGCTGTCGCGTTTCACATAGTAGGAGCTTCGGCCGGAAGCCATTGGGAAGGAGCGACCGGCGCCGCCGTGCGCTCGTCCTCCCGTGTTTCCTAGGTGCCAAAGGCGGCCAGGAAGTTGGCCCGGCTCCAGGCCCGATGCAGCCCGGCGGGCGCATCAGGTCCAGACCTGTTGTGGCCCAGCCGACCTGGAGGAAAGCGTCTGGCCCCGGAGCTCACACTTGCCAACAACGAGAGCCCCAGAACCCACCCCCAAAAACGACCCCCAAAAGCGACCCCCTTCCCCCCCCTAGAAACAGGCGATTTGAAGTACCCCCAAAAACGACCCCCCCAGCCACCCCCCTTCGGGGCCGGGCAGGGCGAAATCTGGAAGAGCTTTCTTGTTCTTTCCAGCACTCTCGCCTTGGCCACTCGTAGGCGCCATCGCCACTGGCGAGGGGCAGAGGCCCTTAAGCCTTGCCATGGGCTGCGCGCTCACCGCAGAGATTCCCTGCCCTTGCACGGCCAGCACATGTGGAGCAAGACTAAAAGACGCCCCGACAATCGAAGCAGTCACAGACCACGGCCGCCCATGCGGGCCCAATCGATTCGGGCTGGCTGTGCGCGCTCGCTGACTGCCTAAAAAAATAAAAAGTTTAAAGCCCCAAAAAACAGCCTTTTTTTTTCGCGTGTTCTGGTGGTACAAAATTTTTGTAGAGATGGCAAGATTTTTCTCCCCTAACTTGACGATGAAGATGAGGAACCCGAAATTTCCCTCTCGATGGACGAGCCGGGCGCCGCGGTGTGGCGCAACTGTCTGCTGGAGAGATTGCCGCCAGCCGATGTAGACACCGATATGGACCACGAACTGGCGGTAGGGCGGAACACATCAAACAAGAGTCTTACCGCTGGGAAGGGTCAAGAAGACGAGGACGTCGAAATGACCCCCGCGGAGGATCAGGACGTCGTCACGAAGGGGGACGGCTGCGCACCACCAGGAGCCGCTCCAGGCACAACAACTACACAGGAGGGACCTCCGGAGGACTCTGGGCAAAATAAATCCGAACCTCCGCAGTGTATCACCCGCGTTCAGGCGCTCTTGTGTGTGCTTGCTAACTGCCTGACACGATCTGCAGACGAGTACCCCGGACAAGCCCGTCTGGCGGCCCGGTGCTACTTTGCCGTGTTGTCTCTGCCGCAAGCTCGGTCGTACACGAGCACCCTGTTGCGGTCCGCGATGGTCTACCAAATTTCGGACAACCTGCGGGAAAGGTACGGGCGGGATTTGCAGTCGCTGCACGGCGCTGTAGAGGATTTTCGACGCTTTCTCGCAGGGGATTGCTTCCTCAAGCCGTGGCTGACGCAGCTACACGAAACTGAAGTTGTGAAAGGGAAGATGAAACAAGCAGCGAGTTGTACTTCTAGAGCAGTAGAGACCGGCACCAGAAGAATCCAAGATTTTGCCAGCATTGCGGCTTCCTCCCCCAGCACCGAAGATGTGCAGTCGGAAGAAGGTCGTGGTCACTTCTCGACCATGAAGAGCAAGCAAGCGGAAAGTGCAGCTAGTTCTGCTTCTAGTGGTGCTTCTTCTCAGAGGATGAACAAGGAAAATTCAATTCAAAGCAATAAACATAAAGGGAGGTTAGAAAATCTCTCGTCGGATTGGAATGACAATGAGTTGCCGCAAGACGACGAGGACCACGACGCGACACGGGCTGAGCGGTTTAGTCGGCTTTTCACGGACGTTTTACCGAAGGTGCCACAGCGCGGAGCGGCGATGCAGATGTTATGGTCCGGTGCCGAGTACGCGGAATTCTTTCGTGCAAAAGCTGGCGTGAAGAAAGACAAGGACGGGAAGCAGACCGAGAAAGCGAACAAAAACAGTCGGTTGCGGGACCCTGAACACCTGAGGCGCAGATACGAGGAATCGAACCTGTATGTGCTCGGGCCTCAAAAGTTCAGCAGCATGCTCCCGCTCACGCACGCAATTTTTCACCAGCTGCGGAAACCCTTCGTACTTTGCCGCGACGCCGCCGGCCCCTCGGTCTTGCAGGAAATGGCGAACGCCCTCGCAGCGTGCATCGATCGCGGACTGAATATGGAGGGAGATGATGAGGACGACGACGAACAGGATGTTACAGGACGGAATCGGGATGAAAAAGATCCACGTCCGAGCAGCTACACAGAGAACGCGCAAGATGACGAAGAGCAGTCTCGCGCCAGCTTCTCCCAGCAAGGTAATGACCACATGGAAGTCGACCTCGATGACGATGAGGACAGTGTGATGAGCGGTTCCACACGCGGAGGAAAAAAAGCCGTTCGCGGCCGCACGAAGAAGGGGACGAAGAGGAACAATGACGCAAGAACAAATGCAGATGAACAAGATGATGCCTTCACGTCGTTGTCAACGCACAAGCCACGGCCCCCGCATGTGGTCTTTCCCTACTACGAAGACGAGCACAGCGGGTTGATTGACAGCCTTTACGGCGTGCTGCTCGTCTTGCTGGAGAAGATGGAGAAACGCAGCGTGCTGCTCTGCCTTGCGTCCTGCGTGTTTCAGCACCTGGCGCCCTATCTGACGATGACGGTGCAGAAGGATCCTGTCGCGGAGGTGATTTCCCAAACGCAGCTGGCGGCCCGGGACGCGGCCATCGACTTCGTGTGTTTCCTGGTCAACATTCTCCGCCGAGATTTAAAGGAGGCGGAGACGTGCAGCCTGAAGATTTACATGGACTACGACGAGGACACGGATCCAGATCCGGCTCTATTTCCCATCCAGGACGACGACGCGAAGAAAAAGGCAGATGACGGCGCAACACAGGATAAGGGCGGCGCTGGTGTTGCTGAAGAGCCCGTCACGACGCTTGCTCGTCTACCTAGTGCAGCAACTTTCAATCGTCCGAGCGGATCAACAAAACAAGACGACCAATCTTCCCCACGACCCCGCCGTGAAGATGACTATGACATACCAGATCACCCTCATTTTGATCCAGGACTCTTCCCGTATTCTGCTTCCAAAGCGAGTGCTGAAGGCCTGAAGCTAGCGACGAAGCGGATCATTAAGCAGAAAGGGCAACGCCTGGACGACACCGGTGTGCCACTTGACGGCAGCCCGCCATTGTCGGACGACGATGAAGATGGCCGCGATGACGTCGACCAAGATTTTCATCCCGACGGGATCAACGCTGAAAAGGACAAAGACAAAAAAAAGCAGGACCACAAACCGAAGGAGGAGAAAGCGCCGAAGCGACCGACAACGATCATGCATCCGTTGCTCGGACTTTTGCAGCTGTTGTGCCTGTATGAAATGCAAAAGCATCGTACTCGTATAAATGCATTACAAATTTCCTCAGCATGAGAAAGAAAATAATGCGGATTTCCCTTAAGATCAAGATTAAGATTTGTAAATGCAAGACTTGCATTTATACGAGTACGATACTTTTGCACAGGATAGCCTGGAGTGCCCCGAGAAGGAAGAGTATCGCGACAGTCTCGGGGAAGTGGTGATCCACTTTCTGGGGAGCATACAGCGGCGACCGATTTTAGATGGGATGGTTGATTTTCTGATGCAGCTCATGCTGCAAGAAGTTGCGACCAAAAGATACCTCGCCGGGGAGACGATTGCCGCCCTGCTCGAGAAAGTGACCGGCATTGTGCCGGAAGTGGAGGTGGAGCGGGTGATGAACGAGGGGGCGGGGGACGCGGCCAACTGGGAGCAGGAAAAGGATCTGGATGACGATAGTAAGGACGATGGCTCTTCGACGCCCCGCAGTGGTACCGGGAGCTCTGGCAACGGAAGCAGCAAGGACGACGACGACGATCTCCCCGCTCTGTCGGAGGAAGACTTGCCCCCGATCTTGGCATCACCCGCGGGGCCGCACAAGTCGTCGCACGCCGATCTTGGGGTTGTCGCAATCATGACCCAAGACCGCCTGAGAGTGAAAAGCTTGCTTAGGCACCGGAGAAATCTGTTCATCAAGCACGCGTCCTCTACTTCCGTGCGGGAACTGCAGTATACCGCGCAGAAAAGACCCATCCTGCCGAAGTGTTTCCTGAACGACCTGAGCAAAGAGTTCGACTGGGCTCGTCTCCAAATTGGCGAAGCCCGCGCGGCAGAAGTCATCCGCGGTATTATCGACCGCGTGCAGGACAAGGTTCCCGGGGTCCGCAGCAAGGCGCTCGCGAGTCTCTCCTCCACGTTCCTCTGCCACAACGCGGCACTGCTGTGCGATCACGTGTTGCCGAAAGAAGAAGACGAGGATGCGCAAAAGGCAAAAGAGAGGACACAAAAGACGCTAAGTCGCAATGCATCTGCTGCCGGTTGTATAGCACCTGTGAGTAGCCAAGACTTCAGCGACCAAGCACAGAATAGGTCGCAAGATCTGGATGACGTGGAAATGATGTCCAACGATAACGAAGGTGACCACAAGAAGGATCAGCAAGAGGATGATCTATCAGTTGGCGCGAAAAGACGGAAGCTGGAACAAGACGGCTCACAGGACGGCGTGGGCAACAAAGTTCTTGTAGGAGTCGAGGAGACAACCACCAGTACGGCGCCACACGTCGGCCCACCACCGGAACTGGAGCTGCAGTACCTGCGGGTGGCCGGCGAGCTCTTCAATTCTTGTCTCACGGACGAGAAGCCGATAGTCCGCAAGGCCGCCCTGATGTTTTTCGACACCATCTTTCCCAAGGTGCTTGAGCTCTACGGCAAGGCCGCGGTGCTGTCGGAAAATCCCGACGACAACGAGATGCGCGACCTGGTGCTCCAGCTCGAGGGGAGCAGAGGGAAGGTGAAAATCGACGCCGATAAGCAGTTTCTGGTGGCGACTCGGCCCCTCCCGTCGGCCGAGGAGGAGGAAGAGATAAACAAGGGTGGACCGGAGCAGGATAAAAAGAAAAAACAGAAAGAAAATAAAGAGAAACCGAAGCCCCCGGCGAAAAAGGTGAAAAGCGTACCACCTGCTGGCAAAACGATGTTTTCCACCATGTTGCCGGACCCGTATGCTCTGAAAATTTACCATCGCCATCCATTTTTTGCAGTACAAACAGAAAAAATTACGTACCGGTAGCGGTACCTTTTTTGCATAACGAATTGGATCAGGATGGTTAATTTTCAGGGAATAATCCCGACCGCAAGATAACAAAAAAGACCGTCTGGACCAGGCAGCGACTGTATTTGTTCGACGTGCCTTCCACCTCGTCCACCGGTGATGTGTCTTCAAAAGCCAAGGACTTTGCCGTGGATCCCGGTCCGGTAAGTGATTGCAGGGACATGGTGGTGTCTCCTGCGGGGCACGAGACACTCGCCCGCGATCATTCCGGATTGCTCTTAGGCGGCGGCGTTGGTGTGCACGTGCAGATGAACAGGTCTGGACAACAACAGGAACATGGCAACATGAAGAGCAGTCTCTTTGAAGAAGGTGTTTCCGATGAAGACCAGGATGTAATGGACGATAGAGTGATGGAGCACCTGGCGCCCACGTATCCTGAGTAAAAACGTCCCCACACCAGAGTCAAGATGGGGATTTTGCAACACAAACCTAGAAGTTTTGGGACTCTTGCATCACAAGTTGCCGTCCGTAGTGTAGTGCAGGTCAGCAAGGAAAAACGCATCACAAATCCATCTGCTGATCCTGGTTACAGCATTACAAATGCCACAACACGATTAGAAATTCCTCTCATGGTGATGCGCATTACAAATGTTCCTGTCCGTGCAAATCTGCATGACAACTCTGGGGTGGGGACGTTTTTACAAATGATACCACGGCTTTGTTTCGCATCGAGCAAATCAAGGCTTTGACAGCCGACGACTCGGTGATGGTTCGGAAAGCGGCGATGCAAACCCTGAGCATGATGCTGCGGCAGTGCCCGCAGTCGGGCGTGATCCGTCGGGCCTGGAAAACCGCGGTGCTGCCGTGCGTTGCCGACCCCGAGGCGAGCGTGGCGGAGAGCGCTTTGCAGGAGGTCCGGATGACGCTGCTGCGCAAGATCGCCAAGGTGGGCACAAGGCCGGACGACGAGATCTACGACTTGCTGGCTGAGTTCACCGACCAAGACGTGGAGTACATGCAGCGCGCCGCCGGGAATTTATTGCGTAGCGAGCAACAGCAGGGGGAGAAGCTGGCCCAGGCCTGCTGCGCCATCCTGGTGCGGTACAACAAGCTCAGCCTCTCGGTGCCCCTCCCCATCTTGGACTTGTACGAAGAAATCACCTCGCGGGCCATTCTGCAAAGCGCAAACACGATGAACGCTTCTAGTACCGGCCGGAACAGCAGGAGACAGGCGATGTACGAAAAGTTGCGCGCGGGGGATTTGATGAGCGTGGACATGGAGAAGCTGTATAATGATTTTCTGCGCCAGTACGAGAAAGACGAAAAGAAAGAGCTGGAACGAGAGAAAAGACGGGAAAAACGCGAAAAGCAGAAGGAAAAGCGTCAACTGCTACTGGCGGGGAAGCAAATGCTTCTTCCGTGCTCGGATGAAGAGGAGGTCTCGCCTCTCGCCGCCGGCGAAGAAGCGGACGCGGACGACGACTTTGCAGCTCCTGGGCAAAAGCGTGGTATCAAGCCTGGAAAAACATTAAAGGCCAACGACAACGAGCAGCGGCAGCTTGCGTTCGAAGCGGCCCCAGCGGGGGGAGACCGAGACGACAACTACGACAAGGAGAAGAAAAAAGAATTCAAACCAGCGGTCATCAAAGTGGATGTCGATTTGCTGTTTGTTCTCTGGAATCACCTGGTGAAGAGCGAGGCGGAATACGCGTCCGCCATGCTGAGCCACGTCAACTCCAGGATGCAGTCTCACAATGGGAGCCCACGGGGTGGTTCTTCCCGGCTGCTGAAGAGCGGGTCTCTCCCCGAGCGACCGTCGCTGCCTCTTTTTGATAAGTCGAAGGAGCCGCCAGGGGGACAACAAGAAGAAGGACACACAATATTAAGCAGCTTCAACTCGTCTTCGCAACAGATCGGCTCTTCGGCCAGCACAGGAGGTGCTGGTGTTGCGCCTATCAAAGTTCCGGAACTTGTCATCGGCAGCAGCAGGGTCAACATGAACAACACTTCTTCTGCAGCGGGGGCTGGTGGTGCACCTGGAGCAGCAGGTCTTACCCAGCACGACTCTTCACCATGTTTTAGTCTCGATGAAAGCTCGATCGTGGCGTCCCCGGCCGAGGCAGGATTGCTCAGTGTAGAGCCGGAAGGCCTCCTGCGGCGGAAAGGTAGTTCTTCCGATGGCTATTTTCCGCGAGGTGGGAGCTGGACGGGCTTGCGTACGCAACGAGACGCGCGGGTGTTGCAACGTATGGTGCGGATCCTGGGAAACTGTGAGCCGCTTCTGTCGGTGAAACAGAAACGGTTTCTGGTCCGCGGGTTCCGGGACCACATCCTCGCACAGAGCGAGCGGTTCGAGATTCCGCTCCTTCGCGACGTGATGCAGTGCATCGTGAAGTTTGATCTTCGCATTGTGCGAGCAGTGAAATTGCGGCGGGAGAAACAGGCCGCGCGACGCGCTAAGGCTCAGCGAGAACTGGCAGGCGATTTTGAGGGGGATATGCAGAACGATGACGCGGGGGACCCGGACGAGAACGACCCTACAGAGAAAAGAAAAAACCGAGGACCCCCGAAACAAGGATCTCGCAGCGAAAAAATGGTGGCCTCAGGAGCAGCGGGGAATCCGAAAAATCGGAGCAGTATCAAAGCGAAGATGAAAAAAGCAGCTGCACGACCAAAAGCGCAGGCAACAAGACTTCCCGGGAACAAGAAGGCGACGGCGACGAATAAGTCGGGGACGACGCGAAAAAGTGCTAGTATGACTAAGTCCGCGACCACTGCACCAAAGGCAGGAAAAGGAAATAGCGGTGCCACGCATAATATTAAGCAGACAACTTCTTCGTCTGTGCAAAACAAAGAGGACGCTTCTGCTGCGGAAGAAGAAGATGAAGTAGTAGACGTGCAAAGTTCGAAAGGTACTGTAGGCAGACGGCGCGGCAGTTTCTCGAACAGCCGCGGTGACCACAGCAAGGACGCTGAATCGGGAAGCCCAAGCTCAGATGAGGACCGCCCGTTTCGTATCCTGAGTAAAAACGTACCCACACCAGAGTCAGGATGGGGATTTTGCAACACAAACCTAGGAGTTTTAGGAGTCACGCATGACAAGTTTCAGTCCGTAAGGTAGTGCAAGTTAGCAAGGAAAGCCGCATCACAAATCGACCTTCTGATCCTTTTTACAGCATTACAAGTTCCCAAACACGATTGAAAATGCCTGTCATGGGGTTGCGCATCACAAATGTTCCTGTCATGGCAAATCTGCATAACAACTCTGGCATGGGGACGTTTTTACACAGGATATTTCGGTTCGACTTTAAACCGCTGCGGGCAATGTGCGTGCGTTCCATGTTCCTGCTCTATTTCAGCAACCCCAAGGCCGCGGCGAAAGCGAAGAGCAAGGGCATGGTGTTAGAAAAACTGCTGGCACAGCAGGCGTACGAACCGACTGGCCTAGACGACGACGAACCGATGGAGCTGGACTACATCAGCGATCCCGCGGTGCTCCACATGAGGCAGAAGCGACACCTGTTCCTCCTGGGAGAAATTGCATTGTGGGACTTTGGTACTCTATCTTTACCACAGTTGTTGTTCTGGTGAAGCAGAAGTAGACTTTGACTGCGCTTCCCTTGGAGCTGTTTCTGCGATAATTTCATTTCGACGTTCGATGCAGTGAATGAAAAATTTTAACTCCTGTAAAGTCGTTAGAAGGACAAAATTTTTTCAGTTCTCATTCTCTTCGAGTCGTGCACTAGCACTGAATCTGATTTCGAAAGAACGCCAGCAGGAGCCCCTGCTCGCAATATAAAGGCGATGTTGACCACGACTTTGATGCTGAATTTTGATTTTCCCAATTCCAGATGCCGTTTGGACTCCGAGCATGGTTGAGACACTACGAGACCTGTGCGAGTTTGACCATGAGCAGCGGGACTTGGCATTGAAGCAGAATATGGATGTGTCAGAGTTGAAATCGACAAAGTTGAAACAATTTGCCATGCATAAAAATGGATGCCAGTTGGAACCCAGTTTCTAAGTGGCGCATGACAAATTTCGGTGGTCCCTAAATCCAGTCTGGCATGCTGTTTAGGCAAAGAAGAGTGATTTTCTCATGCTACTTTAGCAGCTCGAGCTGTAACCTCAAACAGGCTTACAATCGGCCTCACTTGCCTGCTCTGCAACACCCGTACCTCGGGTCATGCATTTTATGCATTACAAATTATTTCAACTTTGACGATTTCAAACCTGACGCTCCCATACAGAAGAAGCCGCACGTAAAACTCGAGACGGACTTCCAGGAGTCCATTCGGGCGCACGCGTTGGTCGCCATGGGTAAGTTGTGCCTCCGCGAAGAAAACCTCGCAAAGACGAACCTGAAGATGTTCGCGGCCTGTTTGAAACGAAACGACGAAGTGCTATGCGTCAGGAGCAACGCCATGGTGATCCTCTGCGACCTGGCCCAGTGCTACGCCACCATCGTGGACCGGTTTCTGCCCGTGATGACGGATTTTCTGGGCACGGAGACCCCCTTGCTCCGCATGAACGCGGTCATGATGGTGTCCTCCCTGTTGGCGGAGGATTTTCTGAAGCTGCACCAGAACAAGATGCTGCCCTACCGCCTCTATCAAACGTAAAAATGTCTGGGTCTGGAAGAATTCGAACTTGTGATGCGTGTTGCGGATCATACAAAAATCTGTGTTGCATGACTTGCAAAAGGTCCCACTTCTGGCCATGTTGAGAAGGCATTTCTCATGCAGAATAGGCATCAGCAAGGTGCTGCAGAACCTGTGATGCTAGGCCCTGCATTCCAGACCTGGCGGAGCTTGAAAAACTGCATGACAAATCTCGGAATCTTCCAGACCCAGACATTTTTGCATTTGATAGCCTCATCTTCATGCTGGCGGACCCCGACAGGCGGATCCGCGAGTTCGTGGAATCCGTCTTCCTCCGGATCCTGCATCCCCGCAACGAGAATGTGTTCCTCTTACACTTCCGCGAGGTGATCTGCGGGCTGAACCAGTTCAACGAAATTCCGGCTATCGCCACGCACTCGCAGGCCCACTACCGCTTCGATGTCCGGAAACGCTTCCGGATCTACTACTTCCTCCTCAAGTACATGGACGGCTCCCAGAAATTACTTCTCGTCATGGGCATTGTATTTATTTTTTCAATTATGCGACGGCGCGATTTTGCTTTTGGTTGTTGAATGCTGGGTTTTGACCTTTAGGTAGCTGTATGATGTCTAAAATATTTATAATTATTCAGTTCACGTTAGTATTATCAACTTCAATATACTCCAGTTCTTGTCTTACTTGATCCTCCTGAGTAAAATGAAACTTGATGTTTCTGTACTAGTACTTCTTAACGTTTGCACATAGATTAGAATTAAAAATCAATGAACGCTTCAGGTTCAGCAGATCTTGAATGCCTGGTGGGTTGGCCCGGCAGGGGCGGATGGCCCCCTGAAGATCCCCGCGAACTTAGGAAGCACTGGTGCGGGAAACCCCGCCACGGGAGTGCTGTTTGACTGCTTTCAGCTGCTCCGCTCCAAAGAATTGCGCAGTGTGTACTCCTACAGGCAGCAACTTACCGAGTGGAAAGAGGCGGGCGATGACCAGAAGATGCAGCCAAGGCCCCGCAACAATGTTCCCAACCTGGTGGCCGCGGGCGGCGGAAACAACAAGAAGAGCAGACAAAAAGCAGAAAGGATCAACAACCAGGTTGCCGCAGAGCAGGCACTGCTTATGAATTGCAAAAGTATAGATCCCCGTACTAGAACTAGTAGTAAGCGCATTACGAATTCTTGCTCGAGAAATTTAGGAGATTTGTAGTATAATGCATGACTGCAAATGCAATTTTGAGTACGAGTACGATACTTTTGCACTGGATGCTGTTCGAGGAGCAGCAGTTTTCGGACGAGGCTCAGCTGCTCCTTTTCAACTCCACGGCCCAAGCCCTGCTCCGCATGCTCCAAGACCAGTGGGTGCCGATTCTGAAGGGCCTCTGGGCGCGCATGCGGCAGGTCCGGAGCAGTTTGCAGAAGCAAGTGCAGGAGTGCCTGGTGGATATGCTCTACGAGTACATAGACGAGCCGGATTGGGAGCGCCGTTGGCGCGGTAAGAACGAAGGCCTCGTCGTCGAGATAAAGCGGGACATTGAGGCGGAGAAGAAGAAGCGCGACCCCAAAAACCCCATCAAGTGGAAACCCCCCTCCCTCGCCGACATCGTGGGGGACCACGTGTACGACACCGAAGAGGGGCGCGCGGCCCAGGTGTCCACGACGGCGTCGAACAACACGCATAGTAACTACGACCCCATCCGTATCCTGAGTAAAAACGTACCCACACCATAGTTGTCATGCAAATCTGCATGCTTAAAATGTTTGTCATGCGGAGCCCCATGAGAAGCATTTTCTAAGGGTGTTTTGAAATTTGTCATGCTCCAATCAGCATGAGAGACTAGATCTGTAACGCTGCTGAACTAGCTCAAACAGCACTAGTACTCTACGCGTCCAAATTTGTCATGCGAAACAAGCAAAGTTGGCCGATTTGTCTAGCAGATTTTCCATCTTGACTCTGGTGTGGGTACGTTTTTACTCAGGATAATCCGCCGGCCGAGGCCAGGCATGAGCGACGCCATGCACTTCTGCCAACTTCTGTACCCCGATGGAACCGCCTATGGAAGTGTCAGAATCGAAATTGACAAAATCGAAAAATTTGTGATGCGCAAAATCGATACCAGTTGAACCCTCAGCTTCTAAGTGGCGCATGACAAATTTCGGGAGCACCAATATCCAGTTTGTCATGCTGTTTGCGCAAAGAATACTGCTCCTGTCATGCTACTCTGGGAGCGCATCGTCCTCCTCAAACAGGCTTGCAGTCGGTCTCATTTGCCTGCTCCCCAACACAGGCCACGCGTGCTCTACATTTTATGCATTACAAGTTTTTCGATTTTGTCGATTTCGATTCTGACACTTCCATACCGCCGACCTCTTCCAGTCGCTCGGCCTGGCGGGAAAGTTCGGCAAGACCCCGATGGAGCAAGTGCGGAATTTGGAAATAAAGCTAGGACTAAAAGTGGATTGGGACAAGTTCGCCATGAATGTTTCTGGCAGAAAGAACCTCAAAACCATGAAAAGCCAAAGAACTGCTGATCGTAGTAATTCTGCCGGCCGTGCTAGTAGTGGGGCGCTGGGTGGGGCCCAGATAGTAGTAAATGGAAAAGGCAAAGGGAAAAATGGAGGGAAAGATAGCACCGGCTTATTAAATAATAACTTTGCCCCCCGCGGCCCGGGATGGTCATCGTCGTACAGCAACCAGCACGGCCCTGCTAGTCGCGCCGCCGGTTCGAAGACGGTCCCGGCGCTGCTTGCGATCGCTGAAGAGGGTGCAGCTGACCACGACCAGCATGGTGAGCTGCAACTGCAGGAAGACGGGCAAAAATGCTTTCCGTTTTCTGTCGGCCAGAATGAAAATCAAAGAAGCGATCCCCGACATCAGAACAAAACGACTAAAAGATTCAATAAACCAGGAGTGATGAAGAATATGATGTTGCGAGAGAACAGTGCACCTTTAGGCACGGGAGGAGCTCCTCCTGCAGCAAGTACAACCGGGGGAACAACAAGTTGGGCTGCCGGGGCCGCGAGCGGAAAGATCTTATCGGAAAAACACCCAACGAGGACCCTGCTAGCAATAGAAGGTGGACCGGGAACTTCTTCTACTATCGATGTAGAGAATAGGAATAGTGTCCTCAACCAGAAGCCGCGACCGCGAGATCATCCGAAACCTGGTTGTAGTGAAAATAGAAATGGTCCGTCGCCTTCCTCCCAGCCGTCTCGGGGCCCCCTCGGTATCCGCAAGCAGGATGTGAGAACCATTTTTGCTCGGCCTGCGATGAAACTTAGCCGAGTCTCGCCGCTGTCAGCGGAAAATCTTTCTAAGCTTCCGAGGAACAAAGAGAACCACTGGCAGACGCAGATAGAGCTCAGAAAGCCAGAGACGGGTCGTGATCCTCATCTACCAACCTTGTTGCAGCATCGGGACGAGAACGTCGAGCTACAAGCAGCTACAGCTCCAGCGGTTGATGCCCCTCCTCCTGCTAAGCGTGTAGTTGCAGGTCGTCCTTACATCAACTCTGTCGAGGAACAAACAGAAACTTCGAACGAGTTATCTAGTAGGCCCGCGCCCCCGCCTGGGCAAAGTAAGACAAGTAGTCTGTCTGGGACTCGTTCTGCTCATGCTGAGAATGTGAGCACCACCGCGGAGGGCGGTGCCAAAGAGACCGCATCAAAACGGGCACCGAGTTTGACGAGAGACTCCTGACGAGGACCCAGTGGATTGTCCTTCCGTAAAGGAGATGAAAAGGCCATATTCCGCACCCTGCTTCTCAGTTTCATCGTGGTGCAGGAAAATGCGTCTTCAGCAACTGAAGGGGCCGCTCTGTTTCATCTCTGGCCGAACTCAGTACCATCTGCGTTGCCAGCTGCAGCGAAATTTTGGTGTTTGTGCGTATATTTAAGAAGCGTTGTGCCACCAGCCGTTTCAAAAGAGACCGACAACGACCTCCGCGGGGGCGTTGTTTCATCGCGGCAAGACCCCGATGTTGATGAGGCAGGAGAACTCGACACGGCGATGATGTTCGACTCGTCAATTATTGTCGCGTCTTTTTCATTTTGATTTCTTGCGTTTTCATCCCGTGTTTTCCTCGCTAGGTGATCTTTTTGCTTTCCGGTGTAGGCGTATTTACCCCTTTTTGGGTTCGTCGTCGTACGCTTACTACTTTGTCGCATGATGTCACACGACAAGACGAGGCCGCACATGAGAGGCCGGCAGGAGCTCCTCGGTTCTTGTTAGGACATCAGGTGACACCGCTAGTGCCTCAGCAACCCATTTTATCCTTTATGTTTTTGCGTCGTGCACCAGTGCGTAGAATCACACAGCAATGAAAATACAAAACAAGAAAATCAAGACGTAGGTAGTAGAGGGGACGACGACGATCTCATGTTGTTCTATAACATTGCTCATGCCCCCCCCCGCAAGAATGTCGCTACTGTTTAGACCACGCGTCAACTCAAGCAACCAACATTCAAAAGCTTCAACCAGCATACGGATGTGGATGAAAACAAGAAACAAGGGTGAAGGACAAAATCAAGCTGATTGATGTTGCTTCTCCGGCCCCTTCTACATACTCTTCTTGCGCAGATGCGATACAACTACAACCCGGTTTCATCATGGAACAAATTTTCATTGTCGGACTTAGATCAAGATTCTGATTCATTTAGTTTTCGTCTTCGCAGAAAGCAGGCTCTTTACCCAATCGCTTTTTCTCTTGGGTTGCATATTGAACAAAACGCAAGACCAGCAGCAAGAAGAACGACGCAGAATTTCGGAATACGCCCGCGTCACCGACCGGACATACTGTTCCTCCTGCTTTTCAACAACATCCCATGATCCCGCAAGTAAAGGTGAAGGTCGAGCTCGACGAGGTGGATGTTGATGATGTTGACCAACAACAACACGGCCCAGTCTTCATTGGAACTAAGACCTACGAGCTGCAACAGATGATCACACAGCCCGGAATGATCGGTGGCTCTAGAAGTACTTCCTCGTCAAGGGGATTTCTAACGAGGAAAACTGCGTCGAACAAGAGGGGCACTGATAGAAAAGTGAAAAACGACGAAGTGAAAGTCAAGCGAGAAGACGACGACAATAACGACGAGAACAACGACGACGACCAGCTGCATGTGGACAACAGTACACCCGCTTCGGGAGGAAGTCTCGCGTGGTCGGCCTTCACGGGCCTGGAAGTTGCGGACGAGGAGGGCTATGAATGGATGGAAGATGTTGTTGTGTAGCAATAAGGATGTTGGCGCTCTCGTCGTCCACTCGCATGATAAGTAGCGAAGCATTTGATAGCGAACTGAGACAACATGATATCTCAGATGAATGACGTTGACGCCTCTGCATTACTAGGTGATAGGATACTGATACAACGTGCGAATTTAGGTCAAGGAAGGAAAGACCCTATGACTTGTTTAGCTTTGGTATTCCGTTGCGCCGTGCGCGTCGGTCCTCGTAACGCCGTGCGGAATCTTTTTTGAACAATTCAATACGCCCGCAAACAGTACATTTTTTTTGTTTTTTGAAACTCAATACACTTAATAAAGTTGATACAGAAACTGTGACGATCATGACGATCCTGGCTAGGGCAAACATTGCTAAAAAATTTACACATGCAGATACACCAAACCACGTCCGCATCAAAGCGCGATGTTTGTAGAAAATTAGAAATTTATAGGCGCGCATAAGCAAATTCAATTCACATGAACAAGGAATACACCACTGGGAACTGAGTCCTCTGGCAGTAGCGGCATTTGCACCGAATACAGCAATGATTTTTTTCGAAGTTGTGGCACGACATAGGTCGTGTCTGGCCGCTGCATTTCTGGCCGCTGCTCTGGCTCTCTACTAGAGGTCATCCGAAGGCCAGCTGCATTGGCCCTTGTTGCAGTTCCACAGATACCAATAGCTTGTGTTTAAATGAAGACTCTGTACAGTTTCTATAAATTGTTTTTTGTTTACTTCTGAACAAATCGAAATGGAATATCGATATTGCTGCATCACGTTTCTTACTTTGTCTACGAATCAAAAACTGTTTCGCATGTCCACATCCTCGAAGTGGTTGACGACTTCGCTCCACAGGAGCGGGTAGTTGATGTTGTATAGTGTACTTATCACAAGTGAAAATGTATGATTGGACTGTATGAACAACGTCAATCTTGCTCAAGCACTCCGTTCTTCCGCGACAAGGAAGACGTGGAAGGAGCGCCATCACACTCGACGCACTCCGTAACATCAGGCGACCTGCGCGAGATGGAAAATATCCGTTCGTCCTGTTGTTCCTCTACATATCGTGCCGGTGTAAGTGTATTTGGTTTTTGCGAAAAATATTGGCTCGAAGTAGACGCGCCGACGATTACTTATCGCCTGGAGTACACGATCAATGAAGAAAAAATCGAACAGCATTGAGATGCTCCTTCAAGATGAACGCATCACGATTTTCTCCTAGAAATATAGGATCACCCACTCATTTTTTCGCACCGGGGAGATCCTTGGTCCTACCCGTTTCCCGCATCATTTGGCCCTAAATAGAGGTCTTCATGATCTTCCATATCAGTGATGATGGTGAAGTAGAAAAAGTATGAATATCATGGTGATTGCAGCTACTAAGTGCATGCAATATGAAGGAACCTGATGATTTTTATTTGCAATTTAATTTGAATTTTTTTTTGACGCCACCAGCATTTCCGTTTCATACCTCAAAAACCAACAGCGGACGAAGAAGTAGAGAGAGCGACATTCAATTTTGTTTTCCTTCAGAAAATCGTAAACTAATACTATTCATCTTTATGTATATGTTCTTTAGAAAAATGACAAAGAGGACAGACGCGAATTAGGAGTTAAAAGAAAACAAAGTAAAAAAACATTAAGAAATCAAAAGCGACCGGTATCTAGTATGCACTGACTCTCTGCCGCGACAACCCTTTTACTTACTACTCGTTCTACTTGTTCTTATTTGGTTTGTTTCACCAAACCCAAAGCTGAAATAATTTCAGCAATAAACAGTAAGTAGAGTTTCCGATTTAGATTTTAGCTTTCCGATTTAAGTATTAATTTAGATTTTAGCTTAAAGAGACTTACGCGTACATTTCCGTACGAAAAAAAGTACACGATACAGATACCTCCGAAATCGACCACGGTGCACGACGAGCTACAAGTACGAGTACAAGTACAAGTACACCTAAGATTCAGCATTAAGATTAACAAAATACAAGAAGCTCCACCAGGTACTACAACTAACCAGCCAGGCAAAATGGGAAAAACCTCCAATAGGAAGCACGGCATTGCCCTGTGCCGCAAAAAGGCCATGATGGCGGCATCGGGGGAGCAGGAGCACGAGCACCAGGAGCTCGGAAATATTCAAACTCAGCCATCCAGTTCCAGTAGTAGTTCTCGTGAGGCCCCCGAGGCGAGGTCCCAACAAAACGCTGCCCCACGACCCGAGCAGCCCCCGGATGTTGACGAGGAGGTGTGGGAGATTGCGAAGGGTAAGAAAAAAACGTTTCCCTCTACTGCGGTCAGCTACGAGCGAATCGTAGCAAAAGCGAAGCAGAATGGAAAGACCAATCTGGCGGTGCACGACAATGGGGAGTCCATCGCCCACGCGGACGGGTGTTGCGAGGAGACGACGACGGCAAGGATTTGTGAGGACATGGAACGCATGAAACGAGAGGTGAAACCGATTGCCGACGAGATTTTGGCGCATTTACCCGACGGGTACCAGCATTGTTTCATCCACGACTCGGACCCGACGAACCCCAACCCCAGTACTAACGGTGGTACAACCACTACTATGAAGAAACCCATGCCGGAGTACGCCCTCGAGTTTATCGCCCTCGGGCTCGGCTCCTTGTCGCAGAATCGCAGCGCCCAGTGGCAGACCGCGTTGCTGGCAAATGTGGTGGACCAGGTGGGGAGTGTCGTGGGCTCCGTGAACAGCAAGTTGTGGTACAAAGACGGCAAGATTCCCGTCACGCTCTACGACCCGGCGATGACGGCGATGGATGAAAAGATCCTGGCCGAGAGCGGGTTTTTCGGCTCCTCGTGGAAAATCGGGACGGAAGCGGCCATCCGAGACGCATTTTTACCTGGTTTATTGGGGGCGCAGAACGACCACGAGATGAACGGCGGCGGCCTGCTCCGGATGAACAACGACGAGGAAAATAACCTGAGCCACGACATGCCGTTCTTCCGCTCCGAGGCGGCGCAGGAGCAAATGCAACTGCAGTGCGGGAAAAGGACGAAGAAGTACCTGATCTTCTACATGCCGCTTTGCGTCCGGGACGTGTACATCGACATCCTGCGGCGTGTGGAGGCAGAGATCTGCCTGAACAAGTACCGCGGGCGCGACGACACCAGCGACGAAGAAGTAAAGAACGAGGTGGTGGTGGCGTGCGTCATCGGCAACGACATGGTGGAGTGGGGGCTGATGAACAAGCACGAAGGCCAGGACGAGGAGGAGGAGGGGGATGAACAAGTAGTAGATCCAGCCGACCCTTATCCCTACGACTGTGCTGCTGACTATGCGCAGGTTTTTCCTGAAATGGTTGAACAGCAAAACCGCGAGCGCGATAGTTGTCAAGGACGATCGAAGAGAAAGAATAAAACTCGTGGCGGCGCACGACAAGCGCGAGGATCTACTTCGGTAGAAGAAGCTCCTTCCCCGCGGCAAACAGTAGATTCTTTCGTTGAGCAGAAGCCGCTGGGTCGGTGGACTTGCGAGCCCATCGTGACCGCGTGTGGAAGCAGGCATAAATCTACTCAGCGGGCGCAGAAGAAGAAGAGTAGAGGTGGGCATCAAAAGCAGACCGGGGAACAAGATATCGGGCGATACTTCGGCTACAGTCTCGCTTTCCACAAGACGGATTTGCAGGATCCCTTCCAAGATGCGTTTTACAGTCCGTCCCAGAATGGGGGTTCCGAAGATGAAGGAGGCAGGGCTGATGTTGACGAGGAGGAAGAACAACCCGATGAAGATGTAGATCAGAACGTGGTCGTTTCGGACGAAGATGACGATGAGGATCAGGATGCGGATCAACATGCCGGGGATGTCATGATCTCGTCTGATGAAGAAGAATATGTTAACATCTCTACTTCCCAGATGGTATCGGAGACGGAGTCGGCCGTTGCAGAGGAGGAGGAGGAGCGCGGATCTTCTCAGGCATCCGATCAAGATGAAGGTGAAGATCACGATCACGACGAAGATGATGTTGGCTCCTGCCTGTCCGCTCGCAGTTCAACATCCCAGATCTCCGCTGGCGGTGGTACTACACAGGACGACGATGCGATTGACGACAGCGAACAAGAAGTAGCGGGCTCTCGTCGTGGCTCTTCTTATTTAGCAGATGAAGGAGATGAGGACGAGGACGACCTCCAAGAAGCTGATTATGATGTAGAACAAGGTCAGCGAGGACATCAGGGTTTTGTCGCCCCGGATGACGATGACGATGAACCAAATTCCTACAGTGGCCCCCAGTCTGAGGAGGATGGTTCTCTTCCTTCCGAGATCTTGGCCGCTCTGAACAACGTGCCCCACCTGCAGCAGCTGAACAACCCTAGGCAGCTGATGAACAACCCGGGGTCGTTGTCCCGTCGAGCGAGCATCGCAGAAGAGGAAGAAATAAGTGAGCCAGAAGATGACGAGGAGCCCTGGTATTACCACTGTGATTACAATCACCACTTGACACGGCCACAGCTTTTGCGAGTTTGCAGGTGGCCAGCGAACTACAGTCCCAATTCGCGAGAGAACAACCCCAAGTTGGGCATTGCGTGGAGAATCATGCGCGGAGGAGATTGCAACAATGGTAGTTACCTGATGCAGATTATGTACAAGCGGTGGATCCCTTTTCCGCACGAACCAGAGTGGCTCGACAAACAGTTCTTGAAGTACCTACAGACCGAGAAATATGGAAGCGTCAGGTTTGAAATCGTGAAAGTTGAAATAGTTTGTCATGCATGAAGCGGATACCAGTTAGGCCTACAGTTTGTAGTCGGTGCATGGCAAATTTTCCCGGTCCTGGAAGCGAGTCCGTCATGCGGTTTAGGGCAAAAGAGCTGCCTTCTGTCATGCTAGTCAGCAGCCCAACTTTTGACCCTTACCAGGACTATAATCTGCCTCGCATGCGTCCTCTGCAATAGAGTCACTTTTTGTATCGCATTTTATGCATGACAAATCATTTCAACTTTGACGATTTCAATCCTGACACCACCATAAGAAAAATCCCCGAACGGGCGACCTGGACACGTACTACACGGACGAACACGAAATGATTGGGTACCACCAGTGCGTATGAACTGCAAAAGTATCGGACTCGTAGACGTAGTAATTGCTCTTATGCATGACAAATCTCTTTCCGAAGGCGAAGGTAAAACAGCACTACAAATTTCATTTGTAATGCTGAGCGAATTTGTAATGCAATTTATCCTAGACCTAGTACGATGCTTTTGCATTTCATAGTGCGAGGTGTGGGAGGACCAGAAATCCTTGCAGAAAAATGGTCGCCGGTTCCCGGACAAGAAGCGGTACCTGAAAGACGCGAAGTACCGCAAAAAAGTCCTGGCCCTGCTTATCAAAAGGAAAAATCCCCCCTCCCCACATCAAAACGAAATTTCTGATGCTGGATTTGACTACACAAATCAGGTTTGTATTGCAGGAAAGCATTGCAGTCATATCCCCAGGCTAGGGGAAGGGCGTATGCGTCTAGTTGTTCAGCATGGCAAGCGGCTCCCCTTTAGGCCCAACAGCATGACAAATCGCTTCCATAGTGGGGCGGAAGCTTCTGCCCTTGTCTTCTTGCAATACAAATGTGATTTGCGACCTCAAATCAGCAACAGGGGCTACGTGCGACCCCTCCGACGCTGCGTGTGGAAGGAGGAAGTTCGGCGTGTTGGGGGTGAGGGACCCCCGACGTTGGCCTACGGATATCATGGGGAACTAAGGCTCAAATCAGCAACACCGAGTGGTCGTGCGGTTCGGTTCTCCTATGCCCATGCCTACCGTGTACTTGCCGCTGGGTACTGGTAGTGCGTCTCTTTCGTCAGACTGTTTCGCTTCGGCGAAACGACATGACGATTGTTTGGGGAGGTTCCTTACGGTCCCCTCAGGGCATTGCCTCGTCGCTGACCTGTGGAGTAAGGCGGTTCAGGTCAGCTTCGGGAAGGGTATCCGGAGTTGAGTTAGCTTCGGCTTTCTCTTGTGTATTCGAGGGCAGTGGTTGGCGGAGGTTGTTGGGATGTTCCTAATCAGTCATCCCAGAACATTTGTGTTCCTTTCTGACTTCCTCATTTCCTGTGCAGTATTTTACTGCATATACAGGCGCCACCCTCGTTTATCACCTCCAGGGCTACGTGCGACCCCTCCGACGCTGCGTGTGGAAGGAGGAAGTTCGGCGTGTTGGGGGTGAGGGACCCCCGACGTTGGCCTACGGATATTATGGGGAACTAAGGCTCAAATCAGCAACACAAATTTTCGGAAACATACCTTTTCGATATGGGGAGGGGGGATTTTTGCTTTTGATACTGCTGCTCCGGGTCTGGCCGCGCATCCGGGACACGAAGCCCTGCCAGCTCGTGCACCCGGCCGCTGCCAACGAGGAGGACGGGTTGAGCCAGCTCCGCGAACAAATGCGGGAGTTTCTGCTCGCGCTCGTACCGAACGGCCTGTGGGACCGACCTTTGTTAAGAACCCTGCAGCTGCCCCCCCGCCGGGGAGAGGACTGGCACGCCCCTCCCGACCGGCCCGACCGCCCTTATCAAATGTAAAAATGTCTGGGTCTGGAAAAGTGGAGCTTGTAATGCGTGTCATGCATTCCTGGAAAATCTGCGTTGCATGAGCAGCAAAAGAGAGGCTTTCTTTGTCATGCAAAAACGCAATTTGTAATGCGTGCTAGGCATCATCAGGCATCTCAAAAACTTGTCGTGCTTGGCTGCCATTGGAAGCGCTTCAATCATGCGCAATTCAGCATCACAAGTTTCCAGACCCAGACATTTTTACATTTGATAGCCCTTTCTGGAAGGACATTCCGGTTTACCTGGCGTATATCAAATGTAAAAATGTCTGGGTCTGGAAGATATCAAACTTGTCATGCTGTTTCTGGATTCTAAAAAAATTTGTATTGCATGACCAGCAAAAGGACTCCAGTTTGTGCTACGTGAAGAGGGTATTTCTCATGCGGTAGAGGCATCACAAAGTCCTCTGATAATCTGTGATACTAGGCATGCATCACAGACATCATGGGTCATTCAAAATATGCATGACAAACCTGGCGATCTTCCAGACCCAGACATTTTTACATTTGATAGCGTACGACACGGCCCAATTCCGCAAGTGTGTGGTGATGATGATGGTGCCGGGGGTGGACGACGTGCTAGAGATCGGTTGCTCAGCGGGCGTGCTGACCGAAGCTCTGGCGCAAAAGCAGCCACACTCCCTGACGGCGGTCGACGTGTCCCCGGAAATGCTGGCGATGTGCAGACAGCGGCTGTTCCAGCAGTCGCCGACCAGCAACTTCTCTCCGATCTTGCAGGATGAAGAGGCCGACGCCGATGAGAACAATGCGGGGTCTTCGTCCGTTCTTGCAGAAGATCATGAGGCAAACGGAAATAACCGAGATGATCAACCCTTTCGGCGGCCTACGGTGCAGAGGTTCGACGCGTTGCTCGGCGACTTCACCGAACTGCAGTGCCGGCCTTCCTTGGTGAGCATCGACATCGGCGGAGATCGGAACAGCGCGGCTGTACTGGAATGTGTGGACCGCGTGCTCAGGTTCTACCACCGGGACGTGGAAGCCATCATTGTGAAAAGTGAGGAGGTTTTTCGCATGCTCTTTCCGCAACATGAAACTTTGAAACCCAGAAAGAAACAGGTCGACGTTCTTGTGCCACAAAATCAAAATCTTGTTGTTCATGCGACGTCTAGTACTGCATCGCAGCAGGAGAACGACCTGGAGCAGACACAGAAGCTGGCAAAAATTCACCAAGATCGTCCGGCTGCAGCAGCAGCAGGTGGACAACAACAGCTTTCTGCCTCTACGTCGTCCTCATCTTCATCCTCTTCATCTTCATCTCAACTACCAACCCTAGCAACAAGCACAACAACTCCGCGACAGACTAGCGGCACACCAGCACCAGACGCGGGCCGTTTATTGGTGAACCACAACCACCTCCCTGCCCGCCCGCGGAACGGGAATACCAAAAATAAGCAGCCCAATTCTATCAATGAAGCTGGAAATATGATGATCGTCGAGAGGGTGCATCGAATGCAAGAACGAAACGTGGATCTGGAAAAGATGCACCGCATGGACTCAATCCTCAATTCCCCCAAAATTGCCGGGGAGAGGGCCAGAATCATTGCCGAGTGGACGGCTCTAGCGGCTCGGATCCCCTATGGAGCCCGCTCGTTCGCGGATTTGAAGCCGGTGAACGCCACTCCATCGACAAAGAACAAGAAGAAGAAGGCGAATAACACATCAACTCTCACGACCCCATCGACAGCGACAACCTCGAGCAGTAGTTCTTCTACTCGGCCTACGCCGCAGAAGGAAACCTTATTGCCACCCCTGGGCGGTGGCTCCTCACCCTCAGCAGAAGTAGACAACGCACGACCACAGCCGACAGCAGCTGCTTCCACTAGTACAAGAACAGGTGGTAATAAACGTAATAAAGCAAGATCCAAGTCCGTTACCGCCGCTCGTCTGTTTGGACACAATCCTCCGGGCTACAAGGCGGCGCGATTGACGAGAACTAAGCACATTGCCTTTTTTACCCTCGACGTGAGACGGGGAGCCTTTCGGCACCGGCACCAATCGATACCGCCGTTCTTCGAGGTCGAGAAGCACACGAAAGAATTCTTGCCGGATCAGACGCAGGACGTGAACGATCTAAAGAACTATGATGACAAGATGTGGACCGAACGAATTTCTTGCCATTCTGAGAATGATATAGATGACTTAAAGCAGGTGGGAGGTGTAGTGGATCTAAACGCACCGCTTCCGCTGCCCGAAGATTTTTCAAACATTCAGATGAAACGAAACGAATGAATTGTAGAAACTTGTCTAAGAATAATGAGGTACAAGAAAATGTTCTCATACAGAAGCAACGGCGTCTACGACTAAGCTGCTTCTTCGGCAGCAATTTACTTCGCGCATCTTCCGCAACTGTTGGACCACTAATGCTATGGACACGCGATGGAAATCATAACTAGGCCCGAGCGGTTGGTTGATTGACTTACCCACAGAAGACTGCCACTTTCAGATGTGCAGGATTTGTTCACTTTAAATTCTTGCATCATCCTCGCATCAGAAAATTGCTGTGCAAAAAACAAGGAAAAACGTTTTATTTATCGCGAAAAGATAATAAGAAAAGGCCATATTATTTGTTTCTTCACCGACGACCTACAGCTAATGTAGAAACACAGCAATCGCGTTACTCATTACTACGTAAAGGTAAGAAATTGTTTCATCTGAAACCGATTGTTACATCAAGCGCACCACCGATTGCACACGACGCATAGAACAGGACGACGCCGAATCCAAAAACGCAAACGAAGCTTCAACTTTACCCCGCAATCTATGAATGAATGACGAGCTATGGATGTTGAAAAGACAAAACATCAACTTGATTTCCGCGTGATTACGAAAATCAAAGTTGCGGTATTGAACCACTTCTATCCTCATTGGTTCTTCTCCTCCTCGTTGGCGAGCGCAGTTGTTGATGTTCCAAACTTTAGCTTTGGTATACGGGGGCGGCCTTAATATCTTCACCGCAGAACAACAGAACAGATGACACACACATCGCTCAACTTCAGCATAGATGTCGCTTCCATGACAAGTCGACGAAGATGAAACTCAAGCTCAACCAAAGTCCTTTTCCTTCCGAGAAGAATGGCACGAAGATCAGAATCAATAAAAATAAAAATTTTTTTCAACATACCTCGGTGCAGTAACTGCAATTTTAAGTATGTATATCTTTATTGAAAAGTTGGTGGAATTGTTGTTGCGCCAGCTTGAGCATAGACGTTGTGGATCTCGTTCTCGAGCGCTCAGCCTAGAGAATTCTGTGATCTCAATTTGAGTTCTCAACTTAGGAAAACGAAAAGTTGTCATTATCCTAGGATGTTTCAGTTCGGAGATATGCTTTTTCATCAGCACATTTGATTTTCCACATTAATGGCATACAGTAATAAACATCTAAGTATTTATTGTCGTGTTCGTCTTCAAAGTGACATTTTAAACCTCATGTTTGACGAGGACCTTGTTCAACAACGAAAGCATCTATAAGTGTCTCTGTCTTTTCAAATTTTTATTTTTGTTTTCGTTTTCATTTTGAATTAACATTAAGAGATTCAAAAAAAAACTCGAAGTGTAGTAGTACCGTATGTAAGATATAACTTCCAGCAAAGATATTTTTGTGTGAACAAATGAAGTGTCGGGCACAATAAAAGAACGAACGGCGCAGGTAGCAATCACGGCCTCTTCCCCGGTGTGCGGAGAAGGTGAAGTGCTACAACAGGAAGCAGAAGCAAAGCCTGTATCTACTCGTTGCGATGGCATTTGTAAAATTTGCGCTCCACTAATCTGCTACAACCTCAACCTACCAGTGAAAGGAAATACCGGCACCGGACCTCAGGAACCAGGGGGGGCGTACGCACTGTCATTGTTTCCTTTATCGCGTTCCGTTAGTGTGGTGAAACCGAGGCGAAAAACGTCATCAAGAAGGAAACGGGACCAGGTACTCACTGTCGCTACAGAACACGACTCCTGCTTCGTCCCAGTCGCTGTGACATTTTTGCGGTCCTTGGCTTTGCTGGCGGGGCACGAGGAAGGGTCGTGCAAGAACCGAATCGACTTGTTCTACCGTTCTACCGAAAGAAAAAAATAGATAAAAATCGTGGAAAAGAAGATCGCACCGTACGGCGGGGGGAACCACCGAAGTTTTTGAGCACAAGAATCCAGACTACACCGAGAATCCACTCAGCACAAAGTCAAGTATAATATCGATATCCGTGCGGTGCGGTGTTCGGAATAACTTGTTCCGGGACGAGCAGCGGATTGATACCGAAGACCGCCGCGACGGCCGCGAGTAAGTACTTCGCAAGACAACAAGAAGATGGGTGGTCCGAGCACGCTAAAGAACAGAGGCGGCCCAACGTCGCCCTCGAGCCTCGGGAAGTTTAACGCCAACAAAAGCTCGTCCTCCTCATCGCGTGGCGGAAGCAGAGTAGCCTCCTTGCTCGAGCGGGTGTGCAATGGCAGTTTTGTCCTGGGAATGCTCAGCGTGCTGTGCCCAATCGGGCTCTACCACGCTCCACTGCACCAGGTGAAGCCATGGGCAAAAAAGATCGGCGAAAAAGCTGCCTGCATGCTGTTAGGCAGAAACTGCGACCCCACAGCGAAGTGGCTTCGAATCGTACCGCATTCGAAGGACCCTAAGGTACCAAAATCAACGTCAATCTTGTTCCTCCCGACTCGTTGCATGGGCATTGTTCTCATGTTCTTCATGACTTGATGTTTTTGAAGTTGAGCAGCCTGAGGATATCTACACCTTCAAAGCCTTTGATTTGCATATGCATTTGTGTAGGAATACAAGAACTCTGAACACATACAAGTGCTCATAGAGAACTTGAGTTAGAGGGAGATACACAGTCACAGCAAAACGAATGCCTGAGTCTCTACTTCATCTTCTAAAAACAAAAATTCTAGATCGGGAACATGGCCAAGTGGTTAAAAAACGAGTGTCGAGCAACCGGACTGGACAACGTTTTTATCGGAGAGTTCCCGAAAGGACCCGAGGGCCAGCTCGTGCGAGGTTTGGGTTTCACTAGAGATTTGAAAACTAGCCCCCAGTATATGTTTCTTTGTGTCCCCCAAAAAGAAAAATGAGTAGACTGGTGATCTAGTCCAAGAAACTAGCTGCATGTTTTGTCGATTATGATTCAAATTTCTGTCTCATCTCATATCACAGGTTTGGGCTTCTCGAGGGCAATAAAGAAGGATACACTATTCGTATGTATACCGAAAAAGTGTTGGCTTGGTGAGCCGAACCTCCCGAAGAGATATGCCGCACTGAAGAAAAAACACGCACCGGTAGTTCCTTTTTTCTGCTTATCATGGTTTTTTGATTCAGAAGTGAAGTTACATGATGATGAAGAGATAGCACCGTTAGTCAGATAGAAGGCACATTTTTTTTGGTTTCGTTGTTTTGGTTTTGCTCCTATATACTCCGGATTCTGACTGTGATGTGTTTGTTCGTGCTGTGCGTGCGCGCCTGTAACTGCTGCGGCCCGGCAAGATTACACAAGCATTTTTTGATGATGTGTTTTTTTACTCTTTACAGCAATGCGACACGATCCAGTATGTGATGGCACTGTGGATGGCGGACGAGTTTCGAAAGGGCGAGAAAAGTTTTTGGAAACCGTATCTGGATACGATCCCAACCAAGTCAGAGTACGAGATGTACCATCCGGCCTTCTGGAAGTCCAGCGGAGAGCGTTTCTACAAGCAATGCGTGGATGCAAATGGAGGTACTGACGCTCCACTAGTATAGTACCTGCCAGCCCTGCCACTAGTAGCCTTCGCACATCGACTAGATCCTAGTACAAGTACTTCATCTCTATCGTGTATTTCTATTCTCTTGATCTTGATGATGATGTTCAATCATGCGTGTCATTTCTGCTTCACCGGGAACGAACAAATCAAAATTTACTACCAGGCAACGCGGCCAACTGCAAGCAGCCATGGGATGCCGAAGGAGACGGATCGCACCTCTGGAACCTATGGTATGGATGGGTGCAGGACTGCTACCAGAAGTATAATTCATCCTAATCTGCTTAATTTTGAGAAAATTGAAATTCGAAAAAATCATTTAGTAGCAAAAATTCTGGAATGAAGTTCTCGACCCATCGTCATCAAAAGAACGCCGGGTAATGAAGAAGAAGATAGTCGGTCCTGCACCAAAAAACTAAGTATTACAACATCAATACGTCGTGTTTTTATCTACTATCCTTAGGTATTCCCAGGAGTTTGACGCCGGGAATTTCAAGGTTCCCTCCGACGAACCCGGCGCAGAGCTGCTCCAGACGAAGCTGACCCCGGAGGAGGTGAACTTTGGCTACGTGCTGACCATGACCCGGGATTTCGAGGGGGTGGGAAACCTCCCGTTGATCGACATGCCCAACACGGAGGAGGAATACAATTCGCACCAGTACTGGTACGACGAGCGGAAGTCCATGTTTTGCCTCCTCAACGAGAAGCCGGTGGCCAAGGGGGAAGAAGTCAACGTGAACTACGCCCAGAACACGAAGAACCCCTTCATGATGTTCGCGCAGTACGGCTTCGCGTTGGAACCGAAATACCACTCCGAATACACCCACTCGACCGCAAGATGTCAAGGTACCTTCTACGACAGAATGATATTATACGAAAGAACAGAAAGCACTACTCTTTGCAATTGCAGCCGATTATTTTAAAAATGTCTACCTTTATTTCTCTATGCAAATCCAATATTTTTTTCCAGGTCTACAAGACGGGGACAAGGTGCACGAGCTGCAAAACCCAGTGGCCGAAAATTTTAGTAATTTCGCAAAGCGATATTGCAGCACGGAAGAGATGGAACGCATGAGGGTAGAGGAGTACGGGGAAGGCACCGGGGCCGAAAACGGACCGAACGATGCAGCTATGGCCGATTTGTAGGCCGTGCTCACCTGCACCAACAGGAGGAGTAACGGCACCTCGGACAAACATAAATCTAAGCAGTGATGAAGTATAAATGAAAATAAGCAACAACACTTTCAAACGGTTCCACATGACCAATCTCAACAAACAATCAATCGACTTGAGCGCTTTTTTCTTCCGTATGTATTCAAATTTTACTTCAAACAAACTCGCAGCAATGATTCCAGTTTGACATCGCGTTTATCCCTACGATCAGTCGCAAAGTCGGCCCGGCGCGAGGACAAGAGACGTGTGATTGCAAATGCGTCACGTGTGTCATCTTAATTTATGCGATTGGATAATATCATTGGCTGGACGAGTGGTCAGGGTTACCGTACAGTTCTCTCATTTTTCGAGTAGGAGTAATTTTTCACACTACAAGTACAACATCTAGCTTCTCGCTGCTGCACCGTCCAAAGTTGATACGGTTAGTTATGCGGGGATTCGCTAATTTGTTTTTCTATTTCTAGTATAGCGACCACATTTCCAAGAAATACTGACTCTCTACCCCTACAACAACCAATTCCAATGGAAGATCACATCCGCCGACAATGTTGCATGCTGTGTGATTTTTCAACAAAGAAAAAACTAAGCAGCATAGTGACTAAGCAGCGTGTTGGCAATACTACTTCTACGTGGCTGTTTTGTACACGAGATCAGATCTGCTTCTCAAAAAGTTTTTTCTCAGACTAGCCGCGACGAGGTGCACGACCGAGGGAAGAAGGTAGGGAACTCGTTGCTGCTACAGCGGAGCTGCCCACTCTAGTATGTACTGCGACTAGATTAAACTTCTCGTATCATCTACTGAGGACCCTCAATGTGGAAAATTGAAGAAATTCATTTCATACATGATACAGGTGTCAACGAATGTATAAGTATCATACTTTTTGACGAGCAGGATCATGTTAACAAAATGAATATCGACACGAACACCGACGATCCCGCAATACTAGTGCAGGTACTCCACAACCGAGTAGTAATTGGCTCTCGAGCGGTAAAGCCAAAAGCTGGCGCTGCATCAACCGCAACCGCTAGCATGATATGAGCCTCGATTTCCGGTACGAGTATGATCGGCATGGATAATGTAGCATCAAACATGAGCCGCAACTGCCCAGCAGCTTTTCCGAATCTAAATTGCCACGTCGCTAAACCTTCAGGAAGATTTTTTGTTTTCACCATCAAGCCGCTCGCAATGAGTCACGATATCAAAAAGCGTCGTCAGCACTCATTCACTCCAGCGCGATCTCTTCTTGTTTTCGGCTCCAGGTCAGGACCACATTGCGGAGCTCCCCCGCAGCATAGCGCTTGCGCGATGTTCATCTCTTGTGATTATGTTGTATTTTTGATGACAATGACATACATAGAAATAGAATTAGACCGTGAATATCTCAATGTGCTGGATGTATTTCGTGGCGAACAAAGCAGCGCGTTCAAATCTATCATCTTGTGTTTGTGCTACCGAGTTCTTGTTTTCGTTGTTGCATATGCGCTTGGCTTCGGCTTCATCGTGCGCCTGCAACTGCTTGTTGTTTGTTTAGTGCAAAAATGAATTTTATTTGTACTAAACGTGCTGCAGCCGCTCCAATCCGTGAGCGAGATGAAAACAAAGATCTTCTTCAAAATCAAATCATGAAAACAACAACTATAAATGTTCTTGCTGCATCAATTGCAGAAGCATGTGAAAAATGTTTTGTTTACCGTGACGTTTTCTCTCGTGCGTCTTGTTTTTTTTTCCAAGCGCAGCACATAGAGAATAAACATCAACGTCGGTAGAAGACGTCGCAGGTTCTTGCACTTCGATTTCTGATTCTGGTAAAGGCAGAGGCAGGTCGCGGTTCATCTTCCCACCCGGTCGCGGAGGTCGTAAGCCCCGTATTAAGCCAGGGCAACTACATCATGGCGGCCTTTTCTTTCCAAGGGGGTGCGGGGAACTTCTGGAGTAGTTTCTACGACGTGGGTGAGAACAGCCTGTCAGACAAAATTGCGAAACCAGAAACCACGCTGGAAGATGTTTTGGACGACGAGCAGCTGCTCCAGTTGTTCCGCGATGAGGGGGAAACCTCGCTCCAGGATTGGCTCTGTGAGGAGACCCACGTCCGTGAGCTTCTCACTCTTCTCATCAAGGAACCGCCACCCGATGCCACCCACGACCAAGCACACAAATTTCCCTTTGTAAGACTAAGAATGAACATCTTCGCACGATAAACTTGAAACATAATGGATGCTGATGCAGGTTTTCCTTTTTCAAGAAGAGTGATGCATTTCACATACCGGATATCGAACGGATTCGACGTTAAAATGAAAATTATAAAAATCCACAGGTTGCCTGTGAGCTCTTTAGCTGTGAGGTTCCGCAACTCCTGCAGACAGTGGTGCAAAATCACAGGCTGCTAGACTACCTGTTCAGCTTTTTGATGCGCAATGTTGAGGGGCCAGCTGGTGTTGGAACGTCAACGACCGCAGCGGGGTATGAACTGCAAAAGTATCGTACTCGTATAAATGCATTACAAATTTCCTCAGCATGACAAATAAAATTTGTCATGCGGATTTACCTTACGAAAAAACTTTGTAATGCAAGACAACTCGCATTTATACGAGTACGATACTTTTGCACAGGATACGGGGGGCGCCCCCGGCGTGCTGCCGGGTGTAGCGGATTTGTGGAGCCCGCGAGAATATCAACTGTAAAAATGTCTGGATCTGGAAGAGTGTTAAACTTGTCATGCAGGTTTTCCATGACCCATGAGGTCTGGAATGCGGGACTTAGCATGACAGAGTCTGTGAGGTCTCTGCTATGCCTATCCTGCATGAGAAGCTCCCTCCCAACTTGGTTGAAAGTGGACAGCTTTGGGCCCTCATGCAACACAGATTTTCGCATTATTCGGATTTAGCATGACAAGTTGCAATCAATCTTGCAGACCCAGACACTTTTGCAATCCATAGAGAAAACGGGCAACTCAACGACCTCATGAACGGGCACCGAGGAACCACCACGGAAGAGGAGGAACAAGACAAAATTTGCCTCAGTAGCCCGACGCACACCTACACAGAAGATCTACTGATGAATCAAGGACCACGACCAGGTGAACCTGAGAAAAAATCAACTTCAAGCTCTGGTGCCCCTACAAGAACTAGCGAAGATGGGGCCGAGGTCGAGGATGCAAAAAGCAAAGCGGACGAGGAAGCTAGTACAGTGCCCGAAGAAGATGAACACGGGGATGACAAAAAAGTGACAAAAACAATCTCGTCCGAAGAAGTGGAGCGCGCGGCAACGAAAGTTCTTTCCGGGGCGGATGCAACTGCAAGCGCGAAGCAAATAGTAACTTCTGCAGCTGCCAACGAACCGAAAGGTGGTAGTAGCCGCGAGCTTGCAGAAGTAGACCATCTTCACATAATTGAATCAGAGGAACTCAATTCCGTGCTGGCTGGATATTTTTGCAAGGTCGTCTCCCTGTTGTTGCTGCATTTTCCCATGGAGATCGGAGCATACCTACGCGCGAAATACGCCTCCCTGCTCTCCGCATTTTTCAAATCTCTTTATTGCCGAAGCGTGATGGAGCTGTACTGTCGCATGATCAACACACCACGTGTGGAATTTCCGGCGGCGAAGTTTTTGCGCGACGTTCTCAGCTTGTACGACGAAACCCAGAGCAAGTTAAGAACTTCTGCAGGAGATGGTGACACGAAAACAAGCGATACAAATAAAACTAAAGACGCAGAAGATGCCACAACGTCAGTAGCAGGCGGAGCTTCAGCTGTTGTTTCAACATCTCCCTCAGCACGCAATGGTGACGGCGGAGAAACAAGTACCACGGGCAGTCCGCCAGTTGTGTTTTCTCCGTCCTCTCGGTCATCTCGCGGAGGTGCGGGAACTAGTACATCAACCACGGCACAATCCGCCGCATCTTCCGCGGCAGCGACGTCGTCTTCGTCATCTTCAAGCATAATTGTTGCAGGAGGAGCTGGGAAAAATGAAAATAGAACATCATCACCGACGGCGCGACGAGGACAACAACATCATGATGGACATCAGTCCCAGTCGGCAGAACATCAAAACCAGGACTGGATTCAGGTGCTCAGGACCTGTAGCGATGCGGAAGTGACGCGGCTGCCCGGGGAAATTCCGTACATATTGGAAGATCTGTTGTCGCAGAGGGATCTGCCCATCCCCTTGCTCGCGGAGCTCGTCAAATTCAAGCCGAGCCGCCTGCTCAGCTCCGCAAACGAAGACGAGGTATCCGCGGGCGTGTCCCTGTGCAGCAGCATTTTTCAGACGTGTCTGGACGTGGTGCGTGACGACTCGCAGGATTTCGATACCGAAGAGGACTTCGAAAGTACCTTTGACGCAGGCGCCGCGGGCATGGCCCCGCCCCCTCCACCTCGAGAAGATGACAGCGCAAGCCGATTCTCCCCCGAGATGAGACCGTTTCAAGAACACGGCGACCACGACCTAGGAGATGAATCAGATATTTCTGGTCCTCCGCCCATGGACGCGCTCGAATTGTCGAGCGGTGGCGAAAGTAGAAAAGTGGAGCTTGACGCAGATGGCATCCCGGTTCCTCTACCGGTCGAAGAGAACCTGCAAAGCTTCCTTGTCACTGGCTCTCAGCCTGCAACTGTGGAAGTCGTGCCGCGGCCGCGCACGAACGGAATATTGAAGGAGAAAACTGGTGGTGAACAGGGAGCTGATAGAAGCGAGGCAACTTCTTCGAGTGCAGCAGCAGAATCAGCGTTACTCGAGACCACCTCTCCACCGCCCGAGGGCGAAGCAACCTCGTCTGCGTCGGCCCCGGCCAGCGCTGCATCTTCCGCAGACACATCTAGCGGGGCGGCCACGCTGTCAGCTAGTACAAGAACTTCTTCTGCTGAAGCGAACCCTGCTGCCCCTGCTGGAGCGGAAGTTTCAAAGAGCTGCACCAGCTCCGATTTGTCGTCAACGAGCACTCCTCCTAGTACTGATGTCGAAGCAGCCGGCTGGAAGATGCTGGCGAAAATTGAAGCAGAAATGGATGCTTCTCTGGAGCAGCCTTTGCAACACGCTATTTCTGTAGTACCGCGTCCGGAACGCTCGCCCAAGCAAAGAATCGACGCGCTTTTCACGGACTTTCTCGCACATTTTGAGGAATGCTTCGCCCCCGTCGCGTTCCGCATGAAAGCTCTGATTCGACTGGCAGAGAACGAGAAAATAAACGACGGAGGAGCCGCACGACAGGCCGGCGCACCAAATGATGCTCCGCGGTTGCTCCAGATGAAGGAGGACAGCAAGAACGCATCTCCGCCTTGTGTCGTGGTCGAGCAACAAGAGCATTCTCTACCGGAAGCGGACCCACGCGGTCCGCCGCCTGCAGTAGTAGAAGTGGACTTCAATAGTCTCAAAAAAGCTGCGCCATCATGCGCTAGTAGTACAACAACGACCGCAAACCCGTTGTACAACGTATTTGAGTTGATTTGCCTTTTCACCTCCTTCGTTACCGCCTCTGCGCCGGCCACCGCAAGCCGCTTGCCGCTGTTGTTGCAACACGGCATTCCGCAGAAGGCGATCGAGCTTTTTTTTCTGCGGCCGTGGAACAGCATTCTGCACAACAACGTCGTGCTGCTCATGCGCGGGATCCTGCACGCGGAAACGCTCTCGCTTCGGGAAAAGTTTTTTTTCCTCCTGGACACCGAGTTTCTCCAAAAGGCGGCCGAGGGGATCGGGCCGCCCCCGACCTTTGTGCCGCCGCCCCCGCCTCCCCGCGATCATAGGGGCGTGCCGCGTCCTCCACTAGGAATTCCGCGGTCTCCGTCACTCCCGCGCGGAGGTGGCGGGGGAGGTAGCAGTGCTGGTGGCACGACAACGACCACAAGTCCGACGGGAGCCGGTGCAGCAGGAGACGGCGCGGAGACACAGCAGGAGGACAAAAACAAAAAAGCAGATGAGAACAAGAAAATAAACGGAGACCACACGACCAGGAGTGAAGACGAAGCGCCGTCGACAGCTTCGACAAGTACAACTGGAGGTCGTGAGGATCTTCATGCAAGTACATCAACGGTAGTAGAGGCAGCTCCATCTGGAGGTTCCTCGGAGTCGGACGCGGTAGCAGCAACTGCTACAACCGGCACTGCAGGTACAAGTACAACCTCTAGGAGAGAGCGTTCGCCGCCGCCTGCGTCAACATTCGTGCCACCCCCGCCTCCACCTGTAACGACGTCCACCGGGGATGTGGTGTTTTATTTTCAGATGCCGCGCAAAGGATACTACCCCCACTTGATGGAAATGCTGGACGACGTCCTTCAGCTGGTGAAACAGTTCGACTTTCCGAACCTAAACGGCGGGGGCAATAATTCGACTACAGGACGAGGGGGTCGTGAACGTGATGAACGTCGTGAAAGTCAAGATGCAGTGAGTCCTCGAGGTGGTGCAGCACCTGCCTCCGATGATGAAAGTCAAGATCCCGTTCCCGCCCCAAGAGTAGCGTCCTACGGCATGGAGTCGTCCCCACCGAGCGAGGATCCCACACCGACCGCGGCTGCGCTAGCAAGGAACATCCAAGATTGGGCGGACACTGCCGGTCAAGAGATCACGACGGAAGCGAAGATCAAGCGGGGCGTGGACGAGGAGGACATTCGTACCTGTCGCTTGCACCTGGAGTGGTGGAAGAATCTCACCGGGGGGTGCGGGCATCATTCGCCGCCGCGGTCTGTATCCACCGCGCCGGACTCTCCGGACGATCCGATGCTTGTTTCAGGGCACAATCTCGACTTCGCGTTAACAGGGACGATGAACAAGCACGACGTAGACCACGCAGGAGGTGGAGGGGGGCACTCGACGTCGCACGCAGCAAACGTGCCGCCGCTGAGAAGTACTAGTACGAATTTGAGTTTGGAAGATTCTAAAGTTTTTTTTCCGCTCTCGCTCATTTGTTCAACGTTCTATTTTTCGTTCTGATTTGTTTGCATAAGAGGGGCCGATGATTTTAGAGCATAAAAATAATCACAACATGCGCCAGCATTACCATCTGTGATTCACCGCGACTGCTTGTTTTGCTATCCACTTGCCAATCTCTACTTTTAGGCCTCGAGCAGAGCTCTCTGAGTTTCCGCGCCATCGAGGGCCTGGTGATGCCGTCCGCCGGGCACAGCGATGTCGACATAGACGGCATCGGCGAAGTGGAGCAGCCGAAGCCCATCTCTTATCCTGTGCAAAAGTATCGTGCTCGTAGTAATTCTAATTGCAGTCATGCATTACAAATCTTTTTCGTAAGGTAAATCCGCATAAAAAACGTTATTTCTCCTGCTAAGGAAATTTGTAATGCTTTTATACGATTACGAGTACGATACTTTTGCAATGCATATCTCTCCACCAAACTCCATTTCCCCGCCGAGGGAGTCGGGGACGAGCACCTTGGTCTCCAGTCCGAAGGGGGTTCGCACCGCTTCACACGAACGTGCGTCAAGCTACTAGAGGAGAGCAAAAGTTTTATCGTGGAGATAAACTATGACTCAGACTCAGCCAAGAGAATTTGAATTTTAAACGAAAGAGAAAGGACGCGTGCGCTCGCTGCTGGGCGGGCACAAGCACAACTTCTACTTGATACTTACATTATTTTTGTTGACGCTCCTGCTAGTGTTGACTCTTCATCACACGACAAGAACGGAGGCACCAGTGACAGAGTCAGAGACAAGATGAGGATGGAGCTGTTTTGGACATGTTGACCATTTTCATCATGGCAATTAGGCGCAAGTCTGCTGGGCTCTGGCACTCCTACTTGGGCGGGTCGACGCCCGCATGTTGTATCTCTGCTTGTGGTATTCGAAATTTAATATTGAAGATGAAGCTTGGTCTTGGAGATGAGTGTGCATGTGTTTGTCAAAATCTACAGTCCTTTTACCATCATGATGATGAAGAGTGATATAATGAGCACAGATTGCGTCCTGCGTCTGCAGCTCCGACTGCAGCTTCTGTCTTTGCGTAAGAACCGTTCCGGTCTTCTTGCAGGTCCTTGAAGTAGAACAAAGTGTTGCTCTTGTAGGGCCTTCTTGATACGCCAGCAAGTAAAAGTAGAATTGATGTTGAGAAGTTTTTATTTGGACGAAAGATGAAATTTTGAACTTTGCTGGGCCTTCCAGGAAAAAACTGTCGTGGAGTCTCGCTTCCAAAAATTCGATAATTAGACAAAGCTTTGTGTGTAGTTGATCATGGCGAGCTCAGCATCTAGGCATTCATCGCTTCTGTAGTGAGTCTTTTATTTTCGTGATTCTGCAGCTTGTGATCGTCATCGTGTTGTTTCTGTCTGTAGTCGGTCCTGTTGTCGAGTTCTTTATTATAAAAAATTTGGGGTTCTTCTTGCGCCACCTTTAATACGAACGAGCGTACTACAACTAGGTGTTGCATATTTAATCGACCACGCGTCGAAGAGTTGTAAGGAAATCGTTGCGATGTGCTGCTCTTCGTGGTGCGGGACAGGGATAGCTACAGGACCTGCGCGTCCTCGACCTCCGGTACTTCCGTAAGAGATGGCCTTGACAGTCCTGCAAAGGTAAAGAAGCCAGACGCTGAGTCACTCCTGACGAGCCACAGTGACGACCCGCCTGCTCGCAGTTGTTTCGTCTCGTGCATGTTGCTCCTTGCTTGTCCAACAACCTCCAGTACGACGACCTTTCTGCCCCTGCTCAGCACGTCGCTCCACACTGCCACCCTGTACGGCACGGCCCACGAGAACTTGTTCTTCCCGGTGAAGAAAAGCTGCAAATCGGTGCGCCGTCATCTATTTATCCTGCTATCGACGGTTTCGTCAACTACACCTTCCGAGGCACGGCACGGGCATCAAAATTCGCCGCATCGAAGGAGGTGGTTGTGTGGTGCAAGAAATTCTACCAGTTTTGTTCCGGTGTTACGACATCGCGGACCTTCACGAGTTCTCAGCCAAGAGCTGCAAGGGAGTCCTCGCCGGCGGAAAATGGCCACTAGTTCTGCTGCACCGACTTGCTCCGGAGGGCACGAGGGTGGACAGAAAACGAACACCCAAAAATCCCAAACATGGTATAAATACCAGTAAGTCCACCTCTAGGTTGTGTCTCATTTACTTTTGGTGCACGTAGTTTGGATTTGATTACGAACAAGCTGAAAGTAGTTTAGTAAAAGTTCGCGCAAAACCAAAACCATTTTTGATCGTCATCTTTCGTGTTTGATCGCTCAGCATAGCCAAGAACATCGATATGCGGATGGAAAAAACTCCAGGTGTGGTATCGATATTGGGAGCGGCGTCACCAAATGGTTGGTTGCCGAAGTGCAACGCGGACGCATTATCAGAGAACTAGCCTCCGGCGTATGGCGTTCTCAACTGTTACATTCTCAACTGTTACAGCATGAATTTGTGATGCAAGAATTGCAAAAGTGAAAGGGCGGAGGCTGCACCTCTAGCATTACAAGTTCTGCACAGAATTAGGTGCTGTTTAGCCCTTCGAAAATTTGTCATGCGAAGCAGCTTTCTCGTGTGGAGCTTGATGCTGGTAGTTCTGCATGACAAATCCATGTAACAGTTGAATATGTACAGAGTTGAGAACGCCATACGGCGAAACCAAGCTTCCGTATGGTCTCGTGTGGAAGCAGACTGGTAATCTGACCCCCGATATCTGTGATCGAGGACTACAAGCCATCAGGCATATCGTGCACAAGGAGTTTCTGCAAAAGTTCTACTTCGGAGCTGACACAGAATTGCAGGACCAGAGCGGAACAACCGAAGTGGCAGCGGTCAAGAAGTTCTCCCACGATGTCGATGACCCAAAAAATGCACTTCTACAGCAGCTCGCACGGCAGAATGTCTTTGCCATTGGTACCGAGGTGTTTCGCAAGGCAACCGAGGGCTCAAAATTTCTCCAGCGGGTGCAGGTGGAGACTGGTGTACAAGTGGAATTGGTTTCGCAGGATACCGAGGCCGAGCTTGGGTACGCCACTGGCATCGCGACCATGCAGCTCGAAGCGCAGGCGGGACACAACTTTCTCGTCAGAGGACCAGCAGATGTCGATGCCGTGGATTATGCTGTTGTACCGGAAAAGCAAGGCGGAAGTGGTTTTGTCACTGCGGAAAAGGACGTGTGGCAGCAAGCCTATGACCTTGTCAGAGCCACACCCACAGCCACAGGGGGTGCGCCTGCTGCGCCATCTTCGTCATCTGAGGCTGTCCGCGGTACCGATGCCGCGTCTGAACCTGCTGAACTTCCACAGAGCAACCTTATCATTTACGATTCCGGTGGCGGCTCGTACCAAATTGTGCAGAAAAGAACGCAAAATCCCGACGCGAACAGCAGTTTCGATGCGACGACGACGTCTCACAACACCGGAGGACTGCGGGCGTACCTGGGAGAATACGGGGTGGCGCATGGAACTCGTGATTTTCTGGAAATGCTAAAATCCATGGAGGACAGGAGGGGAACCCCTTTAGCCGAGCCGGCAACGATATGAGACTGCATAACTCCCCCTCCCCCTCATTTGTATGGCAGGAGCAGCAATACACGCAACAACAGACAAGGGGGCTTCGCATGACAAATATGCACACGGAATCTAGTACTGTTTGAGGTTGCGAAGTTTGTCATGCAAACTGTGCTGGGAGGCAAGACGTGGATTGGGTATTTTGCATTACAAATGAGGGGGAGGGGGACGAGTTGTGCATTCCCATAAACGACACTGCTAAACGCGAACCCGTACCCAGTGACAAAGGCGGAGCTGGAGAGCTATTTGGATGCTTTGCGAAGCAAAATGTTTCCGGATGAAATATCAAACTTTCCAGGCGGAGCACGAAGCGGCCTGGGCGAAGCAAATTCGGCTCAGGATGCGTCTTGGCTAGTTAACGCGGAAATCGTTGGAATTGGAGGGCCCGACAGTATTTTCAGGATGGCGAGTGAGATCATTTACATTTCCTCAGCTGCGTGGTCTTCGGAGACAGGAACGGATAGCAAGAAAAAACCGCTTCTTGCCGGGTCACTTAGTTTTACCGGTATAGACTACATATTAGTGTTGCTGGGTGTAGTACTTCATCTCTGTGGAAAAAGGTATTTTCATTGAATGTTCATTTGCATATACTTCCATCATCTAGTAGCTGTAGGTGTAGCATGGAAAAAAGGAAGCCGCTCTGAAGCAAATTCTCAAACTGCACAGCTGCGGAATTACGGGCTGCGATCCTCAGCGAAATTCCCGGGAAGAGTTCAGAAGCGCTTGCTGCTCAGTATCTCCATTGGCCCGGCGCGGAAGGAGCCCTGTATCTGGTTCCGAAAGTTTGTACCGTGCTCACGGTAATCGAAAATCTAAAGATTGCACGCTGTCACTGGCGACCCGTGCGGGGTTCCTGTTTGGGTCTGCTTCTTTTGAAGAGCCAGAGCATAGCGGGCCAGGACCACGACCAGGATTCTTTTTGAGAAGAAAAAAACGTTCTTAACAGCGACGTTGCTATACAGTCTTAAGCTTGACTTTATTTACGGCATACTAGGTTCAAGAATGCATTTGATCTATTTTTCTGCTACAAACAGTACGAGTGGGAGGGGTAGAACGAGCACAGCGGGATAATCAAAAAAACATGGCTCCAACGTCGAGGAAGAAAAATCTAGTGAAACTGACACTCGGTCCTTCTTGTCGGCACGGAAGAACCAAGAAGATGCAGAACTAGCACATCAACCACACCTACAGCAAATATAAGGAAAAGATACACGACACCTGCTCGTCCATAATTGCGCCCAGTGGCCCTGTCTCACGCTGGTCGTCAAAGAAGTGACGAACAAAGGCATTTTTTCGAACTGAAAAATTGATGAGGCCAACAAAAGAAACGTGATGCCGTTTCAGCCACGCTTGCTTCCATGGTGGACTTGGAGTTGTGTTTGTTAGTGTTTCGTAAATGAATTTGCTCTGCGAGGAATCGATGGTCGTGTGTCAATAGTTTCATTATTGCGAGTAAACCTTGTCCTTGTTCGCGATGATCCTCGCATCATGGCTTCCGTGCGTCTCGTTGATACGTATTTTTACTACTTGTCGGTTGTTCCTCTTTTTGTTCTTCCATCTCCCGTTACAATGAACGAAGTATGTTGTTCCACGCCAACGCATTTCTGGTTCTCTATATCCTACTAGTGCGTGGCTCAAACACAAACTAAACCGAGCGCTACAAGGATTCGTCGAAGAGATAATAATGTACTACCAAAGGCAAAGGTTTTTCTTTTTTTCATCTGCATTGCATCGCGAAGCCGAACACCCACTACTCAGACGCATCCAAAAAGTTGAGCGACCCCTTCAAAGTGCGTCGGTTCGTTCCTTCCACAAAAAAGTGTGTTACGTGAAGTCATCGATAGCAACAGAGCAGTAGTTTCCAAGCAAACAAACTATCAGTATCAGCATCAAGTGCATTGAGAATTGTGTGAAAACCGCAAAGGTCGAGTCGCAAAGTTGCCACGTTGTGCTTCAATTGTTATACCATGAGTTATTTCCTTGGATTTTTCATCTGATTCACGGTTTTCCGGACGATGGTGAAGATGGGTCTGACTACCTACCCGCCCTCTCCCTCCTGACACCAGATAAGATAAAAGGACCGAAAAAAATGCAACCTCTTATAAGGAGTTGATCTGTGGATAGATCAAAGAATAAGAGTTTGTTACGAACTCGGACAAACGCCTCAAGAACACGACCAAAAATGGTGGACAGCTCCGAGAAGAAATTCGGGTCCACCAATCTGGTGGTGTACCCACCGTCGGGGTACCAAGCCCCGGGGTATCTGCCGTTGGATCCGCCGAGCTTAGCAAAGTGTTGCTCCTTTCGCCCGGGCCCGTGTAGCGTCCAGCCGGTGCCGTTTGGCATGAACGAGGTGGCTTTCTCCAGCGGCAACCTGTTGGTCTTCCAAAATCTGGAAACCGAGGAGCAGCGATTTTTCCGCTCCCAGGCCGAAATTCTCTGCGTCGCTTTTTCCCGGGAGGAGCCCGCGACCTCCTCGCGCGGAAGTATTGAATGCTTCGTGTGGAGGTCTTGTTTGGTTTTCTTATGATCGCTCATCGTCGAATTATCCTGTCTGTTGACGTTGAAATGCAAATGGAAATGGACAAAAGCAAAACTCGCATGATCCAAAAATACCCTACCCCAGCAGGTTCCGCTCCGTCCCGCCCTGGCACGGGGAAGCCGAGTCCGAAGCTCGGCGCGTTTGGGGAGAAGGCGGTCGCGGTTCCGGGGACCACCCGCGTGGAGGGTGACATCGTGCTGTTTTCGCCGCTGATGAGCTCCGGCAATAACCTGATCACGCCCAAGCGCCGGCTGAAGTTCCACAAGGGTGACGTTGTGCAGCTGAAGTTCCTGCTGTCCTCGAAGCTTTTAATTTCCTTCGCCAACGACAAAGCGATGACCGGCGCCCTGTGGTCTCTGGCGGGCGTGTCCGGCCCTGCTTCGAGCTCTTTGTCCCCGCTGCGCACCTTTTCGCAGGGCCCCGCGGACCTCTGCCGCCAGATCGTGTTGCTGCCCGACCTGGAGGCCGACAGCGCGATCCGGTTCTGCACCCACGGCCCGCAACACCTGAAATTCTGGTCGGTGTCCAAGATCAACCCGGGGTCCAGCAGCACGTTCAAGGTGAAACGCGGCTGCTTCTCGAACTCGTCGGCGGCCGCCGCGGCGAGTAACAAAGGCAGCTTCTCGGTGACCGCCGCGTGCTGGTTCGGGGACCCGCAAAACCCGACCATCGCTGCGGGTACGGACAAGGGCGAATTGTTTCTGTTCCACGACCCCAGCGGAAGCGGCAGCGCGGTCCGCATCGTGCCCGCGACCACGTCGCGGTTTGGGCGCACCGTCGTGAACGACGAGTTTTACCGGCCGGACAGCGCCATCGTCTCGCTCGTGTGCCAAACCACCGGGACCTCGTTCGCCGCCCAGCAGCTGGTCGCCCTCTCGGAGCACGGCGCTCTATTGATTTTCAACGTGGTCGCGGCGAAGGCCACCGGCCCGGCCGCCGCGGTGGGGGGTGCGGTGCCGCTGGGCAGTCGGCCGACCAGCTCGGCTATGAACACGACGGCTAACGCCTCTGCGGCCCTGATGAGATCGCCGCTGTTCCCCTCCTCCGCCCCTTCCTCCTCGAAGCTGCGCACCGTTCCGACGCCGATGCAGCGGGGCGCCAGCGCCGCGTCGGCGGCCTCCACGCGGAAGACGCTCACGGCGCTATCCTGTGCAAAAGTATCGTACGTAGTACTAATTGGAATTGCAGTTATGCATTACAAATGTCGTTCGCGTTCCCAAGGAAAATCAGCATGACAAATTCCGTTTGTCATGCTGAGCGAATTTGTATTGCAAGTACTACTAGTACGATACTTTTGCAGTTCATACGCGACGCTGTTGAGCAACACCGGGGTGGCCTTTGAGGACTGCTTCTACACGTACGCCAGCGCCCTGGCCATCACGTCGGTGCAAAGCATGAACCTGTGGTCGATGGGCCTGGACCAGGCCGGACCGGTGGCCCCGTTGACGAGCGCGGTACCTGCGTTGTCCGCCGACACGCTGTTTGTCACCTCCACGGCGAGTGTGTTCCAGTGCCCCTTCCCCAGGGCACCCTCGCAAGTTCTGTCACTAGAGGTACTACACAAGAAGTACTGATTGAAGAGCTGGTGGCGGTGGGGTGATTTTTCGTTTTAAGTATTTCGGGCGAAGAAATTGTGAAAAACAAAAACGTCGTGTCGTGTGCTTCATTTGTAAAGTGATTTTGTATTCGTATTGGAATTGGATCAAATTGATGACCAACATGAACATTACAGAACGATTCCTACATGGAGCAATACCCGGAGACGAACAAGGACCCGGCCAGTTTTCAAGCTCTGATTTCGCAGCCCGCAAACAGCACGTTTACCTGTGCGACTGCGTTTGAGGACCTGGTTTTTCTCGGCTCCGCGGACGACGGCGTTTCGGTATTTCGCCTCTCGGAAACAACCAACAAGCTGGACTTCGAAATGTCGCTGCTGCCGGGAGTGGGCGTATAATCCTCGGGTTTTCTTGCTAGTAGCACTATGTACGCGCATGAAATATCACGTCGCAAGATAAGGATAAGATCAAGATCTTGATCTCAAACTACTTTTAATGTGAAGCTACGGCGCGCTTGCGCTAAACTAACTTTAGAACAAGCGTGCCGACATATTACATCGATCATCACACTCGCAGATTTCCTCCTTGGTGGCTAGTGCGTGGGGCCTGGCTGTGGCAGCGGGTGGGCGCTTGGTTCTGTACAAGAACTACCGATACACGGACACACCCTTCTTCGATCGCACGGTGGTATCGCCGAACGGCAGCACCGCAAACAGCAGCGTGAACAAGCCGTCCCTGAAGGACGGTATCACGTGCAGCACCTTTGGCCACGGGGCAAAGTTCGCGTTCGGGACGAAAGCCGGAGCCGTCTACTACCTGGACCTGGACGAGAGCCCCGTGCGACCGCGGATTCTGCGTGGCCACTCCAGCGAAATCGTCGGGGTGTCCTTTCTGCAGCCGGGTAACGTTGTCCTGACCGCTTCCACCAAGCAACTTCTGGCCTTTGACCCGGTGATGATGCGCCGGTTGGCGAGTCTCCGGGAGTGCAAAGAACTGACGGCTGTCGGCTCCTCCGCGTTGCCGTACGGGTTCGGCACGCAGGGCGCCTGGGATCCCGTCAAATCCTACGCCCCAAACCGCAAGTTCCTGGCGTTCGACGACCTGTTGGTGGCGACCAACGGCAAAAGGTTCGACCTGTATCCGCATCCGGCCGTCGACGGGGACAGCGGCGCGCCCGCAATGGCCGTCCATGGAGGCCCGATCATCGACGTTTGCAGCCTCGGAGCCGGCCAATTCCTGACGGTTAGCAAAGACACCGTGGCGATGTGGCAGGGTATAATTGAGAGTCACGCTCTACGACCAACAAGTTGCGGGCTTACTCGCAAGAAGTTGAAGTTATTTCATCTACTTACCACGTTGTAGCGACAAATTATGTTCAAGATGAGGTACCTGCATGCACCATGCTACGTCGAAGAGCACCAGATTTGATTTTCTTCTTGTTGCTTCTGACGTTCCAATGTTGCAAAACAACAGCGTCTCCGCCCGAGGTGGCTGCGGGCGGCCAAAGTCGTCTAGTCGCCGGTGAGGATGTGGAAATGCTGCAGCCCTCGGCCTCCTCCTTCGCCAGCACGTCGCAGGTCGCGCAGCGAGCGATCGCCCAAGAGAACGCCCGGGCGGCGGCCGAGTTGCGGGAGCAGGAGATGCCGGCGTCGCCGAAGGCCAACCTGGAGTACCAGATTGCGGACCTGCAGGAGCAGGTGGGCAACATCGCGGAACGGCTGGACTTCGCCGCAAACCTCGTCGGGGAGGTGGATTACAGCCCAAGCGGCGGTGGCATGGCGATGGAGGTGGAGCAACCTGACGACGATGTGCAAATGATGGGCGGCATCACCGGATTCGGCTTCCAGCCGCAGGGTCGGAGTACAGAGGCGGAAGACCCAAACGCCGAGGGGCGACGGGAACGAAGGCTGCGGTCTGAAAAGGCGAAAGACACACTTGCGACGAAAGTGGGAGCAGGTACATTATTTTCATCATAGTACTACAGAATAACTTGATGAGCATCTAGTTGTTTATGTTTTTGAAGAGCAAAATTATTTGCATGATCCACCGCCTTTGATTATCATTATTTTCATGCAACGAGGAGAGACTCGTTCACGGTGATGCGACGAGGAACACGACCAGAAAAACGAACATCTCAACAGATTCCGGGTTTCAGCCGAAATTGCTGGACGGGAATTCTGCAGCGGGCATGCTCTGCGTGGACAAAGTCTCCACGGACTTTCGAGTCCGGGGTATCGCAAAACGATCCTTCTACGCAGTCGAAGTAGCGTGCCGGTGCCCGATAACGAGCGGAACGAAGAAAGGATCGCAAACCATTGTATTCACAAGCGTCACTGGCGATACCACGGAAGTCGAGGTATGTGCTGTACTAGGGGCAAACTCTTCATAGATGATTTCTTCAAGCTCCAGCTCGCTTGAGGGCAGACTTCTCGCTTTTGGTTTTGCCGCAATGAATCTGCACAGAATTAATTTCGCTACATTTTCATGATGCTTTTCGATCGCATTTGAACATCAGGTCCCCGCTGGTTACGATTTGCAAAAGGCAATCGTCCCGGAATTGGAGTTTCCATCTGGGAAGTGCCGGTTTGCCGTCCCACTGATGCCGCGCACAGAGGGTGACTCATTTTATGTGTTACCGCTCGGCACGAAACCAAAAGTGGTTGCCGCGGCTAGCTAAGTTGACGCTTACAGCAGGAGCCGCAGCTTCTGGGAAAGATGAAAATTCGTTCGATGAATCAGGTACAACTACTTTTACATAGCGGCTCACGAACACGACGTGCCAAAGTTTTGCACCGTCGTGGGCATGCAATGTAGTTCTGTAAAGTATGCTTTGTCGTTTTTCTTTTTTAACTTTGCCTTTGTCAGTTTAATTGCTCCTGCCTGGTCCTCCTTTTTGTTTTTCCTGTTTGGGTTTGATGCCTGAATACCTTCAATTTCGCAGTTTGTTCTGTCATGCGTGGTGGTTTGCAGCATTTTTTCCGCACTCCCCGTGCTATACACACTGGCAGTGGTTTGATTTCAATTTTGTGGTCATCGTGAGTTGCTTGCAGTACTGTTTTACTTCTAGTAATATCTTGGAAGATAAATAAGTGTATTGCCTTTCATCCTACTCGGTGAACTCTGGAGCATCCCGCTACTTTCTCTTCGAGAGTGCTCCTCGTGCGGATTCTACAGTATCATTTATCAACCCTACTTATTGCTATTTGTTTTTCATCTTTTTGTGTTTGTCTTTGCGAGTTAGTGTGTGTGTCCCCGTGGCTTCCTGTCCTCTGCAGAGCTTGCGTCTTTCGGGAGGACGAGAAGCACGAGCTGCAAGCTGTGCTGCTGGACTGATAATTGAAAATAATAACTTGATTAGTTGGCTCGTCCAACCGAAGTATTTGACTGTTTGGGTTTTGTTGAACTTGATTGGAAATCTGCTACTTTATTTGACTACTGATATTTTGAGCGATTTGCTTCCCTCCAAGTGGATGGAAGGCATATGCAGAAGCCGCCGATAAGAAAGTAAAAGAACTATTTGTGATGCCAGAAAAGATGTGTGATGCGAGCGTCGGCACAGGCATGGACTATTGGACAGAAGGTCTGCGAAAGCCTGAGGACTGGCAGCCAAATAGGCAGATGAGCACAGCAAAGGCAGATGAATGCCTAACAAAAATTAGGCATGCAATACATGGCGCGGCCCTAGAAACTCTGAAGTACATAGGCAAGAAAAAGGGCAAGAAAGCAGGCAAGAACGTAGAGAGTAGTGCAGGTACAAACAAACGACCCGCGGGGAACGCTCCCCCTACTGCGCCAGCGCCTGCGGTAAACGAGGATATGGCCGCCGAAGTGAAGGACCTGGATTGGCAGGGGGTTAAGGAGCGGAAGGGTGCGAGCCGGTGGTCGACGGGGTTTCCGAAAGTCATGGTGCGAGGGGACTTCGAGTCTCGCCGGAAATATCTTCTTCGCACGACAGGCAACGAGGCCAAGTCCTTGGACGAAGCGAACAAGATCCTGAAGGCCAAGAAGGTGAACGACGTGCCCACAGAGGAGGAGGCAACGCGAGCCCCCTCCGAGATCTGTCGAATAATAAAAAACTTTTTCAGAAGTAAACCATTCAAGGTATATGAGGAGTTCGAAACACGGCCCGCATCAAAGGACGAGGTAGAACGGGCCTGGACGACAGCAGAGCAGGACTACCTGAAGGAGAAGGCGGAGAAAGATGGTGGCAGCACCTGGCCGCTGAGCTTCTTGGAAGTAGAGGCGGCTATACGGAAACTGCAACCGGGGCGCACCCCCGGCCACTGTCTCACCACGCATGAGATGGTGCGAAATGCGGGGCCGCTTCTTCGCTGGGCTCTCTTTCAATGTTTTGAAGCATACGTCTATCATGCAACATATCCGGCTCAAGGACGTTTGATCTCGATGGCTGCAGTGCCAAAGGTGGCAGGAGGCTGCTACACGGAAATGCTAATGCGTCCCGTTTCACTGTGCAGTGTGTATAGCAAGATCCTAGACAATATTTATGACAGGCGCCAGAGCCTTTGGCTGGATGGCCACCGTTGGGAGGGCTCGGAGTACAAGGGTCTCGGCCCGAAGGTTCAGCCAGCTTTCAGCAACGCCTACCGGCAAGCACATGGGAAGGAATTCTCTACGGCGGTGATAGTGGATGGGATTTTTGGGGAGGTAAGTTGTAAGGTGGTTTTGAATGATTGTTGTTCGGGTTTTGATATCGTCTGCCACGTGGAGACGCTGGGAGCATTGAAGGCCAAAGTTTGCCCAGCGCAACAATGTGCGGCAATTGCTGGCTTCATGAAGTGGAGAAAAATAAAACTGCCGGGGGGGAAGGAGTATGCCCTGTGGGTCGGCAAACCGCAGGGCTCTCCGCTTTCCGGGTCTGTATGGAACGGATACACGATCGACTTGATCATGGAGGTGCTCGAATTGCAAGCAATACGCGTGCTCAGTGCGTACTCGGACGACATCACGGTCGTCGCCAAGAACACGCCAGAAGGTGAGCAGGTGCCCAGCATGATGAAGAAGATCGGCCTAACGAAGAAGATATTTTTTGACGAGCTCAAGCACAAGCAGATCGAGTATGACAGTAGCAAGCCGAACCAAAAATCCAGAACGGGAAAGGGGAAGAGCCTGGGCTGCATCTACGACGGAACATACACCTTCCGCTCGCATGCGGACGAAGTTCAAAAGAAGATTATGCATGAGTTCCACTTTTTGCAGTCAGAACGAGGACAAAGCATTAAACAAAAGATAATGCTCATGAACGCGTTTGCATTCCCCGCGATCACGTCGATCTCAGTCGTGCCGTTTCCTTTCTTCACGACTTCAGCAAAGAAAGAAGTAGCAAAGACTTTTGCATCTCAGATAAAACAGCGTCTGAATATCCCGCGGAACTGCAGCAACTTCCTGATGTACAGCGCCACGGGCCTCGCGAGCCCAATCGATAACATACTAACGGACGCTCTTATGGTGTTTTACAAAGGCGCCGCTCTGGACTTGTGGCCCTTCTACCTAGACGAGGAGGACATTCCGCCCGCGCGACCTTCGCCAGAGATGTCACGGGACGCGGAAGCGTTTCCCCCCGTCCCCCCCGTGCCGGAATCCTCCCCAGCGGTCGCAGCAGCAGGCGAGGGGCAGCAGGTCGCTCCCCAGACACAGGAGGAGAGCGAGAACGAGCTAGACGAGCTACCAGACATTTTTGCAACGTGGGACTTGGAGGACCCGATCTGCGCAACTACAACACACGAAAACCCGCTCTGGGGGCGGTGCAACGAAGCCTGGTCATGCAGAATGAATAGAATAGCACTGAGTGATGAATATCGCGACTTAGCACAAGCAGCAAAAAGTTTACAGGTAGGGCGGCAATACTGGAGGGGTGTGAATAGGATTACGGTGCTGCCGATGCGTCAGGTTGCCGCAGATTTTGATGTACCAGATCCAGGCAGGCTGGATGATCGTGAGGAGAAAGATAAGGCAAGACTTGAAATCTCGCAAAAGAACGAACAGGTAACGCGCTCCCTATTGCGCGAGAAGCAGACGGTGGTGTCGTACACGGACGGGGGAGCAAAGTTCGAACGAGGGAGCGGGGGTGGTGCCTCTTGGCACCGCACCGCACAGCAGGGGCGACGCCCTGCGCCGATCGTGGTAAGTTGTTGTTGCATTGAGTCAGAAATAGGTGACCCAGAGGAGACGACAGACCCGGACTCGTTTGACGGGGAGTGCTACGGCCTGCTGAACCACGTCAAAACGTTACGGGCCCACTCCGATCCACAGTGGCTGAAGACAATAACCAAGCACGTTTTCTTCGTTGACAACAACGGGCTCCTGCAGGCGATGAAGGCTTTCCGGGACCGGAGTAATGTCATGATAATCAAGCTCGTGCGAGAGCTGGAAGAGCTTGAAAAAGTTTCTGCGCCAGGGTGCGAGTTCGTCTTCAGGTGGACGCCCTCACATCTGGCGAACTACTATAATGATTTTGCAGACGCGATGGCCACAAGAGGCCTAGACCACAACAAGGGAAAAGAACTACAGAGGCCCTTCTACAAAAAGGACACGACAGTGAACCTGCTCCGCCGACTAGTACAGGAAAGAACGAAAAACAAGTTTCTAGGCAGCACAAAATGTCACCCATACCTGAAGCGGCGAGCTTTTTGCATGCGGGAATACAAAACAGAAGAAAAGCGCCCGCAGTATATAGACGCTATTATGTTTGCATTATGGATGGGGACAGCGAAAAAAGGATTCCTAGGAATGGGAAAGCTCGAACACAACACAAAAAGGCCGCACCTAACAGGCATGAAATGCCAATACTGTGATAAGAAAGTTTTGCCGACCACCGACCACCTTTTGTATGAATGCCAGCAAGCAGATTTTGTAGAAGCAAGAGAGAAGTGCTTCGGCCTGCCAAAAATAACGAGTATGAAACAGCGATGCGAAATTCTAAAAAGCACGCAAATGACACGCAAAGTACTGACCTATCTTGAAATGACATCTGAAAACCAACCGGGAATACTACCAGAATCGCTACGCAAAGCGATCCGGGAGAACGTGCAACGGGACACATCGGAGCAGCCGAAAGAAGAAAAAGAGCAGTTGAAATTGGACTCGGTCGCGCCGAATCACAAGGCGCTAGTGAGGCTAGTGCCGTGGGTGGACATGGTCTAGGAAGAGGAGGCGAATCAAGGCGGGTGCGCCTGCTACGAGTGCAACCCGAAGATGTGCACCTGTTTGCCGGTCTGGCGAAAAAGGCGACACAGAGCTACGAGATTCGGAGCGATTTGCAGCAGACGAAGAAACCCCCCGGTGTTGGGGCAGTCGGGGGAGGTAATTCCCTACCGAAGTTCGGAAAGGTGCGAAGGTTTCCCGGACCGAAGTAAAGAGTACGGAATAGCATAGTTACTTGATCGCGCTAGATTTTTTATGTTCGTGTAGTCTTCCAGTAGTACTCTTCTTAGTAGGCTTCTTTCAGTTAAGACCAGTCAGTCAGGACACGCGCAAACATCTTTCACACCATAGCAGTTCACGTTCAAAACGAAGAAACAAAAATATAAAAAACAAAAATGAAACAGTTACACCTCAGTAAAAAGCTCCAACGTAGCAGCGAGCAGGAAGGAGAAAGTGCGTCACACGAGCGGGGTGCGTAGGGTGTTGGTGCGGGAGGAGCGGAACTACGCATTTCCAATCACACTGGTGACGCACGGCATCCGGGATGGCCGCAGCAGGAGTACGAACACACAGAGAGGTTTTCCGTCTGAGTTTCCACACCGAAAAGTACGAAGACGCCAAATACGGGCACCATCGTCACAGAAGAAAAGGACAAAAATCGCAAAGAAGAGTACAGCTGATGCCCACTCAAAATTTCTAGGTCCCGTCGCGTAAAAATAGAGCGCAAGAAAAAAATAAAGAAAGAAGTACTACACGGAAGCGCAGCACCCAAAACACAAAGCAGGTCGTGGCAGACGCAGCCCGCGTAAGACTTCTACTAGAGGAGCGGCGCCTGCGTCTGTCCGGAGGAGGTGCCACTTCTGTTCTTTCGTAGTTTCGTTATGAGTGCTTCGTGTCCTGAGAGGAAATCCGGATATCAAAACTCAAAAACACACTCTTGCTGGTTGCAAAACCAAGTGCAACCTACGCCGATGGCCCCGGCCGGGCGCAGGTAGAACTTCTTGTACTCGTTCACCACAACAGCGGGGGGATCGACGAACCCTCGCTGCGGGCTTCAGCCTACAGGTAACTCTGTTGCGGTTGCCCCTCATTACTACGTCCTCGCGCAGTGGCTCACATCCTCTCGTCGAACAGGTGTGGCGTCTGGGCACTCCGGGTACGGGCCTTAGGTCACCAACCGGTTGTCGCTCCAGCGCCACAAACCCGAAACTCTCCAGTATACGTGTCCAGATACAAACAGGTCCAGAGAGCCACTGAGCATGCAGCAGCTGGGTTGGGTGGGGCGATCGCAGTACAGACTCGGTGTCGGGCCTCGAGCGGAAAAAGGAAGACAATGGGTGGCACTGAAGTCCTAGGTTTTGCACACCCGGAAGGACTATTTGCCCACCTTTACCGATCTATTTCCAGCTCGGCTTGTCGATACCAGAACTATGTCCTATAGTTAAGCTTAAGAAAGTAAAAGACTAGTAGATAGAAGCTTACTATAGAGGTTTCCTCCTCCTCCTCCTCCCTCCAAGTGGATGAAAGAAGACCAGTGCTGCTGGGTTACAGTGCAGGAAATCGAACGCGCTTTCGCGGCTCTGTGGACAGGACAATACTTTTTTTGTTGCGCAATCCATCGGAATTGCCACTCAATCGCAATTTATTTATCAATTTGATTTTGAATAGAGGTCGAGGTCCACCATGGTTGACATCGCTGGTCGGCGAGACAAAGCGACCGATGCAACCCTAGGTCGTCTCTCCTGTTGAAAACAATTGCTGGCTGGTAGAGTTGTTCGGCTTCGGTCTTTTCTTGATGGAAAAACTGTTCTTCTTCGCGTTTGCTCATATGGTTGCGACAAATCGTGCCAGTATCTTTGGTCGTGTTGAGCACACTTTTCAATTCTGTGTCATTGGAGGATCTTCTTGGTTTTTTCATTTTCAAGGTGAGGTAGAAGTTTATTTCGGTTGCGCGCAATCCGCCGGACCTTAGAGATGCAGATGTAAGACAATGCATGGGCTTCGGAGCATCTACATGAGAAGATACATCATGCGCAGGCTTCCACGACTCGGCGCAAAACCTATTTCACAAAAGTAGCATCATCAATTGCACGACCCCCGTGCTGGAAAAAGAACAATGCTAGCCGTGCCCTCGACGTTTGGCGCCACCAAAGTTGGTCGGCGTGGCATGTTTTCGGTGGCTCATGCTTCAGACGAGATTCGTTTTGTGGAGCGAGGATCGACGCAGGGTCGTGCACCACGACCTACTACGGCCACACGGTTTCCTCCTCGAGGTCATCTTGAGACAAGTGCAGAAGCTGATGGCGGTGGACAAACGCTCGGCCGCGGCGAAGATGCGTTTACAACGACAGCTAAAAAGAAATCCAGTCCCTCGTCTAGTGGCACAACTGGCATGAAACTCGGCACTATGAAATTCCACGAGCAGATAAACAGAAAAAGGCTGTTTTTCGAAGCAGGATCGCAGCCGTCGCGGTGGAAGGTTATCGCTTTGCACGACCCGGAGACCTACGAGCTGAAAACTGAACAGGAGAAACACCGGGAGCAGTACCTTCGCTTCAGGAGACGGCGGCGGCAGAAATGGGGCGTCTTGCTGAATCCGTTACATGGTTTGGAAAAGCGCGGGTACGCGGACCCGAACACGCTGAATTTCCCGGAGCTCCTGGATATGACGGAGCGGGCGTCTGCGGAACGAGTTGCCAACCCCATTTTCTGGAACCAAGTCGTCATCCGCGCGGTGCGGCTCCGGGATGTGTGTCGTATAGATCATTTCGTGCGCTTCCTGCACGTACTGACCGACGCGCGGCCGCTGGACCGGGATCGCGTCATGGGCCTGTTCCGAAAAGCCGTGCGCGAGGTTCGCCAAGACGCTTTCAGCCGGCTGACTCTGGCCGAGGGAGCGACCCTGCTGAAGTGCTACGCCCACTACCGGCTGCGGAGCGTACCGCTCTGCGAAACCATGCAGAGAAAAGCGCTGCAGGAGCTCGCGCCGCTGTTCCTGCCAGAAATAAATCATGAGTATCTTCGCTCTCAGTCAGATGAAATGAGCGTAGAGGAGAAGTGCGCCTACGACCCAGCTGTGCAAGAAACAGATGCTGGGGCGAACGCTGCATTTCCATTGGCTTCGAAAACAGAGGTGCCTCAGGACGGAGGAGCGCCACGACATGCTTGCCAAGACGATGGGATAACATCTTCGGCGCTTGCTGGGCCGCAAGGCACTGAAGACATGATTCCTGATCATGATTTCGATGAAGGTATTTCATCTGCTTATGCAGCTGCTCCGGAAGACACGAGCAAACCTCTGACGAGACTACAGCGGCGAGCTGCTCGCAAGGATCAAGCCAAGAAGGAAGCAGCTGCGCAGGGAACAACAGGAACTTCCCATCCTGCACAAAAAGCTGCTCAGAGTGCTGCTGAAAGCGCAACAAGTTCCGCTCCTTCACTGAAAGTAAACGATAACGAAATCATCGACGTGCTGCACCACCTCGCCGACATGATCGGAAGCTTTACGAAAATGGAGTACAATTTCCTGGACGAAGAGCAATGTCCACTCGCAGCTGAGTTTTCTGCGCTGGTGCAAGCAGTGCTCGACAGAGTATCGCATAGATGTGCGCTTGGTCGTGATGAGGACCAAGAGCGTCCTGATCTTCACAAACAACAACCACCTCGCACCACTTTTCTCCGCCTCGCTGATTTATCTGCGCTGTCGAGAGCGGGCTTTTCGATTTCTCCTGATTACTTTGCTCTAACAGTGCACCATCACGACGCGGCCGTGGGCGCTTCCGAGATGAAAAACTCCGATGCTGAAGATCGAACGGGAGACGCTAGCGACGGCAGGGTGGGAAACCAGGAAGATTCGCGCGAAGGTCATGTAGCTGCAAACCGCGCATCGGCGCCAGAAGGCGGAGAAACAAGTGCAACGGGCGAAGGGAACAAGACCAAAGAAGAAGGTGTTTCAGAGGACCAGACCGGGCAACATCAAGTAGATGACGCTGCAGAGATTCAGTTACAGACCTGGAGCGACGTCGCGCTGTATCTTCCTGTCGAAACTGCGCCGGATCTCTTTTCAGTCGTGGTTCGAAACGTCAAGCGATGTCTGGCGCTGGATGATCCACCCACGCTTTCTCCTTCTTGCGTACAGACGAGTACGACGTACGACGAGAACGGCCAGCCTGCCGGCTTCGCTCCGCCCCTCCGTCTAGCGCCGTTCGTGCCTGTTTCAAATTCCACCTCCAGGTCGGCCATTGCGACTTCTGGTGGTAGCCGCGACTTGGAAGGAGGGCAGTTTCCTTCGGCAGTGATTGACCACCCCGGGGAAGTGGTCTTTCGCAGAAAAATCGCGCGCTCCCTTGTTTCCTTGTTACAGGGAGCTTTGCGGACACGGCAACGATCGTGCGTAGAGCTCGTCACGTACGATGCCGAATTGTGCGAGGACTACCTCCTTCCCTGCATCCGCGAACTCTCTCCGCAGGAAATCGAGATTGTGTGGCGATCCTTTTTTCGACGACACAGCCGAACGACGAGACGGGCACTTGGTGAGGGCGAGGAGCAAGAAACCGACCATGTTGAAGATAATCCTTCCGCCAGTCTGTATGGGAGTGCCAGGTTTGAAATCGACAAAGTGAAAGTTGAAATGATTTGCCATGCATAAAATGGATGCCAGTTGGAACCCAGTTTCCAAGTAGCGCAAGACAAATTTTGCTGATGCCTAAATCCAGTTTGTAATGCTGTTTGGGTAAGGAAGACGCTTTTTGTCATGCTTCTTTAACAGCTCTATTTCTACCCCTCAACAGGCTTACAATCTGCCTCCCTTGCGTACTCTGCAAGACAGGCGCTTTGTGGGTTGCGTTTTATGCATCACAGACTATTTCAACTTTGACGATTTCAATCCTGACGCTTCCATAGTCTGCTGTTTGCACCTCTACTTGGTGAAGCTTGTCGGAAATTTGATTTGCTCTCGGCAAGGATGGTCCGGCAAATGGCAGGCCACATCGAAAAGAAGTGGCAAAGAGCCGACGAGCATGCGGAGAGTGGGCAGGTGTGGGCACCAGCGGGAGAGGAAGTGACAGACGGGAAGGTCGTGACGCAGCCGCAGGAACGCGACTTCACCGAAAAGTACTTTTTGCAGCTGAAATCTCGGTACTTGGATCAGATCTCTTTCGCAGGCTACAGAAAAGTGTTAGCGCACGACGAGAAAACTTCATCTCCTGACGCAGTGCGATAAAGCCGAATGAACGAATAACAGAGCTTCTGCTAAAAGTGCTAAATGCTGAGAATACAGAATGTAAGTCACATAATGAAGCAGTAGCAGGGTGACTTGTTATTGTTTATGAAGCCCAGATGCACGAGCAAGTCCGACACTAGACGACCCTGAAGTCTTTGTATACCTGTCCCCCAATTATGGCAATGGCTTGTAGCGAAGCATGCAGAACTGAACAGGGTGAGAGAAATCGTGCGCATTCCTGTCGTGTCAAAGAAACGCTTGTATCCGCAATCGTAGCATCATGAACATGATGTGTATGCCCATTATATATTCTCACTCTCGTACTAGACTATATCTGCATGTTAATACAGCAACACCAGCGAGCATTCATCGGTGCTTGAGGGAATTGCTAGCGGACTGATCGGTAGTGTTTTTTTTTTCTATCCCAAGGACATCGATGTCCTGTTCAGTTTTGTTTTGAAATTTGTTGCCTTGCAGAAGGCGATCGGTGATTTTCTGTCGTGTAAATGAGCACGTGAAAAGTCGGGTTTTCTGTAACGCGAAGGCGCGACTTATGCTGTTTTTTTCGCTGCAGGTCGGTAATTTTTGTTTTTTCCGTCTTGCCACTGAAAGTGTAGTTTGCGTGACAACATATGTAGCAAGAAATGTGCTGTGGCTATGGCTTCATCTCTACCAACAGGGGACAAAGAGACCGAACTCGGGTAGCACTTAACGAGAACGAGAAGAAAGTCGAGTTACTTGACGAATTTTTTAGAAGTGTTTCCCCACTTCTGTAGTTTCAGTTTCAACATCAGCCTGCACTTTCTATCTCTAAAGAGAAGGTAGCCTTTGTCACCACCTCCGACCCACGCAAAGAAAATACTTCAAGGCGAGAATCCCTCCTCCAACTACCACGACTACTTCTACCCGAGAGCATCCATTTCAAGATTCAACACCGACCACGATCGTGCGTCCATTTCATCAAGATTCCACATTCACAAGATACTAGTTGGTTCTTGTGAAAGTAGGTGTAGCGACCAAGAAAATTAAATCTTCCCTGTGTAGAAGTCGTATCAAATTAAAGCAAGAAAATGTTTCAAAACGCAGTCAGGCGGCAGTTCCGCTTTTCGCGGGTTTTGAACCGACACAGCCCGATTCCGATCCCGGTACAGGCACGACAGATTGCGACCTTTCGAAAGGAGTATGAGGCACACGTAGCGGAGCGCGCTGCCGAGGGCGTTCCACCAACGCCACTCACAGCCACGCAAACAAAGCGAGTCTGCGAGCTGTTGACCGAGAAGACCGGCGAGGATGGTAAGTACGATGCGATCGGTTTGAACGATGATCGTGTAGATTATCACAACTACATTTAGGCAGGACAGATACTTAGATTTGGAGTTGATCTACTTCTCGTCATTTTTATGTGCGCTTTGTATACTGAAACTGATACTGAAACTGATGAGCATACTTCTGTAAAAATGACAAAAAAACTACAGCCGCCTGGTTGAAGGAGCTTTTGACAACCCGCGTCCCGGCCGGCGTGGATGACGCCGCCAAGGAGAAGGCGTTCTTCCTGGACCAGGTGTCGAAGGGCAAGGCCAGCTGCAGCGTGATTTCCAAGGCGGAGGCCACGGAGTATTTGGGCACCATGCTCGGGGGGTTCAACGTGCAGTGCCTGATTGACGCGTTGGACGACGCGGAGCTCGCGCCGATCGCGCAGAAGGCGCTGTCCCACACCCTGTTGGTCTTTGACGCCTTCCACGACGTGGAGGAGAAGGCGAAAAACGGGAACACGTATGCATTGCAAGTATCATGTCCGGGTCTCGAACAATAAACCTGTGATGCTGAGTTGCGCATGATTGCAACGCTTGCAATGGCATCAAGCTGGCATGGCAAGTTTTTGGAACGCAGCTCTAAAATGCCTAGCGCGCATTACAAATTACGTTTTTGCATGCAAAACGAAGTGCAGCTCTTTTGTTGCTCATGCAACTACACAGATTTTGCAGGAATGCCCGACACGCATTACAAGTTCCACTCACTTTCCGGACCCAGACATGTTTGCAATGCATAACACGTTCGCGCAGGCCATCATGGAGTCCTGGGCCGAAGCGGAGTGGTTCCACGCCAAGCCCCCGGTGCCGGAGAAGATCACGTATTACCGTGAAAAATGCCCCCACCCCCAAAGTTACCATAATTTGTGATGCAAAGTTTAAGTTTCCAAATGAAAACTTTTTGTCATGCATGAAAGGAAAAATATGAATCTTTGTGATACCGAGTCTAGGCGTATGTAGCATTGCTTGCATGACAAGCGCCGCTCTTGCTGGGATCTGTTGCAATACAAATCTTCCTCTTCGCTATTCACGATTGGAGATCTGTTTCTGTTCTTGGAAATGTTTGCAATACAAATGCTCCCAAGTTCGGGGGTGGGGGCGTTTTTCATTGTGATATCACGGTCACCGTGTTCAAGGTGACCGGCGAAATATGAATTGCAAAAGCATCGCACTCGTGTAAATGCATTACAAATTTCCTCAGCATGAGAAATAAAATTTGTAATGCAGATTTGCCTTGGGAACAAGATTTGTAATGCAAGATTTGCATTTTTTATACGAGTACGATACTTTTGCACAGGATACGAAACCAACACGGACGACTTGTCCCCCGCCCCGGACGCGTGGTCCCGGCCGGACATCTATCCTGTGCAAAAGTATCGTATTCGTATTGCAATCATGCATTACAAATCTTTCTCTTAAGGTAAATCAGCATTACAAATGTTGTCTCTCATGCTGAGGAAATTTGTAATGCATTTATACGAGAACGAGTACGATACTTTTGCACAGCATAACGTCCCGCTGCACGCCAACGCCATGTTGAAGAACGAGCGGGACGGCATCCACAACGCAAAACAGCAAATCGCCGAACTCGCCGAGAAGGGACACCAAATCGGTATTTATTACCAAAAATGCCACTGCGTGCTGGTCATTCTTGTGTATGAAAAAAATGTCTAAAGGTAAAGACGATGAAGATGTTTGCAATATTGAATGCCCACTTCTTCCTCGAATCTTGATAAATTCGACTTTTCGTGTGAGCTGCTTCACCTCCTGCGAGGTTTTTCTACCTCTTCATCTCGGAGATGATATCATGAAAGAAATAAATCCAACCCAAATCTACAGCGTATGTCGGCGACGTTGTCGGCACGGGTAGTTCGCGAAAATCCGCGACCAACTCCGTGATGTGGTTTATGGGGGATGAAATCCCCTTCATTCCCAACAAGAAGCAGGGCGGCGTGTGCATCGGTGGCGTGATCGCCCCCATCTTTTTCAACACCATGGAAGACTCCGGCTGCTTGCCCATCGAAATGGACGTGCAGAACATGGCCATGGGAGACGTGATCGACATCTTCCCCTATCAGGGCAAAGTCTGCAAGCACGGCACCGACGATGTCATCACCAACTTCGAGCTCAAGACCGAGGTCTTGCTGGACGAAGTGCAGGCTGGAGGTACTTCTATGGCAACACTTTATAAAAAAGCTGGCTACTTTTTGTTACCTTCATCGTTCGTTGTAGAAGCAGCTGTCAACCCAAAAATGATGACCGGATTGATTTCAAAATTCGATGGCGAGATGTAGTCACGTCGGATTACTTCACGTATTTATGCTAATGCTAATCCAAAGCTGGATTGAAAAAAATAAAAAAATTCTAGGCCGCATTCCGTTGATTATCGGTCGTGGGTTGACCCGGCGTGTTATCAAATGCAAAAATGTCTGGGTCTGGAAGATTGGAACTTGTGCTGCATGTTGCGCATCATACCAAAAATCTGTGTTGCGTTACTTGCAAAAGGTGCCCATTTCTTGCTATGCTGAGGGGGTATTTCTCATGCAGAACAGGCATCACAGAGGGGCTGCAGGTCCTGTGATGCTAGGTCCTGCATTCCAGACTTAGTGGAGCTTAGAGAAACTGCATGAGAAATCTCGGAATCTTCCAGACCCAGACATTTTTGCACTTGATACGTGCGCGTGAGTCTTTGGGCAAGCCCCCGAGCGAGGTGTTCCGCCTGCCCGCGGGCGCCGGCCAGACCGCGGACGGCTACACGCTGGCGCAGAAGATTGTGGGCCGGGCTTGCGGGGAGGACGGCATCCTGCCGGGAACCTACTGCGAACCTGCCATGGGCACGGTCGGGAGTCAGGACACCACGGGACCGATGACCCGCGACGAGCTGAAGGACCTGGCGTGCCTGGGCTTCTCCGCAGACTTGGTCATGCAGTCCTTCTGCCACACGGCGGCCTACCCAAAGCCCGTCGATGTCATCACCCACAACACCCTGCCGGACTTCATGCACGGTATATGAAAATTTGTGGTTTATTAGTCAGAATTAAATTTGTGGTTGAGTCAGAGTTTTTGCCTTTGAACATAGGACTAAGAATGTGACGTGCTGGTTGCCCTTCGCCAAAGCGTCGGCGCCGGCATTCTCTGCTAAGTATCGCATCAAAGTTGTTGAAGAAAATCATCATGAAACTCAAAAGCTGCAAATAATACTGAACAGACCGTGGTGGCGTTGCTTTGCGTCCTGGTGACGGCATTATCCACTCCTGGTTGAACCGCATGCTGCTCCCCGACCAAGTGGGTACCGGCGGCGACAGTCACACGCGGTTCCCGCTGGGTATTTCCTTTCCGGCCGGGTCCGGTCTGGTCGCGTTCGCGGCCGCCACCGGCGTGATGCCCCTGGACATGCCGGAGTCCGTGTTGGTCCGGTTCCACGGCAAGATGCAGCCGGGCATCACGCTCCGCGACTTGGTGCACGCCATCCCCTACTACGCCATCCAGCAGGGGCTCCTCACCGTGGAGAAGAAGGGCAAGAAGAACGTGTTCAGCGGCAAGGTGCTGGAGATCGAGGGCCTCCCGGAACTCACGGTCGAACAGGCGTTCGAGTTGTCCGACGCCTCCGCCGAGCGGTCCGCTGCCGGGTGCAGTATCGACCTGAACCGCGACTCGGTCGAGGAGTACTTGTCTTCGAACATCACCATGCTGAAGTGGATGATCTCGGAGGGCTACAACGACGAGCGCACCCTGCGCCGGCGGATCGGCAAGATGGAGGAGTTCCTGAAGGAGGGCACGCCGCTGCTGAAGGCCGACAAAGGCGCCAAGTACCACACCGTCATCGAGATCGACCTCGCAGACGTGAAGGAGCCCGTGCTGTGCTGCCCCAACGATCCGGATGACGCAAAATTGCTGTCCGACGTCGCGGGGACGAAAATTGACGAGGTCTTTATCGGGTCCTGCATGACCAACATCGGCCACTTCCGCGCCGCCGCGGAGGTGCTCAAGACGATGCCAGGTAATTGAACTTTACTTCAATATTGACCACGGCACGAGTTTGCATTGTGATGTAGTAGCGATAATAGCAACACCAGCAACTTGTTAATATAGCGGTACTTGTTTGTGTTTTCGTTTTCGCGACAACACAAGGAGTGAAGATGTTTTGCTTTGTACAGAAGCAACTTCTTTCAACCATAAGCACAACCACTCCACAGCTGGTAGCGCCGTGCCGACTAGGTTGTGGATCGCTCCTCCCACCAAGATGGACGAGGCCCAGCTGATTCAGGAGGGACACTACTCGACCTTCGGCACCGCGGGGGCGCGGCTGGAGATGCCGGGGTGCAGTTTGTGCATGGGGAACCAGGCGCGAATCGCCGAGAAGTCCACCGCCGTTTCCATATCAAATGCAAAAGTGTCTGGGTCTGGAAGGTTGGAGCGTGTGATGCGCATTTCGAAACACAGAAAAATCTCTCACGCATCGGCAGCAAAAGTTGCCCACTTTCTGTCACCAAATAAATGGGGGACTTGTCATGCGGATTCAGCATTGTGGAAGCTTCTCGAGACCTGTGATGCTAGAGCTTCCACCAGACCTTCTGCGTCATGCAAAAACAGCATGACCTTCCAGACCCAGACACTTTTGCTTTTGATATTCCACCTCCACACGCAACTTCCCCAACCGATTAGGCAAGGGCACCAACGTCTTCCTCAGTTCCGCAGAGGTAAGTTGACCTTTAAGTATGAAGAACTTGTTTGGCGTTTGCGCATGCGCTCAGCGCTCTGCCTCTCAATTATATTACTCTGATATACTTATGATTGTGTTTACCTTTACTCTACGTGTCCGAACGTGTACTAATCTGCATTTGCACGTGACCACATGACCGTCGCGGCCAAAAATGCGGCAACATCGAAAGTTTCATTTATGTACCCATCGATCTCTCTATCACTATCAGGTCGCCGCGGTGAGTTCCATCTTGGGTAAGTTGCCCACGCCCGCAGAGTACATGGAGTATGCCCAGAAGTTTGACACCAACAAATCTTCCATCTACCGCTACCTGAACTTCCACCAGATGGAGAATTTCCAGAAGGCGGCTGGCAGTGTGTAACAGCACTAGCTGAAAGTAGATCCACAGCTACCACGACCAGATATGAAGAGAATAACACCATTTCAAGGGCGCTTCTTCACTACAATGGAAAATCTGCGAAGCGAAAACGACGTAAAATAAATTCGGAATGCTACAGGGCATTAGAAGCAACCGTACATCCTGCCTTATGCATGGCGGAACAATACGCAAATCCAAATTGACTTATCAGTATCAACAACTCAGACAGATTCTTCACGTTTTGGCTTGCGCCGACTCATCTCGTACGCGAATGTCGTCGAAGCAGGCGTGTTTTTCGTTCTTGTTTGAATCATTTAGGTACAACAGCGCGAGCGCCGTAGTTTGGGTATCATTAGGAAGGATAATTACGCTTATCATGATCATCATCATCCTTTGAATAGTAAGTACATCATCATCATCATCAACAGCACCGTCGCTTATCGTGAGAGTTACTTCGAGAGTTTTTAACTCAGAAAAATAGCAGTGGTTTCTTCAATCACGAAGCCGATTGACTGGATAGGATAACGAATAAATTCAAAGTCAACAAAATCTGTAATGCTAAACTAGATAGACCAACTTCACAAAGGATCAGCAGCAAAGATCAAAAAAAAATTTTGCTTGGCTTTCAGCCTGCGAAGAATCGGAAGCGCCTAGAATCTTAGGGATTTAGGGCTTAGGAAATTCTTGCAGTCGATGAGAGCAGGCAAAGGGCAGCGAACGCAAAAGCAGAAGAAAAGCAACAAAAGGCGAAAGGCTTCGAGCCGTTTGGATCAGCTAGGCGAAGCGTATGGCTATGGCTAGCGTACAAAGCTCCAGGGCCTAGGGTCGTGAAGTTTGTAGCGCCGCACCGAATCGCCGCGATAGCGATCAAACAAGGGCCAGGCCGCGCAGGCTAGTCGATTGACAGAGTTAAGGCAGCGCGAAGAGCATCCAGCAGGCTAACGCCGTGGCCGATGGGCGTGCAGCGTACTGAAGCGGCGAGCAGCTCGAAAGAGTGCCAGCAGCTTAGTGGCGTGCAGCAACATCGCGCACGGGCGAAAGCTGTTGAAATCGCAAGCGCTCCGAGCTTAGTGCGTGCGTGTTGTGAGAAATCACGAACAGCAGCGACAGGCGGGAAGCTTTGGCGATGTGCCTAGTAGCGTGATAGGGTTGCTTCAGAAATTCACCAGACACCCACGAGGGGACTGACTTCAACTAATCAGGCGGCTTTTATTAGATTTGGCACAGTTGAATCGCTGCAAGTGAAGAGCGTTTTAAGCAGGATTAACACAGCCGCAGGAAAGGAGCCCATCCAAGAGATCTAGGGGCGCCAGGGCTCAGCAAGTTTCAGAGTAATTAAAGGGGCCGAGTTATTTCGTAGCCCGCTTGCACTTTCCTGCAATAAAAGAATGAAGCGCGCAGAAAAAATCTGAAGAAACTCAAAAAGCAAAAATGACTGCAGTAGCCGCATGAGATAGATAGAAGCAGCCTCGTAGGATGTGTTTCGGTTCTAGTCGTTTGGTAAATTTCGAACGAATTCCGAAACGCCTTAGGCGGGATATGTCAGCACTGTGGCAGCATGTGGCTGAATATGGTCAAGCCGTCTCGGAATTGATCGGAAAACCGCCAGAAGACTGCAGCTGAAGCATAGCAAGACAGATAGAGAGCACTGAAAAAGGCAGCCACGCGAGCAAATTGGCCACATTCGCAAAGCAGGAGCCGCGAAATTCAGGCAAAGGCATCGAGCCAAATCGCTAGAATCGCTCACAGCATCGATTTAGCTGGATTAGGTTGGGCAGTTTGCTGAATTTCGAACGCCAGGAAATTTGAAAACCACACGAAGCGAATCGCAGTAGCCCAGTAGCCTTGAACGATTAAGATCACGACATAGGCGGGATGTTTGGATCGGTAAAATCCCCAATCCTACTAATGTCGTGGATCCAAATCGTGCAAGAACTCATGAGGATCATAGGCCTACGAAACAGGTAGGGAGATCATGCAAAGTAGCTAGGTTCATAGAAAATCATAAATGTATAGGGCACCAGATAGGGAAATAGATGCACACCATTCACAGGAAAACCTGACTGAACACACTAGACAGGGCCAAGATGGCTATTTGTTACCGAATAGAGATTAGCAATGCACGTCGTGCCATCGTAGCTAGATGCACTCCGCTCATGGAGACTAGACGTGGAGCACGCCCTGTGTTCTCTCGAGTACGATCCAACGACCACTGCCAGACAGGATTGGGACTATTTCCCAACAGCTCGACACACAGTTCCAACTTGAAGCGCTTGCTTTTAACGTTCCTAGACCACACCTTTAAACACCTTCTGCCTGTCATAGCTAGTACGAAGCTCAGCAAAAACCACCCTAATCGACACAAGCTACACCGGCAAGCACTTAGAGGACCACACTGTGAGCACAGTTGTGTAAGTAGCCTTCATCTTTCTTTGCACTGACGAGTACGTCTTCGATTCCACCAACATAGAGTTTGTTATATTACTTACAATCACAACCTACTCCTACACCTAGTAGTACCCGTATTTCTGATCGAAATTAGACGCACTCAAAACTACCTGTTAATTTTTCCTACTATTTCCTCCGTCCTTGTCTACAACGAAAAGCGAAGAAATTGACTCCGAGGTTGTTCTCGTCGTGCAGTATAGTAAATTTCTACCCGAAACAAAAATGGCCCCGTCTGTATTTACGAAGTTGGCAGCCGCTGGCGCCGTTGCCGGCAGCTCGGTGCTTTTCTCCTCGTTGCTGAACCTGACGTCGACTGAAGTGAGCCTCGTTTCGGCGGTGCGGGTTCAAGCGTCTTCTTCGGCGGAGTCGCGTGGTCGGTCCGCCTCGCCGGATCAGAAGGGTGGTCCTTTCGCGGTTACCCTCGCCGGTCCACCTCGTCCACCTCGCTGGGCAGGAGTTCCTAAAACTCCAACTCCGGTTGTCACAAAGGAAGTATCCTGTGCAAAATAAATATCGCACTCGTACTATTGCAATCATGCATTACAAATTTTTTTCTAAAAGTAAATCCGCATTACCACCTCATGCTGGGGAAATTTGCAATGCATTTCTTCGAGTGCGATACTTTTGCAATGGATAGGAAGTACTAAACGATGCCGAGCGGCGGCTGCGACGCCGGATTGAAGAAAATCTAGAGCGAATATGCCAGCTGAAGGGAAAAGCGCGGGAACTGGAACGCAAGGTGAAGGAGCGGAACCCGACACGGGGCAAAAAAAAAGGCCAGCTGATTGCTGGTATGGGGGCGTCGCCCGCGGTCTGCGGTGGCCTAAACACCCTTGCCGCGACAACTGTGCATAGTTACCCTACCCCCGTTGCAAGCACCTGCTTTGGCGGTTGTGCCGTTGGGGGGGCCGCTGCGGTTGTTGTGGGCTGCGGAATGGGTATTGTATATGGGGCGCAGGAGTTTCGGTGGAGCCGTCAAGGGCAAAGACTCTATCAAAATGAAAAATCCCCCCTCCCCATATCGAAACGAAGTTTCTGATGCTGGATTTCCGTACACAAATCACATTTGTCTTGCAATAGAGGACTGCAGGCATATGCCAAGCCTCAGTCGAGAGGTTTTGACGTAGGTGCCTAGCATGACAAACGTGTATGCTCTAAGCCCAACAGCATCACAAACCGCCTGCAAAATGCGGGGCGCTCTCTGGACTTGCCTTCTTGCAAGACCNATTCAACCACCTGCTGTGGGGTTCTGAGGGGTCTTGCCCTGTTTGGCAAGGTGGTGGTGAGGCGTGCTGGGCCTCGGTTTTGGGAGGTAGGCCCAGGACGCTTTACCCAGCCCCAACGGCGCGGTCCAACGGGCCGCTCGGGTTTAGGGATACCACATGGAAGGAACGAAACGAAATCAGAAAAATAGCAGTGGTTTCTTCAATCACGAAGCCGATTGACTGGATAGGATAACGAACAGAACGGTAGTGATTTTTTATGTTAATGTTTACGCGTTTCAGATTGCGCACGATTTTGTTTTTGACCTCATCTTCCGTTGTTGGTTATTCCCTCTGACTACCAAGAAAAAGTACTATTTAGCACCTTGATTGTTTTATTTACGATTGCATACCAGGATAACGTAACCTGTACATAGATATATCTCACTCGTAGTTCCACCTACGTTTTTTATAAAGCCTTGTAAACATAGACGATCTACATCAAAAATGTCCGTGACACTACATGTACCATTCGAATCGCATATAGATCGCACAAAAAGCGCACCAGCAGCACCATCAATCTTCCGCGACCTCCGGCGCCACACGACACACGATAATATTGCCAAAATCGTCGAAGCACCGCTGACCACGTAACTAACGACCAGCAGCAGCACGAGACCCACTTCTACGATTATTTCTAGGAGTACTAGTAGATACGTAGTTGACGCGAAGCATCGTGTTTGTTGTAGACAGCAAGAAAGAAAAGGCAGCGTGGTAAAAAAACAAATGTAGCTGCTTGGGGGTCTGCAATCAAGTTCAAGCGACACGTTGGGACTCGCATAGATATCAAAGATTGGATGTCACTTGTTTCCTCGTATGATTTTTTCCTCTGTACAACCTGTTTCGAACCGAGAAAACAAAAAATCACACACAATTTTTACGCAGCAAGCTCCTGCGCGAGTGCGTGGGTGCAGCTTCAAACGGCGAGGTAAATCGCGGCTCTGGAATTTCTACTCGCGGTGTTCGTTGTACCTATTAATTTGATCCGACCCAAATCTCGATTGAGACGATGAAACGAGAAGGAGGAGAAAAACCTATAACATCGGTCGTGTTTCCTGTGTTGCTGCTTTTGATGAAGACAAGATCATATCCGCTTTTCGGTCCAGATTCATCCAGGGATATGGTAGGTCGTGTACAACAGACCCACGTTACTTAGGAGAAATGATTAACAAGGATCATGTTGTTGTTGAACGGTCGCAATAATCGGTTAAAATCTGCTCCAGCAGCGAAAAATGAAGAACCCAACCCGCCCAGTTACTCCTTATATTTTCCTCTGTAACGAGGTCTAATCGGTGTAGAAATACAAGTACGTTGTACATGATTTATTACTTCTGTTTCTCGCTAGAGCTAGAGAGACAGTTTTGCAATACGTAAGCAGGCCTCTCGGTCTTCTCGCTCTACGACACGGTGTTGATGAGTCATCAACTACAGCTGCAGTCACTGCTACAGGCTGCTTAGCGAAATTGTGCTTGAGAGGCCCTACTAGGTAGTTCAAGCCGTCCTGCTGCAAGGCACGTCTGTGAAGATGCGGCCACACTTGACATGATTATTTGAAATGAATCCTTTCGATTTTTGCTAGTACCATTGCATCATTTTCACACTCTGAACAGGAACTCCTTTAATACTTCAACGTTGGCTTATTTCTCTGTTCCAAAGTGAACTGCGAGAGGACCAGTCGCACATCTTCATGGCGATGAACATCAAGTAGATCCACCTTTTGTCTCTGTTGCACATATTTGTAGTGCTCTTGTCTAGCGAACAAGCGTCCCCGGCGCAGCGCCGCTTCCTCCGTTCGATTCGCCGCCCCGACCGGCAGCCAGCATGGATGACCTGGAGCTACCAGAGGACCCTGCGGGGACAACACGCATGGGTGCTGCCGCTACTTCTCCGGACGTGCTCCGACTCGCTGGTCCGCGCATGGTGGTGGCGTTTCCGCGTGCTAGCGGCGAGGATCTCCACATCGTCGTCGATGAGGTGCTTTGGGAGTCTTTGACCGTTGCGAAGGCAAAAACGCTCGTCGCGGAGGCGCTGACGGCCGAGAAGCCGGACTACGGACGGCTACCCGAGTCTCTGGTGTATTTCCTGCCGATTAATAGCGACGGGGGGGAGCACGAGCAAAGTGAAAGTGGCATGAAGCCGGCTGACAGTGATGGACAAGTGGAACGTCCGCTGGAGTCTTCCGATGTGTGCTCCACACATACTCGAGGTTGGGAAACAAGCAGCGACGATGCGTCCTCTGTGTGGCACTTCGAAATGGAGGAGCAACACATCAACCGAGATGGATGCCAAGAGCAAGGAGCACGTGAGGAAGACAAAAATGCTCCTCACAACCTGCTAAGAACAGATGATCAAGCAACAAAAGAGAACGATCAAAATGTCAGCACTACAAGCAAGGACCATAGAAAGATATCTCAGGCCGCCAGGTCGTCCTCAGGGTCGGAATCGGACACTAATCGGGTTCTCACTCCAGAGGAAGAGGCCTGTAAGCTGTTGAGCGAATTCGTCAGCGACGATCCGATGGAGGAGCACAAACAATGGTTTGACCCGAAACAATTTTACGGTCTCTCGCCAGACAGATACTTCTGGGGCTCTGGCGTTGCGCCGATGTCGTTCGAAATATCAAATAGAAGACGACTTGATATGGACGATGCGTCCATGGGTGGGCAGCACTACAGAGTTCTAGCACAGCCGCGACGTAGACCTTCATTTCCTGGGGTCCTGATCGATGAAGATCGGAACGACAGTGGAGGTCAACATGGTTGCGATGTTATTGAAGATGTGCCCAGCGCCAGGTCTTGGTTGAAACCCGAAGGCACTCCTCTCATCAAGGGCGCAACTCTTGATCTTCACAGTCGTGACCTCCATATAGCGTCTCTTCAACCGACGTCGGTACTAGAACATGGAACTACGCACAACAACCCAGGAGACGATGAGGAAGCGTTTCTCTCTGGAGCAGAGAACGCGAGTTGCGCTGCCACATTAAACATCCATTCGGAGGATCACCTGAACCTAATTTCCGTTGGTGGCTGCAGTTCAAGTGCGTTGCAGCTCGCACAGGGTCGTGAGGGAACATCGTTAATAACCAAAGGCGACACCGTGCTGCCCAGCTCAAGCAGCACTCTTGATTTGGGAAGTACAGGCGAGCGCGCCTTTCACGAACTGAGGGACGAGTTAGAAGGCAACAAACGAGCGCTGCCGGGACCTTTACAGCGCGGAATAGGTCCTACACGTACCCAGCAGGATTTTTTCGCGGAAGAAAACTATTTCCAAGATGAAGCTGCCGGGCTTACTTTCCAAGAACGAGGCATGGCACAGCACCAACGAAGACGGATGGAAAATAACGGCCTCCGCGGACGAGAGGATCACGAGGACTGTGTTGTTGAAGTGCGCAGCTGCCCCGCTAGTCCGACCGGGGTTGCGGTTTTTCCGAGATCAAGAAAAGATCACAAGCGGAAAATTGCAGGAAGTGCGGCCCTTGTAGAATCAAATAGCACAACTCAAATAGCTCAGCTGGACATCAGCGGTGGCAGTCTTCTGTCGCAGTCGCACGGTATCGGTACGACGTTTGGCAAGACGAAAAGCTACGCCAGCCTGGAAGATTTTAAAAATGTCACGGCTGCGGTGACAGTGACAGATTCTTTTCGACATCAAAGCCCTCCTCCATACGAGGACTCCACTCGAACAGCAGGTACTACCTCTACCGCCCCCGACATCAAATTGACAAAGCAACGCCTTGTGCGATTTTTGGAGCGCGGGCAGAAGCGAGTGCGCGTCAACCTGATGATCATAGTTGCCAACGTTAGCGGTCAACTCGATCATGTTGCCCTTGTGGCCCAGCATCAGTCTGCAGTTGCTACACCTTCACGAGACGATGAATTTCTGTCGGGCGTCGCAACTGCTGGCAGCAGAAGTCAGCTGCATCAACATCTTGCTGCAAATGAGCAATATGGGACCACGTCACATTCACAGGGCCACACTAAAAATGTTGGCCATGCTTCACTTGCTTCGAAAACCCCGTCTCGTCGAGCATCGCCTGAGCGCGAGGCACAGCGGTTATTGTGGTTTTGTCTGCGGGAGGAAGCGACAAAGGACTCGCTGGCCGACTGTCGCAGTGTGGTTTACCACATGGGTCCGGAGCTGTTCGATTCCTCCCTCGACCTTTTCCACGAGCTGGTAGGGCGCTTCGAAGAAGAGTTACTTGGGTCGCCACGCGTCGCGCAGCTTTTCCACAACACTGAGGAGGACGAGGCAGCTAATAATATCTCTACAGATCCACCATCGATATTGCAGGCGGATGTAAATAATCGAGATGGGGACGAGGGGCTGCACAGCAGCGTAGTTCCTCCATCGGCGATTGATGTCCGGAAAGCCTTCACCTATCGCCCGCTGCGCTACACGCACGTGGTGAACATCTTCATAGCGCTGTTCGACGCCTGTCCGGTCAAAATGTCGTATGCAAGATACCAGCAGAAGTACTGCGACTTTTTTTCCAAATTTCAGTACTATTTCGGAAACCTCGAAGAGCATCAAGGCGACGAAGCCGGAGGTGCTGCAATTGCAATTGGAGGCGGTGCAGGCAACGACCATGTTGGCCAACATCATGAGCGCGGTGCGAATCAAGTACATGTACAATTGCGGGGTGCTGAAGCTCCGCAACAGCGAGAGCACGGTGAAGTAGAAGGAGCCCGCCGCCGCGTCGGTCGTCCTATAGTGGCCGAAAATGTTGATCTCGAAGATGCCGACGCTGGGGATCATGCTCGCGCCGGCCGGTTTGGACAACATGCTGTAGTACGCGAACAGCAGATCATACAGCCTGCGGTAGGAAATAATGGCGTGTTGCCTCCAATTCCACTAAACATGATACCCGGGCGCGTCGGCGCGGATCGGGGTGCGAATGCAGCTCCGCGTCAGCAACACGTGGTAAACCAGAACGCGAACGTGCTAACCAACATTGCGAACGAGAACTTTGCCAATGCCCGGGCGTACGTCGTGCGCTTGTTATCCCTGGGTTCCGCCTGCGGAGGAGGAGCAGTAGTCCCCTCGCCGGTTATACGCGGGAGCAGGAGCACAGCAGGTGGTGGTGGAGGTGGAGCGGCAATAATACACCAAAATATTATCATGCCCAGCTGGAGCACGCCGTTTTCCCACCAACTTGTTCCAAAGCGGCTTTTCGACTTCATCTTCAACAACCACGCCAAGTGCACGTCGGTGACGCATGCCAGCACAAACTTGCTGTACCTCGCGGTGGCACAGAGGGACAGCGCGCTTGTCGATCTGCTGCTGCACCACCCGCTTTTCACGCAGGACTTGTTTGACCAGCCCAACCAGTGGTGCTGCGGGCACGTGCTGCACTTTGCGGCCAGCATCGGGGAGGTGGGGATCGCGCAGCAGCTGTTGGCGTCGCGGTTCATGACGCGCGCGCGGTTCCTGGGCGACAAGCAGGCCTCCACCCGGGGCAACATTCTGCGCTGCGCGCTCAGCTCGAAGAATCTGGCCATGGTGCGGCTGATCCTCGATCACCCCCTGACGGATTCCGAAGTGTTTTGCCAGCGACACATCCCCTACTACCGCAACCTGCTGTTCTACGCCGCCAGTCTGGGGGACGCGGAAATTTTCAGGACCATGGTGGAGTCCGAGTTCACCACCCTGGCACTGCTGCAGCAGGAAAATCGCTCCATGCACGGGACCCTGGTTGAATACGTCGCCAAGGCACGGGAAAACTCCGATCTGGGAGGACCCCAAGCGGCCGAGCTCGTGGAGAAACGAAAGAGACAGCTACAACATCGTGATAATATCCTCGTTGACGCAAAAAATTTTCCAGCATAGGGAAGTAAGAAACAGAAAGTAGAAAACTTCGACCCAGGCCACGGAGCCTCCATCGAGACACGACCTGTAATGTGCAACTAGTACCCAGTAATTTCTGCGGCCTGGAGACGTAGAAAGTCTTTTCATGAAACGCAACGGCGCAACATTCGCGATCTTGGAAGTGCATTGTGGTTGCCAGTGTGGTCGGTAAAAAATGAGAAACTTGTTCTTGTGACGCTGAAATGAAACAGATAAAGGATCACCCAAAATGTTCGTTGCTTTGCTGAGTGTCAAAGGCGAAGAGCCTCCCAAATTCAATAGCAGTTTTCGACGAGCTACGTCTATGTAAACAAAGTATAATCGTTCAAACAAGCAGCGCTGTAAGCGCGACAAATTGTTTATAGCAATTGCATTTCAACAACAGTACCCGAACACGACCATGATCATACGAGCGAGCAGAAGACAGAAGACGGTTGCCAGTGTCGGTAGAAAATGAGAAACGTGTTCTTGTGACGCTGAAATGAAACAGAGCAAGGATCACCCAAAAAACCTCAACTGAAGACAAATACTCTTCACCTAGCTACCACGATCTCCAAATGTAAGTTGTAGGCTCCTCGAGGCTCGCTTTATGTATTCGGATTCAGTTTAATATGAAAAAGAATTATTTGCATTGCTACATTGCGGTCTTGATGGCGGCGCTTTGACGCAAAATGTCGCTGAGTAGCTGAAAAATCGTCCTAGTGAAATCCAGGATGACCAAAATGTTTATACAGTTTGAACAGTGCACCGGGCTTCTATCATACCTAATGCTACTTTTCTTTACTTTGTGCATCAACATCACGTAGACTTGAACTCTCAACAAAATAAACCTGACAACTTTGTTTTCCAAAAATTAATCGTGACCACGGTGCCAAGAAGCAACGCTATAACATTTCTCATCCTTAACCTTAACCTTAGCGCGCATCTTTACATTCTGGCGCTTAGTAGAAGTACAAAGATCCTCATCCTTCTTTATTTCCTTTTCCTCCGTACTAACCAGCATTATTTTGGTCGAAGGAGGTCCTGCACCTGTTGAATTTTAACCTGTAGATATTGTGGCAAGTAGAGGAACTTAACACCACTACAGCCAGCTACGGCAACAACGATAAACCGCACACCACTACAACGCCAGATTCGTTTATTTGAGCCAAGACCTGGCAGGCTACCACATCGGTTTATTTTTATTTATCGCAGTTCGTATAATTGTCTTGAAGATGACCAGAAAGAACTACACTCTAAGCTGCTGGTCGCCAGGGCTGGTGGCCCGCACTATGTTCGTCTTCACGATCGAAGTTTTGAGTGTCCTAAGCGTTCTATCTTCGCGTGCGGCGCCGGCCCTCTCGAGTGCTGGAGCGGCGTCGAAGTCGAGCCATGTTGAGGTGCCGCAGATAAAGAACGTGTACTTCTACAAAACGAAGCTGGAAGAATACGAGGAGGGCGCGCAGCTAATCGAAAAGCTCAAGACTCTCGACATGGCGCTCCATCTTTCGCCGTTTCGGTACCGCACCGGCATTCAGCAGAAAAAAGACGGTCGTGCAAAGTCGCAGAACGAAAAGTGGTACGCTTCCCGCGCAAATGGTTGCTATCGTTACATCTGGAAAGCGCAAACCGTTACAGTGCTGCCCGCTGACGCTGCGGAAGGTGGAGGTACTACGCCAACCAGTGTCGTGGTCACGCTGTGGTTTCTTGTGGAGCTCTTGTTGGATGGGCACCACTACGACCACATCACCGGCAGCGCGGAAAGGCGCTGGAAACTGGCGCTACCCCAGGCACTTACGGAAGTCCTTGAAATGCAACAGCAGGAGCCCCAGTCGCTGAAGGGTCTTGCGCTTGCAATTCGCGAAGTCAGTGGGTTTACTCTGTTTGACGGGCAGGAGCAGGTGGCGCGCCAGGTAGCACCAGAGCAACCGACAAGCAGTGCTGGCAAGCACCGCGAAGACCAGAAGCACCGAAGCAAACAAGGTGAACAAGCGATGCTCTCGCGGTCGTGGCACCGCCAGAATCCGGTCATCCAGGAAAATGAGGTCCAGATTCTCAGCCGGCACTTGGCTATTGAGGCGGACCGTGCGTTTCAAGAAGCTGCTATGGGACCAGAGGCAACAGGGGCGGGCTTGGGCGCCGTGTCGCAAAGCGACATACCTTTACGCGACCGCATCACCTTCATCAGTGGCCCCCCTGGAAGCGGCAAGAGTGTGCAGCTGCTTGCGCTCTTGTTGAAAATCCAGGCAGAAGTACCGAAGGCCGTGGGCGAGGGCGGGGTGGTGCTGCAATATCACACTCAGAGCGAGAGGCTCCGGAACGACGTCACGAAGCGGCTGCGGCAGCACTACGCTGTAGCAGCCGACGAACCTGCCTCGTCGGGCGGCTCGTCTGACAATGAGCAGAAGGTAGACAGAACAACATCGAGAGAAGCCATGCTACCCCAAGCTACCGGAATCTCAGTACAAGCCGGGCCGCTGAAATTGTCGGAGTTATCAACGGAGCAGAAGAAGCAACTACTTGCGGCGGTGGAGCAACAGCCTCTCCACGGACGCTACTTGGGCGCGGAGGAATACAGGAAAAATTGGGGGAGCGAGGGCCTCCTGGATTTGTATCAGATGGCCGCCGCCATCTGTTCTGATCTCGACCTCTTCATCGCGCAAGGCGGGCTCCGCAATCAGAAAGAGTGCAGAGAGCGCATCAAGACTCGCTTCTCTCGGAAGATTAACGACATGGCTGCGCATCTCGGTGGCGACTTCGCCTCGCATGTGGCAGGCGCATTTCTTTCTTGGGCCGCAGACTCTGCACAATTGATAGCGGACACACCAGGTCCCTTTACAAAATGGGAGAATGACTACGAAAATGAGTTCGCGTCGAAGCTCAGATTCATTGGTGGCTCCAAAAAAGCTGGAAAAATCAGCCGGGGTTACCTGGCGGTGGACGAAGCGCAGAACCTGTCGCCGATGGCCCTGGCGTTCTACCTAAAGCTGGCCAAGAAAAGCCCCAGAATCCACCTCGTTTTCGCGTTCGACAGGAATCAGCAGCTTCTGGGCGGTTTGAACGACAAGCGCCGGTTCGTGAGGGGGCTGGTGGATGCCGCAGAGGATCCCGCTGCGAGAGGCGGCGCGCCGCAAATTCGGGAAACAGCGCTTCCGGAAATCTGGCGCTCACCGCCACGCCTCGTGCCGGTTCTTCAGCGAATTGCCAACCTGCGCGAGGAAGCTTTGACGCGTTCCGGCGGTGCGGGCCAAAGCAGAAAGGAGGAGCTTCGTAGTGCGTACAAAGAGCGCGAACAAGCCGAGGATGGGGGCAGTGCGGACGGCGAAGGCGCTGTGGTGGTGGCGCTCAAGTTGAACAAGGGGACCTCCAGTTTTGCCGAAATCAGAAACCAGTTTGAAGATGCCGCGGTCGTGAAGCCGGCCGACAGTGGCGGCATCTGGATCGCGCACCGCCGCGGAAGGGGCACACTGGCGCGGACTATTCGGCAGAACAAGAGGAGAACCACGACGCGCCAGAAAACGGAGATTGTGAAAAGCAACAGGGGGCGGCCGGTAAGAAAAGCAGCAAAGAGGCGGAAGACGCCGGCCTTGCCGACAAGCAACAGCAAGAACGCCCTGCTGCGTTTTGTTAGCAGCGCGCCCCCGCAGGCCGGCTCCAGCAGTATTGAGGTTGACACACTCGACAGTATGCCCTGGGTTTATCTCGATGAAGACAGGGCGAAAGCGTGGGACAGCGATGCGACCAGCCTCTCGGCCCTGCAGGCACAAGGCCAAGAGTGGCCCGTCGTCGTTGTCGCGGACCCACATGAATTCCTGAGTGGTCGTGGTGCCGACCCGGTCGCGGTGCGCCGGCGTGTGGACGGTCTCGCCAAGCTTTTTGTCGCAATTTCACGGGCGACAGCGCGTTCTCATATTGACGAAAGACGCGGACCGCCTGCGGAAAGCTCTCTCCGTGGGGCCGCACTTCGCGGTAGCGACCGGGGCTGCGCAGCTCAGAGAGATTTTGAAGAAGGCCCGGCGCAGCGCCCGCACTTGGGTAAGTTCCTTCGCCGAGTATTTGGCCAACGAGCAAACGCAGGAGCAGGCAAAAGCCAGCTTTGTGAAGCACCTATTCGAAGGCGAAGGTGGCCGCGCAAAGGAGCGCCCCGCGCATTGGGACAGGAAGTTCCGCGCGCTTGGCGACAGGTCTCTTGACTGCATTGCCGCGAGGATGCTGCGTGACAAAGCTCTTTGGCATTCACAGGAGGCCGCGCGGTCGCAAGAGGCCGCGTGGAAGGTGTTTCGCGATTTAGTAGCCGAGCAGGACGAGGTAAAGCGCCGAGAAGACGAATCCTGGTCCTGGATTGCGGAAGCGGGGGAGGCGGCAGACTTTGTCGGGCTGCAGCGTGATGAGACTTTCAAGCAGAGCAACCTGGCGAGCGAGGAGCATGATGGCGAAGGTGATGGGGTCGTCCGGCCTGATCTTGCATCCGGGCCACCCGGCGGGCAAGGTCCTGGCGGCGGAAACACGGGCGACGAGGCGGGCGCGCATCGTGAAACGGCGCCTGGGAATTTCCTGCCAGGGCAAATGGTCCTTGTTTACGGGCTCAAATCAAGACCGGAGCTCAATGGCAAAGAAGGGCGCTTGGAGACCTTCCTACCCAAACAAGGGCGGTGGCAGGTACGCCTAAGCTCCGCAGCTACGGGGCAGGCGCCGATACTGTTAAAGCCCGAAAACATAAGAGCGAAGTTCCGGTTGCCAGGGCAAAGAGTCCGCATCTCTGGGCTCGTATCAAAACCGGAGCTCAATGGCGAAGAAGGGCGCTTGGGAGATGTGCGTCTAACCTCTTCCGGAGAACGGCGGTGGGAGGTGCGTATAACCCCCGCAGCTAGGGGGCAGGGGCTGGTACTAAGGCCCGAAAACATAAGCGTGGTGTCTGTTTCCGATCCGGAAGTTCCAGCGGCGCACGCGCACTGCACGTGGGTGCGTGAGTTTTTCGCTCAGGCGCTAGAGCTTCAGAAAACTTGGAGCGGGACCAAGAAAGAGTTGAAGGCGGAAAACGTCGAACGCATTCTTTTTCTCCTCGAGCTTGTTTTCCGCCTCCTCATAGAAGCGCATCAGGCCGATGGCTACGTTACGTTCGACTACGAGACGGCGCCTTTGCAGCCACGGACCGGAGTAGACAGGCCAAAGAGAAAGAGAAAGTGCTTCCCTCGAGCGGCACACGCTCCGAATGAAACTGGCGGGGATATAGAGCTGCGGAGCGAGCAAGCGAGGAAAAAAGCAAAGGAAAGGGGGTGCCAAACCTGTGCTGTTAAAGATAGCATGCAGCAACGGTATACGCAGCAGTACGATGGTTCGACCCTCGATGGTGACATGGCGTCCCGGGTAGGTGATTTGAAAATAGCAACGCAAGCTGCGCTTCGAAAATGGAGGAAAAGCGGGGAGCACGACCCAGATGATATAGACGAGTTGCTACGGGAGTATGTTGCTGAAGAATTTCAGCGACTTCGCGAGATTGCGATTTTGGAAATGGCGCACCTGAACGACCCTCGTCACTCCGAAGCCTACCCGCTGGGGGCCTCGGGGCCCATACAAGCGGTTCGCCTCTTCGATCTTGAAGGTTCTCCAGAGCTGAATGGGAAGAAAGGGCTCTTGGGGAGCCTCAAGGCACAAAAAGGGCAGTGGGTGGTGGAATGGATTTCCGAACACGGTCGTAAGTTCGAAGAATTGGCCCAGCCCAAGAATATCAAAATCTGCGGAGCCGCCGGGCCTGCTGAGAATGAACCCGAAACTCCGGACGTTGGGCTTGGAAGAGGCATCATCTAACTGCACTGGGGGGGAGCGTGCAAAGGGTTGGGACCTCCTGGCTCGAGTTCAAAGCATTTCACATTTGTATTGAAAGCGAACTTAAAATTTGTATTGTGGCTGGTGGCAAACTTAATTTATATTTATATTTGTGTGTTTTGTGGTTGGCGTTGGTGGCAAACTTAAATTTGTATTGAAGGCGATCTTCATCGTCGCTTCCATATCCATTCTGCTTTGGAACATGTAAGATGCCCTTTTTTGAAGGAAATTCTCATTCGCTACTCTAGGTTTTTTCAGGCAGGCTTGTGCGTTTTTTGACAATGCAATCAAATTTCTGTGAAATTCACTTATGCTGCTCAAGATACTTTCGTAGCGTTGACTTCAGGTAAGGGCCGAGGATTGAGCTAAGATTTCTTTTGCTTCTCCGACTAAAAGCGCATATCTACACGCTACAAAATTTCTTTCAATTACTGAAGTGATCGTGAGCCGCCTGACTTTAGTTTAAGTGGTCTGAAATCGAAAAAGGATCTTGGGAAAGAAAAATGAGTTTTACAACATTTATATCGAAATCCAGAACCTGTACCTAATTGCTTTTTGTCGCTCTAGCTCTGTTTTGAATAAATCTACTTCCCAGTGTGGCTCTTCGCAGCAAAGTCTTCTCGCCCACAGCTCCACCCCAGGTGCTCGGAGCGTAGTTTTAGGTTTCCATAGTCTGCAAAAAGTTTCTTTCAGTTATCTCTATCTCATCTGTGAGCTCCTGACAAACGCACGGCTGTTTTGCGGCCGACGTGGTGGTTAGGGTAGGTTGCTTGACTACTGCGCTGAGCCTGGCCTGCGTATCTCAAATCAAAAAGCAAAATCTTCATGTATCTATAAATAGTTTAAGAATTTATAGTAATAGTTATTACCGAAGAAACTTTCGGGATTTTGAACGAACGAATTACGAAGAGCTGCAATGAACCGATGGCACCACGACAAAACGCATGGGTGCTCGGAACACTGAGTCTGAAGATGTGAATTTATTTAGGTCGTATTATGCAAGACAGGCAGTATTTTGAAAGACAAAGACGAGAAGAGCCAAACGTATAAAGGTATCCAGGAAGATAGGCTTTGATCATGGCTTTCGGTTTTGATGCTCAACGCACAGCTATCGAATCGCTCACAAACTCAGACGCGCAACCAGCACTATTAGCACGCAAAAAACACGGAAGACTGATGCCACGGGCACCATCGAGCTGCATTACAAACATTTCGCTATCACCCAGAAGGGAGGAGCTGAAGTGATATTTTGAATCGTAGCAGGGGCGCTTGATTTCTCGGCCAACTATATCTATGACTTTTTTTTGACAAACGCCTGGTCGTAGGGAGCAAGGGGACAAGACTTGTTGAGGTACGAAGTTAGCATGACGCGTTTACCTTTACACTTTTTAGTTTTACTTACAACAACAGCAGGACCTTGATTCTGACCTATTGGCGCTGAAACAATTCACGGTAGGCCAAACATGGAGCCCAAAAGTGTACACTTAGAAAGTGCGACCCGTTACTTGTTGACAGCTCTCACACAGATCAGAGCACTACGCAAGAGAGGTAAGGAAAGAAAAAGTGACTTTGAGACGCTGTGCTAGGTTTACAATTGTTTTGGAAAAGGAAATCGAGGACGAATAACGAAAAAGTAAAAGAAGAAACAATCTAGTTGCACAATTGTTTTGCAAATCGAAGAACGAAAATCTGAAATGTATATAGAAGTGGAGAAAGTGTTGAAAGCAGGAGACGACCTGCGAAGTTCTTTTGAGGGGAAGACCGAGACGAAGACCGAAATTTCCTACGGGACCCTGTTACGGTGCTGTGACTCCAATTTGTATGAAGGGACCCTCGTCGTGAAAATGCAGAGCGATCATGCTGTTGCTCGTGCAAGAGATCTGGAGTTTTGAACGAGAGATAAAATCTCATTCTCAGGCGTGTAGTTTTACGAGAAAGTAGCAGCTTAGCTTGCAACTTTTGCCGTCCGTTTTTTTTCCCTCCCTTACCTGTTTGCGAAAGACTAAAGAGACGAAGTTATGGCAGCAACGCGTTCGTTTTTCGATACGAAGTTATGGCAAGCCAGGTGTTCTTTCTTTCTGTTGCTCTCGGTGACACAAACAAAGAAGCACGACTCAACAACTGCTAGCACAATACAACTGCGCCATTGACCTCGGCTTCCTCGTAAGGGTTAGTGCTCCGTCTTCTATCTTTGCTCCTGCGGTGCGTGGATATAATACTCATGATTCGATGTCGCTAGTTCTTTCGCGTCAAAAAACATCTTCGTAGCCTCGTTCTTAGTGTGTCTCTACCGTTCGTTACGTATCTTCAACATACGAATTCATTCTCAAAAGCCTTACTCGTACTCCTAAAACCTCGCCCGCCAGCAAGTAAAACTAAGTACAAATGTCTGCAAAACGAACACTAACATCACCTTCAATGACAAGAAGTATTGTCATGAGCCTCCAGCACTTGTATTTCTATTTTCGCAAGATGAAGGGCATGGGTAAAGCAGCAAACGCACTAGTTGTTTCATTTCTGTTTGTGTTTCTCAACACATCGTTGGATCGTGTTGGTTGGTACCAACCGGCTTCTGCGATTAGAAGTGCTGTTTCATCTTCAGACGAATCACAGCACCGGGGACAACGTGATGGCAGCTTGCGGATCATGCGAAAAAGAAGCCGGCGAGAGCGTGAAGGTGATTCAGCATCTACTGCGCACCAGGGTGCCTTGGCTGCGACACAGGGGTCCTGGTTTTGGGACAGCAACACGGAGAGTTGGATCTGGCGTTCTAAAAGAGGGCACCATCACGAAGGACCTCAACCTCGACAAAAATGCGCACGACAACGACTTGAAGAGTTTGCGCTCAACACGAGCAGACGCAGACCTAGCGCGCTTGGTCGGACAGGCAAAGCAGCTCAGAGATTTCGCCATGGTGCCGGTGCGGCCTCGCTCGGTTCCGTGGCGCACCCAGGTAATGGCAATGACCCGCACCAGCAGCAGCTGCATAACTGCCAAGATCGAGCGGCTTTTTACATGATTGCAGGCCCTGATGTAGTGAGCAAGTTGGAACCAGCTGTCGTCTCGCGCGCCGATGTTGCAGCAGGCCTTCGTCATGCATGCCGAGGTGCTGGGGACGATGGTGAAGGCGTTCTTGAAGCGTCAATCGAATCGTCCACAACAGCTTGTTCGCCGGGCTGTGTAACGGAGGCGTCGGAGGATTTTTTTGTTTCGGACGACCACGAGAGTGCCGAGGATCAGGATGTGAAGAAGAAAGCTGCTGTTCCACGACATGGACGTCCTCTACCAAGAACCGCTGGTGATCCTGCTGCTGCGACGAGGACCAGACCTCTGGTTGTACTAGACGACAAACCTCCTGGACGAGGTGGAGAGGATACCGCAGCAGGGAGAGAGAGTACCCCAACCGCACCTGCTGCTGTTGTAGGAGACGAGGGACTGCTGGGCCGGCTGCCTCTGGTCGCGACATTGATGTCTTGCCATCGGAGCTCCTTCGCAAGAGGGAACGGCGATGACGATTTCTCGACTCGTCCTTCGCGTTGTTCCGCAATGAGTTCTTTCCCGCAAGGGCGGGGAGGCAATGGGAATAGAAATGCGAATATGTCCGTACCACCAGTGGTATTTTCACGACCTACTCATACTCTACACTGTAGTCTAACCTCCGCCTCCGCGCCGCAGTGTGCAAACACAAAGACGCCGACAGCGTCATGCAAGGGGTGGCATAGTACTAGTCGTGGGCCGATACGACCCCGATTCCACAGACCTAGGAGAGGACAATTTCTTTGGCCCGGAGCGAAAAAACAGAACGAGAAGCAGAAACAAGGCGGGCCCAAGGCCTTGTCGGCGTTCCGGCAGCGCGCGTCGCTTCTTCGCGCATGTGTCGCCAAAGCCTACACGAAAACTCGAATCCGACTAAGCGGGGTGAAGAAGGCGTACTTGCGGCCGCTGTGTGCTGCTGCGGTGGAGCTCGTTTTCTCGGAGGCCTGCAGCTACGCGTTCCTGGAGCAGGTGTTGGGCCGACCAGAAACGTATTGCGGACGGTTCTGCGCCAGCTGTCTGGCGCAGCTTCTGCGAACTGTCTTCCGCAGAGTGTATAGGCGAGCCATTGTGCCTCTGCTGGAGCAAAGTAGAGAAGGGCAGACCGAAAGTTGTCAGAACGTTTGTTCATCCTCCTCGTCGCAGCAGCTGCCGCCGCCCGATGCAAAAGTAGCTACTTTGTCCAGTTCCCTGCAGCTCCACTGCTCCGCTGCACATGATCGACGTGGAAGCTGCGTCAGTTGTGAGAACGCTCTGTGTAGCACGAGGTGGGCGAAAATCTCAAAGACCGACTCGGACCGCGCAACAACTTCTCCTATGTTGATGCAACGACACGTCCGTCATACCGCCGATGGGGCTGCTGCAGTTGTCTCTCCTCCTCCTGCATCTTCATCTGAAGGACCAGGTTCCATGAGGGTTCCGTCGTTGTGGAATGGTGTGCCCCTCCGTCGGGTATCTTGCCCAATGCGACGCACCTCCGGGACACTCAATCGAGATCCTTGTTGCCCCTTGGTCGCGGCACCAGAGAGCAGTTGTATGGTGCGTAATTATAGTTCAGACGGAGCTTGTGCAGAAGGTGGCTTGCTAAGCGCGCGACCGGCAAACGCCGGCGCGCCGCCCCGTGAGAAGGAGAACCATTGGTCCTGCGCAAGGATGCCTTTTGGTAGGCCTTCACCGCTTGCGCTTGACGATGACGTGCCGCTTACTGGTGGGGATCATGCGTCCACCTCGGCTGTAACGAAGGGACCGGACCCCCTCGACACGACCTCCACGACAGAAAAACGCGGCGACGGTTCTGACAGTGAGGCCGAAGACGGAAGTACGAGCGGAACTTTTTTGACGCCAAAAACCCTCCCCGAGGTGTGTTCTGAGGTTTGCTGCAACGTCTTACTCCCTGAGAGCATCGCGGAAGGAGACAGTCTGGCCTCCTCAATCCTTTCGGAGATGGCGAGTGCAGCAATGGAATCAACTGCGTCTGCAATGGACGACTTGGTGAAAAGGTCTCATTTGTGTAAAGTGGTACAGCAAGCATACAGTGTGGACAAAGCGAGGGCGAGACTTTTGCAACGTCTCCCGAGACCCTTCAAAGCTTTTTAGAGATATGCTGCGGTCGTCTTTGCGAGCAAATACAACATGCTCTTCTCCGCACAGAAACAGCTCGATAGCAAAGGTCCGGCTGCAGGTTTTTACTGTAGCTTCATCACGCAGGGTAAGGATACAAAGCAGAAATGCCCACTCGCATGTGCGCACACCTCAGTCCAAAGTGTTCATACATGCTCTATTTTCCATTACTGCTTCCTGGCAGGAAGATGGCTGTAACTCTATGAGAGAGTTGTATGCCAAAACTGTCTTCCTGAGCGCAAAAAAGCGTGAGTAAACCGCCAAAGTATCTGTAGGCCACCGAGTTGGTTCTAAAAAGAAATCCCGTTTTCAGAGCATAAATGGAGCTGGTAGCGTTTTGTTATTTTGTCCAATCGCAATCATAAGAAGTACATCAAGGCAATAAGAGAAAGTAAACCACTTGTTTGCAACGTCATCGCCGCCCGGAGGTAGCGTACTGCTCACCCGAGCTCTGATGATGTTGCGCAGTTATTGTAGTAGCTGCGTTTATTCTCTTTCTCTTGCTCTCCGCGCAGCAACAACGACTATAATCCTTTCGACGAGGACGAACTACTTGGCAAAGATGTGAAAAAATTATATATATCAGCAGCAAGAAGGAGAAGAACAAAAAGAAGTACTGAGTAAAGTAAGAGTTCATGCCGACGTGTCCCACGTATAACGGAACGCCAGGTGGGGGCGACCTCGACCACGACATGAACTACAACACGTACGTTGGTGGCGGTGGGGAACATGATGGTAGTACTGGAAACAAGCTTTTAGAGCAACCGCCAACGGGGGGACACTACAACACGACGACCCCGCAAAACCAGTTCCTTTCCAGTGGCGGTGGAGGCTCGTCTGGGTCGCGAGATCAAGGAAACTATCACGAGAACAACGCGATGATGTACAATTACAGCCAGGATAGTTACAACAGCAATCACAACTTGAACTTTTACGGCGCAGGCGATTACGCAAACCCCAACGCAGCTGCCGCCCCCGCGTTTGGTGGCTCTTACAACGCTGGGATGTCGACCGGCGGAGGAGGTTTGTTGGTTCCCGCAACAAGCAGGTCTTCAACAATGGCCACTACTACCCCAAACAACATGCAGCTCCTCGTGTCCCCGGGCGATCAGCAACAGATTCAGCATGCGCACCTCACGGCCAACGGCAACATGAATTTTGGCTATAACTACATGAATACGACCTCGGCGTTGATGGGCACTGGGCCGGGAGCTGGGTTTTCCGGTCCACAACAGCAACAGCATCTTCACTTCCAGCTTGTCCAACAAAATCGCACCCCGAGCAATACGATTGTCGTGATCCCTACGTACTGTTTCAGCACCGGCCCGCGGAACGCCAGTTGTAACACGCTCATGGTGCGGGGGCGAGGGAGATTAGAGATAGATCTGACACAGGTCCTCCAGCTGCCTACGGAAAAAGAAGTCCAGATAGCGCAGCACTTCCTCGAAGCAGGCCCGGATGTGCGAAATTCGGAAATACAGCGGATTTGCGACGATCTGCACTTGCAAACCGGGTACGTCCACATTGAGTACGAAACGTTAGAGGGTTTCTTGCAGGCCATCGGCGATACAGCATTTGCGGAAACGTACTCGCAAGCAACGTTGGACACAGTCGTAAAGGTGCGCGACCGCCTCAATCGACAGAACACCGCAATCGAGTTTGCAGTTGCGAACGCCGTCGCACGAAACGAAGGCTACTACACGGGGATCCGAGCAGCAAACCACAATTTGCTTGAGCGTTTCGACAACAAGCTGGACTCGATAAATGTGTCCGCAACTGCTGCTGCGTCCTCTGGTGCGGAAAACCATGCGCTACTGCTTCCCCTGAACCAGGAACACGAATATCAGGCCTTCTTGTCCTTATGTAAGGCCTTATGTTTCGACTTGTTTGATGAGTACTTGTCAACACCTTTTCTTCGTGTCTTGCACATGCTCTTGTCGCGCCAATGGCATATGCTTGTCGCACCAATGGCATAAGTGAATATGCGTGGCAGGAGCTTTTGCAGCAATTCAACTTTTTCAGTATCTACTTTGCCGGCGGTCCCCCGTCGTATGATTTTATTCTATTTTCCTCAAGCTTACCTATAGCTTGGTAATCCACCATGTAGAAGTACTACAAAAAATGAAAATCATGCCTGTGCAGATGCGACCCGGATTGCCGGAACACCCGGCAACGTCGGCGACTCGTTGTGGATAATGCGCGGATTCCTGACAGCTGCGGCGCAGACGCACCAATTCGCAAAGGAGGCTGAAACCATAGCGAAAGGGTTGGGGTCTATTCGGGACCTGGCGACCTTTGGCTCGGGCACAGACACCAGCACCGGCAGCAACAGCTCGAGCCAGCAGATGTTTGCCACGGCGAAAAGTATTTTCCTCCTCGCGTTGCTTCTACTTGTGGCGCCAATTGTGTTGTTTTGCCTGTGCATTATATCATGCAGCCACGCAAAGAATAAAGGCTAGGGCAAGCGCTTGAGTCCGGGCGTGTCCTCGCGTGCAATTGAAGTCCAAGTCCTGAAATCAGCATCAACTCGCTTGCTCACGAAAAGAAACAAGAAGAAAAAGATAAAATTAAAAAAAATACTGACATGACAGGTCATCCTTCCGGGATCTGGACGGAGGAAACAGAACGCACTGTGATTAGTTGTTTCGGATTGCTGCGCTGTTACATATTTCCGAATGGGGACGGCGATGGGGAGAAGTACAGTGAGTTTCCCACGATTCGAACACTGCAAGTCATTCGCAAGTATAATCTGGTCCATTTTTTTGAGCAACAAGAGCATTTATCGTCCTGCGTGTGGTCCTGGTTTTCAAGTATCGTCTTACTCTTACGCTTTCACTCCTAAAACTGCCATCAATCCGTCGAAAAATAGTTCTTACTAAATTAGAAAGAAAGAACCCCACAACTCGTTCCAATACCAGATCGCTCCGTCGTCTTGTGGGAATTGCGAGGTGGGATGCGTTGGAGATGGAAGCGGTGAACCAGCAGCCCTTGGAAAGCAAGGAGTTCTTCAAGAAAGCCAGGTTGGACTTTGAGCGCATCTCGCGGTTGGAGGCGGCAAAGGCCGAGGAAGCCGAGAAGAACAAGAATTCTGTGGGAATTATGGTGCAGCAGGGCCTAGAGGCGCTGGGAATTCTACGGGAAGGGAAAACGGACTGGAATAACCCATCGTGACTGAAATGCTGAATCTGATGTACTGGTTTTCGTCTCATGTGCTCGAACACACGTGATGAGGTCGTTTTCTTTTCGGAGCGTATTTTTTCTCAAACGTAATCTCCTGAATTTTTTACAAAATCAGAAGCACTCGGCAAATGAACCGCAAAAGCGAATAGAGAGCAGCTCCTTGTCAGCACGAGCACGGCGCCCGCGGCCTGCATGGACGATTCAAAGGAGGCTGATAAAGTTAAAATAAGCTCTCCGACTCATCAACGTCTTGCAAGTCTGTTGCTGTTTGCCATGTCGAAAAGAAGTGCTGTGTATTAAGAGTTGATTCTAATTACGAAGATTTACAGCGATTGCACCGCTATCCTCAAAAACAAAAAAGCCTGCTCTAGAAGAACAAACTACAGGATTCTGATGGCAATTGCATTTTCGTGGGTGATGAAGCTAATTTCCCAAGGCTCACCAGTCCTGCTTTCCATGTGACTCTGCATGCACATAGCCAGAAGCTGCATTTCGGGTCTAGCTTCAAAATGCATGTGGAGCTCGCTAGAAAGCAAAAGCTCCTGCAATGGACGAAGTGATATAAGCGTACTAGTGTAGTGTCTTGCTAAATGCGAGGTACTCGCTGCTCTACTCTACTGTCGTATTACTATGTCGTGGAATAGTAGACAGAGTCTTAGTAGTACTAGTACCTCTCAGAGATTATGATTAAAAGGAGGATGTTGCAGAGGGAGAGGAGGTAGCTATTTAAATAATGGGATGATTCTAATGTAATCGCAAAAATGCACATACTATGAAATGAAAATGATGGAGTTGCAGTTTTCGACAAGAAGTAGAGAAAAATCTATTTGAAGCCGATCACAAAACCACGTGGACCGCGTCGTTTTGTATTAAAATTTGTTTTACACAATTTCAATTCTCAAGGAAAAACAAATATCCATGAAAATGTGTGTTACTGCAAAACGCTACTCACAATTTGTCAACAATTCATAACTTTCTTGACTACTTTTTATGATCGCTACGCTTATGTTTCACAAATAGATAGAGATGGATAAAACGTGGCGCAGGCGTGCCAACATTCGCAGTTGAAAATGTTTAAGAGCATCAGCATGTCTTTGCTTTCATCGATTTTTTGGCCTGTTGGTCTTTTATCTCCAGCAACTGGAGTCTCGCACTCGCATAGGCATGGTCATGACTGGATGTTGATTCTGATTTATTTTTGGCTCACACCCATAAAGAATAAGATGCGTAAAGTCGACAAAAAAAAGCTTCGAATCTTTCCAGGTTTTTCATTGTGCAGGGAAGTGCGAGTAGAAGACATGGGCACTACAACTATGGCTCTGCTCTTCTTGGCGGGCACAAGAATGCAAAGTCGTCCTTTCTTCAGGCAAAAAAAGAATCTCAACGGTGTCCTTCCTTGCGCGTGCACCAGGATCTCTCACCTTCTAAAATGAAAAGGGCGCCCTCATGCGCATGGATGTGTGTGGTGCCCCGCGAATGGAGAGACAATTTAGAAATTTACTCAAATAGAAATAACCCAACGAATAGGAAATGCGCAGGCATCCACCTGCTTCACTCCGAGCGAATGTCAAATAATTCAAGGACCGGATGGACCAACCGAAAAGGAACATTTTCTTTTTCTGTGAAGACGGAAGAGAACACTGTGGCAGAAGATGCAAAAGAATTTGAGAGGGAGACGAGCTGAGGCGCCATTCTTGCAAATCGAGTAGTGCCAAAAGGTGCAAGCGGTAGATGCAGCTGCCTTCGCAAGAACCGAAATTGATAAAACATGAAGTGACCATCTGGCCTATTGTCGCCGCACCTAGAAGTGGCGCAGAAGGACACCGATTGAAGGAGCAGTCTTTCGGTCGTGCTAGATGAACAAGATGATGAGCAAAAATGACAAGACAGATCCAGCTGCTGCCTCCGCTGGGCCGAATACGGGTCCAGAGGAAGGTGCTGCGAATGGTCAGAAGCAGGGGGTGCAGCGAGACGGCGTACAGATTCTTGCTGCTAAAGATGCCCCCGAAGATGGTCTTGTTCCTTCATCTTGTCAACACACGACGCGTGTGGAGGTTGCCACTGCGCCCGTCCCGGGAACCAGAACTACTGACTTTGACGCGGAACACGGAAGTAATGAAAGTCTCGTCGAGACGACGAGACTGTCCTCACAGGACGAGCAGGACGCACTTTTTCGCAAAGTGATGACTGATACTGGCGGTTTGTACAAGGACCTGGCGAGCTGGTTGAAGCCCAGTCCACCCGAAACTGTGGACGACTTGGACAAAATGCTGGAGAGTTATCGCCGAGGAACAGCGAACCAAACCCAGTTGCGGCAGGGCGCCCCCACTTCCTCCTCCACTTCGTCCGCGGCAACGCCCCCGACAGCAATCCATAACGTTCGCGCCCCACCATCGGCTTCGTCATCTGGTTCAGCAGCTGGTGGTTGCGCACCTAGTGCTAATACAAATACTGTTCCTCCGCATATGATCAAAGTACCATCTTCTACGGGCGAGGTGGTCGCGGTGGGCGAAGGCAACGACCTCATTGGTTCTGCTCAAAAAACACAATCTCACTTTTCGTCGCGGGCTTTAAGTACCCAAACCGTGACTGCGTCCTTGTCTGGAGGGAAAGCACAAATCTTCTCCGAGACCTCGATCGTGAGCAACGAGTCGCCTTTTGCTATTTTTCCCGCAACAGCTGCAGCAACAGGAGGATCGGGGCTGCTCTTTTCAACTGCTTCTTCTAGTGCGGGGGCGACCGGAGCTGGAGCTGCAAGTAGTTCTCAACAAACGACCTTGACTTCGAAAGAGCCACTGTCTTCATTTTCTTGTTCTGTCCTAGCACCAGATCAAAGCAGTACCTCCGGCTTACAGTTACAACAGCCCGCACAGTCTACAACGAGATCAAATCCAGCATCGCCGGCGGGAAGCTCTTCTTCGTGTGAACGAGCAAGAAACGGTGCGATAGATGAAAATGAAATTGTAATGGATGCAGCTGCGGCTGAAGTACAAGCACCCAACAACAAGCGCTTTCGATGGAAGTACAATAGCATTTCGCCGGACGACGACGAAGATGCTTCTGTCGCAGTGGCGCCCGCACTTGCTGCAGGAACAGGAGCTTCTTCAGACCTTCAACCGGCGCAGCTGCGCGTCGACATATCATCCACGATCATGGGGAACCAGGTATAATTTCTATCTGTGGTTGTGAAGCATGGCCATGAGTATGAAAGAGGAAATAAAGTACACGAAAATGATGAATATAAATATCAATATGCATATTTTCTTCATCCTACATCTGAGTGTCGTGTAAGTAGCGTGTTTTCCTGTTCTCCTTTTTGCCACAATAAAGATCTAATGAATAAATGAACTCTCTCTACCGTTGTAGGGCGGGTCGCCGTCGCAGTCCGGTAGACAAGCACAAGATCACGGCGCGCAAAAATTGGGAAACGCGACGAACATCGACGCAAAGCAAAAAAAAAATGCTTACGCGCAAAACCCCGATGTAAAAGATGAAGTGGCTGCTGATCGTGGCGAGGGTACTATCGCAAAGAAAGGCATTGATGTAGCGCCCGTGCGTCTACTAGGCCTTGGTGGCGAGGAGAGCGAGAGCCAGCATCTGGATCTCGCGGACAAGGATGAAACGAAATTGCAAATGGGTAGCAGTATAGGATGAATGCGATATTTTGATTTTGTTTTGTTCGCAATATTATACGCTGTGAATAATCAGTATCAGACTATCACGAAATTGAAAAAAAGTAAAAGGATACATGATAATATGCATATAATTTATTTCATCGCCGGAAGTGGCGCTCTTCGAAGTCGAATATCATAAACCTGTTATGGTGAGGACCTGTGGCTTTCCGTGTTCGCCTGCCATAGTTTGTTCATGCCATCTGTTGCTCCACGCCGCTGTTGCGGCTCCGCGTCGCACAAAGCCAGCCTGTACCCGGCGGTGGGGTACGAAACCTCCTGGCAGTGGGGGGCGGGGGGCACGAAGTGTGGCAGTGGGCGCACGAATCTGGCAGTGGTAACGCGCAGCCTCCTCCTCGTGCCCCCATTGCCGGCCAGGAGGCAGTGTGGGCGCGGATCTGGCAGTCGGGGGCCGAAGCTGGAAGTGGGGATACGGAGCACAGCGGGATTGGGGACATGGCGGCCAGATAGGAGTGGGGGCACGGTGCCCCGCAGGGAGTGGGGACACGGCTTCCAGCTGGGAGTGCGTGGGGACACGGTGCCCACCTGAGAGTGGGGACACGGCGCCCAGCTAGGAGTGGGGACACGGGGGAAGCCGGGATGGGGACACGGCGCCCAGCTGGGAGTGGGGACACGGCGGAAACCGGGATGAGGACACGGCGCCCAGCTGGGAGTTGTGGGGACACGGCACGGCGAGTGGGGACACCACGGCCGTGGTGTCCCCACTGGCCGTGGTGTCCCCACTCGTCGTGGTGTCCCCGCTCGTCGTGGTGTCCCCACTGGCCGTGGTGTCCCCACTCGTCGTGGTGTCCCCACTCGTCGTGGTGTCCCCACTGGCCGTGGTGTCCCCACTCGTCGTGGTGTCCCCACTCGTCGTGGTGTCCCCACTGGCCGTGGTGTCCCCACTGGCCGTGGTGTCCCCACTCGTCGTGGTGTCCCCACTCGTCGTGGTGTCCCCACTGGCCGTGGTGTCCCCACTGGCCGTGGTGTCCCCACTCGTCGTGGTGTCCCCACTCGTCGTGGTGTCCCCACTGGCCGTGGTGTCCCCACTGGCCGTGGTGTCCCCACTCGTCGTGGTGTCCCCACTCGTCGTGGTGTCCCCACTGGCCGTGGTGTCCCCACTGGCCGTGGTGTCCCCACTCGTCGTGGTGTCCCCACTCGTCGTGGTGTCCCCACTGGCCGTGGTGTCCCCACTGGCCGTGGTGTCCCCACTCGTCGTGGTGTCCCCACTCGTCGTGGTGTCCCCACTGGCCGTGGTGTCCCCACTGGCCGTGGTGTCCCCACTCGTCGTGGTGTCCCCACTCGTCGTGGTGTCCCCACTGGCCGTGGTGTCCCCACTGGCCGTGGTGTCCCCACTCGTCGTGGTGTCCCCACTCGTCGTGGTGTCCCCACTGGCCGTGGTGTCCCCACTGGCCGTGGTGTCCCCACTCGTCGTGGTGTCCCCACTCGTCGTGGTGTCCCCACTGGCCGTGGTGTCCCCACTCGCCGTGGTGTCCCCACTCGTCGTGGTGTCCCCACTCGTCGTGGTGTCCCCACTGGCCGTGGTGTCCCCACTGGCCGTGGTGTCCCCACTCGTCGTGGTGTCCCCACTCGTCGTGGTGTCCCCACTGGCCGTGGTGTCCCCACTCGCCGTGGTGTCCCCACTCGTCGTGGTGTCCCCACTGGCCGTGGTGTCCCCACTGGCCGTGGTGTCCCCACTCGTCGTGGTGTCCCCACTCGTCGTGGTGTCCCCACTGGCCGTGGTGTCCCCACTGGCCGTGGTGTCCCCACTCGTCGTGGTGTCCCCACTCGTCGTGGTGTCCCCACTGGCCGTGGTGTCCCCACTGGCCGTGGTGTCCCCACTCGTCGTGGTGTCCCCACTCGTCGTGGTGTCCCCACTGGCCGTGGTGTCCCCACTGGCCGTGGTGTCCCCACTCGTCGTGGTGTCCCCACTCGTCGTGGTGTCCCCACTGGCCGTGGTGTCCCCACTGGCCGTGGTGTCCCCACTCGTCGTGGTGTCCCCACTCGTCGTGGTGTCCCCACTGGCCGTGGTGTCCCCACTGGCCGTGGTGTCCCCACTCGTCGTGGTGTCCCCACTCGTCGTGGTGTCCCCACTGGCCGTGGTGTCCCCACTGGCCGTGGTGTCCCCACTCGTCGTGGTGTCCCCACTCGTCGTGGTGTCCCCACTGGCCGTGGTGTCCCCACTGGCCGTGGTGTCCCCACTCGTCGTGGTGTCCCCACTCGTCGTGGTGTCCCCACTGGCCGTGGTGTCCCCACTGGCCGTGGTGTCCCCACTCGTCGTGGTGTCCCCACTCGTCGTGGTGTCCCCACTGGCCGTGGTGTCCCCACTGGCCGTGGTGTCCCCACTCGTCGTGGTGTCCCCACTCGTCGTGGTGTCCCCACTGGCCGTGGTGTCCCCACTGGCCGTGGTGTCCCCACTCGTCGTGGTGTCCCCACTCGTCGTGGTGTCCCCACTGGCCGTGGTGTCCCCACTGGCCGTGGTGTCCCCACTCGTCGTGGTGTCCCCACTCGTCGTGGTGTCCCCACTGGCCGTGGTGTCCCCACTGGCCGTGGTGTCCCCACTCGTCGTGGTGTCCCCACTCGTCGTGGTGTCCCCACTGGCCGTGGTGTCCCCACTGGCCGTGGTGTCCCCACTCGTCGTGGTGTCCCCACTCGTCGTGGTGTCCCCACTGGCCGTGGTGTCCCCACTGGCCGTGGTGTCCCCACTCGTCGTGGTGTCCCCACTCGTCGTGGTGTCCCCACTGGCCGTGGTGTCCCCACTGGCCGTGGTGTCCCCACTCGTCGTGGTGTCCCCACTCGTCGTGGTGTCCCCACTGGCCGTGGTGTCCCCACTGGCCGTGGTGTCCCCACTCGTCGTGGTGTCCCCACTCGTCGTGGTGTCCCCACTGGCCGTGGTGTCCCCACTGGCCGTGGTGTCCCCACTCGTCGTGGTGTCCCCACTCGTCGTGGTGTCCCCACTGGCCGTGGTGTCCCCACTGGCCGTGGTGTCCCCACTCGTCGTGGTGTCCCCACTCGTCGTGGTGTCCCCACTGGCCGTGGTGTCCCCACTGGCCGTGGTGTCCCCACTCGTCGTGGTGTCCCCACTCGTCGTGGTGTCCCCACTGGCCGTGGTGTCCCCACTGGCCGTGGTGTCCCCACTCGTCGTGGTGTCCCCACTCGTCGTGGTGTCCCCACTGGCCGTGGTGTCCCCACTGGCCGTGGTGTCCCCACTCGTCGTGGTGTCCCCACTCGTCGTGGTGTCCCCACTGGCCGTGGTGTCCCCACTGGCCGTGGTGTCCCCACTCGTCGTGGTGTCCCCACTCGTCGTGGTGTCCCCACTGGCCGTGGTGTCCCCACTGGCCGTGGTGTCCCCACTCGTCGTGGTGTCCCCACTCGTCGTGGTGTCCCCACTGGCCGTGGTGTCCCCACTGGCCGTGGTGTCCCCACTCGTCGTGGTGTCCCCACTCGTCGTGGTGTCCCCACTGGCCGTGGTGTCCCCACTGGCCGTGGTGTCCCCACTCGTCGTGGTGTCCCCACTCGTCGTGGTGTCCCCACTGGCCGTGGTGTCCCCACTCGTCGTCGTGTCCCCAGACGCGTCGTCGTGTCCCCACTCGTCGACGTGTCCCCACTCGTCGTGGTGTCCCCACTGGCCGTGTCCCCACACGGCCAATGGGGACACGGCCACCTAGTGGGGACACGGCCAGTGGGGACACGGGCACCCAGTGGGGACACGGCGAGTGGGGACACGGCCACCCAGTGGGGACACGGCGAGTGGGGACACGGCCACCTAGTGGGGACACGGCGAGTGGGGACACGACCACCTAGTGGGGAGACGGGCGGCCAGTGGGGACATGGCGAGTGGGGAAAGAACCTAGTAGGCAATCATAGACCAGAGCAGGGACGCGCCGCAAGATCATTGGCTGGCCTCTCAACTCATTGCAAATACACTCGCCACGACCAGCAGCGTCGGTATCGGATTCGGAAACAGAACTGCCTATACATCTCCAGGGCCGGCCGCCGCTAGTCTTCAGGGTGTTGACAGCAAGAACGAGGAGAAGCCAGGCCAGGGGGCGGGCAAAAAGGGTGGCGCCGACGTGGAAGTGGCAGGCGAAGACGCTGAATCGAGGAAAAAAAGGCTCGCGCAGGAAAGAGAAGAGCGGAAAAAAAGCAGAAAAAAAGAAAAGCGCGCAGACATGACACCAGCACAAAGGGCTGAGGCGAATGAGCTGCGCAGGGAGAAGAGGAAGAAGCGAAGAGACGACGAGCTGGCGACTAATCGGGCAGCGCGAGCAAGAAAAGAAGGCGGCGTCGCGAGTGTCGCCAAAGACAAGGACAACGCGCCGGGCCCGGGCAACGGGGGCGACGCACCTCAGTGACAAGGAGACAAAGATGCGAGCGCGACCATATCATGTACATACTTACTGATCCTCGACCACTCACGAAGGCGAAAGCGGTCTCCAAGTCGGAAAACTCATACTCTTCGTGCTAGATTAGTAGTTGCACTTGCTCGTCTGCGTCTACAGCTGCGCGTATTGTATTTGCAAGCTCCCACCAATCTGTAGCATGCTAACATCAGCAGCATCAACTTTTTAAATATTTCTAGAGGACGAGCCTTGTCCTCGGATTTTACTCGCTGTACACGAGCTTCCGGTCTTACACTTGGCTGTGGCATTGCGCATATTTCATATAGCAATCTAATAGAACCACGAGGAGAGACCAGACCAGTAGTTGCAAATACTGGGGCGACTGTAATTTGCCGCCGGTCCAGCGACACAACGCCATCACCAGTATCGAAAGATCAGCATGGTTTTGTTGCATTTTTTTTTTCGAGAACAAACACGTTTAAGTACACCGGCAGTGCCAGTCCTGCAGAATGCACAGGAGCAAAATCCTCCATACTTTCGCATACTTCTTTATTTTTCTTGCTTTTTCTTTCATCGAGGCCCGCGAGCTATCAGCGTCATTCTTTTTTTTTTTGGAGTTTTGAGCAGGTTCGACGACGACTAAGACTATGAGGAACTGAAAAAGTACTAGAAGTGTGACAATCACACTAACATGAAACCGGAAATGAATATTCGACATTGGATTAGCATCGATTCTTCGAAAAGTCATCACGAACACGAGTGGCCAGGGCAAGGCGAGGACTTGCCTCTCGCTCGCGCGTCACACGACACGAGTCCGCGACAACCGAGACAACACGGTGCAGATTTGCATTCCAAGAATTTTTTCCAGACCACGGTGTTGCTCCATAGACAGCGACTTTCTCAGTTTCACGACGTAAGAGGACGTGTTTTATCTTCCTTTGCGCTCTTTTCTTACCGAGGCCTAATTCTGGTCAGACCCCGCAAGCCCGAGGTGACTGAAGGTGGCTGAGTCTTGCATCGCACTAGGTGTTGATGCAAAAATATTTTCGATTTCAGTTCTGCGAGTGTTTATGTTCGCGTTTGGTTGGTCTTGGTCGACTTAAACTTACGTATGAGCAAGGGGTACATCAAGGGGCTGTTGTTAAAACTCATTTTGTCTTCCAAACACTGCAGGAGCGACCAAACTTTGGAGAACTCAATCCGATGAGATGAAATGGAAAGCCGTCGGCAATATGCGAGTATTAGTCTTCGTTAATATTTCTATCAACATCAACACAGAAAGTGAAAGTGGAAGTAGTTAAGTGGTACTCGGTTACCTTTAGCTTTATTACCGGCACGAGCCTATTGATTTAGTGGTCACGGGTACAACTCGCCACTTCTATCTGTCTGCGTGTACTACTTATTTGTGTCGATGTCGATGTAGCAGAGGGAGACGAGATCGCAGGCACTACTTCCTGTGCCTGCCAATCGGATGACGCTCCCTTTCATCGCCAGTCACGGTGCAGTAGCTCCGGAGCAAAATCTAGCCTGCTCTGGAAAGCACCCTAGTACTAGGAAAGGCGACGGCGATCCAGATGCAGAGTGTGTCCCGCCACCTGCCGCTGGCAAAAATGATACCGAGGCCGACATTGCTGAGCGTGAGCACCCTCCGATCAAGAGGTGCACCACTACCGACCACGCTCCAGAAGAACCGTTTTTGAAGGCGGTGCTACGCCGTTACGGGTGTTTCGTCGGTCGGCACCCGAACGTTATCTGCTATTGCACCATTGTAACGTACGTGATCATCATCTGTTTCGGAGTTGGTCGTGGCGCGGGTGCAGGTGATTACGACAACCTGGAACGAAAAATCGAGCAGGACAACTTCATGAATCATTCCCCGATGGAGTTGCAGTGGTCTAGCAGCGGCGGGAAGTTGGAAAAAGGCATCCGGTTGTATCGACAGCTCATTGCGAAGGAAAAAATATCCGAGCGGGGCCGAGACAAGGAAAGCGAGCGGGTGCAACTGTGACTGTTTTACCTCTAACATTGGCATTGCTCCTTCTGCTTCTTGTTTTCTATTTCGGATTCAGCAATATGTCCACCGGTGGAACCGGATATGACTGAGATTTGTCAATTGTAATAGGGATCGACGACGCTTTATTTCAATGCCAATCGACTCAACACAGGACGTCGGCCGCGCGACGAATAACGACTGGCAAGATGCGTACCACACCACAATGTTCGTGCCCAGGGACCTAGAAGAAAACGTCGACTCTCCACCGTCGAGCATGGACGCAGCGACTCTACCCATCTTCCGAGAAATGCTGGAGTTACAGAAACAGATTTACAAACTGGAAGTGACTGTTGACGTTTCGGTGCCAGCGGCTGCGCAATCGACGCAGAGCAGTGTGCGACACGAACAACTCAAGTACAGTTTCTACGATCTGTGCAAGCGGGGTTTGTTTCCGGATCAGCCGGGCGGGGGTGTCGTTATGCCGTGCATGCTCGCGTCGCCGCTAACGTGCTTCAAAGAAACTGGTGATGTGAACCACGAATCTTATCGAGAGCTCGACGAAACCATCCAGGATATCATGCCCTTGCAGGTACCATATTCGACCCGACCCTCGCTCCTCGACGGCGTGGACATTAAAACCGATGCCGACTTGAAGCAGGTGCTCTCTGGCTGGCTTAACCCGGCGGACCCTGGTAACGCCAATGTGAAATCCGGTGGGAAGGGAAGCGAAAACGCCAGCTCAAAAACCGGTTGCGTTTCGGATAATGCGTTGTTAACGTGGTCCCATGACCTAGTCACTTCGTTTGCAGAATTCGATATCACGCCGGCGGAAGAAGTAGACGGTGGTGATGCTAGTGATTCCACTCCCGAGCAGTTGATGCCAGACGTCCGCCTGAGCCGCGCGCTCGGCTTCCGCTTCGCAACGTACATCGATGCACCGGCAAAAGTGCAGTACCGCATGAGTCTGAATCACCCACGAACGCAAGATTTCGCGAGTAAGTCGCATTTAGCGAACATCAAGACGGCGATTCGAAAAATGGATCGCGCCTATCACAACTTGGTATCGGCTTTCAATGAAAACGCACAGCACACGGAGGTGAGCAACTTTCCGACCTTTTTTCTCGACGACTTCGAAGATGAGCTGGAAAATGTCGACACGATCTATTTCAACGTGGGCCTGGGTATCTCCGCGGCGTTCACATACCTGATTCTCGTGTCGCTGAGGCACCCTTTGGCATGCCGTTCCGCGGTCGGGCTGGCGGGCTTGCACATGATTGTCTTGTCCGAGCTGTTTGGGTTTGTGGGTCTGTATTTCTACGTCTTTGGGAAGCAATTCAACAGCACCATTCTTCTCGTTTTGCCCGTACTAGCACTCGGCGTTGGCCTCGACGACATGTTTGTTATCATTCGCTATTTCAGCGGCCTGGGCTACGCGTTTTTCGACTCTCACCGGGCTTCGCCAGAGGAGATCATCGGGGAGACGTTGGCCCGCGCCGGGGTGGGCACGACGCTTTCGTCGCTGTGCAACATTCTGGCCTTCGGTGCAGGGGCGTTTTTGCCGATTCCAGCGATGGCCGACTTCTGCCTCGCAGCAACGCTTCTGGCGCTCTCGAACTACATCACGACCCTGAACTTGCTCCTCCCTGTCTTGAGCTACGAGGTGGAGCGAATTCAAAATCTAGAGGCGGAAAGCGTCAACCCGCTGATCAAGGCACAGCATCAGGACGCGTTTCGGAGGGCACTACAAATCCTCTCCACCGGCGGGGACGAGGACGAGGATGCTGCGGTCGTAACGACTGCTACAGTTCCGGCAGCCGCAACCAGACACGCCGATCATCAGGAGGCAAGCGACATCATCAATCGGAAGTTGCGGCGCGGCTTAAGCATGGAACAAGACAGTGTCTTCAGCGAGAAAGCCACTGGTGGAGACGAAACTTCGGTAAGAACGGAGCAAAAAAATGCTGCGGACATCGGGATGAAACTGCGGCGAGGTCTGAGCATCGACATTGCCACCCACATTCCCGCCACCACGGAGCGCGGACGTGCAGGTACTGTCAGCGAGAAACAAGCTCATCTACTTTCTGGGTGCGACATAACAGCTACGCACAGTGGTGAGTTCATGGGCAGCTCCGACTCTTTCGAGAAGAAGTTGTTGCACTGGCTGTCAAACAGCTACGCCCCGAACGTCATCTGTCATCCGGTTGCTTCTGTATTCCTGTCGCTCTCTGGGTTCGCGCTGTGTGCGGTCTCCGTCTGGGCTATTGTCAACGTGGACTCTGGATGGGCTCCGAAGGACCTCCTGCCCACCGATCACTATCTCTACCGCGCCTTCGAGCTGGTTTTCTCCATGTTTAGCACGTTTGAGTCCACCCTCATCATTCACAACCCGGCAAAAACCCCTCTGGACATAGCGGCATCACAACGAAGCATTTTGACGCTCGTCAGGGACTTGTACGACACGACCTTTATTTCGCTCGGCTACCTCAATGTTCTCACCCTGCTTCCGTACACGACGTTCGTCACACTACAAGCCGGCGCGAATGTGACAGCGGCAGTAGCGGTGGAGAACAGAACAACTCGTAGCACGACAAGCAACGCAGTAAACAATGGCACAGTTGATTCCGCACTTGGTCCAGCGGCCCAGTACGCGCTAGACACGATGAAGGCGCCGCCGTACTGCTTGGACCAGAGCTGGACGGACCCAGTTTTTGCCCCGCTCGGTACGCTGACAAATCGCTCGGCGGAGTTTTACGACATTTACAACGACTGGGCCAAACTTCCTCCTGCTGCGGAGGCGAATAAGTCGATTGGGTACCTTTATGCCGACATCGGCTGGAGTAATCTGTTTCATTGGAGAACCAACGGCGCAGGAGCGACCTCAAATTCCGGTGCCGGTGGTTCAAGAACGACGGTGCGAAACCTGTCTCCACGGTCCTTAGCGGGAGGTGCGATGACATCAGTATCCACCACTGGCACAATGCCCGCAGAAGAGATTGAGCTGATGCCGATCCAACTTCTAAACAGTTGGAGAGAAGTCCGAGGCAGATTTCATGGTGATGATAGCGGAGCAGAACAAAATCATAAACAAGTCCCCTCTTGCCGAGCACGCCTTCATCTACGGACCCATCACCACCTATTGGGAAGTTTTTCTGGAGCTAAAGGGCGAGCTGATCAAGTTGGTCCTGATTTCCGCGTTGCTGATTTTCGTTGCAACATTTCTCATTTTCAAGCTGAGCTTGCCGGCAGGCAGTGGTGGCTCTGCGCTCGGAGTGAGCTTGATTACTGCTGCGAGCTGCTTGATGGTTGTGCTGCAGGTTTTCGGGATCTCTTCACTGTTTCTCTCATTCAACATCTTTGTAGCGACCTCCGTCCTGGTTGCGCTCGGAATGTCGGTGGAATTCACGTGCCACTTGGCAGCGGCCTACGCTACGTCACAGAAACGGGACTGCAAAACACCAACCGAGGCTGTTGAAACCCACGAGCAGGCTAGCCGTGCGGGGCGATGCAGCACCATTGTCGAAGCCATGGCTTCTTCCATGCAGGACACTTTTCCAGCGATCCTGGAGGGAACCATTTCGACCATGCTCTCGCTGCTTCCGCTCGCTTTTCACCCGATCGCCTTCGTCGTCAAGTACATCTTCGCGACTCTGATGATCACAATTTTTGTTGGCAGTTTGAACGGATTCGTGCTCGTGCCGGCGATGCTTTCGGTGCTAGCGCGTGTCCAGGCGTTCCTGCAGAATGTTTTGTTCGCGCGTCGCAAAAATACGCAGGACATGCAAGGCGGGGCCGATACCTCGAGAATTCACCCTGAAAGCAACGTCGATGACGAGTCAAAGGCTGTAGAGGATGTGCAGGTAGTGTGTCAACACGAAGGCACCGCTACGAGGACAGCGCCGCCTGATGTGCCAATGCTCCTGCGCGAGTACGATTCGTCCTCATCGCCTCAAGCTAAGAAACGAAAAGACGACAACGGATTTTTTAATGGCGCCGCCTCAAAAGGCAAAAGCTACCTGCCTTCGGTGTGCGAGGAAGACGAAGTAGGCGCTTCAAGCGACGAAAGGGAAAGGAAAACACCAGGTCCGCAGGAATCCGTCGTAAGTCCGCAACAAAAGTCGGAAAACGAAAAAGAGGACGAAGTAGAAAATGAGGCTGTGTCATCGACAGCGACGAGGGATCACGAAAGCGCGTCGACATCAAACGTCAATCCGGACCTTTTCGAGTGGCTTGACCGCGAGAAGATCCTGGCGACCGCACCTGATCGAAGAGCACAACAAACGCAACTGGTTACCGCAATGCAGGAACTTGCCGGCGTACGATCAGTCGCGGACCTGGAGCAACTTGACGCGGTTGCGATGCAGCAAAATCTCATAGGGCAAGTGCAGACGCGCCATCAACTACCTCCGGAGGACTTCATGAAATTGGTTTTGGCGCTCGGCGAACTGCGAGGGCGCGCAGCTAAAAAGAACCCGGCGGATATTGGTGCCATGCAGAACACATCACAGGATCGCGCAGATGAAGTCGCAGCGCCCAACATCGCAGCAGGTCAGGTGGAGAACAAGAAGATCCGTGGAAAACTTCGGGCTACCAGCGTCGTGGTCTTCGAAGAAGGGCCTATGTCGCTGTGTTGGCGTTTGACGTTCGAGATCTGCGGATCCGGAGTTGCCTTCGCCGCGGAACTTTTCCTCGTTTTGTTCCTCATCTGGTTTTCTTTCTTGTGGCTGACGCTGGGTGCGAATGCCGGTTTGGGAATACAGAATCGGTTGCACACCGGTACGGTTTCCGGCGACATGGCCAACGGCTTCTCTCCACTTCTCTTTGGAGTTGGGGTCGGGGGTCAGCTCTACTCGATTTGTGCGGCGCTGCTGATGCTCACCATTGGTCAGCGGGCTACGTTCGCAAGAGCAACGACACTCCGCAACCTTCGCTGGGTGGTGCCGACAACGATCCCTATTGCGGTCGGGATGTGGGTACGCATTGCAAAAGTAAAACTATCGTAGTACGTAGAACTTGCATGACAAATTTTTCCAAGAACGAAAATGGAGTTTGTAATGCTGATTTTGCTTAGGAGTGGGATTTGTAATGCATGATTGTGATTTTTACTACGAGTGCGATACTTTTGCATTGAATATTGGGTATGCTTCAATAGCGACGCTTACGCCTTGGAAACCTTGAGCGCGGCTAACATGACCGTCATAGTTCTGCACTTCGTCTTCTCCTCAAAAGAAATCACAAGCTGGCACGGCAAACAAACGCTGTGCCAAGAAAATGCCTGCTCGCCCGCACGAAGGACGGGCTGTGAGAGCAGGAGACCGCCAGTAGTTTCAGGTGCTTCTAGTTCCGTAAATGAAGGAAACGGAGTGATGTACATCGTTTTATTCTGTATCCACGTTCTCGGATCTGTTGTGCGTGTGCCGGCTCGCATCGCTGCCGCGTCAGATGTATGCACTGCAAAAGGTGGATCGCACTAGAAGTATATATAAATCGCATGACAAATTATAATAAGGAATTTCCTCAACCTCACCATGAGAAACGGAATTTGTATATGTGGATTCAACTCAAGAAGGAAAAAATTTGAATCAATTTGTAACAAGTCTGGCCCAAGCGGAGCCCGGACGCTCTTGCGGATGGGATTACTTTTACTACGAGCGCGATACTTTTGCACAGGATAAGATGCTGAGAAGGCCGCCTACGCTCTTGCGTGGCCCATCATGGCGGAGGTTATCGGATCTTCGCTGCGCACCTCTCTGGCAACCAAGCTCCGGCAAGGGCGCGCGCTCCACCCGCAAGGGCTAGGGCGTGTGTCATCTTCACGAGCAGAAAATGGAAATGCAACGCCCGCAGAAGACGGTGATGATGATGATCATAGTACAACTACAGGTGCAGCTCGTCCCCTGGACGATGACATTCAAATAGCACCAATCATGGCGATCTTCAATTTGTGGCGCGGCTTGATAGGCAGGTTTTTGGTTGCAAGTTTCGACTCCACCGGCGTCGCGCTTACAACTTTGACGATGCAAGCTTTTGAAGAAATCGTCATGCGACAAACCTTCGACTGGCGGGATCGGATGTAAGAAGCCAGTTTTTATTCTTGGTTCGCAGACGCAGTACTACATCCACTTTGTGTGTGCGTACGTACTATCAGAAACTTCAGCACCGAGCAAAGACAAATTCAAATGGAAACTCAGAAGCGAATAGCGAGGACTGGTTCTGATGGAGTAAAAGTGTTTTAGTAACTCTAGGTACTTAAATGTAGTGCGGACGAAAAAAAAGCTCTGTTTAACTTTCCAGGTATGCTAAGTACGTGAATCGACGGTCGCCGGAGCACATCGAGAGGGACTTTACTTCCAGGCTACATCGAAGCTTCCAGGCTCGGGTGCTGCTGTCGGAGATGCAAACCGAGTACATTGCAATTGTGCTGGCGCCTCTTTCCATACTGCTGTTTTCCGGTGAGTTTCGCTACGTGTATAACCTGGGATACCAGAAAGACAAAAGCGTGATGTTGGCCCACCTTCTGCCCCCGTTTTTGCTCGGGCTGCTGTACGAGATTTTGGTCGACGCGCTGTGCCTGACCGTGGAGCAAACTATGTACAAGGTCCCGGTAGAGGAAGAGTGGCAGCAGTGGATCCGTCTTCCCATCAACATCGAGCTACCGCAGTCTTGTAAGCGAAGACTGTGGCCGCATCGCTCGGACGCGCAAAGCAATTTGCACACGACCTCCACGACGGCCGCGGATCTGGGATCATCTGAGTTCGACGAGAGGCCAGCCGTGGTGCGTCCGAAAATAAGGCACCATCCGTGCGCTCTGTTGTTTGTTTACTTTTTCGTTATGTTCGTTGCGTTCGTTCAATTTCTTCTTAGCTTTGACACCCTCTCCTTAATCTACCCAAAGTGTGGCGCGCGTTACTCCCCTTCAGATCGGACGCGCGAGCTTAACATCTGCGCCACATACCCAGAATGTGTCGAGATGAGACAGGATTATGACGTTCTCCAGGAACTGTGCGAGTAACTTATCTATACTAATCGCAGACGGATCATCCTCAAACGAACCACAACCAGGGCTACGGCTATACGCCGAAGATGAACATTAAGCCGTTACTTATTAAACTTGATTCTAGTACTTAAGTCTACGGGCGTTTTTTTTTGGGGGGGTTTTTCATCGGCACAAGCATGCACTGCCGACGTTGCGGCACTTACGTCGTCTATACTGTTTCTGTTTCATGAAGACAATATCCTGCACAGCCATGGCCATAGTCATAGAATCACATTGGTTCAGAGTATCTAACTTTCATGGGTGACATATTTATTACTTTGAAAGAGAAAGTCAAAGTCTAACTGCTGCATTGCGGCGGGGTGCCATTTGCATTTTCCACCTGCAATCGACAGCTGGAGTTTCCGGTACCGATAAAGATGCACGGCATTGATTTGATTTCCAAGAATTCACAGACAGTGCTGCTCGTCCATCAGCGACTTTATCGATTGTTTCATCCAAAATAAAGCGAATTAAGTCTATCTACGACTTGTGGAATGAATGTATATCGATGTTTTCTTGTGTTCGATGTCCACCTTATTTTTTTTGGTCTTTAGTTTAACTTGTTGCCTGTCTTTTGCTTTTCGTTGAAGATGTATCAAGGGGTGACTATGACTAAAGCAGTTGCGACAACATTTTAGCCGTGCTATGGCGTTGCTGGATGTGCAGGAGGCACAATCGCTAGCGTTCTCGAGGAGGTGGCCGCGGTTGCGTTGTCTGGCCGCACGGCTCATGGTCTGGACGACCAGAGCAACGCTTGTCGCGTTGCTCTTTGTTCGCGGGAGCGAGCTGCTTCAAGAAGTGCAGTCCAGCGAGGACAGCGCGTTCCGCCAAGGTGGTAATGTGCGAGGACATATTACACTAAGCGAAGATCAGAAGGACCTGGCTGCTGTACAGCAGCCCGGGGGCGAAAAGTCGAAGCTACTTTCCGACCGGGCTCCTGCGCTCAAAAGTGTTGGCGAGGAGGTGCCAGCATTTTTCCAGTACGACACAAGTCGACCACGACCGCTGGGCAACGACGCAGAACTTGATACAGCGGAAGCGTTTCTGCAGAACAATGGCTGGGCACAGGATCATGCCGGGGCTGAAGAGGCCCCGACGACAGCTGCTACGCGCGTGCCGAAGACAGTACACAACGGGCCAGCGCCGGTTGCTATTGCTTCGAAGGATGAAGAAACAACTACAACAGGAGGACAACTTCAACTTGCTGGTGCGCGGGTGACAGCGTTAACGGGAAAGAGTGCTGCCCTTGCAGGAGAAAAAAATCGGGTGGAGGGGGACCACGAGCAGCAGTGGCTTCAGATTGGAGCACATGCCACATCCGAAAACACGGGAACAAGCAGGACATCGGGGGCCAGCGCCATGAACGCGCAGAAAGATGAGGCACAACCTCCTCACCAGCCGTCACCGCTGGAGCAGCAAATTTTGCAGATGCAGGAGAAGATGTCAATGCTCGAGGTGGAGACGCAGCAAAAGATGGCAACTCGCGACGCGGAGACGCAGCAAAAGATGGCAACTCGCGACGCGGAGACGCAGCAGAAGATTTCAGCGCTCGAGGCGGAGACGCAGCAGAAGATTTCCATGCTCGAAGCAAACGCCACTGCCTGCACCAACAACGTGACCGACCTCGTGAGCGCGAGCGCAGACATGCGCCACGCCGGGGGGGTCGTGGAGGAGGTTGGTGGACTGTTTTTGGCGCACATGTTCGCTATGTCGAAGGGGGATTACGTTGCCGCTGTGGTGTACCTCCTTTCCGGATTTGCGGCCGCGCTTATTGTCGTCGCGTTGCCGATTCGCTTGGTCTTTTTTCCCAGGGAATACCACCCAGAGGAAGAGTCAGAGGGCGGCGAAGATGTCACTCCGGGACCTCCACAGCAGGGAGTGAGCGCCGTGGCAGGTGGTGATCAAGCAGACCTTCTTTCGGCCGACCACACAAATCCACCATCGCCGAAGCCGGAAAAATACTGGCTACTTCCCTGGGATTTCGCCAAGCAAGGAACTTTGTCAAGTGTGTGCCAGCGACCGGATAGCACGGAGGGCAAGATCTTTACTACGGGTTTGGTCATAGCCGAAGTTTGCACACTGCTCTCGCGCTACACACTGATCGTGTACGACCGCAACTGTATGGGGTGGGCGAGCGTTGTGAGCCAAAGACTGGACTCCATAGGCACCGAGCGATCCATCGATCTGGCGTTTCGTGTGATTTGGTTGATCGTTCCGCCTGTCCTCATGATCATCACGGCCGCGGTGCCGAGCAACAGTTTCGGGGCGAACGTTCGAAACGCAGCTCGGACGACGACGACGGCAGGACATGCAGCAGGTTCGGGAAGTAGCACCACCCGAAATCGAAATCGAAATCGTGTGTCGGTGATCCACGAGGACGATACTCGGAAATGGTTACTGCGAGGAAAAATCCCCCCTCCCCATATCGAAAAGGCCTGTTTTTCAAAATTTGCGATGCTGATTTGTGGTGACAAATCAAGTCTGTCTTGCAAGAGAGCAAAGCCAAGGCTTCCGCTGCATTTCGCAGGCGATTTGCAATGCTTCTACGCAGCTACTAGGGCAGACATGCTAAGTACCTACCCCAAGCCACCCCTTTTGCGGGCTTTGTATCTGTCTGCAGTCCCCCACCGCAAGACAAATCCTACACAAATCCGGCAAAAAAAAATCCTGCATCACAGATTTCCATTTCGATATGGGGAGGGGGAATTCTTCCTTTTGATAATGGTCGCAGGGATTTCATAGGACCGTTGGGGCCGCAGTCGCACTGCGGTTAATCTTCGAGACGCGACAGTTGTTCCAAGAGCCTGTCGACCTCTCCGTTGCACTGTTTGGGCTGTCGGATCCGCTGGATGGGCACGACCTACCTGGGTATGTGAATGCAGGCGAGCAGCGAGTGGTGCCCCGATGTTATAGCGAGAGCAAGACTTCTTACTGGACGCAGGCCTATCGCGGCTATTATTTGGGTCGATTGGTGTGGCTCTTTCTCGGGTGGCTCTTTTCGCTAGTATTTGTTGCCCTACAAGCTGCCGTGATTTGGCAGCACCGACATGCCGAGGACCGTCCAGCCAAGGACCGCTCATCGCAGTCTGCGGCCTATCTCGGAGACGATCGTTTGGCTCCGCAGTCGGCGAGCCTGATTCTTCCGCGGCTCTCGTTTACGGCCGAAATTCTTGCCATGCTCACGGTGCAAGCGCTACCCTTCTGGCCCGTCCTTCTGAAGGTAGTGCGGCATGTGCAAGGTGCAAATTGGGTCCCGCCACTGACATCCTTGGAAGGTTTGCTTGCAGCGTCGTTTGAGCACCTTTGGGGTCACCATCCACAGTGCGGGCATTACTTTGATACGGACAAGTGGTGCAGAAACCAGCCGGACTACTGGATGTGGTTTACACATCCGGACAGCGGCATGGTGCATCGATATCATTCATCGAATTGAGAGACGCCATACGAAATAGCTTGGTCTTGGGCGATGCCACACTGAGAGACGCCAGACTTGATGAAGAAATGAAAAGAATCAATACTGGTGCTCATGGGTAAACGGCAAAGCGCTGCGTTGTGCCTTACCCTTACCGACTGGTCCTCGTACGAGGGGGATCAGGCGTGAACAAGGAACATTCTTGGTCATTGGCCATGGCCGCCACTGACGCTGTCGACTGTTCGACATTCTTTCACAACTTGAGTAAAGATTCTTCCGCTTATAGTTATTTTTTCTTTGTCGACGAGGACGACGTATCCTCTTCAGCAATAGCTGAGTACGAAATGAAAATCAGTCCAAGTATGTTTGCGTGCTTTTTTTCCGGAAAAGCAGACGCTTTGGATAATTCCTTTCGTTTTTTTGAAATCCTGATCCCAACGTCGTAAGAAGTTAAGTAATCCGCCACGCAGGAGGTTAAAGACTGACATCGACGAAATGTCGTGGCTACTCGGTTCTTCATCGTCGAGCCTGCAGGACCAAGCGGTTTCTGTGCAGGGACTGGATGCCGCCGCGCACGAGACTGAGGCAGACCGACACCTGGTGAAGCAGTGGATTCGGTTTCTGGAATGTGAGGATGGGAGATTAGAATACCGTGTGGAGTATCAAATGCAAAAATGTCAGCTGTGTCTGGAAGGTTGGAGCTTGTGATGCTAACTCTGCACTCTAAAAAATAAAATCTGTATTGCATGATCAGCAAGAGGAATCTGGTTTGTGCTACGCGGGGAGGGCATTTGTCATGCGGAGTAGGCATCGCGAAGCCCTCTAAAAATCTGCGATGCTAGGTTATGCATTACAGATATATCCTGGGTCATGCAAAACATGCATGGCAATCCCGGCAACATGCCAGACCCAGACACTTTTGCATTTGATATGGAGGATCCGAATCTCGCCGCCGTGGTGCCGTTCTTGTCCTTCCGGGGGGTGTTTCTCTTCAGTCAAGCTTTGGAGATTTGCTTCCTCAACCCAACAGTCTCAGATGGTATGAGTCTTCACAGAGTTAATCTCGATTGTTTTTCTTTTTGTTTCAGTATAAAGATAAACTAAAAATCTTTCGTGCAGCGAGCAATTCTAAATCATGTGCATCATGATTTTAAATTGTTGTCATTCTCAATCTCATTTACAAAAACTATTTCTTTTCAAATCATGAACAGATTCCATCAACCGGCTAGCCGCTCTGTGTTGTATTCGTGAGGACGATTTCTTGCAGCAGCAGCACGCAGGAGCCGTGCCCGGTGGAGAAGATCATGAAAGCAAAAGGCCCACCGACTATTCCCGAATTCGTCTTCTGCTTCTGCAGAAATTGTTGCCCGCGCTGGAGCATCTAGCCACCGAAGACGCAAACTCCCTGCTTAGGCAGCAAATCTCTCCTGGCGCAACTGCAGGACCAGGAGGAGACGAGGGTAGAAGTACCCTCCTGCAAGGGGGAACTACAAACCCGACGGTAGTGTTGGAGCGCGTGAAGCAACTTGCGAAGACCCGGGATGAAATCACTACGGGTGACGAGCCGCGCTCCTCAGGGCCGCCAGAAGATGAAGCAAAGCAAACTATAGCTCATGCTGGTGGTGATGGTAATAAAGCAGGAGCAGCAGCAGTAGGTGGAAATGATGAAGTAGATAACGGGCCGCCGTCGACGTCGTGCGGACCACCCGATGAACAAGATCCGCATCAAATAAAGTCTGAGTGCAGCACGCCGCCAGATGATGCAGTGGACTTGTTTCTCTCAACGAGGGTAGCGTTGCAGCAAGTCCGAGATCTGGCGCTTCGGGCGCTGTTCAAACAGGACCCGATCGTGGATGCCTTGCGCTTTTACCGCAGAAGTCTGGAATACCAAGCGGCCGATGAGTCGCCGACCACACTGGAGCGGCATGGGGAGTTTCAAGAAGCCTACCAGTCGCGAAAGGACCTGTGTCGCTTTCTCGCAAAAGTGCGTACTTGCCTTCTGCAGGAGGCGGAGCAGTTGCAATGCTGCATCCAGCCTCTAGTGGGGGATAAAGATCATCATCATTCCGAAGTAGAGGGGATAAACAAGAACATGGCAAAGTCCAAACGCAAGAATAAATCAGCCCTGGCAGCTTTCACCGCTGTTGACGCCAGTATCTGCCGAAAGCAGAGTCGTTCGCTGATGACGAAACTGCAAAATTTGCACACGGCGCTGCGGGAATCGGCGGAGGCGCAGGGCCGCTTGGGTGAGCAGGTGCAGGAGTTGCAGCAAGAAGAGGAGCACGAGTTCCGAACCTCCATGCGGGAGAAGCTGTTGGAAACGGAGGCGGAGGTGGAGGCGCTGGAAGCCCGGTTGCAAGGCCTGCAGCAGGATGTGGAGGCGGTGTCGGGACAGTTGGCGGAAAAGCGGCGTCGGCGGGAGCACCTCACGATCCAAGCACCGACGCGCAGGCGGGAAAGCTACGAGGCCACGGTGGCGTCACTCATGGCGGAGCAGGAACGCGAGGCCGACCTGGTGCGAAAGCTGGGGATCTGCGTCGCCCCGGAAACGGCAAAATTTCAGCTGTCCAAATTGACCGAGGTGGAAATCCGGGAGAGATTGCAAGCGGTTTCCGCAAGTTTCCTGCTGCACGAAACACCAAGTAAGGGGTCGTTTTCAGGTGAGCAATCGGAGGCTGCACCGCAGGGGGGCCAGGACGAGAATGTCGGGACTAGTGCAGAGGAAGGTGCGCCGCGTGATAAAAATGACGAAAGCAAGCAAGACCAAGACACGTCGCGGCAAAGCAGGATATTAGAACCATCTTGGTCCTTTCCCAGGCTGCGCGCTGGGCTACGTGAACACTTGTATCTGCTGATGCCAAGCGTTCCGCCGGCGACTTGTCCAGCACAGCAGCGTGGTGCTGTTGCCCCATCTGCTCCCAGTTCCAACTCTGAGCAAAAAGAAGATCATGGCGCGGCCCTCGTGTCCGCTGTGCCTACCAGTACATCATCAACTGTTTGTTCCCCACTGCTATTCGAGCAGCACCAGCAAGAGCCGGGATCGTCCGAGGAGGCTGAGAGTGACCGGGAACCTTTCGCGATCATTCTCCGAACGCACACTTCGCAGCGCGAAGCCCGCCGTAGTTGTACCACCTCCGCCCAGCATCATCTACATTTTGAGCCCAGCAGTATTTCTTCGCAAGGCAACAAGGCAATCAAAAGCTCCCGCGCAGCACCTCTCTCCTCTCCCCGCACCGGCGTCCTGGATGCTTTTTTGACCGCTCCAAGTTTGCAGAGCGAGGTCGAGCGTCGGGCAACAACCCAACTTTTGACAACGCTGCAGTTCGGAATGGACCGCCTGGAAGCTGCCGCCCGATGGTTCGAGCGGTGCTCTTCCCAGGAGGAGGATCAGAACCTGCAAGAAAAAGCGAGCGGCATTTTTCAAGACGCCTGGGAAGCCAGTGAAAAGTGTTTCTTGGAGTTGTCGCCGACTATAGCAACAACTCTTGATGAAAAAGATAAAGATGGCTCTAGTACTAGTGAAAATAAACACGACCACGACGAGGAGGTCGCGTCGCTTCTTGAAAAATGGAAAAGCTGCAAGAGCCGACGCTCAGCCGTTTGGAAAAGGATGAAAGTGCACAAAAATAATGACAAGTCGCTCGGGTCCGACGCCTCAACATTTTCGCTTTCTCCACCAGCTGTGGTCGCGATCGTAAATTTGTGAACTCTACGTCTTGATGGCTGTGGAGCTGGAAGTAGACCTGCTGTTCTTCGCATGATGAGCACAGCTTCAATGACTACTTTTCAATCATAAACAAATGCGAGAAGAAGCTGAAGATCAACGATGGGGCACTGCTGGAAAGTTGTTTCCTTTATTTGCAAAATCAAGCATGTCACTTCCCTTTTTGTTTTCGAAAGAAAAGGTTGAAAAGGAAAATCCGTGTGCATGAACTAGACGCACACGCAGCACGAGAGATCTGCACGCCGATCCAACTCTAGACAAGCACTGATCCTGATTTTGGTCCGAAAAACTTTTTTGAGCTTTGATTTCCTCGGGCAATCAATATTCTATCAATCTGTGCCCGCCAACGTAATGTACTTACGAGCTTATGGATGACGGTGAAGATCTTCATTGATCTATTCCTTCGTATAATTTGCTTTTGCATGCAGCAAAAGCAAAACCATTTATTTCTACAAATTCTGTTACATTGCGATTGCCTATATGAACATGCAGAACACGAGCGGCCGTGAGTTTAGCAGGTAAACGTAGTGCAGCCACAGCTAGAGAAACAGTACGTGTCTCTATTCTCGTAATTATGGTGTCCTGATCTTCATCAGCACTGCAAGCTCAGTAGACATCTTCTAAAAGAAACTTCTAAAAACAACTCCCTGAGAATGAATCTTGGTGCTCTGTTTGCGCAGGCGCAGCGGCCGCGAATAACCGAGGCTGATTTGCTACGGGCGGGAGATGATTTCGGGAAACTAAAACAGCTCGGAAATGAGTGCTTCAAGGTTGGAGACTACGCACTGGCCGCAAGAGCTTACCACAAGGCCTCCAAGCATTCAAAAAGTACGCCGTTTCTATTCGTTGTCGTTGAGTTCGAGATTTTTCATTTTTTTTTCACTTCATCTTTCTTGTTGCTCTTGCTTTCGCATATTCATATAAAGATTCGCGTACCACTACAAGCCACTGAAAACAAAAGAAAACTGCTATTAATTTACAACCTGTCCACCTTCCTTACTCCAGACGATACCGACAGTGGCACCTTGGCTTCGAACCATTCGTTATGGGGCGTGATTACGAGTACAAGTTAGTAGCTTTCCCGGCGGGTGTGAATTGTACTTGCATGATAACTCTCATCATGAAGAAAACCTGCTTATCTTGCAGCCTTTTTATCTACATAATTGCTATTTTTTTTCGTTTTATTCGCAGCTGCATCGACCACACTGACTACAAAGCAAAACTAAAAATCGCCTCGTCCGGAAAGTCACTCCACTTTTCGTTTCTTCCGAGAAGTCCATACTTCTTTACCCTCCTGAAACTCGGTGAGCTCGAGGAGGCCCTGACGCAGGCGGAGGTCGCCATAAAGTTTCGGCCGGAGTGGGACAAGGGTTATTACCGGAAGATCAGCGCCCTGATCGCCTTGGAACGACCCGAAGAGTATCCAGTGCAAAAGCATCGTACTCGTATTGCAATCATGCACCATTACAAATTTCTTTCTTGAGGCCAGTCAGCATTACAATTTTTTTTTCTCATGCTGAGGAAATTTGTAATGCATTTATACGATTCGTGCGATTGCGATACTTTATTTGCAGTTCATAAAGAGGCAGAAAAGGTGCTAGACGACAATGCGAACATCTTCCCTTCCTCCCTCCGCGAGTCCCGCGAGGACCTCGTCGCCCTCGAGGAGCAGATCAAGGTCGCAAAGCTCCCCTGGCAGGAACTGGAGCCAAATGTGCAGCTCAAGGTCATCAGCGGCGAGCGGTCCGCGAAGGAATCCTACCTGGAAGACCTCGACGTTGTGTGGGTATCTATTTTTGAAAGATGGAAGCTTGTTTTGAATATTAACGACAGACGCACGACCCAAGGAAAAACGTCAAGCGCTGCAGCGCTTTTGCATGATCATCTTGTAGTTCTCCAAGAAGAAGTAGAACTAGAAGACAACTCTGTCATACGATTGCGATATTAATGGTCGACGTAGTAGAAGTTTTCTACGAACTACAACAAACATTACCATTCCCGTCAAAGAAAGAAATAAACCACATCGCAAGTAGGTCCACTACCGGGTGATAAATGGAAAGACGAAAGAGTTGCTGAACTCCACACGTACGGAGTTCATTGGCGGGGAGAATCCCAACGCCGCCCCGCGCAACATCACGCTTGCCGAGTACGAGTGTCCGGATATCCTGGACGCCGTGCTTCGCCGGTTCGAGGACGGCGGCGAGGGGATCGTGCGCACCACCGGGCCGTGCTCCTACTACCCTGAGGAAGGAGGTGGAGAGCAGCTGCAGCACCTGGAATTCCAGTTTCAGGTCTACAAGCATGAAAAGGCGGTCACTCAGGCGACAGGTATAGTAATTTCTTGAACAGCTCCTAGCGCAAGTAGGAGTAGCGGATCAGAATCATTGTCAATGGCCGTGAAGATGACGTTGAAGTCTTTTTTGCTACGTGCCCTCGCCTTCTGCTTCTGCTTGTGATCTTCTTATTTTTCAACAAATCTATAAAATAAGACCAAGATTTGGATTTCCCATTTCGTCGCATAATTTCGATCTCCCAGCATGTGCATGAACTGAGCAATTCTTGACAGGCACGAAGGATGTCGCTGCGGATTCGAGCGCCGGCAGTGGCTTCTTGAATGGAGCTGTCAGCTCAAAAGAGAAGCTGGATACGTTCGTTATGATCTGCAGCTCAGAAGATGTTGTTGCATTCATCGTCTCATCAATCAGAGTTCTTCATTTGGATTGCATATATAGACACACAAGTATCTATACAGTTAGATGAAATAGCAATGGCTATATGGTGAACAAGTGGTTTTGAGGTCAAGCATAGGAGTAGAACTCGCGAAGAGAAATTGCAATCAAACGACGTCTGAGCATTCCATATTCCACCGCTCCAAGGCCGCAGCGGACCAGCAAGAGGCAGAGGCGCTCGAGGTCGCTTGGAGCGTGAAGAAAGGTGGTATGCTCGCAGCGCGCCGGTTCCGTCGCGCACTAGAGTTCTGCAAGCAGCTGTCGTCATCAAACAGCTCTCCTTCCAAAAGTGGCGGTGCTGGCGGTGGCAGCTCTTCGTCCAGCAAAGAAACATCCAGTACCGGAGTCTCGGCGCAGAGCGACGGCGATCAACAACCCGTCGGTACAACCGGCACCACTTCTACGGAAATAAGCAGCAAGCATCTGCGCGAGCTGGAGGTGAAAGCGAAACTGGGACTCGCGCGTTCGCTCGTCATCGCGCAACATGTGTTTGCGGTCGAGAAGGCCGACCGGGGGGACTTTGGCAAGGATCTGGTGAAGTTCCTGGCCTCGAAGGGGCACAAATCCGCCGTGGAACAGAGCGTGAGTACAGACGATATCAAATGCAAAAATGTCTGGGTCTGGAAGCTTGTGATGCTAAAATGTGCATGATGAAAACACTTCCGAATGCAGTCCGGCATGACAACTTCCCAAAACGCTTTCTCGTAGGCAATCCGCATGAGAAAGTGCGTTTTTGCATGACAAACGAGGCTACGACTTTTGTTGGTTATGCAATACAGATTTTCTAGGTATGGAAAGCTAGCATTACAAGTTCCAACCTTCCAGACCCAGACATTTTTACAATCCATAGACGAGGTGGAAGAAGCATTGAACCTTGCGGACGACGTCCTGGCGACCGCTCCGGGTGGCCCCACCTGCGAGCACTACCTGGTCAAAGCAGAAGCGCTCAGTATATGAATCACTTTAGTAGGATCAACTTCTGTTTTACCAGCAGTTTTACATTTATACTTCACTCGTGTTTATTTTAATCGGCTTCGGCTCCTCGTCATGTTGATCGCAGATGTGCATGTGTTAGCGCTGGACCGCCCGGTGCTAAAATGAATTCAAAGCAATTTCAAAGTGAATTCAAAATGCCAGCGTTTTTGATTTCTGGTTGGTTGTGCCTCGTCTATCAATTATACAAGACTGAGACTCGTGTCTCTAGTCGGTGTTCCACGACAAAAATAACTAACTACAGACGCACTCGACCGGCTGGAGGATTCCCTGGCGGCGATCGAGTATGCATTCCAAAAATGCCTGGGTCTGGAAACTTGTGATGCAAGAAAGGGAATAGTGAGCAAACTGTTATGCGCTGCCAAGCATGACAAGTTTTTCCGTGGTTCTGAGTTGCGTACTCCGCAAGAGAAACTGCGTTTTTGCATGACAAGCAAGAGGAACTCATCGCGGTGACGCAACACAGAGTTCAGAGTCATGCCAGAATAGCATGACAAATCTCGCAACTTCCCAGACTCAGACATTTTTGCACTCGATATCGAGGAAGGCTTTAAGCTCGACCCGAAAAACGAACCATTGCGCAGCGAGCGCGCCCGGGTGAACCTCAAGTTGAAAAAAACGGGGGCCGCCAACTCGGCCGAGCAAGTGAAGGCGTGGAAGGAGCGGGTGGACACCGAGATCGCGAAAACGGACGACTCCGAGCGGAACCTGAAGTGGATTCGGCAGATGATGCTGGACTTGGGCGACATGTGCGACAAGAGCGCGGTACAGTGGGACCAGCTGATGACAATCAAGATCGGCAAACCCATCGGGCAAATACAAAAGGCCTCGTGGGCCCAGGCGTCGGAGGTGGAGGGCGAGGATTCCCTGAACCAGCTCGCGACCAAACTTATCAAAAAATTCCGCAACATGGCCGAAAACAACCGTCCGCTTTGGAGCTAGAGGATGAAACGGAAACCAGAAAGGACCACTTTCTTCAACACAGACCCTTCACATGATGCTGACTACCCGAACGCCAACGTCGCACACGCACTTACCATATTAACGCATGAAGATGAACAAGCAGCAACATCACAATGCAACCGCATCGAGCAGCACAAAAACAAAATTACGACCCGCTAATTGATCGTGCAGTTTTACTTTTACTCCTTACGCCCGGCGACGCAATTCATTGATTCAGAAACCGCTCAGTCGATTTTTCGCTTGAAGATTTGACACGACAACGTACGCGTACCAAGTAACCTTGCTGAAGTGCTACTTCAGTTTATTGCACCCGAGCTCTTTGAAGCGCTGCCGTGGGCTTCCTCTCCCTGGTGTTCGCCACCTCATCTGTGCCTGATATAGTACTCGTGACACTCATCATTCTGTTGAAATTATTCGTGATCGCCGTTCCTGCATCCTGTGAGTGAGACGAGAGTCGTGATTGTTGCATTCATTGTTGCATCGACGGGTAAGAGAGAACGTGTGTGATTGTGCGTGTCGTGGTGTGCTCGATCGTCGAGGGGGACCATCTTCAAGTCATCTTGGTTGCACCTACTTGTACTAGCTGCCACCACTTCTTCTGCGAGAAGTACATGGTCCACCCAAAAATCAAAGCATGTCTTTGAGAAGATGACGCGTCTGCGTCCCCGCCCACAACCGCGTTCTCTGGATATAGGACCTCACCGCGAAGAACCTGAAGCGACAAGCCGCGCATTCCTGTGACGTCGAGAAGCTTGTCGTTGCAGCTGGTGGTCACGTATTAAAATAACTTCCTGCACCTCCTTCTACTCGCCTTGGTGCTACCAGGGCTGCGGGACGCAGCTTTGGTTTGCGTTTGTTGACTTCTTCTCGGGATCGTTCTCGCGGCAAAATAAATCGGGAATCACTTGAAAAGCATTTTGGTCGACGAAGTAGAAGAAGATGTCGGCGTACGTGCTATCTTGGTTGAACGACGAGCTACAGCTCTCGGCCGGCCAGGTCACCGTGATCGAAAAGCAGTTTGCCTCGGGTATGGCGTTCTCAAACGTTACATTCTCAGCTGTTACATGAAATTTGTCATGCAAGAATGGCAAAAGTGAAAGGGAAAAGATTGGCCCTTTTGCATTACAGGTTTGGAGCAGATTATAATGGTAACTAGCGCGTCGAGAAGTTGTCATGCGGAGAAGGCTTGATCGTGTGCAGAGCGATAGTGTTTTTGCATGACAAATCATGTAACAGTTGAGAATGTAACATTTGAGAACGCCATATCGGGATACCTCTTCGCGGAAGTGCTGCACCGGGCGCATCCAAAAATTGTCACGTCGGACGACCTATCCTGTGCAAAAGTATCGTACTCGTACTGATTGCAGTTATGCATTACAAATCTCCTCCACAAGGCAAATCCGCATTACAAATTTAATTTGTAATGCTAGGCCAATTTGTAATGCAATTTATACGAGTACGATACTTTTGCAGTTCATATGACCTGGCTGAGTTCCTCAATGACAAAAAAGGTATCAGAATGTTGTGACGAGTCATTCTCATTTAACTACGATCCAATCAATCTGGTTGTGGACGACATATGATACCGATATTACGCCGATATTATGTAGTAGAACATCAAAAACTTCTGTTGAGACTCTTCTGAAACTGAAGAAACTCGTGTTTCACTTTCATCTTCATGATCTTGCGATCGACACATCCGGATCCGTATAAAACAGCAAAAGGCGTGACGGTCGCGGGCGCGAAGAAGCACAACGCGGGTTTGCTCCGCAAGACGCTGAAGAAATGCGAGTTCATACCGTACCAGGACGATTTGGTGGAGCAAATCATGGGAGAGGACCGGGGCACGAGCCTGCGGTTGCTGTACCAGATCCGCAAGTATGCATTGCAAAAGTATCGTACTCGTATAAATGCATTACAAATTTCCTCAGCGTGACAAATGAAATTTGTAATGCAGATTTGCCTTAGGACAGAGATCTGTAATGCAAGAGTTACATTTATACGAATGCGATACTTTTGCACAGGATAGCAAGAGCCTGGACGAGCCGAAGGTGCACGAGAAGCCGGAAAAAATTCCCAAGCTCCCCCGGACGGAGCTGGATGCGTCGGACGTGTACTGGTACAACCTGGGCGGCCATATCTCACGAAAATGTGTTACAGTTACACATTTGTTGGAGTTCCTGCATCACAAAGTTGCTCGACATGCCAAAGCAAACCTGTGATGCGCAGACTATAAGGGAAAACACGAATGAAATGAGGCTGGCAACAAGCATTTCTTGCATGACAGCGGTTGCCTGTCTTGCTTGTTTCGCAACACAACGTGTAACTGTAACACTTTTTTCTTCGCATAGCCCACAAGGAGCCGTTATTGAAGCCCTTCTTCGACGAGGAGCGGCAGCAGATCATCCACGGGCTGGAGCTGGACGAGCAGCAGGAAGCCGAGATTCTGCACAACCGGGACGTGAACCGTGCCTACCTGCTGCAGAAGGAGGTGGAACGCCGCCAGGAGATGGCGGACGACGACGAGCGAGTGCTGCAGTTCTGGCGGAACACCTACCGCGCGGACGTGCGGAAGACCGCGGAGGAGGTGCGGGTGGAGCGCGAGGTGCTCGCCCGGGAGCAGGCTACCATCGACCAAACGCGGCGGTACTACCGAGGCCAAGCCTTCAACGGGATCGACGGCTATGAGCGCAACCTGCAGCGGATCGGGATTGACACCAGCGAGAACGCCGGAACGGATGTCGGTACCGAGGGAATACAGAACATGGGCCAACTGATGGAAAGCATGAAGTCTAGGTACGATCAGCAGTTGCAGTTCTAGTTCGCGGAAGATACAAGAACGTCGTTGTATACGTACAATTTGTAACGATCATCGGTGAGCTGAAATTGCTGAATGCTGCTTGAATGTTGAACCTGCTCAACCTTTTGTCTTAGTGAAGCATCTAGATGGTACTAAAAGATTTCAATGCGGATCAGACTCGATGCCGCCAAGAAGAACTACAACATGACACGTACATAAACAGGTTACCAACCCGCAAGAACTTGTTTTTGGAGTGCCTCGCGAAGATGCGAAAGATCAAGGCGGGAGGCAAGACCAGAAGACGTGCGGCCGTTGAACGCGAGAAGCGACGAAGAAAACAGCGGGTGCAGACGGCCGCAGAGGCAGAAGATCTTGCGAAAACCACCGCACTGAAAACCGAAACGGATAGACTCACACAAGTCATGGCTACGCAGCAAAAGGCGGCAAGGCTACACTACTTGCAGCGGGCCTTCGAGGAAAAAGAAACAGAGCACAGAGCGCTCCTGCAGACCAAGACCGCGGCAAGAAGGTATTTTTGATGGCTTTTTTTTGGGTAATATACTCTGTACTTAGCTGTACGCATGATCATGTTGTTCCCATTTCGTTCTACAGCAGTCCCAGTCGCGTGATGCTGGGTCATTAGTTGCTAAATGAATTTACGTGATTTTTGCAGAGTTAACATTGTTGGAGACAGGAAAGTGTTGATGCCCATGTAGTTGCTTGAGTCCGTAACCTACTTAAAGAATTCCAAGCGCCACTGATTTCTGGTGGCATAATTGTCACCTCAACCACTTCATCTCGATTGCACGACAGGAAATCCGAAAGCGAGGACCGGTGGGCCGCTGCGTCGCAGATAGTACGAGAGGAGTACACCGGCGCGCACTATCCAGGAAAAAACACCAACTCCCATCCAATTTGTCATGCAAAACATGCAAAGGGAAAGGCTGCAGTGTTTGTCATGCAACAAATGGATGGGTATGCTATGGGTGTTTTTTCCTGGATGCGCAGGCTGCTGTCCGGAAAGACCACCACGAGACGTTCGTGATGATGGAAAAGGACCGCAAAGCGGCACGGGAGTACAAGCACGCCTCTTACTGTGACCGCGTACTCGATGACCTCGTGCACATCGCGGACAAGATATGGGAGTGCACAATAAAAATTCCCCCTCGCTCTCATTTGTAATGCAAAATACCAAATCCACCTCCTAGTCTTACTTGCGTTGTTGAAGCGCCGTCCGTATGACAAATTTTAGAACCTTAAACTTAAACAGTACTACAATCCGGGCGCAGGAGAAGATATGTAATGGTGCGAGAGACCCACAATTTCTGCCGTTACTTCTACTTGTGTTGCTGTTCTACTGCCATACAAATGACGGGGACGGGGGGGAGTTGTGCACTCTCATAAAAGATTTTTCGCCACCGCCAGGCCAAGTACCAAGCCACCGGAGAACTGCCCCCGCCGTCGATGCCCCCACAAGACTACCGTGTTTTTCTCGAAGAATTCGTCGAGATGGGTGCTGGGCCGAGGCAGCCGTAGAATTATTTTAGCTAAAACTTCTTGTTGTTGTTTGCCTTTGCTGTTCATCTTGACAGACAATTTGCATTTGTCCCCTGACTCTCCTCCTTCGTTTTGATGATCCTTTGATACTGTTACTGTCACTGTCTGCAACATGGGAGGCATAAGTAGAAAATTTCGATTGTGGTCCACAAGAACCTCGACCACATATGAAGTCAATGTCAACAGAAGTACTTTATACAAACACGTCGAATTATTATTATAAACAGGCGTCCAGATTTGTCTTCTGACGGCGACAAGGAGCCGGAAGCATTGCCCGTGCCGCCTGCAGGACCGATTGTGTCTCGGCTGGGCTCCGACGCGATCGTGCGTGACTTTTTTTTCAGTCAAAATGCCTGGAGCGTTTCCGCCGAACAGGCCGCCGCACTCGCAGCCGCCCGGGAGGAACTTCCGCCGCCAGAGTTTGCGTCCTATCAACCGCAAATATGTCTGGGTCTGGAAACTTGTGATGCTGGGTGGCGTCTCATGATGAGGCCACAAGTGCTGGCTCAGCATGACAAGTTTCTGAGCTGCTAGGTGTTGCCTATTCTGCATGACAAACTGCGTTTCTGCATCACAGAAAAGTTGAGCTTTTGGGTAACGTGCATGACAGATTTAAGAGTCCTGCCAGACACGCATGACAAACGTGCACTCTTGTTCCAGACCCAGACATTTTTGCATTTGATACGTCCGTCGCGGAGACGATCACCAAGATTTTCCAGGACGACGCGTACGACACCAAGCTGCAAGTGCGCAAAAGCGTATTTGAAAAAATTCCGGAGATCAAGCTCGAAGATCCTTCCGTAGGAGCAGAAGGTGATTCTGCTCCACCCGCGGAGGGGGAAGAAGATCCGAAGGCTGTTGCGGCCCGGTACTTGCCCGCACCCACCCGGGAAGACATCGAGTTTGTCCTCGTCAGCGGCCCGCCGCTGTCGGGCAAGCGGTCTGTAGTGCAGGCGCTGGCAGGTGACCACGTCTTTGTCGTTATGAATTGCAAAAGTATCGTACTCGTACTAGTACTACTACGCACTACTCGCACTCATGCATTACAAATCTGCTTCTCAAGCAGGAAAATCCGCATTTTACAGATTTTGTTTCTCGTCATGCTGAGGACGAATAAATTATTTGTCATGCAAAAATTTATACTAGTAGTACGATACTTTTGCATCTGATAGTCGTGGATTACGAGCAATTGATCACCGGGGCACACGCAGTGTGGCTTGACTACAAGGTACGTATATTTAAACATGGTTCGGTGTCATAATGCTAGTACCTCCTCTGTTCCTATCGTATGCAGATCAGTACAACGGCGGGAGCATAGATATGGTAGGTCTAGGTGGAGGAAAAAAATGGAACGGGAAGTGCCACCAGAAAGCAAGACGTCGTCGTCGATCTTTCAGTTTACTTTTCTGGTGACCTAAAAAATGAAAAACGGAAAAATGTTACAGCCCGAGAAAGTCGAGAACCCCGAGGACGAACCCGCACTACCGTTGGAAATCTCCGCGCTGACGGAAGGGCACGCGGGCAACACGGCTGCTTTCGCGCAGATGAAGGACGAGCTCCTGGCAGCTCTCGACCTGCCGCCGCCCAAGAAGGGCGAGCCTGCCCCGGGCGAGGGCGTGGCGAAGAAGTATTTAATGCAGACGGAGCTGACCCAGAGCATGTTCGAGAAGCTGCTGAAGACGCACTTGGCAACCACGGTAGACGAAAAGTGCACCCCTTACCTCGCGTCCGCGTGCCTGCAGAAGCGGGAGAAGATGGCGACCGACCTGGCCGCACTGCAGGAAGCACAAAAAAGCGCGGAGGCCGAACTGCACGAAATTCAGAACCCGCCAGCGCCCGAACCGGCGGAGGGCGAAGAGGATGAACCTCCCCAAGCGCCAGAAGTTGACCAGGAAGCGCTTGCGGAGGCGGAGGCGAAAGTTGACGCCGCGATCCGAGCAGTCCGCGAGTGGCACGCCAAGGTGAAGAGGATATGAGACTGCACAACTCGTCGTCCCCCTTCCCCTCGTTTGTTATGCCAAATTCCAAATAGAAGACGACCCCTTGCTTGTATAACACAACTGTTTGCATGAAAGATTCCGGAATGATCCAAAACAGCACTATAGTCCTCTAGGAATTTGTCATGCAAAAGGTGCATCTTTGCCAGCGCTTGCGTTGCTGTTCATGCAACACATCAAATGAGGGGGAGGGGGAGTTCTTGTGCACTCTCATAGAGGAAGCCGCGGTGCTACATCGTCCTCGCCGCAGACTACTACCCCATGGACGCTGCGGAAACCACGTCTCTGATGCACAACTGCATTTTGCCGATTCTGGGCTGTGACCTGGCCGCGCTGGACTCGGAAACTGCGAGCAGCGCGTTGCCGAAGCCTACGGACTCGGAATCGCGGAAGACCAAGGCGCAGCGCGCCAGCGCGGTGCTGCTGCCAGAGTTGGGGTTGCTCCGGGATGGTGCCATGGTACCGCCCGGCAGTCCGGCCAGCTCCTCTTCTAGCGGTTTTTATTCCCGTGCGTCGAGTAAAGCAAGGCAACCCATCGCGACACTGCCGTGCTTGCGCAAGGTGTATTTGAGCGCCGGCCCGGAAGTGTACGAGCGCCCGGACGACCCTTCGCGGCTGCCGGAGACGTTTTTCAACACGGGGGCAACAGCAGAGGCGGAAGGCGAAGGCGCCTCGGCAGCAACAACCTGCTCCGTCTTCCCCTTCGTCAGAGCCACGACCCACCCGCTGATCGACCGGGTGTACCAGGCAAAGGTTGCACTGCAGAGTGCAGTATCGAATGCAAATTAATATGTCTGAGTCTGGATGGATTCGAATTTGTGATGCGCGTTTTGGATCAGACAAAAATCTGTCATGCGTGGACAGCAAATATTAATAAAGACTCCTACTTTATTTCGTCATCAAAATCTGGAATTGGAAATCGTCTCAAATAAACCTGTCGTGATGCAATCGCACGCTTGCATGCCAGAGCTTCTGCTGGGTCATACAAAAACTGCATTACAAAGTCCGCACTCTTCCAGACCAAGACCCAGACATCATGTTTGCATTCTATATGCAGCCCAAAGTCCCTTCACCCCCGTGGCAGCCCCCGCGTCTTCCAGTTCCAAGGCGCCGCGGTCCAAGAAATCCGGCAGCATGATGGGCAGCTCCGCCATGCTGTCGGCGTCGGCCTCCGCCTTCCCGCTCGGCGCATCCTCTGCTGCTCCCGCAGGAGGTGCTCCGCGAGTGCCGCCGCCGTCCAATTTCCAAGTGTTCCGCACCTCCACCGACGAGGGGGTCCGCCCGGTCGTGGACATCGCCAGCGACATTCGTAACGCAATGCTGGTGCCCGAGACCCCGGTTCTGCCGCCCGTTGCGCCCGCGTCGGACGGGACGGAGTACGAACAATGGGGCCAAGTGGCACTCGCCTACGAGCAAAAGTGCCTCAACCTGCTCGACTCGCTGACGGGCCAGACGCAGACTTTCTTTCGGGAGTTGGAGGACAAAAAACAGAGCTTCGAGAAGTTCATGAACCTGTATGACAGTGCACAACTCCCCCTCCCCCTCATTTGTCATGCAAAATACCCAGTCCACCGCACCGCTTGCCTCTACTTGGCACTGTTTGCATGACAAGTCCGGGTAGCTCAACGAGCACTATACTCCATTGCTAATTTGTCATGCAAAACTGGCATTCTACTTGCTGATGCTTGCATTGCCGTTCATGCTATACAAATGAGGGGGAGGGGGAGTTGTTCACTGTTATAACCTGAAAAACGAGAACTTGAAGCAGCCCATCCGCGAGGCGGGCCGCAGCGTATGCATCGCAAATATGTCTGGGTCTGGAAGGATGCAACTTCTCATGCTAAATCTGAACCATGCAAAAATCTGTGTTGCGTGATTACCAAAAGTCGTCCACTTTTGACCAAGTTGGGAGGGGGTTGCTCATGCAGGATAGGCATGATATTGATAGAGATCCTCGCACAGAATCTGTCATGCTATGTCCTGCATTCCAGACCTCATGGGTCATTGAAAAACCGCATGACAAATCGCGCACTCTTGCAGACCCAGACACTTTTGCATTTGATAGAGCGCCGTGCGGAACGACAACGCCGCCGAGAATGTGTCGGACCTGTTGTGGGCGGAAGCTAACCGACGGCGGAAGGACTCGGAGGAAGAATTTACAAAAACCTACCTCGACGACAGCGCCTGGTGGAAGTCGAAAATTTTAGATTTTCTCCTCAAGACGTAGAACCCGCTCAAGTGTTACAAGAATCTCAAGCGTTACAATAGAATATGGAAATCTGTGATGCAAGAGTGCATGATCTAGCCATCAACTCTAATAGGAATGCGCATGACAAGTTCCGGATCCACCGCGACCGCCCCAAACGCCAATACAATCTGGCGAAATTTGTATTGCAAAAGGTGGAACGCTGTGCGAGTCTGGTGTCAACATGCTCATCATGCAACACAAATTCCAGACTCTGTTGCTGTAACGTTTGAGATGGTAACCGATTTGAGCAAGTCATAAGACGGCCGAGCAGTTTCTCGAAGCCCACTGGCTGTACGCGATCGAGTATCCAAGAAAAAAACGTTGTTAGTGTAAATTTGTGATGCGCAACATGCAAGACGGTTGCGTCTGTCATGCTTGGCATGCATCGTAGGGCCCATTCAACGGCGTTTTCCCATACTATCTGCGCATGACAGGGATTTGCTTTCATGCGAGAGATTTTTGTCATGCTATTGCTAATCCTCCAAGAAAGTGACACCTACAATGTTTTTTTCGTGGATATCGAGCTCAGCGGTCTGGTGGCGGGCGTATCCACGGGTGACGCGGCAACCGCGGTCGGGCCAATATGAACTGCAAAAGTATCGTACTAGTATAAATTGCAATACAAATTTCCTTAGCATGAGAAATGGAATTTGTCATGCTGTTTTAGCTTAGAAAGGCGATTTGTCATGCATAATTGCGATTACTACGAGTACGATACTTTTGCACAGGATAGCCAACCACCTTTACCAAAACGTCACCTCCAACTTCGAAGAAGTTTCTCGCCGGAGGCGCGATGCAGCACTTGCCCATTCCCGGGGACGACAACGTGTTCGCTTTGGGTCGATTGGTGATGAACACATCACCCCTGCCGGGAGCACCATCACCAGAAGGAGACCACCCAGGAGCCGTTGCTGTCCCGGTCAGCGAGGCTATGCGATTATTGGACGCTTTGTGTCACATGTATTCCAGCGCGGCCGCCACGACGTCGGAACAAATAAGCAGTCCGATAGATCCAGGTGTGCAACCGTTCTACCTGGAAAGGTGTCACTCCACGCTCGCAAAGTTTCGTGACCTGGCTATCCTGAGTAAAAACCAACCTCCCCGCGGATTGGCAGTGTAGTACTCGTCTTTAGGTAGTGAAGCATCATCAAAGATCTAGCGCATCATGCTAGTAGTTCGAGCGTCACAAATCTCAAAACACGTACGAGAAAATGCTTATCTATCATGATGGGCTCCGCACGAGAAACATTTGCATTTACTTACAACTCTGGGGGCGCGGGAATGCTTTTACGCGGGATACTTGCCCGCACGATCGAGGCCACGACACGACAAACGCTTGTGGAAATGGAGGGCTGGATTGCAAAAAGGGTATAACATACGTGAAGATAATTTTTCTCACAGGAGCAAGTAGAAGCTTGAGTTTTCTTCTTGTGCATCGCGATGCTTGAACCACGATGATCACGTCGGATATTAACAAGTAAATGAAAAACAACGTCAAAAATTCAAACACCGCCCCACGAGGTTTCTTTGGAGAACGAGGTAATCAACAAGTACATGGAGGCGATTCGCATCCGCGTCGCCGCGGAAGTGGAGCCCCCAGCGAAGAGTAAGGAGAAAAAATTGATCGAGTATGCCGTGGAGACGTCAATTTTGGAGGAGTGTACCCCCGTGCCGTCGTTTGCGGTCCAGCCACCGCCTGGGTCCGTTCCTCCGCGCACGACCATTTCGTCCGCTTCCAGCGCGGCAAGCGCCGCTAGTTCCTCGTCCCAGAAGTCGGCACGCGGAGGTTTTTTTCCGAGTAATTCCTCGAGCACCTCCTCGTCCGCGTGTAGTTCTTTCTCGGGAGCCGTGATTGTGGACAAATTCCTCAGTTGTGCATCTTCAAGGCCTGCTGGCGGCGCGTTCAGCAACGTGTTGATAAATGGGTCCTCCTCCTCGTCGTCGTCCAGCACAACTCCATCTTCGTTTATTCAGAAATTGGAGGCCATGTACCTGGCCGGTTGCCGCTACGAGGTTTTGGACCAGTTTCCTCCCTCTCTGCTCCGCTTCCCGGTGGACAAACTTTCGGACTTCGCCCGGTTTGTCCCCCCAAAGTGGTGCGGCTCCCCGCTGGTGCCGCTCTTGTTCTACAACCGGAGTTTACAGCCCGACGCGCTGGCGAAAATCCTGGCTGCGTGCACATCCGCTACGGATCTTCTCACCGATATGGAAGCGTCAGGACTGAAATCGTCAAAGTTGAAATACTTTGTGATGCATAAAATGCTAGACGCAAAGGGCCTGTCTTGCAGAGCAGGCAACTGAGGCCGATTATCAGCCTGCTTGGGGTGTGAGGTAGAGCTGCTAAGATAGCATGACAAAAGCAGTCTTCTCTGCTCAAACAGCATGACAAATTGTAGTTCCATGCTCCCAAAATTTGTCATGCGCCACTTGCAAGCTGGGCTCCAGCTTGTATCGCTTTTCTGCATTACAGATTATTTCAACTTTGTCGATTTCATTCCTGACGCTCCCATAACCGAAGACAGCTTTGCGGGCATCGGCGGGCTCTGGTCGCCGCCTCCTGCGTCGCCGGAGGAGGGGCGGGTGCTCAATCGACTGCTCTACGGGGCCGCTACCGGCATTCTCGGGTAAGTACGGATTGCTCATGCTTCTTGTTGTGTGACTTTCACCTTTGATGTTTATTTTTTTTTCTGCGTGCATCTTGTAGTAGTAGTTCATCGAGGAGGTCAACACATGTTCATGTTGATGTTGATTCTCATTCTTTTTTATTCGCTTTGGTTGAGTTGCTGCCTTTCCTTGCTGAAATTGGTTCTTTAACAGTTCCCCCGGAACTACTTCTACCTAAGATCTATCACAACAGGATGTGGGCCCTTCTCTCCGGAGCCGATTTCCCCCCAGGATCCGCGTCCGGCTCCGGGAGCCTTTGTGAGCCCGTGCTGGCTATGGATTGCAAAAATGTCTGGGTCTGGAAGATTGCAACTTGTAATGCTGTTTTTGGATTCCAAAATAATCTGTATTGCATGACCAGCAACAGGACTCCAGTTTGTGTTACGCGGAGAGGGCATTTCTCATGCGGAATAGGCATTAGGAAGCCCTCTAAAAATCTGTGTTGCTAGATCATGCATTAGGGGCATCAGTCATCATACAAAAGATGCATGACAAGTCTGCATTGATTCTTCCAGACCCAGACATTTTTGCATTTGATACTGGCGGTTTTGGAGAGCGGAGCACTGGAGTTCACTGCGACACAAATAGACGATCTGGCGTATGAGGGAAAAATTTGCACTGCACCCAGAGCCAGAGCCTCACAGCACCAGCACCAGAGTACAACAAACATATTAATCCACTGCAGGTGCTGTCCGAAGATCTACGCAGCCTACGGAGGACGACTAGACATATCTAGATCTTCGTCCTTAGCAGCGTAGAAGTACTGTGGAGATAGTCCACAGGACTACTAGACAGACACTACGACAAGGCGACTCTAGTACTTTTTTAGGCTGTTGCACACGCTGGGCCCTTTATGAGTACTATTGCGCAACCGCAAGCAGAGAGAAATCAGTAGGACATTATGTTGCGGTGGATGTATGCGCAGAGTCCTCTGTGGTCTAGAGGCACCACTTCTAACAACTGTAGCTGTAGTTCCCCCGCCCTGGTGCTTGCACGTAAGTGTAGTTTCAGTTTGTATACTCCGTGAACATGGTTTGTTGTGTGCCGTTGCAGATTTGTTTCCCTGTACATGGCGTATCCGAACCCCGTCGAACAGAAGGCACGGGACGACTTCAAGCAAGCAGCACACGCTGCTAACCCGCTGCTAGAGCAAGCCGCAGCCGGGATTAATATGGCCGCGGAGACCACAAGCCCGGCGGCAGCAGCAGGAGACCACCCCCCGTCGCAAACCACTCCAGTGGCCGGGGCGGGTGGCGAGATGACCATGCTGATTCCCCCGCCAACCGTTGGAACAGGAACTCCGGAAAACCCCGTCGTTGTGCCGGTCAAGCTTTCCCGGAGTGTATTCGCATCAGCGACGGAGGCACAGAACCTCGCGCTCGCTGTGACTCCGCTGCTACCTGGCGATTCTCTCGTGCAAAACTTTTTTTCCTTTCTCCTCGTCACACTGCCACTGCACCAGCCTCCACCCAAGCCGGTAGCTGCTCCTGCCGCGGCCGAAGACGGGGAGCAGGCCCCCGCAGCGGAAACTGCAAACGAGCAGGGCGAACTGCCACCAGTGGAGGTCGAACAGGCGGCGCAAGCACTTGATGCGGAAACCTTTTCCCTGCACTGCCTGCTGCAAGTGGTTGGGAAAATGTTGCCCCCAGTACTATATCCATTGTAAAGTAGGTATCGCAATAGTATAAATTGCATCACAAAAAACAAAAAATCTAGAAGAAAAATGGAATTTGTAATGCTGCTGGAAGATATACGTAAACTTAAAATTAAAAAGGGATAATTTTCATGCATGATATTTATATTAGCAATTACTACGAGTACGATACTTCTTTTGCACAGGATATACTAGCGCCGCCCGCAGCCGAGCCGGAGGAGGAAGTTGTAACTGCGGTGGCGGAACTGTCCAGCTTTATCGAGAAGTACTTCAACGCCACCAGTATTGAGGAGAAGCTGGCGGTGGATGAAACGACGAACGACTTGCGGTATCCTGTGCAAAATCAAAAATATCGTACTAGTAGAAATCGAATGTTGACAAATTTGCGCAGCACGTCACATAGAATTTATTATTTGTAATGCTGATTTATTAGCTGGTTGGGAAGATGAAGATGAAGATTTGCATTTGCCATGCACGATTGCGATTACTACAAGCCCGATACTTTTGCGTTGTATATAAGTCTGTCCCGCGAACTGTTTTTCGCGTATCCAGCAGTCTACCCGCCTATGGAAGCGTCAGGTTTGAAATCGACAAAGTTGAAATGATTCGCCATGCATAAAATGCAAGGCATGAAGTGCCTGTCTTGCCGGGATGGCAAGCGTGGCCGACTGTCAGCCTATTTAGGGCTTGAAATAGAGCTGCTAAAGTAGCATGACAAAAGCAGTCGTCTGTGCCCAAACAGCATGACAAATTCGATTCCGGTTCTCGGGAAATTTGTCATGCACCGCTTGGAAATTGGGCTTCCAACTGGTATCGATTTATGCATTACAAGTTATAATTTCAACTTTGTCGATTTCAAACCTGACGCTTCCATACCGCCCGTGGCCAAGATCTTGGCTGCATGCGCGTCGCGATTCTTCCGCACGCAACCTGTCACTTGGGACTGGTGAATGATCACCGATTGGTGCACGAATGGTCGTGGTCCTCTCGTAGTGCATATCGTGCGAAAGTACTTTTCTAAGCTCCTGCCTGAGTGAGAATAGAAGTACATCAAAATTGCAGTCTGCACTAGTCGCAGCTGCTTCTTGCACTCGATAACTCCAAGACCGCACGTCGTCGCGATCGTGCAATGATCGCTAAGAAACGAAAAGAGAAGGCACTACAAGTATACTAGATCCTACCAATAGCAATACTAAATTATGACTTCCCATAAAGAGGAATAGCAATAGGTACTACTGTGAACACACACAAGTAGATAAACCAGACAACTACAATTGATGAGCAAAGACGATGAGGTTAGTTCGTTGATAGCAAGCCCAGCGTCTGAAAAGGACATGGACAAATACGAGCGAAATGCAAGCAAAGTGAAAAGCATTTTCTTGAAAAAAAGGAACACAAGAGGAATGAGTTTCGATTGGGTTCTCGCAGTGTTCTCTTTGCCAAACAAAAAAAAAGCCATGGTGTGAAGAGAGGCAGTCTGTGTCTACTAGTCGTGTTGTTACTCAACCCACTTCATCTTCAACAACGCCAGCAGTGGCAAAATATAAATAAAAGCAAAAAGCCGCTGCAAGTCAAACTAGCGTATAACTAGCGACGATGTAATTGTATAAATTACACGCTAAATAATGTAAATGAAAAGTGTATGTTGATGCTCGTCCTTGTCCTTCTACAATAGACTTCGGCTGTTGCATCGATCCTTTGTGCCTAGGCAGGTGATGATCACCTGCCTAGGCACAAAGGATCATTGTTAGTATCTACTGAGCGAGATGAAGTCATTGACTTTGACCATGTTCTCTGTAATCGCACCAAATATGTTAATGTTTCTTTTTGTTGGCAGCATACGCGTCGACTCCAGGTGAGACGTGAAAACTCGGTCCAGGAGAAGTTTGTAAGTTGCACTACTAAGACGAGCACTGACGACGATGAGCTACAACTACTAGTAGTACGCAAGAATTCCTGTTGAACAGTCTTGTATCTTCATGAAACGCAACGCATTGCGATCTTTCAAGTGCATCGCGGTTGCGAGTGTCGGTAAAAAATGAGAAACTTGCTCTTGTGACGCCGATGAAATGAAACAGAACAAGGATCACCCAAAATCAAAAAATCTCAGCCGAAGGCAAATAATCTTCAACTAGCCATGATCCTCAAATGTAAGTAGTCTCTTCGAGGCTCGCTTTATGTACTATTCGGATTCATGTATATAAAAATGAATTTGTATTGCTGCAGCTCGGTCCGTCTTGATGGCGATGGTGGCGCTTGCACGCAAAATGTCGGTGATGAATCGTCCTACTTATTAGAATCCACGAACAAAATGTCTATACAGTTTGAACAGTGCAGAAGCTTCTATCATACCTACTCCTGCTACTGTATTTTATTATTTTGTGCATCAAGTAAACTCGAACTCATCGCAACAAAACCTGACAACTTTCCCAAAAATTAATCGTGACGGCGCGGCCAAGGAGCAACGTTCTAATATTTGTCATTCTTAACCTTAGCGCGCATCTTTATTTTCTGACGCTTAGAGGTAGTACAAAGATCCTCATCCTTTTTATTTCGTCCTCCGTAGCCAGCATTATTTTTATCCAAGGAGGTCCTGCTGGGTTTTTACCCGTAGAAACTGCAGCAAGTAGAGGAACTTACCACCACTACAGCCAGCTACGGCAGCAAGAGCGACAAACCGCACACGACTACAACTAGACTTCACGAAACCAGATTTGTTATTTCCAACCTGACATCAGTTTATTTATTGCTGCAGAGATCGCATATATCATTCTGTTTACAAAGATGATTATAAAGAACTACACTCCAAGCCGCTGGTCTCCAGGGCTGGTTGCCCGCACTATGTTCGTCGTCGCGTTCGAAGTTCCGATTGTCTTAGGCGTTCTTTTTTCGCGTGTGGCGGCCCTCTCGGTCTCGAGTGCCGGAGCGGCGTCGAAGTCGAACCATGTTGGGGTGCTGCAGATAAAGAACGTGTACTTCTACAAGACGAAGCTGACAGAGTACGAGGAGAGCGCGCAGCTAATCGAAAAACTCACGGCCCGCGACATGTATCCACAGTAAATTTTCCGTACACGTACAACTAAAAATGCACTTTCTACATGACAAAAAGCGTCACAAGCGGCATGCTCCAAGGTGGCGAGAAGTGTGATGAATTTTTTACATGTGCGGGATTAAATTTCATGTGGATAACATGGCGCTCCATCTTTCGCCGCTCCGATACCGCACCGGCATTCAGCAGAAAAAAGACGGTCTCGGAAAGTCGCAAAGCGAAAAGTGGTATGCTTCTCGCGCAAATGGTTGCTATCGTTACACTATGCATTGCAAAAGTATCGCACTAGTATCCATTGCATCGCGAGTTTTCATTTTCTCGAGAACAAAGAAAAGCAAGGGCAACTTGTCATGTTAGTTCAGGTAGACAGTCGGGCTTGTCGTGCATGATTGCAATTACTACGAGTAGTGCGATCCTTTTGGAGTGCATATACATCTGGAAAGCGCAAACCGTTACAGTGCTGCCCGCTGTCGAGGCGCGAGGTTCTACGCTACCCAGTGTGGTCACGCTGTGGTTTCTCGTGGAACTATTAATGGATGGGCACCACTACGACCACATCACCGGCAGTGCGGAAAGACGCTGGAAACTGGCACTACCCCAGGCACTCACAAAAGTCCTTGAAGCGCACCACCAGCAGCCCCAGCCGCTGGAGACTCTTGCGGCTGCAATTCACGAAGGCAGTGCTGGGTTTACTCTGTTTGACGGGCAGCAGCTGCGCCAGCTAAGAGAGCAACCGATGAGAAGTGCTGGCAGGCGTCGAGGAAACGAACAACCTGTAGCGAGATGGCAACGCCAGGAGCCGGTAATCCAGGAAGAGCAGGAGGTGCAGATTTTGAACCGGCACTTGGCCATTTTTGAGGCGGACCGCGCGTTTCAAGAAGCTGTGTTGGGACCAGAAGGAACAAGTGTCGGCCGCTCGGGCAAAATACCCCTTCACAAGCGCATCACTTTCATCAGTGGCCCTCCTGGAAGCGGCAAAAGTGTACAGCTGCTTGCGCTTCTGACCAAGATCGAGGCAGAAGTACCGGAGGCCGTGGGCAAGGGCCAGGTAGTCCTGCAGTACCACACCCAAAGCGAGCGGCTACGGCAGGACATTGAGACTCGGCTGCAGAAGCACTACGCTGTAGTGCCCGAATCTTTCTCGGGCTCGGACAACTCGTCTGACGGCGAGCAGAAAGCAGATGGAACAACTTCGAATGAGGCTATGCTAGTAAAACCGCTCCAAGGACACGGAATCTCTGTACAACCTGGGCCACTTAAATTGTCGGCACTGTCACCGTATGCGCTGCAAATATGTCTGAGGCTGGAAGGATGCGAACTTGTGGCGCGCGTTTCACAGCACACACAATTCTCCCATGCATTGGCAGGAAAAGATGTCCGCTGCCACTTCCTGTCTGTCGCTGTCCTCACCAAAATGGGGGTGATTTGCCATGCCGATTAGGCGTTGCGGAAGCTTCTCGAAATGTGTGACGCTAGGGCTTCCATGACAGTCCTTCTATGTCAAGTAAAAACAGCTTGACACTCTTCCAGACCCAGACATATACTTATTTGCAATGCATAAAACGAAGCAGGAGGAGGGACTACTTGACGCGGTGGAGAAACAGCCTCTCCACGATTACCAGGGCGCGGAGGAGTACAGGAATAGTTGGGGCAGCCGCGGCCTTATGCATTGCAAATGTGTCTGGGTGGAGCTGGAAGGTTGCAACTTGCCATGCGAGATCTCGATCACAAAAAAATCTGTGTTGCATGAACGCCACAAGCTACTCACTTCTTGTTAGGCAAAAGTCGGCTTTTTTATGCGGCATAGGCATGAGGAAGGTCTCGCAAAGTCTGTGATGCTTTTGATGTGTGCATTCCCGATCATCATCATGCATGTGGACGTGGTCCGCGAGATGCATGACAAGTCTTGCATTCTTGTTCGAGACCCGCCAGACGCATTTGCACTTGATGGGCCTTCTAGATTTGTATCAGATGACTGCCGCCATCTGTTTTGACCTAGACCTCTTCGCACAAGAGGAAGACGGAGGCCTGCGCGGCCCTCGGAAAAAGTGCAAGAAACGCATCAAGAGTAGCTTCTCTCGGAAGGTCAACAACATGGCTGCGCATCTCGGTGACAACTTCGCCTCGCATCTGGCGGGCGCGTTTCTGGCATTTTCCTTTTGGCGCAATTCCGCCCAGAAAACTGCGCCGGGCCCGTTGACACGGTGGTCGAAAGCCTACGAAGGAGACAGCTCCTTTGCGACGAACCTCAGAAGGATCTTGAAGGGTGCGCAGATGGCTTACATCGCGATCGACGAAGCCCAGAATCTCTCGCCAATGGCCTTGGCGCGCTACCTCGACTTTGCCCGGCGACACCCTACACTCCGCCTGGTTTTCGCGTTTGACCAGAATCAGCAGCTTTTGGGCGGTTTGAACGACAAGCGCCTGTTTGTGAGCGAAATGGTGAAGCGCGACCTTTATTCAAGAAATAAAGAAACAGGAAGCGACTCTGCTTCGCAACGTGTAATCTGGGAGACCCAGCTTCCGGGGGTCTGGCGCTCTCCGTCACGCCTCGTGCCGGTTCTCCAGGTAATTGCCACCATGCGCAAACGCTTAACGAGCCCGCGTACTGGTGGCGCGGGTCCAGACCAGAAGTTTCGTAGCGCCTACGAAGGGCGCGAGGACGTAGAGGGTAGTACGAACAGCGACGGCCCCGTGATCGTGGCGCTTGAGTTGAACAAGGGCCAGACTAGTTTTGCCGATATCAAGAAACAATTTGAAGATGGCCCGCAGCCATCGGAAGGTGAAAGCGGTGCCAGGCGTCGTGCTGGGGGTACAGGGGTGTTGCGAAATGCGCAACGCACGAAGGGGATGACTGTGCGCAAGGGAAGTCGGATTTTGAAACACAAAAAGAAGGCAGGCGGCGCCCGCGTGAGTCAACGGCGTAGGGTAACAGTGAGGAGGGAACGGAAGCGGACCGTTTTCGGGCGCGCGGCATCTTCAGACGAGGGAGAACCTGCGTCTGCGAACATCAGCAGCACTAACGCTAAGGTCGACACCCTCGACAGCATGCCCTGGATCTACCTCGATGAAGACGGGGCGAAAAATTGGGACAGCGATGCGACCAGCCTTTCGGCCCTGCAGGCACAAGGCCAAGAGTGGCCCGTCGTTGTTGTCGCGGACCCACATGAAATCCTGAGTAGTCGCAATGACGGCCCGGCCGCGGTGCGCGAGCGTGCCGACGGGCTCGCCAAGCTGTTTGTCGCACTTTCACGGGCGACAGAGCGCGTTCTCATATTGACGAAAAATGCGGCCCGCCTTCAGCAGGCTCTGGCACTGGCTCTCTCCGTGGGGACGCAAGACTTCGCGGTAGCGAGAAGCGCTGCGCAGCTCAGAGAGATTCTGAAGAAAACCCGGCGCAGCGCCCGCACGTGGGTAAGCTCCTTCGCCGAGTATTTGGCTAACGAGCAAACGCAGGAACAGGCGAAAGCCAGCTTTGTGAAGCACCTGCTCGACGGCGAAGGCGGCGCCGCAGGGGAGCGCCCCGCGCACTGGAGCAAGAAGTTCCGCGCGTTTGGCGACAGGTCTCTTGACTGCATTGTCGCGAGGATGCTGCGGGACAAAGCCTCCTGGCATTTCGCGGAAAGCCCGCAGGATGCCGCGTGGAAGGTGTTTCGCGATTTAGTAGCCGAGCAGGACGAAGCAAAGCGCATAGAAGACGAATCCTGGTCCTGGGTTGCGGAAGCCGGGGAGGCGGCAAGCTTTATCGGGTTGCAGCGTGATGAGACTTTCAAGCAGAGCAACCTGGCGAGCGAGGAGCCTGTTGGCGAAGGTGATGGTGGCCGACCTGGCCCTGCATCCGGGCCACCTGGCGGGCAAGGTCCTGACGGCGGAAACGCGGGCGACGAGGCGGCTGCGGCTCGTGAAACGGCGCCTGTCGAATTCAGTGAAGGGCAAATAGTCACTATTCATGGGCTCTTATCAAAACCGGAGTTCAATGGCAGACTAGGGCAATTGGGCCTCTTCTCCACCTTAAAAGACCGCTGGCAGGTACGCCTAACCTCTGCTGCTGGAGGGCAGGAGCCGCCCATACTACTAAAGCCCGATAACATAAGCGCGGTGTCTGTTTATATCGATCCCGAAATTCCAGCGGCGCACACGCACTGCAAATGGGTGCGTGAGTTTTTCGCTCAGACGCTCGAACTTCAGAAAACTTGGAGTGCGGGCGCGAACTTGCTACAGGCGAAAAACATCGGGCCCATCCTCGAAATCCTCCAGAAGGTTTTCGAAAGCCGTCTAATGGCGTACAAGGCTGATGGCTACACTTCGATAAACTATCCGACGCCGCTTTTGCATCCAGCGAGAAAATGCTTCCCCCGGCTGGAACCCAAATCGAAAGAAATTCAGAAGGCGCTGCTGTTGAGCAAGCAAGCGAGGACAAAAGCACAGGAGCAGGGGAGCGGACAGCTCGGAGTTCAGTTTCGCGGTCCTAGCGTCGAAGATAGCATTAGGTTCTTAGAACTTCTAAGAAAAGAGATGGAAGAAAAGCCTCAGGAATTGAGGAAAGAGCAAAAAGACAAGTACGGCGAGGGGCGGGAGGACGCAGATGAAATAGACACCGGGCTACGGGATTTCTTCCATAAAGAATTTCAGCGGCTTCGCGAGATCGCGATTTTGGAGATGGTGCACCTGAACGACCTATCCTGTGCAAAAGAAAATGAAAAAGTATCGTACTCGTATAAATGCAAGTCTTGCATTACAAATTAATAAATTCTTTTCTTGAGGTAAATCCGCATTACAAATTCTATTTCTCCTCGGGCACAGCCAGCATCTGTCCAAAACAGCCGAGGGCCAGGATGACACCCTGAGGACGACCACAGGGGGTCTGTCTCAACGACGACGACGATGACGATGCTGGGAAAATTTGTAGTGCCTTTATACGACGAGTACAATACTGGAATACTTTTACTTTTGCAGTGCATACGACCCTCGTCAATCCGAAGCCTACCCACCGGAGGCCTCGGAGCCAATACAAGCTGTCCGCCTCTCCGGCCTTCAAGGTTCTCCGGAGCTGGATGGGAAGATAGGGCTCTTGCGGAGCTTCAATGCAAAAAGAGGGCAGTGGGTGGTGGAAATGATTTCCGAAGGCGGTCAAAAAGTCGAAGCATTTTTCAGGCCAGAGAATATTGAAATAATCACCGACAGCACAAATTTCCGAGAGGTCGAACAGGCAACGGAAGAGCCCGAGCAGCCAGCGCAAAAGGCCAAACAGGCAGGCCGGCGAGGGGCAGCACAACAGGAAAGGCCGGCGGTGGCCGATCGCTCGGTGCCGAAAGAACGCGAGGACGGCAAATGCCGAGCTCAAGGTAAAGCTAAAGGGAAGAGGGGGCCGCGCTCCCGCAACGGAGAGCGACCACCCCCTGCCGCAACGGAGAGCTCCCGCAACGGAGAGCTCCCGCAACGGAGAGTTTGCAAGGACGGGCCGAAGTTAAAGGGATCCTTGGGTACGATACAGGAGCGCGGATGTGCAGTAACGATAAATCTAGGTGGGGCACCGGTAACGGGCCGAAAAGCTCTCCTGATGCTCGGATTTGACGTTTAGGTTTGTGACCCCACTGCTCAAATAATTACTTATATTCTCACTATATATAATACCCCCAAATAATTACTATGTACCCTCGTCGAAGAACTAAAAGCAAAAGGAAAAGAATTAAAATAAAAAGGCAAAAAAAAGTTCTTCCTCATCACAGCACCGCTTTTGTACGAGCAAAGGAAAATACCTTGTAAATTTTCGCCAGCCTTTTTGCGACACTTTTAACAGTAGCAAGAGCTTCTTACTGTCTCCAGCAAACATTTATGTTTATGAGCAAGCAACTTATAATTTAAGCGTAACTTTCAAACTCAAAGTTTGCCGGAAGATAGCCGGCTTCTCAATGCTGTCGCTTTCATTTTTTTTCCAGGTCTAAGCCAAGGACGGTGTAGCCAATTGGTATTTTTCTTGAACTAGCTCTGAGAGGAAGGCGAGCCCTTGCCCTTCAACCGGATTTTACAACGATTAACTTTCAAGGCTTCCCAAGTTTCCAGTTTTGTTGTCTGTTGAAAATAAAGGCCGCTCTCTTGATGCGAAACGCAAAAAATCCATTTTACGGCCGTCCCTGGAGTTGCGAGTGCGTAGCTTCAGTTTCGAGCCCGACCTGGAGGGCAGATAGGCGCCCTTCGGTGGATCATTGATTGTCATTCAAAGTTTCTTGTATGCGACGAGGATGGAAGGCCACGGCATAGATACCGTGGAGACGCGTGGCACTAGAATAAATATGCATGTCCCGACGACAGCAGATGCTGAAGATGCGCAGCCGCAGGGGTAGTAGATAAATAATATGTGGCTTTCCATAAAAGTCCGAAGTGAGGGTCAAAAAAGTACCACTTAAAAAAAACGCAGGCGCTGTGGTACAAGGTGCACTCCTTGTAGATCATGTAGTCCAGTGCCCTCCTTGTAGATTTAGTCTTCGTAAACTGCACTGCTGTGCGGGAAAGTCTGCATGTCCTAAAACTTAAAATGTAAACAGCATGGGTTTAGGGTTTTTACATAAAAAGTAGTGGCGTCCGTAGAAGAAATTTACAGATCGTGATCTTGATCTTGTAGAAGCTGGTATATAATTCGAGGCTTACTTAGGGAAAAGGCGTGTTCTCACGTCGGAGAGGCGACCACAGTGCTCTTTCCTAGTCGTGTGCCAGGTTGCGAGCCCGCGCTTGTCTATCGAGGGTTAGAGTAACAGGCGCCGCCAATCGCCACCTAATTCCGTCCGTCCATTGTCATTCAAAGTGGTCAAAGTCAAAAAATATTTTATTATTTATGCTGATGCTCTAGCTCTATTCAAACTTTAACTTCCCTTTGGGATTTTACTTTTGAATCAAGGTCGAAGTCGAATAATTTGAACATACTTGCTACATGCAATTTTACAAGCTGACGCAAATTTTGTGTATGTTCGAACTCTCCGTGTGTTTAGTTTAGCATCGGCCCGTGCGTAGCGTAGCGTAGCAAGCTAGCACGCATCTGTGCATCTGAACGCCAATCATTATTCTTTATCTTTACTCATTATATTCTTGCGGTCTATAATCTACAGTTAAAGTTATTGCCCCACCCCTCGAGCAGGTCGAGGCCGAGGGCAACACCCTCGTCGAGGAACGTTGCTGCTAAAGGTGCAACATTGCAAAAAGATTTTCTGAGTCTGAGTCTGAACTTTGAAAGTGCTCCCCCATAGAAGACGATAAAAGGCCAGTTATACGGCTTTTAACTCGAAAGCCAAAGCTGAGCAGTCTGAGCTAGAACTTCCCCCATAGAAGACGAAAAGTTCTTGGCAAGGTTTTAGTCCAATCAACTAGAACTTCTATGATTGAGACATGAGAAATCAAATGAAAAAAGATAAGGAAGCGTATTGTTGGGGTTGTTTGTTCGTGTTCCTCGCACCTCGCAGGGAATCATCTGACCATCCGCGATGAATTGTGCGCCCGCGATCATGTTCCGTGCCGCCTCTCACTCGTAAAGACGCTCTATACAATAGATTTTGATTGTTGCATCGATCCACCTTTGCGTCTAGACAGACTGCGCTTGCTGTTATTGTTATCCACTGAGATCAAGAAATTATACGTAGAGCAGATAGGCCTGCATTTATTTTCAGGCTAGCATCAAATAAGCGAAACAAGTACAAGCAGATGCAGAAGCAGTGCACATCAATAATGTTCTCCATGGGAGAAGTAAATCATACGCACGCATCTTTCGACATATTAAGAATGAAGATTAAGTAGTCCGAAGCCGAACCAGGGGTCGTGCTAGTACAGCAGCAAGCTCTACGAGCGTAATAACAAACCATCACGCAAGAAAGCATTTTCAGGGTGTAAATAGACAAGAATATATGAAGAAGAAGTATTGAGTTTTCCTTTTCGAGATCGTCTTCATCGAGATATCTTTGCTCAGTCAACCCGGGTGGAGCAACTCGATCTATTATTCAACCTGGGCGGGGTGATGAAGACCATTGTAGCTCACTTCGTTATGTGCGAGCAGCACGACTCCCCCACCAAACAGATAGCGGCGATCAAAAACAAGAATTCATTCAAATCGACGTTATTGACAACAATTTCAGGGCTCCTTGATAAACTCTGTATTCATCCTTTACCCGCTAAACTAATCTTTTTTTCGATTATCGTGTAATATCAGTTGTATGTTTTTGATCATGATGTACCGTTTTTAGCACGTGATGCGAGGGAAGAAGTAGTAGGTGAACTTTAACATCACACCAGCAAGCTATGAATATGATTATTTTGTTGGCAACATATAATGAGTCGACCTCGACATCGAGCATCTCGACGGCATGTTGATGTTGAATTCACATTCATCGTGCGCAACGCAAACCCAAGGTTTGAAATGATAATCATGGAAGTAAGTTAGTAATGATTGTCGAGCCAGCCGGCGGCCCTGTACCTGTTTGATGATCTCCCAGAACTGCTTGTAGCGGACGATCCTTTTCCCATGTTCGGCTCAGCAGCTGCACCGCTCGTCCAACGTCGATATTTAGCAGCAAGATGAGCGGTATGATTCCCTCACAGCAGGGGCATCTGCATCTCTCTGGAGGTGGCAGTGGCGCCGGAGCAGGTGGACCACCACCGCCTGCTGCGCCGGACGGCAGTGGCAGTGTCAACATGCATATCAACGGCAAATATGTCTGGGTCTGGAAGGTTGCGAGATTTGTCATGCATATTGTGGATCACGCAAATGGTGTCTGATGCAGGCAAAAGCATCAGAGGTAGTTTTGAGCACGCCTCAACATGATGCCTGTCTTGCATGAGAAACTCTCTACATACTTCTTGCGTACCAAGAAATGGCCAGCTTTTGATGCTGGTGCTCGTCATGCAACACAAATTCTTGTGTGTTTTAGAGTTTGATGCATCACAAGTCCCAGCTGCTTCCCAGACCCAGACATTATATTTGCAATGCATAATGCAGCAGGAATCGCAGGACCACCAGCTCCTGCACGACCAGCAGGAGGACTCCTTGAACCTGTTCTATGAAGGCCTCAGAATGGAAACCCTCAAAGTGGAAATAATTTGTGATGCATGGAATGCGACAAAAAAAAGCCTGTATAGCAGAGGACGCAATGGAGGCCGACTATCGTCCTGCTAGGGGTGACGAACTGGAGTGCTGTTTAGCATGAGAGAAGGGTCGGACCCCTTTGTCTTAACCAGAATGACAGACATGCTTTCAGTACTCCGGGAAGTTTGTCATGCGCCGACTACAAATGGCGCTTCAACTGGAGTCGTTTTTTTGCATTACAAATTTATTTCCACTTTGAGGATTTCCAACCTGAGGCTTTCATATGTTCCGCGAAAACGAACGGCTCAAGGCCGAACTGCGCGGGCGGTTAGGTTTGGAGAAGGAACTGAACAGTATGCATTGCAAAAGTATAATCGTACTCGTATAAATGCATTACAAATTTCCTCAGCATGAGAAATAAAATGCGGACTTAGCTTCAGAAAAAAATTTGTAATGCATGACTGCAATACGAGTGCGATACTTTTGCACAGGATAGACAGCCTGGAGAAGCAAAACCAAATCTTTAAGGAACAAGTGGAGCGGTTGGAGGAGGAAAATGGGCGACTCGTGCAGGACCAGATCAAGCAGGTCCAGGAGAGCACTTCCCTGGTCGGCGGGGGCGCGGGGTCCTCGTCCTCGTCGGCGCATGGCAACAAGAGCGGCACGACTGCCAGCGGGTTCATGCGGTCGGCGCTCGGTGCCGCCACCGGGTTGCTGACGGGTGCGGGCGCCGACGAGAGCGCGCTCGCGAAGGTATCCTGTGCAAAAGTATCGTACTCGTATAAATGCAAGTCTTGCATTACAAGTCCTATTCTTAAGGTGAATCCGCATTACAAATTTTATTTCTCATGCTGAGGGAATTTGTAATGCATTTATACGAGTGCGATGCTTTTGCATTTGATAGAAGGAGCTGCGCGACAAGACGCGGGAACTGGAACTCGTGTCCCAGAAGCTGCACTATGGATTGCAAATATGTCTGGGTCTGGAAGAATGCAAGTTTGTCATGCTTGTCTGGCATGACTCGAGAATCTGTATTGCATAGGCACGAAAAGGCCCTCTTGCTTGTCATGCAAAAACGCAGTTTGCCATGCGGAATAAGTAAGACATGGCAGCCAAGACATTTGTCATGCGGAGCTGCGTACTGCAATGCGTTCTTCATTCACTTTTAGCATTACAAGTCTCCAGGCGCAGACATTTTTGCATTTGATATGCACACCTCCGAGACGAATTTGAAGTTGCTGGGCAACAAGCAGTATCCTGTGCAAAAGTATCGTACTCGTATTGCAATCATGCATTACGAATCTTTTTCTTAAGGTAAATCTGCATTACAAATTTTATTTCTCTTGCTGAGAAAATTTGTAATGCATTTATACGAGTACGATTACGATACTTTTGCAGTTCATAAGCAGGAACTGGCGGAGATCAAGCAGCGAGCCGCCGCGGAGAAGCAGCAGAGCTCGGAAAAGCGCGCCCAGGAGATGCAGCTGCAGTACGAGCAGGCGAGGAAGACCCAGGAAAACGAGCTCGCGAAACAAAAGCGACAGGTCGCGATATCGTAAGGAAAAATCCCCCCTCCCCATATCGAAAGCGAAATTTGTGTTGCTGTATTTGAGTACACAAATCACATTCGTCTTGCTGGAGAGGACTGCAGACCCATACCAAGCCTGAGTAGAGAGGCTTTGACTTTGGCGCTTAGCATGAGAAGCGTCCGTGATGTTGGCTCAACAGCATGACAAACCGCCTCCATAATGGGACGGAAGCTGCTGCCTTTGTCTTCTTGCAACACAAACGTGATTTGTGACCTCAAATCAGCAACACAAATTCTCGAAACCTCACCTCTTCAATATGGGGAGGGGGGATTTTTCCTTGTGATACGCGAGCCTGGAGCACGAGCGGAGCAAGGCGGAAGAGGAGAAGGAGGTCCAAAGGCAAGCGATACGCGACCTATGGCGTTCTCAAACGTTACATTCTCAACTGTTACATGGATTTGTAATGCAAGACTAGCACAGGTGAGAGGGAGAACCTTGCGCGTCTTGCATTACAGGTTTGATCCGGATTACAGTGCTATCTAGCCTTCCGAGAATTTGTCATGCGAAGCAGCTTGATCGTCTGGCGGGTCATGGTCATTTTGCATGACAAATCATGTAACAGTTGAGAATGTAACGCTTGAGAACCCCATACGACCTGCAGGAAGAGTTAGACAAGATGCAGACTGACTCACACGTGGGGATCTTGAGCAAGGTATCAAATGCAAAAATGTCTGGGGCTGGAAACTTGTGATGCAAGTCCGTGAACAGAAAGTGCTCTGTAATGCACCGCCAAGCATGTGCATGACAAAATTTTTCGTGGTGCTTCTGTGCTGCGAATTTCGCATGAGAGACGGCGCTTTTGCATGACAGGCAAGAGGGCCTCTTGGTGGCCACGCAAGACAGAGTGCAGAGTCATGTCAGATCGAAGCATGACAAACCTTGCATCCTTCTACACCCAGACATATTTGCAATGCATACATGGAGCTGCAAGACTACAAGGCCGCGCACTACCGCCTCGAGGCAGATTTGAAATCTGCCTGCAGCGAGAAGGGCAGCCAGCAGAGGATCTACGAGCAGGAGATCGCTCGCCTGCAGAAGCTCGTGAAGACCCTGGAGAAGGACGCGACAAGGCTCACGCAAGACAAGAACGTGCTGAACAGCAGCGTCACAGAAATGGAGAAGCGAATTGAAAGGCTGACAGGTATAAATATTTGTCGTCATCACGTTCTTGTGGTCGTCCTAATCGTGGATTTGAGACGACGAGCCTAGACGTCGTCACATTCGGATCAACTTCAATTGCGACATAATTTGGACATAGACTCACTGCATTCGAAAGACAAAAAAACACTTTGAAAATTATAAATTCCAGATATCAACTATGCCATGCGGCCGTACATAACGCAAAGCCACGCGGCGGCGGCTGGCGAGCAAACAGGAGGGGATCTTGTGTCTGACCTCATGGAAGCGCAGGGCCGACTCACTGAAGCACAGCGCGATCACGAAAAGGAGAAGCAGAAACTGGTATAATCTTACACGTCGTGGTTGGAATACTAACTTAGTATAGTTTTCGATTGATGACGTACAACGAACTTGCAATTGGGACAGTTGTTCCAATCAGCAGAACAAAAAAAAACCGTAGCGGAAGATGTAGTTCGAATGTCGTCGTGTTGAATATGACCTCTTTTTGTTTATTTCTGCATAGATCAAGTTGCGTCCACCGACCCCTTCTTTTTGTCTTTGTCAGGAAATGGAGTATAGTTCCCAGCTGAAGTCAATGGAAGCGGATGCGGAACAGAAAGAGCGCCACCTTCATATGGAGTTCTCAAACGTTACATTCTCAACTGTTACATGAATTTGTCATGCAAAAGTACCTTAAGCCGGCAGATGAGCAACCTGCTTCGCATGACAAATTTAGGAAGGGCTAAGCAGCATTTAGATCTGTGCCAAACTTGTGATGCAAAAGGCGCAATCTTCCTCCTTTCACTTTTGCCCGTCTTGCATTACAAATTCATATTTAACTGGTGAGACAATAACACTTGAGAACTCCATACTTCAAAGCTTGCTGGAAACGCTCGAGCAGGACAATAAGTTGCTGAAGGAAGATATCGCAAGAAAAAAGTGTTACAGTTACACATTGTGTTGCAGGCGGCCGAGCAAGACAGACAAGCTCTGTCATGCCGGATATGCATACGAGCTTCGCTTCATAGGTGTTTTCCCGTAGGATTTCTGCATTACAAGTTTTCTCTCTCATGCAGAGAAATTTGTGTTGCTGAATTGACATACAAATCTGTAACTGTAACACTTTTTTCGTGGGATAGAGGACTGCCGCTTGCTGACCGAGACGCAGAAACGCGAACGACAAACCTTCGCCGACGAGAAGCGCCGGCTGGAGCAAGCCCTCTCCCGGTCTGGATCGGCGGGCTCCGCCTTGAGCGCGCAGATGGACCAGCACCAGTCGTTGCAAATGCTGCACCACGAACTGAAAAAAGCCAATGGAGAGGTCGAAGCCAGCCGGCAGCGCGAGCGCCGAATCCAGCTCCAGTGCGAACGCGCCGAAGAGGAATTGAAAGAAAAGGTGTGAATTTTATATCGTCATGTTCGACGTGGTGCCCTTCTTCTCAACATTATGATAAAGATCATCTTTCAGGCTACTCAGCAGGCAGGACAGAGAAAGCGGAAGCGCGCAGAAGCGGTCTTTCCTGGCTCGATGTTTTGTTCGTAAAAATATCATCTTTCCCCATGACCCCTGATGAATATTTTTATCCACGAAATTTATTCACCAGGAACTCGAACTGAAAGAGTTGAGGCACCGGGCGCTGACTCACGGCAAGAGTACCACCAAGCTGCAGACCCAGATCGATACCCTGACCGAACAGTGCAATCGCAAGGACCGCGAGTTGGACGAGCGCGGACGCGAGCTGGAGGAGCAGAAGAGCACCCTCGCGGCGTACAAGCGGCATCTGCAGGAGCGGAACGACGAGATCCTGAAGCTCGACCGGGAGCAGGCTCTGTGGAACCGCAACAAGCTGCTGTTGGAGACGGATCTGAACAAGCGGCAGCGCCTGCTGGACGACCTTCAGGGCGAGGTGGATTCCCAGCGGCACACGCACAAGCAGGAAGTGCAGCGGCTGCAGGGCGAGCTGGAGCGGGAGACGGAGGAGAGAATGCACCGGGACCGCACGATCGCTTCCATGGAGCAAACCATCCAAGAGAAGGTGGACGCCCAGTTGGACGACCTGATCCAGATATGCATTGCAAAAGCGTTGTACTAGTATGAATTGCATTACGAATTTTCGCAAGAAGAAAAGTGGAATTTGTAATGCTGTTTTACCTTTGGAGGAAGATTTGTCATGCATATTTGCACTTAGTACGAGTGCGATACTTTTGCACAGCATACCAGATCGAACGCATCAATTTCGACGCCCAGTCGCGCGAACTCCGCGCGGAGCTCGAAGTGTGGCAAAAGCGGGCGCGCGACGTATCCTATTTAAAAACGTCCCCACCCCATAGTTGTAATGCAAATCTGCATGCTGAAATAAAATGTGTCTCATGCGGAGCCCCATGAGAAGCATTTTCTAGTCGTGTTTTGCAATTTGTCATGCTCCAATCAGCATGGTTTGCTAGATCTGTGATGCTCCTGAGCTAGCTCAAACAGCACTACACTACGAATCCAAATTTGTCATGCAAAACGGCCAAAACTTGTGGATTTGTCTAGCCGATTCCCCATCTTGACTATGGTGTCGGGACGTTTTTACTCAGGATACGACGCGGACCTGCTGCATAGTGGTACGACGACGAACAAGAAAGCTGCCGGCAGCGTTCTTTCACCGGCACGCGGCGCGGCCGCTGATGATGTCGATCATCCTGCTAGTACTTCATCCCAACAGCAGCAGCAGCAGCCACCCGCCGTAGCTACAACTACTACTAGTAGCTTATGCCTTGGACGCTCGTTAGCATACAGAGGGGTGAATTTGCAGTGAATTTGTCTTGCATGACTTGCATTTACTTTAAAAGAGAAGTGCGCTGCGTGGTAAAGGGCTGGACACGAGCAGCCCAAGCAGCTCACGCAGCGTGAAGGGCTGCTCGGCGCCAGGTGGCACTTGCAGCACCGAAAGAAGCGGTCTTACGGGGCCCGCCGGACCGTGTAGTGCATAACCAAATAAGAAGGTGGATCGTGGGGCTCTTGTTCATCTGCGCGTTTACCTCAGAAGTTCCTCCCCGGAATGGTCGAAAGGGAGGGCGACGCCTGAACACAGGGGCACTAGTTCAACGCGTACGCTCTCGCGAGACGTTGTTTGGAATTGGATATCTGGGAGTAGCCTCGGGTGGAAGGGAAGGCACGACTCGGCCGCGGGCACTAGTTTGCTTCGCCTGCTGTGCTCGGCTTACAACTCCCCAGGTGTGTTTTTGCCTCCGGAGCAAGTCTTATTCGACGTGACCCCCAGGTCAAGACTTCCCTTGGTGAATTTTAAGGCTTTTTGTTTTTGCGACACTTTCTGGAAGCCCCAAAACCCGGAGTTTCTCATGCGCCAGCGCATTTTGAACAGGAACCGGAGGACAAAATTCACCGGCGTCCTTTCCAAAATTCACCCCAAAATTCACCGAGCGCCACTTTTCGACCGTGATAAGCAAAGTTTAGCGCAAAAAAGTGCTCAAAAAAACGCACAAGTAGACCCTGGGAAGTGGGGCCGAGGGGAAAAGACAGGCGCCCGCTGTTGCCCTTAGCGCCTCTATATTCTGCCGAAAAGGCCTGGAGAGTTCACGCGCCTGCCGGATAGACGCGTCAAAGCTATCGGCCGGGTCCTTCCACCTTTGCTTCCGCGCCTTCATCTTGCCTAAACTGCACTTATGTGCTTCGCGGTTCTTGTTTTTGGCGTCTTTGCCGCGGCTGCTGCAGTGCTTGCTCTTTTGCAAGCACAGGAAGACGAAAAGACATGGCCAAGAAAGAATGACGCCCAGGCCATGTCCAGCTGCCCGCCGCATAAGCCTGGTGTGCAGAACCCACTTCCCAGAAGAGCAAAAGGGACAATGTCCCCTCTGCTATTTGTCATGCAAAATTCACTACAAACTCACCACTTCTCATGCTAACGGGCGTTAAAGCTCTAACTAGTAGCGCCACTGCATCCCAACAGCAGCAGCAGCAGCCACCCGCCGTAGCTACAACTACCAGTAGCGTTACCGGTGTCGTGCCGCCAGCAGCTACTTCGTCCGCCTCATCTCCCGGTAAACTGCACCATCAAGTGTCTCCGCGGTCGGCCGCTGTATTGGTGGAGGCGTCCAGCATGGCGAGTGAAGGCCCCCGACGCACCATTTTACTCACCTTGATGGAGGAGAAGGAGCGCGAGAAGAAGGAAGCGCTGCAGCACGAACGCGAGGCCAGCGCCAAGATCCTGGAGGACGAACGCCAGAATTTCGGTAAAACGTTGGAGCAGGAGGCTGGGAAGCGAAAGGACCTGGAGGCGAGGTGCGAGGAGCTGCTGTCGCAGTCGAAAATGGCCGAACTAGAGGTCGAGAAACTGCGGCTGGAGATCGCCTCGCGGGTGAGTGCGGAGGAATTCGCGAGCTGGCGGGAGAAGCACGACGCGCTGAAGCAGCAGCTGGAGCAGTTGCAGCAGCAGAAGGAGGAGATGGAGAAGACCTACAAGAAGCAGGCCCACGTGGACTTCGCGACGCGCAAGGGCCTCGAGGACCAGTTGGCCAAAAAGGATTTTGACATCCAGACGGCGCGACAGCTGCAGGAAAACGAGCTGCTGAACCGGCACGAGATCCAGGCGGAAAGGGACGGGCTGAAAATGAAACAGCAGGAACTGGAACAGAAGGTGAAGAAAACCACCGCGGAAAAAACCACGCTGCAGGAGGAGCTCACCAGGTTGCAGAAGGAAAAGTCCAGTGACGACGAGTACTACCAGAAGACGCTCACCGTGGCGCGGGAGCAGAAGCAGTATCCACAGTAAATTTGCCGTACATGCACGAAAACGAATGTGGCTTTCGCATGACAATATTTACCCTCAAGCCTCTTCAGCATGACAAGTTGCTTCTCCTAAGGTGGTGAGATAGAGATTTGTGATGCATTTTGTACATGTGCGGGAAATTTGTATTGCATAGGCAACAACTGGAAAGCATGATCCAGGGCCTGGTCGTCGGTCCGGAGGACATGCCGCAGTACTTGGAGCAGGCGCGCCGCATCGAGGAGGTGGCCAAACTGCGGGTGCGCGAACTTGAACTGGAAAAATCCGCGCAGGCGGACGAAATCCAGATGCTGCAGCGCAACGAGGTTCTACTAAGGGAAAAACTGGACCACGAATCCGCACTGCTCGCCAACGTCCGGGTGCAGCTATGAACTGCAAAAGTATCGTACTCGTAGTAATTGCAGTCATGCAAGACCAAGAAGAGAAATTTCATTTTCAAGCTAAATCAGCATGAAAAATTCCGTTTGTCATGCGCAGCTAATTTGTGTTGCAATACTAGCTACGAGGGCGATACTTTTGCAGTTCATAGCAGCTCCAAGACGCCAAAATCGACGACACGAGCGCAAAGGAACTGGAACTCGTCAAGAAGCGGTCGGGGGAAATGGAGCGGAATTTGTCCGAAGTCAAGAGGCGCTGCGAAGAACTCGAGCAGGAGATGATTCAGGTATAAATACGTTAAGCTTGTTGATGACCACGTCCACGACGTCGACCTGCTGGCCGCGGCCGCCGGGTACTCTGGGTTGCGTGTCGGCGCCTTCCCCCTTGCCCCCTCCGCCTATCCTTCCGAAGCGGCCGCGCTTTGATGTTGGATTTGTGATGCTGATGCCCGAGCGCCCTCAATCAAAGCCGTGGCCTCTTCTGGGTGCGGAGGTCACAGCTTCAGCATGATGGCAAGACCCCTGCTACGTAGGTTGGGAGCAGCTCGCGTTTTAGTTTCAAAGAGTTCGCCTCCCTTTGGGGGCGGCTTTGTATCGTTTTCGCCGTCCTCGTTCCAGCCAGATAAAGACGGCCCTTCATCAGATGGAGCGCCGTCCTACCCTTCGACGGGCTTGCTGCAAGGCAAGAAAACGAGGCGCCCCCCAGACGACACTGTCGCGGGCGGTGTCCCCGCCTCCGGCCTTGCAGGTCGGCAACGCGCACCACAATCCGCCACGACAGACGAGAGCACCCCCTTCACGGGCTGCACTGTGCTGCTGTGGCGGTTTTTGGTGCGAACCCTTCCGCCGATGCTATGGCCTTCCCACCAAAATCCGCCAGAGCAGCACAGTGCACCCCCTTGAAGCACCCCGTTGCGGCACCCCGTCACACGGGCGGCTCAAAAAATCCGGCCGAAGGTTTCAGGGAGCCGGCCAGGATTCTCTCGCGTAAGTCGTTTAAGATAGGAACCAAACAAATACGCCTCCCCAGCCTTTTCGCGGAGAACCGGCGGCGCCAGTCAGTTGGCCGGGCCAGTGCGTCACCGAGAGAAGGGCCCTCAAGGCTACAAACCTCCCCCCCTTAGTCCTAGACCGGATTTGATACCTGACGCGCAATAGCTAACATTGCGCGCCGAACTTGCCTAGTCGGAAAGAAATGGAGCCTGGGCCTGGTTCTGGGATCGGAATGGAAGAGACAGGGGCGGCGCCCTGACACCGCAGGGCCGGATGTGCCTGTGGTAAGTTTCTTGATTTGAGCAGGCCGTCGACATGGCCGTGTTGCGGTGTCGGATGCGGAGGCCATCCGCAGGCCCACCTTCCCGCTCTACCCGTCCCGGCGAGGCAGGACGCGTTGCAACGTCCTTGCGTCAGCTTGAGCACCCGTCTTGGCGAGCCCACTCGGAAAAGAAAAATTTTGAAATTTTGGCTGTGGTGCATTTTTTCCTTCGATACTTGTTGATGACCACGTCCACGACGTCGACCTGCTGGCCCCACTGCACCGTTTGTTGCTTTTTTCTTTGCACTTGATGTAGCTGATGGCAATGATAATGACTGACTTGCTGTTGCTCTTGAAGATGCATATAATGCAAAATATCTCTTACCGCTACCGCATTTCTTGTCGGACTGCAAATACCCAGGCCGAGAGCTTCAAGGGCCCTGAATTTGTGAAGTTGTCCAACAGCGAAGCCGCTTTGCGGAAGGAACTGAACCAGCTGAAGGAGCACCTTCCGGAGGTGGAAGAAGACCTGCGACGCGTATAAAAGCCTCAGGTTGGAAATCCTCAAAGTGGAAATAATTTGTAATGCAAAAAAACGACTCCAGTTGAAGCGCCATTTCTAGTCGGCGCATGACAAATTTTCCGCGCACTCAAAGCATGTCTGTCATGCTAGATAGGCAAAGGGGTGCCCTTCTCGCGTGCTAATCAGCAGCCCAATTCTGAACCTCTAGCAGGACGATAATCGGTCTCCGTGGTGTCCTCTGCAATGCAGTCTTTTTTGCCGTGCATTTCATGCATCACAAATTATTTCCACTTTGAGGATTTCCATTCTGAGGCTTTCATAGTGCGAGAAGGCCAAGTACAGCAAGTCCCAGATGGAGATCCAGCAGCTGCACGCGTCCGTGAGGCAGCAAACGGAGGACTTGGAGAAGCGGAAGGCTGAGACGGAGCAGGAGAAGAGAAACGCGCTGCAAGTTGTGCAACAGGAGCGACTGAGGCATAACGACACGAAAAATCAGCTGACGCAAGCGACCCAGGAGATTGCGAGCCTGAAGGACCAATGCCAAAAAACGGAGCAGCGGGCGGTCGCTGCGGAATCTGGTGCTACGCAAAAAGACGCGAGCATGCAGGAGCTGCGAGCGTCGCAGGCAGCGGAAGTCGAGGACCTGAAGCAGAAGCACCAGGCGTATGTAAAGAGCGTGACTGACAAATACAAATCGCAGTTTGAAGCTGTGAAGAAAAAAGCCGAGGAATGGAAAGAAAAGTACGACCTGTCAAGCAACGTCACCGACCGGGAATTGGAGACCATTGTCTACGTACTTACTTACTATACCATTCAGCAGTTTGAGTTTCGTCTACTTTATTTCCAAAAAAATTTCATCTGCGACATTTCTTCGTCATTTTTCTCGATCACGTACGAAGTTCTCAGTGTGTAAGTAGCATAGCAGACAAAACGAAAAAAAGTAATAGCCGTGCGGTAGTTGTACTTGTAGCACTAGAAGTTCTACTTTGATCGTATTTCTGGACAACTGGTGTGGGCAGCACCACCAGGCTTCACGTTTAATATACGGAATTGAGCACCTTTGACTTTGTTCGTTCCATACGTGGCCCTTCTCCCTCGATGTTGTAGTTGATAATTTGCAATGCAAATAAATCACACCAGGCCAAGGAGCTAACAGACAAGCTGAAAGACGCGGCTTTGGTGCAGCAAAAGCAGGCGGCCAAGGTGGCTGGTTTGGAACAGGAGAAGACGAAAACCACGGCTCGCATCACGGAGCTCGAGGCTGCCGTTATGCATTGCAAATATCTCTGGGTCTGGAATGTTGCAACTTGTGATGCGCATTTCACAACACAGACAAATCTCTCATGCATAGGCAGCAAGAGATGTCCATTTTCTGTCACCAAAGTGGGGGATTTGTCATGCGGATTAAGGAGCAATGGCAATGCAGCGGAAGCTTCTCAAATCTGTGATGCTAGAGCTTCCATGACAGACATTCTGTGTCATGCAAAAGCAGCATGACTCTTCCAGACCCAGACATATTTGCACTCGATAGCCGTCGCGGGCGAGCAGGAAAAGCTGCGGGTGGCCGCGGAGAAGCACGGCAAGGCGGCGGAGGACTGGGCACTATGCATTGCAAAAGTATCGTACTAGTATAAATTGCATCACAAATTTTTTCAAAAGGAAAAATGCATTTTGTAATGCTGATTTACCTAAAAAGGGATGTTTGTCATGCACGATAGCAATTAGTACGAGTACGATACTTTTGCACAGGATAGGCGCAGAAGCGGGCTGATTTCGAGAAGAAACTGAAGTCCAGCGAGGGCGACACGGAGCGCGAAAAGCTGCTCTCGGAGCGGCTGCAGACCGAGAAGGACACCCTGACGGCCGAGGTCGCGAAGCTGAAGCAGCGCGGCGAGCAGCTGCAGCAGATGGTACGAGAGTTTGCACAACTCGTCCCCCTCCCCCTCCTTTGTCTTGCCTAGTGTAGAAGTACTGTTTGAGCTTGTTCCGGAATCTGTGATGCAAACAGGAGTCCCACAGGGAAGCACTTGGTCTTGGTCTTGGATATGGATTTGTGGTTTTGCATGAGAAATGAGTCTGAGGGGGGGTTTTGCACTTTCATAGATGTATTTGGAGCAGCAGAATTCCCTGGCCGCCGCTGGGGAGCAGGGGCACCAGGCGAGCAAAATCGCCGACCTAGAGCAGGAAAAGCACGAGCTCGAGCGGAAACTCACCCGTTTGGAAGAGCGGGTGACCAGCATGACGAACCAGATCCAGAAACTGCAGAGCGAAAATGAAGCGGAACTGACGAAAATGCGGGAGGACCACAAAACCGCCCTTGTGCAAAGGGCCCAGGAACACACGAAGGAGCTCAAGAAAGCCACCGAAATGTATGAGAACGAAAAGCAGACCCTGGTGCGGGAAAAACAGGAGATGGGCCAGGATATGACGAAAAACATAAAGGATTCGGTCATCGCCTGCGAGGAGGAGCGGCTTACCAAAGAGTACGAAGCAAGGCTGGACGACCGAAAAAAAGAGCTGGAAGCCGAGAATGAGCAGGAACTGAGCGCCGCGAAGAAACGATACCACGAAGAAGCCGAGCAGCTGAAAGAGAAGTTGCAGCAGGAGACCGAAAATTTGCGGGAAAAGCTCAAAGAGCGCGAGGCGAACGCGCTGCAAGCGAAGAAGGACGATTTGGTACACCAGAACGAGGAGCACCAGAAGAAAGTCGAAAAGGAATTCGCAGACAAGAAAGCCGCGTTGGAAGCGGAGGCGGAGAGAAGGAGAGCCGAATTGGAAAAAGAATTCGCTAAGAGGTCGGAGGAGCTGGATGCAAAATTCAAGGACATGGAATCGAAGCTGCGAGCAGCCCTTGCAGAAGAAAAACAAATGTTCGAACAAACTTGCGAAGGCAACGTGCGCGCCAAGCTCAAAGCAGAACTCGACGCTCTGGAGGCGAAAAAGACGGAAGTGGCAGGGGAAGAAAAAGCCATGCAGGAGAACCGGGCGAAACTGCAGACCGAAACAGAAACACTGCAGAAGGCGCAGGAGAAACTGGAGCAAGAGACGACAGCGGTGAAAGCGCGCGAAGTTACCGTGCAACAAAAGTCTGACACGTTCGAAGTAGAGCTCAAGGCGAAGTACGAAAAACTCTGCCAGGAGCGCGATGCGGCGGAAGTGATGCTGAAGAAGCAGATCGAGCAGGAGCGCAAACTGCTTGCGGAAAAGGAGCAAAAGTTGGAAACCCAGTTGGAGACCGAAAAGGCGAAGCTCAAGGCCGAGCACGAACAGCAGCGGAAAATTTTATCGACGGAGTTTGAGACCAAAAAGAGCGCCTTGGAGAACGAGTTCAAGAGGAAGGAGCTCGAATTGGAAAACGAGGTCGCACAGCGAAAAAGCACCCTGCAGGCAGACAACGACAAGCAGCTTGCTTTCGAAAGTCAACGGCAGCAGAAAGCAGGCGAGGCGGAGCTGGCCGAGCAGCGAGTGGTGTTGGAGGACGAATTCCGGGCGAAGCAAGAAGAGCTGCAGCAAGAGAAGCAAAGGGAAAAACAGCAGGAGCTCGAGGAAGAGCGCACGCGGCTTCGCGTCGAGGTGTTCGAAAATGCCGACGCCGAGACCAAGCAAGCACTCGCTGAGGCAACGGAAGCCACGCGGGCGGCGGAGGAGGAGCGAGACCAGAAGGCCCTTGTGGCGGAAAAAAACAAGATACAGTACATGAACGTGGGCGAATACTGCTTCAAACAGCTCAAGCCGTTCGCCATCCAGCTGGCGGCCAAGGAGGGGAAGCAGCTTCCGGCTTGGAAAAAGATGACCCCCACTGAAATCACTGAACAAGCCCAGCAGAATCTTCTGGCAGCCGCGTCAGTAGCAGCAGCAGCAGCCGCAGCATCCAAAGCAGGAGGAGCATCTACAACAACCGGGAACGCCACGCCGGGGGGACCCTCCGCTGCGACGAAATCCGCCGGACCTGCATCATCCTCGTCAACTGCCGCTGCGGCCGCACGGACTCCTCCAGCCTTTGCGGTCGCCCCGGCGAGCAGATGTCTCGGCGGTGGTGGAGGAACCGCTGGCGGCTCCTCGTCCTCTTCCTTTAATCCGGCGGCCCGCGGTGGAACAGCGATTCCAGGCTCTGGCTCGTCCGGAGTACTAAAAATTCCTTCGGAGCAGAACAACAAGCGGGCAAGTGAAGCTGCAGACCCAACAACCACCGCGGGTGGAAGTACAATGGGAGCCGCAGCTGCAACGGAAAATACAAGTGCAAAACGCGCCAAAATTGACGTTGCGCCACCTGCAGCAGCTTCTGGCTCTGCCGGCACGACAACCTCCAGCACAAATAACGACCAAAAGCAGGTTGCTAATATTACTGCCTCCTCCTCATCTGCTCCGGCAGTGGCCGCGTCGTCTTCAGTAATAAACGCGGCTGCTGGAGGTGCACCCGGTACAACTACCTCTACGACAGCACAAATGTCCTCTTCCTCGGTAAAAATGGAAACAAAGGCCGTGGATGGCAAGGTGGTCGCAGCGAGCGTGCAAGCGCAACAAGTTCGGGTCACCCCTGAAGGCCAGGTCTTCGCACAGCAGACCAGTTCTACGTTCAGTGCCAGTGGCGGCGTAGCTGGTGTGGCACAAGAACAGCTCCTCGGTCGTGCAGGAGGACCAGGGGGACCAGGAGCCGATGTCTCAACAACGCCAGCGAGTTCATCAACTGCAGGAGCTAACGCAGCTGGTGTTGCCCAGAACATCACCATGATAACCGACGCAAATACCGCGCCTGAGGCTGCAGCCGCAAGAACTGCAGCCGAGATGACCCCAGCACCAGCCGCTGACTCCGCCTCTGGCCCATCTGATCATGCTGGACAACATCCGAAGGTGGAAACGAGAACCGAGGAACACCAGCAAGAAGACGAAGGTCTCGAGCAGGACCACGAAGAAGAAGCGGAAGACTTCGGGGGCGATGAAGACGAAGATGCTGATGAAGCTGAGGACAATGCTAACCAACAAGAAGAGGAAGTAGACCCGAAGAACCTGGAGGACCAGGAGCAGGCCGCTTCAGGAGCAGAACAAGGGCAACGGGAAGCTGATGAAGTCGATGAAGAGCACGACAATGAGACTGGTGCTGATCTCAATCCTGAACAACAGTTGTCACCTGCTGATGGTGATGAGGATGTTGACATGAATCAGCAAGAAAACCAGTTGGAGGCCGCGAACGGAGCCGAGGACGAGCAGGAGGTTGTCGAGGAAGAGGAGGACGACGACGACATGGAAGTAGGAGTCGAAGAACCTGCCGACGGTGCGCAGAGTGGCGAACAAGTGGACGACGAGGATGGAGATGACAATGACAATGACAATATTAGCGACATAACAGACAAGGACGAGGAAATGGACGTCGAGCGAGCTGATGTGGTGGAGGGGAATGATAATGAAGCGGAAGCAAGTCCGGAAGTTGTAGATGGGGACGTTGTCGTAGAGGAGCAAGATGAAGATGATGAACAGGTAATTCCTGAAGATGAAATCGCGTCGCCTCCTTCTCCTGAAGAAGAAGGCGAAGGTCAGGCAGCTGCAGCAGTAGAAGAGGACCCCCGCGTGGTAGAAGAAGAAGGAGCAGGGGGAGATGAAGCGGACGGCGACGGCGCAATGGAAATAAACGACGAAAATGCTACTGCCGCAGTCGCGGAGGAAGAGCATGACCAACCTGTAGCAGACGACGGAGCGGAGCACCAAGGTGTATCTCCCCCCGTAGTAGAGCATCAAGCCCAGGACGACCGCGATGACCCTGCACGACCAGCACAGGAGGGAGCTGCTGCAACAAGCGAGATTCTGAAGAGCGGTGACCACCAATTAGCGATAGCCTCGGATGACCCAGAAGTGGAAGAGCAGGCGGGCGACGACGCAGTTGATGAGACGCACCAGGAACTAAAAATGGAGGATGAAGATGAAAATGTCGTTTTTCACTCCGCCCAAGCCAGTCCAGTTCACCCCGGCAACGGCCCTGTTCAAGTCGGACAAGTGATTATTTGTCCCCTCACGGGTGAGGAACTCATCGGTGTGGCCGAAATAACTGACGACGACGAGGATGTTGAGAGCGAGCAGGGCAAGAACGAACAACATGATAATCGTAATCCTAATCCTCCAGTCGAAAATGACGCGGTCGCAGCAGCGCAAGATGGTGCCCAAGAACTTCTTGCCGACGCAAACCACGACCAAGTTGAGTAAGCACCAACATGTTCAAGTTCGTGAAAACGACAGACGAATTTACGCAGCACGACATCCAGTTCTACTTCGTGGAGAATGAAAGTGGTGAAATGAAGTCACCTTGGTGTTCGTCGTCGTCGTCGTGTGGCTAGGTGTACAAGATTTTCTACCCTACCTGTACCTGAACCCTTGCGTCGTGCCACCGACCCCCTGGGCACCGCTCTCCAGACATCAAATAGCATGCTCTCACAACTACGACCTCCAGTTTTATAGCAAACGACAAGCGCATAAAGACAAATGTCTTCTTTGAGAAAGAGCTAGAAGAAAAAGAAAAAGCGATGCAAAGAACAAAAGAATCGAATACCAGGCACGTGAGCCGATTTTTGCAACGCAAAGAACCGAGATGACTCGAATATTCTGATGTTCGTCCACTTCGTAAGTCCAACAGCATGCTGCATCTTCAGTGCAGCAGTGCTCTTGTTGTTGGACAAAAGACTGAGATTTATTGTTATTCCGCGTCTCGTCTCAGTCGAGAGTCAAGGAAGTAGTTGTGATGGACTCGAGCATCAAGCCGTTTTTGCACCTTTTCGTCAGCGTTCCAACCGTACTCAAATACTTTTACGTGCAGAAGCGTTCTCATATCGGTAAAGGGCATGGGTGGGCGTGTAGATCGCATGGAAAAGGTGGTGCACAAGCCTATTCTCGTTCTTCTTGCGCATGAAACAAAGCGACAGATCTGCCTCACTCGTACAGGGCCTCGTGCAAGTGTATTTTTGGCAAGGGTAGCGTTACTCTTACTTCGTCATCGTGATCGTATCCTGGATGGTCATTCGTTACTGCAAAATGAAAACCGAAAACGAAACCCAGTGCCGTTGCTGTCAATCATACAGATTCGCAACATGTTTCCCGATGCCGGTGAAAACAAGAACACTTGAGACTTAATATTCACTTTCACACATGATACGGTCATCAAGAACGTGAACGTCACTGATGTTACCAGTACTTTAGTACCAGGTGGATAGCGTCAGAGTCTCGTTTTTTTGAACGCACTAGCTAAGTGAAACACATTCATCCGGTCGTTTCACCTTAGTTTCGAATTTCCAATGTCATGACCGAAGGGTATCAAGCCACCCTACGGGCGTCGCCCTCTGCGCCCTCGTTGCTACGAAAGGAGCGGCACTTCAAGGTTGCGGCCAAGGATGCACCGCTGAAGTCGTATTGTTTTTCATTTTCCTCCATTTTTGTTTGTAATGATGAGCATGGTTGTGGTTGAAATTATACCTCGTCATCATGTTTTCCACTACAGCAGGGCTGCTTTCCTACAGCTCCAGTGAATTCAATCTACGAAAGATTTCAGCTCATGCTTTCTCGCCAAACGCAAACTACACAGATACTCGTCCCTGGAAGACGATGCGTTGTGGCACTTCTGGGCGAATCCGGCCTACCAAGCGCATCACATGCAGGCGGGCTTTCTGTCCCGCACCGGTGAATTGGTGGATGTAGACAAATTTCGCCGAAAAATGTACGTCGTCGAAAAGGAGCTTGCCCTGGCCGCCGAGCTCGACCGCAAGCGCATGAAGGACGCCGATGGTACTACTGTTTTTATTTCTATTTGTCACTGTTTCTGTCTTCTCTTTGATTGAATCGAAGGTGGAGTACTTAGTTGATGTTGAAAAAGGTGTTTAGCCGGTGACCGATGAAGCAAAAGTCGAAAAGACACGAGAAAACAAATCCAAATTATCCACCAAACTTCGTCCACTACAGTTCTGCTCGAGCAGAAGAGGAAGATGCGTGAGGCCGAGCGTGCGCAGCGCATTCGGGACCGCGAGGTGCAGCAGTACGTGCAGGGGGTGCGGGAGAAGCGAAAGGCCATGATGGGAGGGCACTAGCATGTCAGTGGCCATGAGAAATGTCAACATTCTTTCATCGAAAATGAATATGTGCGGTCTAGATGATCGAAAATGCCTACTTCAGTGAAGTTGAAATGTACAATTGAGACCACGGTAGGTGCCGGAAATTTTTCGTGTAGTTTTTGCTTCTATTGACGCGTATCAGTTGTATCACCTCTCTTCACTGAAGACCCTGGTCGCTCTGGTAGTGAAAGGGTGCTCAGGAGTTCTTGTACTTGTGATTGTGCAAGATTTTCATGCTATACGTTTCTTTGTCGTGGTCGTCGTCGTGCTTCCTGTATTTATTGTGCTTTCTTCGCTCTTCAGCTGATGGTGTTGGTGCACCAGTTCGGTCTATTAGTAAAGGAAACCGAATAAACTACTCTTCAATGTACATACAACCGTGGCTCGCGAACGCCGAAGAACTTTCGAAATTGTCAAATCGGGAAATAAAGCAGAAATTGGAGCCGCAGGAGGTCACAGGCGCGTGCGACGACGGCATTATAGTCCCACCGACTCATAATGCAGCTCAATGACAACATCATCTAAGGCCATGGATGTCGTCAGTGTTCGAGTGCAGGATGAATCTTCTGGCAAAGGCTTTTAGTTCTGGCCTGACATCTTTCATTCTTTTTCATTGCAATCGATAACGAATGATCCCCGGTCGTGCCGGAAAGTGTAAGAAAGTGAAGGAAATGAGATGATCCCGCAAGTTGAGGAGGATCGTCTGATCCATCAAAATCAAATTATAAATCTATCTAATGGAGCAATAAACTTCATAGCATTTGCGTTGCCATACTAGCCAAGAAGCGAAGGACGTGAACGCGAGTACTACCAGATTTTTTTCGGTCTGTTAAGTAGCTGTCGAATGAAAGTAAAAGCGTCGGATGTGGAGTTAGGTCGTCGCGTAAGTTGAGTTTACAAACGATATTCTTTTCAGAATCAGATCCCGGTGAATTGTTCCAAAAGAGATGTACTGAAATTGTGGATCGAAAGATCTTGTAGCTCTTGCTGAACAGCAAGATGCTGTTCTCGCAAAAATTGAAAAATGATCGTGAGGCTGAGGATGATGATTTTCGGTGTTGATAATGGCTAGGGTCGTTGCTCCTTAACGAATGCAGGATACATACAGAAATTGATCTTGATGTTGAAGTGGAGCTCTGCGTACTGAAGGAAATTCACATCGTGACCAAAATAAATACAGCAGGATACTAGCTGCTACTTACCTCCACGTACATATTACTAGGATAGAAACAGATATTGCGAAGACTTCTGAATCTGAGCACCGCCGCAACGTTAATTCAACAAAGCTATCATACTAGCACTTTATTTTATCAACATTAACATTGTTGCTGCTTTCCACTACTTTCATTTAAGTACAGAATGCTTCGCGCCAGCTTGGTTCTTGTACTGCAGGCTTTGTCTCTGCAACACGATGTGTTGAATGGGTTCGGGCTGCGTTTGCAGATGCAACCTAGTTCCCCGACTGGTCCTCGCTTAAACGTAAACGGAAGTGGCGGCGTCCAATCCGGAGCGATGTGGTCGCCTGACGGAAAGACACCGGCCGCCGAGGCGGGAGTAACTCGCACTGCTCCCCCCGCTGGGCGTGTGTTCGTGTCGCCGCAACAGTTAGAAGGTAATGGACGGAGAAAAACTCGCGGCCCTCGCGGACGCGGTCAACGGAGGAGCCGGAGCATAGGGATGAGCGCAATTCCTGAAAATTCTGAGTTTCCTCCTGTGGCGAACCTTGATAGTGATCATGCTATGTTGCAGCGCCCTCGTGAGGACCCTCCGGCTCAGATGTCGATGGAGATGGAGCAACGCTGCTTGAGTTGCAGCTCCAATTCTCGGTGCCGTGAGTGCCTATGTTCGGAGCATACAGCATCTGGCGCCTTTTGTGGAGGAGGCGCTGTTGCGTTTGCGGCAGGGACCATACCAGGTTCCTGTTGCGGTTGCGGCGCTCTTGCTCCGTTTCTGGGACCATACCAGACGGCTGCTTTTGCTGCTGGAGTAGGCTTTGCCGGCATTGGTTGTGCCCGTATGACATATTTGTCTGACCGACGTGGGGAAACTTAAACCTTAAGTCTGTGGTGCTCTCACGCTCTGCAGTGAAGATCTTCAAGAACCAGCGTGAAAATACTTCTGTAGTAGTCGCTTGCTGTTGGTATCGACTTTCACAGGACACCAGATAAAGATAATACAAGTCAGTGCGGTGCGTGTGTTGTCTTTTCGTTCTTCTAGAGGGCTGGCGCACTACAGACCGAACCTTGTCATGTGTGAGTCCAAAAACTTGTGGATATGTCCTGCAGAGGTTCTGAACTATGGGGTGGGTACGTTTTTGTTTTACATATGACACAAGGACAAGTAAGTACTTTTTGCATGATGTTGGCGCTTACCCCAAATTGAAATTACTTATATAATTTGTTCTTTTGCCAATGCCAACAGTTGCACAAGGGCGCACCAAGCACGCACGTACAGCAGAACGGCAACGAGAATAGACCCCATCTCCATCTGCGCCTTGTAACTGTAAGAAACCCTTGCAGTGTGTGAGAGGTAGACGCAGCATTGTCAGTAGTAGTCACCTTTCATCATCGCACCAGAAGCAAGATCTGATTGAGTTTGGAACTTTGTCTTCATGATTCTACATCTACTCCACCCTGCTTTAAGTTTGTTGACATCGCTACGACCGTATTGGTACTAGGTATTCCACCCTGCATGAGCATATGCATTCCATCTGTCGCGACGTCTTTCTGGAGTCTTGCTCAAAGTAAAACATCAAAGTAAAACATCAAAGTAAAACACAGTCTTGCTCAAAAAGTAAAACATCACAGACAGAGTCGTGCTCAAAGTAAAATCTCGATCGGCGCTCCAGGTCAAAGAATTTCTTCCTATTTTTATAAAAAGGACCACCACCACATCAACAAGGAATGTAGTTGCGTACTGATTCTTTTACCACCAAGCAGTAGTTATTTCGCGGGAGTATTCATTGCGGACGTCGAACGAAGGGAAACGGAAGCAAAAATTAATAATGTATGATGAACACGTGTACAACCTGACTGTGTATTGTCGGGAGAAGTGCCGAAAAATCACCGCTTTCTCACGTCACCTATACGACTTTTTGGGTTGTTCTTATTGCGGAACGAAGCGGAGCCTTGTTGTTCTTTGATCCTGTTGGAGAAGATGATCCAGGAATTTGACGCGCCTTGTTCTTTGACAAATTAAATCATCGACGCAGCTCCACGACCGCCCAAAGCCAGACAAGCCACCACCACGACCACACCGAGTACAGGATCTTTGCAGTTTTACTTTTGCGAACCCAACTTTGTAAGTGCAATTGAAGAAGTTTCTCTGATTTGTGAGGGACGACAACCAAGGCAGAAACCTTCAGTCTGGGTATTGCGTTTACGTGAGTCGGAGACGTCAAAGAAATGATGTTCATTGTGTTGTAGTTATTGCAGATCGTGATCGACGTAGTTCACCTTATTTAGTACTTATACCAGCCTCCCTCCTCAGCGGCCTTTGTTTGTTTTATGATTTATTGATATTGACCACCCGGACGACTAGCAACATCATGACGCCTTTACTCAACTCCTGCCGAAGTGGCGGTGGTGCTTTCCAAGAAGCTGCGGGAAACCGGTTTTATTCCTTTTCGGCAGTTTCCACGATTCATCGCGCACCACCGCTTCCTACGCACGTACTAGCACCTCCCGCTAGAAGCGACCAAGGAATGGGAAAACGGCGGCTCAGCATGGGCGGGACTGATGCTGTCCTGGCGCAGCTGAGGAGAACTTTCTTATCGACGCCATCATCTTCAACCTCGTCGTCGTCTAGTAGAAGTACACACGCACGAGCATTTGCGACTGGTGCGTTAGATCATGGCTTGGACAGACAACATGTTGCGCCGCGTGCCAAGAAACTACAGCAAGAACTACATGGCCTTGAACTACAACCTGAAAGGGAACAAACCGGTCAAAGAAAATCTAAATCAAGTTCACGACAACATCAACTGCGCCATCCAGGTGGCCATTTTCTCAACTACACACAACAGCAACATAACTGTTCCCGCCGGTATTTCGGCACGTCAGCAGGAGGATCAGACGAGACAACTGCTGGAAACACGACGGAGGGCGGCAAACCCAAACCTCCTGTCACCGACTACTACTCTCTGCTAGGACTTCCGCGCAAGTACCTTCTGACCTCAACCGAGCTTGACCAGGCTTTTCGGGAAACGCAGAAGCGGCTCCATCCCGACAAAATCGCCCATCTGGCTAAGGATGCGGCGGAGAAGGCCCGACTGGAGGACCAGAGCAGTTTGGCAAACGAGGCCGCGCGGGTTTTGCGGTCCCCGCTTGAGCGCGCCAAGTACTGGCTGGAGCTGCACGAAGTGCCGACGCTTAAAGAAAGCCAGCGCATCCAAGACCCCGCACTGCTGGCGGAAATGATGGACTTATACGAGGAGCTGGACGACAATGCGGCCGACGCCGAGATCGTGGCCAGAATGAAACAAGACAACGACCAGGCGATCGCAGCAGTCGTTTCGACTATCGACCGGCTCATTCAAGCGTCGGACTTTGTCGCGGTGCAGAACCAAATGGAAAAGCTCTCGCTTCTCAACCGCCTTGCGGAAAAGTTGCGCGCCGTTGAAGACGCGGCGGAACGGAACGGGGAAGCAGAAGAACGATGACCAACATGGGAGAGTGACAATATTTGCTTCTGTGCCGCCGCTTCGAGAGCGTCAACGATAAATGAAATTTTTTCAGGTTCTTCTGATGTCTGAAGGTGAACGCATTGGCAATGAGTTTCACTCACGCGACAAACAATCTCGAGTCCGCGACTTGGTCGCACATATCATGTGTCTACAGCGACAAAGTTACAAGTGCTCGTGCACGATTCGTCACGACCTGCTGGTCTTCGCTCCAGCTGGTTGCTTGGAAGAGCAGATGCAGAGGAAGATTTTTATGATGAAATACAAATATTAGAAAAGTGTTCTTGTGTAGTTGCAACTACAACTACACGCAGCTCGTCTACCATTTTGGACCTTCAATCTTACTAGATTCAGAGACAGAGCGCAGGATGAATTCTGAGCGAGTATGAAAACATCCGTTCAAAAGACGCTTTGAGTAGTCTAGCTTTTAGGACCCACACAGCCGGGCTTATTCCTGGCTCTTGCTCTGCCGCAAGAAAGAGAAACAAAGTCAAAATATCCTTATCCATGCACAACGCTAAAGATGCGGCCTACTCAACATCGTCATCCCTGTGCAGCTTCAAGTTCTTTGTCTTTCCGTGCTGCCGGTCTCGTGGTTTTGTTTTTCAGTGGTGTTTTCGTCCAGCTTTTGTTTATTTGCCCCGTCACTGTGCTTGCAGACGAAGTACACGTGGAGCAGCAGCGGGTTCTTGATGCCAGCTGCCGTGACCACCCCGGAATTCCGCCACCGCCACACAGGAACTGGAACGAATTGTACAAGGATGTCGTCGCTTTCAATCAGACGTATCTCTTCGACGGCGGGGGCGCCGGGGGAAAAAAGCCACCCGGTACTAGCGCCGCTGATGAACAACCTGTGTCGTCGCTGCGAGAGTTGAATCGCTTCGTCTTGTCGCGGGAGGACATTTTCCACGGATTTCCGAGTGTCGCCGCTGCGAAAAGGTTCAACCTGACTCGGCATCGAAAAGCAGAGCACGATGGAGAAAAATCTCTTCATGAACAGAAAGACAGTGATGTGGATATGAATACCAGTACAACTTCTTCTACGCGGGTACTCCACCCGAACGTGTTTCCGGGCACCTACACCTACTGGGAGTCGAGGTTTCTGCCCCTGTACGAGCTGGCAGAGACCATTAGCTGTATCAACTGCAAAAATATCTGGGTCTGGAAAGTTAGAACTTGTGATGCTAGCTTTGGACTCTAGAAAAATCTGTATTGCATCCCCAGCAAGAGGAGTCCAGTTTCTGCTACGCGGGGAGGCCATTTGTCATGCGCAATAGGCATCAAGAAGCGCTCAGAAAATCTGTGATGCCAGGGAAGACATCACAGACGTCACGGGCCATGTAAAATCTGCATGACAAGTTCGCATCCTTCCAGACCCAGACATATTTACAGTTGATAAGCTGCGTGTTCGCTCGATTGTGTGTCCGGCTGATCATGGCAATTTTGCTATCCTGAGTAAAAACGTATCCACACCAGAGCTGTAATGCAGATTTGCAAAGAGAGGAAGACTTGTAATGCGCATCCCCATGAGAGCCATTTCCAATCGTGTTTTGGGATTTGTGATGCTGTGAACAGGATGAGCAGACGAATCTGTGATGCGGCTGCACTTGCTAACCCGCACTACACTGCATAGTGCAACTTGTCATGCGTGACTCACAAAACTCCTAGGTTTGTGTTGCAAAATCCCCATCCTGACTCTGGTGTGGCTACGTTTTTACTCAGGATATTTGCGGCGCGACCGCGCGGAGGTTGAAGGCGTGCTGCAGCGGTTAAAGGACGACGTGGTGTGGAACGAAATCACTTTTAGTCCGTGGCCGGTCATGCATCTGCTCTACAAAGCGCAGGTGGCCACCGCCACCCTCCGCAGCCCCCGGGAGCCAAGGCTTTTAACCCTCGCAACGGAGCGCGCGACCAGAAAAGGAGCTGGCAAGGTTTTGGCAGATGCAGCCGCCGAAGGAGGGGGAGGTGATGGAGAGCGATCAGATCAAGAGCCCGATAAAATTTCAGGCACAGACAGAAGAAATACGGAGGAACTTGTCGCCGGAGCTGCTTTGTCCTTTCACGACAGTCCTGTCGTCGTCGAAGAGGCAGCGGCAGACTCACCTTCTGTTACCTCTAGTATCTCTACCGCGGAGGCTGTGGACGAAGATCTCGAGTCATTCGAGACGGTACTTTCCTCACGTCGGTCCCTGGCCGGTCTGATCGCCACGAAAGTTGACAACTGTTTTGCAGTGTCTGGGCAAAGCTGGCTGCGGCGCGAAAGCGATTTCGGCAGCTACGCGGCGAAGTTCCGCGATATATTTCCACCGATAGGTGGTGCAGACACAGATAGACAAGCTACAAATAGTGAAACGAGATCAGGTCGTTCCTCTTCCTCTTTCTACGCCGGGCTCGCCTCCGACTTCCTGCTCAGTGTGCACAGCTGGTTCACTTCCGAAACGACATCAAAAGATGAGCCCAGCAAAGCTAAGGCCCGCACTATGCCGTTTCCGTTTTTTGACACGCACCAGTTCTTCCGCCGGTTAGTTGGGGACTTCTGTCTCGAATACTTGTACACCTACGCGCTGATTCAGATGGCGATGCACGTGGAATTTACGAATGTGACCCCCGGGTTCGTGCTGCGCTGGGTCCAGCGGCTCCTGCACTACCCGAACCTTGCCGGCGTCGACGGGCTCTTCAGCAACACCGACAACGTGGCCCTGCACAAGGACGACGAGCTCCTGCTCCCGTGGGAGGGGGAGGAGGACGAAGAGGATGTCATAAGCGCCATCGGTTCCGCCACGAGCGGCAATGCGAAGTTCTTCCGCATGCTCGCCGCGGTGTCCAACGCTGCAGGAAAAAAAGACGACTCGAACAGTACTGCTTCCTCGTCGTCAACCGCAGCCGCGACAGAGTCCACCTCTGGGCGAGTGGAGTATGTCAAGTACGGTGTAAAGCACGCACTTCCCTGCATGCGCCGAACTCGTAGTACTGGGAACACAGGAGCGTCAGGACGAAGATCTACTTCACCGGGCGACGCGTCCAGTGGTAGTGTGGCGGACGACGAAAAATATTTTATAGAAGGAGAAACGGTGATCATCCGACATGATCATGGACCGAAGAAAAATCGCAGCGTACCCTCGTGGAAAGGGTGTTTTTTTTCCGGGCCGCGCCCCGGCCGAGGTAAGAGCGCTCGACGACCAAAACGCGTGGGCGCTCGTGGCCAGACGGGGAGAGTGGTTTCATGCGTCCAGCAACCATGAAAACTAAGCACCTGGGGCCCCCAAAGCGTCCGGCCATTGTCGGCCTTTCCCATCTCCAGCACTGCTCGCATAATGTGCGCAGTGAACACTGCCACACTCTGCGAAAAGCTGCGCCATTTTTTCGGTCCGTTAAAAAACAAACCCGCTCCGCGAGGGTGTGCTGCGATTTTTCTTTGGTAGATGATCACTGTCGGCGATCGCCATTTCTCCTTCTATATATTTCGAGGACGAGTTTTTCTTCGCGCTGCGGCGCTACGTCGCGGGCGCGTACGGTAGCAGTCTGGGCTATTTTTACTCGGTCGAGCTCCACTACTGGCTGGCCAAGCTCACGGAAAAGGAGTTTCGCATGAAGCTGGGGGGTGTGGACGTCGCCGCGTACTTTGACGCGCCTAACCGGGTCGTGGTGGATTCCTTGGGAGCGGAACAGGATCAAGACCAACTGACTTCTGCTGAACAAGTGGTTGTATCATCTGGCACGACTCCTACTTCCAAATCCACAACATCAAATTCGACTGTTCTAACGAGGCTTGAAGTAGAACAAGACGATGCACAAAGTGGTGAAAAAGATGAACAAATGGTCGAGGTTGTACAAGAGGAGCAATTTTCGGATCAGGAGCGGTCTGCCCTCCAAAAACTGCTGAAGGGCATACACGACCTGTGCGAAGCCTTTGGGCTCCCGTACGTGCTGGCGCAAGGCACCTTGCTCGGGTCTATGCGGCACCACGGTCTGATTCCATGGACGGGCGACGCCGAAATCGGTGTTGATTACAGCTACATGCCATTTTTTTTCGTTCTTGCACTCCTACAATCCAGTCACTTCGCCCGTTTGTCGTTTCTGCACGCGGAGTTGCAGCTTTATCTGCTGGGTGGCGAACGGCAAGCGCAGGAGGACCACACGCGCACGCCTCCTGAAGATGAAAGGTTCCGAAATAGTCTTGTGGTGTACAAAGCGTACTACAAGCAGTTGCTCGAAGCTGGTGCAGCAGCTGTGCCGGGGAACAAAAAGTTCTACTCGAGGACACCAGCAGGTACTACCCCACTTTCAACAGCGAAGACGGAATCCCAGTCACAGTTCTTGGCGCAGCGCTACCGCCTTGCGTCAATTCGTGGTCCAGCTGCACGACGGCTCATCATGAACGATCGTGAAAATAGAGCCAAAAATTACGATTCAGACAACCCCAAGAACGGCGTCGGAAATGGTGCAGCTTCAACTGAACAGGCTCCGGCAGCAGTTCTTGTTTTGCCGAAAAAATCCAATTTTGAGTGGTTTGCGGGTGCTCGTGGACGGCTGCAAAAAGCGTTCGACATTTTTCACGCGCGCCACCAAGTTTTCTCGCTCTTCGTGTCGCGACCCTTCGCCCCCAAATTTTTCTACAAGGACCTACTGGTGGAGCTCGAAGAACTCGAAACAAGTCGAAACATGCACGCAGCTGATCCGTCAAAACAAAAACCTGCAACCTCTACTGAAAGTAGAAACGCCGTGGCAGATGAACAAGACGGCGCAGCGACCATTTCCTTACCAAGCTTCCCAGATAGGGTGGATCTTTCCACGGCCACTGTAAATCAGTTGATCCGCGAGAAGAGTGCGAATACCGAGCAACACCAGCTCTCGACGGACGTGTCGGGATTTTATCACCGCTACCCCTACCTGGACGTGATGCCCACCTATTTCCACGAGGCGACTGCGGTGGTTGGGTACACCTCGTTCATGTGGGGGTACCGCTTTCCGTTCACCTTTACGCTCTGCAAAAGTACCGCACTCGTATATATAATTGCGGTCACCCATGACAGATCTGGCGTCTTAGCTAATTCAGCATTACAAATACCATTTTTCCTACTTCTCGACAAATTATGTGTGATGCTATTTCTACTTAGTGTGATACTTTGTTTTGCAGTGCACAGCCTGGGTCTACCCGCGCAAGACCGTGTTCGTGGAAAACGTAGGGCCGATGTGGGCGTGGAGTCGCAGCTTCCGCGTGCTCCGCGTCAAATACGACCGTGGCGCCATGTATGGATGTGTCAGAGTTGAAATCGACAAAGTTGAAATAGTTTGTCATGCATAAAACGGATACCAGTTAGACCTACAGTTTGTTGTCGGTGCATGACAAATTTCCCCGGTCCTGGAAAAGAGTCTGTCATGCGGTTTAGGGCAAAAGAGCTGCCTTCTGTCATGCTAGTTAGCAGTCCAACTTTTGACCCTTACCAGGACTATAATCTGCCTCCCGTGGGTCCTCTGCAATAGAGTCACTTTTTGTATCGCATTTTATGCATTACAAATTTTTTCAACTTTGAAGATTTCAAACCTGACGCTTCCATACCATGAACCTGAATTCGGACCCGATGAAAACCTGCGTCGGGCACCACTTGTATGCATTGCTAAAGTGTCTGGTTCTGGAAGCTTGTGATGCTGGGTGGCGTATCATGGGGAGGCCGCAAGTGCTGGCTCAGCATGACAAGTTTCTGAGCTTCTAGGTGTTGCCTACTCTGCATGACAGACTGCGTTTCTGCATGACAGAAAAGTGTGGCCACTCTAACTCTTGGGCAACGTGCATGACAGATTTAAGAGTCATGCCAGACAACCATGACAAACATGCACTCTTCCACTCTCAGACATTTTTGCATTTGATAACTTGTCGCACAAAACGATGGTGTCCACGGGGGATGTGCTACCCAAAAAAATGAACTGCTCCGATGTCCCCGGGCTCCCCGTGGCCGTGCCCTTCGCCAGCCCGGTTGCTGCCCGCACTGAAATGGCAAACGTCTTGCGCGGACGCGCGACTACTGACCACCTTGCTTTCTTGGATCGCGTGCTCGCGGTCGTGAAAATGGACCGACCGGCGGTCAAGGCGATTGGCTGGCTCTTTTCCCGCTGCGACACGCTACGGACGCGCCAGCGAGCTGGACAGCGGGCGACATCCACGAAGGACGACGGCGGGGAGGTTTCCGCAAGTGTAGGCGGTACAGGCCAAAAGGCGACGGACTTTCTCATTCACTACCAGCTCTGCTTCTTCGACCTTGTTGGTTTCCGGACAACTTCCACCAGAATTGCGAACCAAGATGAAGTGCCGGGCCCCGCTCATCAGACCGAGTCGGGATTGCAGAAGATGTTGACACCAACACCATTATCGGTGGAGCAGGTTGCTTCATCAAATTGCACGAGTTCTTGTGCTGGACAGCAAAATAGTCTTGAAGTTCGGTTCGGTCGCGTAGCTCAAGACGCGCCGTACTTCGTGACCAACCTCGACCTACTTCGCGCTCATCAGACGCTTCTGGCTGACGATGGAGAAGACGCTGGTCTTGGTGAAGATGCTGCTATTAACGCTGAAGAAAGCGCAAGCAGGATCGCGGAACTGAGTACCAGTCTTCATGAGGCGAGCGATCAGGTGACTTGCATCTTGCGACACGACGTAGATGCAGACGACCTAGATGTTGCAGCCAGAGCCACGGAAGATCATGATGGAAGACGGAAAAGACAAAGAGTTCTTGGTCCGCAAAGGACTGCTGTGCACCACTGCACTCATGATTTTCTCTTCCACCGACGCAAAATAAGTAGGATCACAAGTTCTACTGCTGTACCAGAATGGACCGCCCCGGGAAGCGGCGGCGGGGAGAACGCTGGGTCTCTGCACGGCAGTCGGCGAACTGCGGTTCATTAAAGTGCAATCGACTTCTTGCATCTTTCCTTGGAGCAGCAGCTGCACTTTTTTGCTGCGTTTCTGTTCATCTTCAGCTCGCTCGCAGGCCATAAAAACGAAAACATTCGGAGGTGAGCGCAAAGATGAACCAGAGCCCGCCGCTGTCATTTCGAGGACCTGCTAGTGGTGCTCCTGGGTGGGCGTGCCTTCACAAGGAGGACCGCATTTTTTTATATACACTTACTGATTAGAGTTAGACACGACCGAGGTAAATAATCACTAAGCGTCTGAGCAGATAGAAGCAGGAGATGAGTGAGATACGATAGCAACATCCGACAAGAGAGACGCTGTTTATGGACCAGTGAGTAGTACGCGGATCATTTCTCACGTGGAGCAGGCAGGCTTACCTGTGACAGATCCTTGCGCTCTGTGTCAGTGTTGCGCGGCTTCTTGACTTATTTATCAGTGTTGTGGTTCAAGAATTTCTGCAGTCGTTTAGACTCTGACTCGCTTGTGGAAAGGGTGAGTAAATAAGGTCGGTCCGCTTCTTGAGGAGATCATTTCTAAAAAGCCCTACGGCCGTGTGGTGCATCACCGGATAATTTTGGAAGTAATCGCGGTCGACATCGTCGAAGATGGGGAACCATCCTTGCTGCTGCCAAACCGTCGCGAACGATCGCATCGCGGTCATGGCAAGATGCGGAAAATTTGACAAGCTGGCGTACACGAAATACCTATACCTTTTGTTATTCTTTCACCGCTTACTTTGGCATCAGTTTTGAAAAGTTTGATGAGTTGTTCTGTGCCATAGCCATTGGCAAGATCTTCGACATAATCCATTTCCAGCACATCATTTAAGACGTAAACAAAACCACGCCACCAGGCATCCGGGTTTGTTGCTCGTCCCCTGCCCGTGTATCTGTGTGCGGATCGGGGAAGTGAGTACGCGGCTGCAGGAGACCATCGTGCGGTGTGAGACCAAAACGAAGGACAACGTTTTCGTGAACATGGAAGTGTCCATCCAGTACGAAATTCTCCGCGACAAGGTGTACGACGCCTTCTACCGGCTGTCGGAGCCCCACGTGCAGATCAGTTCCTACGTCTTTGACGTGGTGCGGGCGGCCGTGCCCTTGCTTCTCATCGACGACGTTTTCGAGCAAAAGGAAGAAATCGCAAACCAGATCAAAGGCAGGCTCAGTGTGGTACTTACTTTCTTTTCAACACGGTTTCTATCAGGACAAGGACACTTCATGTTTTCTTGGCATTTTAATGCTTCGTGTTGTATGTCTATGACTATGTCGCCTGATATATTCGTTTTCGTTTCCTGTATGGCTATGGTAGAAGAAGGAGTGGATGACCCCGGTTATTCTGGTAGTTGTGGCACCTTCTTTCTCTCATGCTGCGAGGTCGACTTCGGAGTCACAGTCAACAGAGAGACAAACCTTAACCTGGGCAGCAAAGTAATACAGGTCATGAGCAGTTTCGGATTCAACATAGTGCAAGCCCTGGTTACCGACATCTCGCCTAACTTGAAAGTCAAGGATATGGCGTTCTCAAATGTTACATTCTCAACTGTTACACGATTTGTCATGCAAAATGACCATGATCCGCAAGACGATCAAGCTGCTTCGCATGACAAATCATCGAATGGCTAAACAGCATCTAAATCTGTGCCAAATTTGTGATGCAAGACAGACTTGCAAGCTTTCCCCTTTCCCTATCCCTATTGCTGTTTTTGCATGACAAATCCATGTAACTACAGTTGAGAATGTAACAGTTGAGAACGCCATAAAGGACGCCATGAATGAGATCAACGCCGCCTTCCGCTCAAAGCAGGCAGCAAAAGAAAAAGCAGAAGCCGACAAAATCGTCTTGGTATAGTAATTTACTTCAAATTTTCGCAACAAGAAATCGTACATGCACTGCTAAACTTTCGATGGTTCCCCCGGAGTTGTGTTTTCTTTGTGTCGATGAAGTTTGTTTCTGTCTCTGTACCCTGTAGTGGGTCCCTTGTGCCATGGAGCGATAAATCGACCCGTGAAGATGATCATTCACGAAAGGCAGCAACTAAGCGCAAGTGCCGAATTTCAATTTTTATTTTCTTTGTGTCAGGTGAAACAAGCGGAAGCTGATGCCGAGAGCAAGTACCTGCAGGGCACGGGTATCGCAAAGCAAAGGAAAGCAATCGTGGACGGGCTCCGTGACTCGGTCGACTCCTTCACGACGACGGTGGGGGGGATGGCCGCCAAAGACGTCTTGGAGCTTGTGCTTGTCACACAGTATTTCCTTCTGTTTACTTCGTCAGCAGGCGCCCAGTTTGTGATGCTATTTCTCCTTTATCGCTCTGCTGAACAAGAAGCGAGCCAGATCGTGAAGAACAGTCAGAACTCATAGTACTTCTCAGTAAAACAAAAAATGCTACATTCATCAATCGCGACACGGCATCTTCAGGTACTTCGATACCATGAAGGACATTGGATGTAGCTCACAATCCAAAACCATCTGTAAGAAAAGAATCACATCGCGTCTTTCCCCTCCGTTCGGTAAAATGTCGACTCGAGAAGTTTGCAATCACTTATAGTTTATCGTCTGCTCGTCTTTTGCTGGTGCATATGATATGACTGCTTTTGCATTCTGCACGGAGAAAACACGAACTTGAGAAGGAAAAATAAAGAACCTTCGAATAGATAAGGTGAAATCTAAATCAAATAAAATGGAGGACAGTACTACTACTAATTAGCAGTAGTGTGCGTTAGCCGTTATGGGAGGACTGACAGATCTTCCTGCCATACTGATCGTGCCGAACAACCCCGGGGCCATTACAGACATCACGGAGGAGATAAGGACTGGATTCATGCAAGGACAGGCCGGGAACGTGTAGAGTCTGTAGTGTTCTACTCCAGGTGCACTAGTGCTGAGGGTCGTGATCGTGAAGCTCATGCTCAAGCACCATGCCATCTCCTGCATCGCTTGTTCCTGCAAGACTCGTCACGAAGGCACGCAGCGAAGGGGATGCCGCCGCAGAGGGGATCGAGCACTGGAGGTTTTTTGAAGAAGCTGCATCAAGAGCACTACAATCGCAGAGCCAGGGCTTCGCTATCAAAAATCTTGATGCTTGCGGGCAGAAGACCGATCTTCTTCGTGCCACCTTGTCCTCTGTGCGGCTACTACACCCTCATTTTTTACGTCACGGTTTTTCTTGAAACAGAAAACGAGTAGAATGGTGCGAAAAATGGTACCATGGGTAGCCAAGAGAGAGCTGAATGTGCACCAACCGAAAAGCACGAGAAAGCATGCTGCTTTCACCAAATCGAGTGTTCCTTGACAAAAAGTAAAGCTCGAGGTCTTGTGCAATCTAATACTGATCCGTTGCACGACAGGGAGCGCCAGCCGTCCTGCACTTGTTCTGCTGCAGCAACCTCCAAAAGTGCACTTAAATTTAAGTACTTCTTGTTCTCGATTTCCAAAACGCACGCGTGTTAGAAGCGTGTCGCAAACCGTGTCAGAAAACTGATCTAAGCGCATTGTATCAAGAACCGCACGAATGGCAGTGATGATGATTTTTATTTTCGCCGCCGAGTTCACAAAAGAGAAATAGGATAGGGCCACTGGAAATCTCAATCTTTGTTTTATATCCGCGTCTGCTTCCAGCGACGATCCTGATACGACGACAAACGGGCTTTCGTACCGAAGAAAAACTCATGATCTACTTCCTCTTTGCGATGCATCATTTTTGAGACGCTCTATCAATCGAGGTTCCTCCCGTACTAGAAGAACTACCCCGGGCTCGGAGGTGGAAAGCACAACATCTTGATCTCGTCTAGATCAAGAGAAGTACGATCCGAGAGGACGTCGTCACCAGCTCAAGCGGCAAAGGTCGTGAAGGTCTGACGACATGGAGCTTCAGAATGTCATGGGGATTCATGCGTCCCATAGATATGGTCCGCTGCCGACAGCAATTTTTCCTTTGATACTTTTTTTTTGTTGTGCTGATATAGTACCGATCTACATCTACTTGTTTCCCGCGACTACACAAGAAATGCGTCGCATTCATGTGCATGTGCCAGAAGATCGCGATTGCCATTGCCTCAAAAACAACAATTTCCAGCGACGACCTTTAGACCTAACATAGAAGAGAGAAATTAAGAAATAAATTGAGACTTCTTGTGAACGTGTAAGTTGTATTTCAGCAAGCTGGCTTTTTCCATTCACATAAGTACTTACACAAAGAGGGAGGTAAACAGGAACTCACTCGATTTTTCATTAGCGTGCGACTCATTAATCATTTCAAAGTCTGAGTATATGATAAAGTTTTTTATGGAATCAATAGAGATATGATCCCCGTCAATGTCGTGAAGTAGCCTTCACAACATTTCTTTTTTCCTAGCGACAACAATGGATATGTGGAGCTCGCGCATCCGATTATATGTTCTTCTATTAGTGAGTGGTGCCTAGTGCATCTCAAGTCTGTGTACAGCACGCCAAGCATTTAGTTTCGAAGAAAAGATTTTTTGAAAATGATGCTTTTGAGCACTACCAACGCAACTTCGTGCTATCGCAAATAGCAAGAGACAAGCTGCAACTGGATCTGGAACTACCTAATATAAGTAATCCATAGTTCCATTTGATTTTTTTTTTCGCGACTTGAATTTTCACTGCACTTTTACCGTTACCTAGTATAAATTTCGTTCTTATTCCCACAAAAAAAAACAAACAAACAGATTTAATGTTACGATTTTACTTTTAGCTAAACTTATCCGTATTAATATTGTATCTATCGACAAGGACAAATCACTTCTTCTCGTTTCATAAAACAAACTTAAGCTTTTGCTTGAGAATACTTAACAGCATTTCGCGCAATTACAATGGCACGAATTTTTGTGGCCTCATATTTGTAACCCTGAAGAGAGCACGCTTCCGGCTTTAAATCGCACACTGCTGCGAGCAAGAACGGAATTGCAGATACTTTGAAAATGTCCCGAAATCAGGCACCTACCGCTCCGCACTCCAAGACGGGGCACCATTTGCTGGGGAATTTTCCGTTGGACTTCTTGCAAGGGCGGTGGTTCAATGATTACAGCCACCTGATAACCGTGACGGAGAGCAAAGTTTGGACCGATGGCAACACCAGCGCTTCAGACCTGCGGTTTCGAAAAAATGACGGGGTGTGGCAATGGGGAGACTGGGAGTTGTTCAACGTAAGTCCCCGGCCCCCGAGAAGCCTACACGATGCCATCCGCAAAAAAGCGATGGACCGCGCCGGTACAGCGGCGGACGCCATGCGCAAAAACTACTATGCGGCAAATAGTAACGCGGCTTTCGGAAAGAACGGCAACGGATCCAAGAACCAGGCTTTATCGTCCGGTGCCGCCACACCGAAGCGGAAGATGAAGGTCATGTGGCATGTGCCCCCACCGTCGAATCCCCGGAGCAGTCGAATGGAGCTTTCGCCGGGCGGACAGACCCAGATAAAAGATAAGGAGAAGACCAAGCCCGAAAAGTATCTGATTGACGTGGACGTCCCGAAGGCAGAGGCGGAGCGGCTGATGGACGAAGGGGGGCACAGCGAGAAGTGTCTGAAAGCCCAGCTGGTGGACGACAACCCCGCACTCAAGAGAGACATCCAAATCGTGAGGCGAGATAACCCGGACACCAGCTTCAGCGACGAGGAGGATGAGGAGGCGTCGGACGACGCTGATGCGGAGCCACTGATCATCGGACCGGTACTCGCAGACTTCACACAGCTGATGGACGCCAAGTCGGCCTGGCGACTCTCCCTGTACCGACCAGTGACGATCCTGTGGATGAAAAGCGGCCAGCCGGACAAGATTGTTCGTTGGTCGAGCGCGGTGCCGAACGTGGCGACGCCACTGGTCCTGGAGGGGGGTCCCTTCAAGAAGTGGCGCCAGATCCTCCACGAGGAGCGGGAGTACCACGGGAAAAAAGTGAAGGCGGAATTGGTGACCAGCCAATACGCCGACCCTGCAGCGCGCATGCGCGCTATCGAACGGGCCGAAGCGGAAAAGCGCCGCCAGGCGCAACTACGAGAAAAGGCAAAGGCGGACGCCAAACTGCGCCTCAAGCCCGAGTTCAAAGTCCGCGAGTCCCGTCCGCGCAAGGCCAAGCTCACCTCCTACGAGAACATGATGCTTGCGGCCGAGCTCTCCGGGGGCGACACCGCTTTTGTGCACGACCATTTTGGGCGCGGAAGTGGCGGCGTCAGTGGAGGTGGTGGTGCAACATCTAGTACGGCGAGCGCTGGGCGGGTACTACCTGGTGGAACATCCGCATCTAGGACCACGTTCCCGTGGCGAACCAAAGCTCCCCCAAACTTTCAATGGAGAGTACCGGAGAACCCCTTTCTGCAGAGCTTCACCTGCAGCGACCCGTGCCAGTCGTTCTGGGAGCGCGAGCAGCGCAAGCTGATGAAGTGCAAGTACGAGCAAATCGAGCACTTTGCTGCGCAGCGGAAGGGCAGCCGCCACTCTCCCGACTTCCGACGGGCGTTGCAGCAGGCACAGCAGCGGTTTTTGAAAGAAAAGGTTAAGTTTCGGTCGGAAGAGGAATTCTACCAGGCGCTCCGGCAAGAAGAGCAAAGAGACTTCCGCATGTTTGCCGAAGAGTACAAGGTTCAGGTTGCAGCTGCCCCGGGAGGATTTTCATCTACAAGAACAGCTGCAGCCCCCTCGAGTAGCAGTGCTGTTAAGAACAAGAATAAAAACTCCGGCAAGATGGATCAGAAGAGCGCGAAACCCCCGCCTACTGCAGCCACGGGGGCACGGGGAACAAAAAAACGAAATAGATCCGACTCATCCGCCTCATCGGATGAAGAAGACAGCGATGCTGAAGATTCTTCGGCAGCTATTGTTGCAAGTTCGTCTTGCTCATCGAGCGATGAGGAATATTCGGACCGTCGCGCACGCGGCCGCAAGAACGGAAACAAGAGGCGCAAAATGTCTGCCACGAGCGGTCACAACAAGAAGGGACCCAAAGCCAAAACTGTTGTTGTTCAAGCGAAGGGCCAGAAGAAGTCTACGGCGAAGTCAAAAGCGAATCCAAATCTGGTGCGATCCGGAGTTCAGAAGACAATGAGAAACGAGAAAAAAATTTCGTTTGCTGATGAACAGGAAGACTCCGAGGATCAGGATGGCGAACCAGTCGCATTTCGCCAGGCGGTGACGAGCAAAGGTACAGGAAGCAAACGGAAAAGAAGCAAAGAGAGTAGAAGAAAAAGCAGTAAAAGTTCGCGCAAAGGTAGTGCGGCGAGCGAAGACTCAGATTCCTCGACTACATCGTCCAAAACTACGACATCGACCTCGCGGCACTCAAGAAATAGCTCCAGCTCATCCGACTCTGACGCTTCTTTTGATGGACATCTCTACTACGACTTTATCTCTGGCGGACTGCAGTGCGCGCCCCCGACGGATGGCACGCCCGTAGATGTTTTCCAGCGCATGCACGAGAAGTCTCGCGGGCTGCGGTTCTGGGTGGATCGTGCGCCCAACCGGGTGAAGCTGCTTCTCGACCCCCGCTGGCCGAACAACAACTACGGTGCAGCTGAACAAAACCACCACCACTACTCTGGGGGCTTCTTTGGACAACAAGTAGAGGATTATGCAAATGACAACGCAGATCATGCTGAAAAGCCGTTAATTCTGCCCTTCGATGCCATTCGGCGCGACCGTGAAGCAATCCTAGCTGCGGCCGATGCAGCGGCTCTCGAGCAGGATTGTTCCCTCGACGACGATATGCACTGCAAATAGAGTATCGTACTCGCATAAATGCATTACAAATTTCCTCAGCGTGAGAAATAAAATTTGTAATGCGGATTTGACTTAACAAAAAGATTTGTAATGCATGACTGCAATACGAATGCGATACTTTTGCACAGGATAGACGAGGAGGATTCCTCGTCCGACGACGAGAGTCCGAACACCTATGGAAGTGTCAGAATCAAAATCGTCAGAGTTGAAATAGTTTGTCATGCATAAAAGCGATATCACTCGGAAGCCCACTTATCAAGCGGCGCATGACAAATTTTCCGAGCGCCGGAATTCAATTTGTCATGCTGTTGGGGCACAAAAGACTGCTTTTGTCATGCTGCTTTGCCAGCTCTATTTCAAACCCTAAACAGGCTCACAATCGGCCTCACTTGCCATCCCAGCAAGACAAGCACTTCACGCCTTGCATTTTATGCATATTCAACCTTGACGATTTCAATCCTGACAGTTCCATAACACCCGACGGGAAAGGAAACGAAAATCCCGGCGGGAGAAAGCGGAGATGGAGCGCGTGATCGCCGAAGCGAATCGAGAAACGGCTGCGGGACTGCTGATCCCCACGGATCCGGCCACGCAAAAACAAGACCTGGCGGCCTTCGTCGCCTTCAACCGGTTGTGTCGTCAAGAGCCGCAGTTTTTCGCCCCCTGCTACGTGCCCGTGGACCGGCAGAATGACAATGAACGCGAGGAGGACCCGGTGGGACTGTCGCCCCAGTGCCTCAAGTTCCGCGCGTGGCTCCTCCAGCTGCACCAGCACGAGGTGGGCAACTGGAAGTCCGAAGAGTCCCGGTTCCGCCTGCAAAAAATGTTCCAGAAGGCCGGGTCGCTGTTTCGGAACCCGGTGACGCTCGAACACGTATGAACTGCAAAAGCATCGCGCTCGTATAATTGCAATCATGCATTACAAATCTTTTTCTTAAAGGTAAATTAGCATTACAAATTTTATTTCTCATGCTGAGGAAATTTGTAATGCAATTTATACAAGTGCGATGCTTTTGCATTGCATAACACGAGTGGCACAGCAAGTCCTTCTTTCAAGCCGTGGTGCAGCCGCTGAAGATTGCCGCGCCGGCGCGGATCCTATCCAGTGTAAAAATGTCTGGGTCTGGAAGAATGCAACTTGTGATGCTGCATTTGGATGTCTAAAAAATTTGTGTTGCATGAGCAGCAAAAGGAATCTATATTTCTGCTACGCGGAGAGGGCATTTGTCATGCAGAATAGGCATCAAGAACCCCTCAAAAAACCTGTGATGCTAGGTCATGCATCACAGACATCACGGCTCATGCAAATCGTGCATCACAAGTCTCAGAATCTTCCAGACCCAGACATTTTTACACTTGATAGATCCACTGGGTCCACGATTCCACCAAGTTCACCAAGGCTCAACTCCTGCAGATGCAGCGGCAGAGCCACGCCGAGCAGTTTCAAAAAGCCCACGCGTTGTTGTCCCACGTTTTCGTCCTGGATGGGATGATGCAGGACAATTACGATCTGTACGTGCTCCGCCACGCCCACACGGACCACATCCACGCCTGCGCGATCCTTCAAAAGGCCCGCCCCAACAAACGCTGTATCCTCTACTTCACCGTCCGCCCCGAAGTCCGCAGCGCGGGCTACGCCTCACGCTTCGTCCAGATGCTGCTCGACCAGGAACCCCACTCCCGCCTCTTTACCACTGTCAATGTACTTTGGATTTTGATTTTGTTTTTGTAAAGTAGTAGTGGCCTGTCCTGTTGCTGTTTCTGTTTTCTGGTGTTCTGCATGTGCACATCATGCATGTTCATGCTTTATTTTGAGGCCTCATCTTCACCTTCAGTATGAGTGCTTTGGCGGTTCATCATCATCTTCAAAGCTTGACATTGTTTTCCCAGGTCGGCGCAGATGGGACACAGGAAAAGTTAGCGGACTGGTGGAAGCGTATGGGATTCACGAAAGAGGTGGAACCTGACAAAGAGCATTCCATGGATGTTCCCTTCAAACACACCATTCTCCTGGAGCTAGATCGTCGCACGTACTTGGGTGGTGCTTTTTTCGAGCCTCCAATATCTCCGGCAGCTCTCGCCAAGCGTTTGAAAAATAAAGCAGAGGATTCGTCGAATAATCTTCGACCTGAACAACAACCCGGAGCAGGTGGTGCAACGACCGCCTCGTCTTCCTCGATAATTTTTCCGATGAATACACGACACCACCACCAGCAAGAAGAAATTGGAGCAGGAACGAATAATGGTGAGAACGAGGGCTTAGCTGCAGCTTCGAGCTCAAGAAAAGCTGCAGGAACTGCTGCCTCTGTCCACCTCCATGATCCGATCGTGCCTGCGAAAGGTAGAAATAAAGCAGAGGCCTCAATGAAGACAAGCGCGGCGTCGAAAGCAGCCACAATGAAGAAGCAGAAAAACCCATCGAGAAAAGCCAGCATCGCTTGCGCGGACGAAGCTAACGAAAGTGACGCCGACTTATTTCAGGACCAGCAACATGAGTTGTTTTCAACAGACGACAGGGATCATGATCCGCCAAAGCAAGCAAAAGCTGTTGCTCCGAAAAAGAAGCCGCGAGCGGGACGACGGAAGTGAAAAAGAAAATCTATACAGAGGCGAAAAAATACACATCTTTTTGCTACCGCTACTTTCCCATTACTTACGTCCCTATAGTGGTAGCGCGATTTTTTCGACCAGTTCAAAGCGACTGGCTCTGAACTCGAAACTCGTGGACCACTAACTTGAAAAGCTGTGCTTTTAATTATAGCCACAATCCATGATCATGAGAACTTTCTTTCATGAAACACTGTAAACTGTAAACTCGCAAGATGACAAAATATTTGTCATTGGTGTCAAAGACCAATTTTCCACCCTCCTATTTACCTACAGTTGTAGCGCGATTTCGTCCGGTCGATAACAATATTTTCAAAAAAAACCGAGACGCGACATATGTGACCACCCCAGGCTAAAATTACGTATTTCTATCAAAAGAAGATGAAGCCACCGTAGCCATTTTGGCTCGTCAGGCGGCTATCTGTCTATCTAGCATCATTTTTCACTATTTCACAATTATGCCAAAAGGCGGCATCTCAGATATTCAAAGTAACTTTCCGTATGATTTTCTCGGGACCTGGCAAGCGTCGTACTAGATGCCAGCATGAGATATCCACGGCAAATGCAAATGGTGAAGTTCATTTGCCGTCGAGGAGGAACTGGGGCACAACGGATTTTTGCCCTGCTCCGTTGAGTTTTTTCATCGCGCCTGTGTTTTGTTTTGGAAACGCGCGAGGATAAAAACCAAAAAAAAAATCTATCAAATGAAAAAAAATGAGTTCTAGTATCGTTCTTCGTCTACTATAATTGCTTTCGCGTTTAGATTGTCTCAATGATGGAACCAACCTCCTAGAATGAAGATTTTGTCAAGAGCGAAAACCACAAACCTGACCTATATCAATATAGCACCATCTTCAGCAGCTGCGGAATAGCAGTGAGTTTCGGGCCTTGAATCTTCGACGCCACGCCCAGTCTCATGAAGAACGAAAGAAAGAAAATAGTACTCGTAATGACGAGGTCGATATTTTGAGCTAGATCGAAGAATCGATGAGGCATGCAGCATGCGATATTTTCTTCTTACAGCAAAAACGACTGCCAAACAGCATGAAAAAACTACCAGAGTCGCTTTTGGTTGGGTTTTTCATTTTCCAAGAAAGCTCAGGCAGTTGATGGGAAACACGACCCTGAACAGTAGCACTTTGCTTCGTTTTTTGGACCTCGTTTTGTACCGGAAATTGAGACTCTTCTTTTTGTTTTTGTAATTATCAAAACGTGCGCAGATATTGTTTATCTTTATACTATTTCGTCGAACATAAACCTAATCGAATAAATCTCTAGATCACATTATCAGGCATTTTTTCGAAAAAAGATCTACTATCAACTTGCCCCGTGCAAGTTTGCTCGACTCAGGTTCCCGTGTTTTCTTGGATTCCTCGTTTTGCTTTCACACGAACGAGGAAAAAAACTATCCTTGAGCCAACTATATAATAATGTACCGTACTACTACTCGTAGAAGTAGTGCTCATTCTCTGGAAGTAGTCGACGCACCCGAATGGGAAAAGTAGTCGACGAATGGGGAAATGGAAATCAAATCGATGAACCTCTAAATAATATTGGGGGAACATCAATCAGGCCAGGACACGTATGTACAAATACATCCAATGCTCGGCGTTGCGCAATGCCAATCAATGGCTTACTTCTTTCCACATCCGCGGTGGAGGTTGTATCCATCAAAAGTCTACGCATGGACATCAAACTCAAAGTCTTGTTTGTTCGCGGCTACGACGGCTCCGGCTGTTCGCACCGTGATCACCAAGAGAACGTTAATCTATTTTTACTTGTATTACATACGTACCACAACCACAAGTCACTCCCGAAAAATAAGAACGCGACTCCAACTTCCCCTATTGCTCTTGAAGTCCGCAACATCAAACTTTATGCTGTGTATATTATTGAACTTTCTGTTTCTCCCGGGAAGTTCTACAGTTTTAAGTACTTGCACGAACGCAAGAAAAAGAATATAGTCCTGAGCTCCCACGTCCACGATCTCCACCCAATGTATGCCTCGCCATTTTACCACTTTTCGCATTCCTCAGCACAGCTGCCTCCGTGGGACTGGGAGCATAAATTGCAACTCGTATACAATTCTTGCCTTGTGTTCCGCTTCAGCTGCAGCTGAACACAGAAGATCACGAGCTGCAGGAGCAAAAATTCCTGTGTAAATTGATTTCTGCGTTGTCGCTCACTTTGGCACTGCGCTTGCTTACGCTGGTAAGTCTGGCAGTCAAACAGAAGCGCACACGCAGCAGAAGCCGTCCCGGCTCTTACAAGGAGCGGGTGCTCCCGTTCCTTCGGACAGGCACTACCGATACTATTCCTTAGTGGTGAGGTTAGGTTTCATCTAGTAGCTTCTAGCCAGGTTGCCGGCGATCCAGAACCATAGGAAGATAGCGATCTGCCACCCACCAATCGCGAACAACGTGAACAAGATCTCTTGATCTTGAATTCAGTTTGTTTGAGCGGTTACATCCGCAGCAGAAAAGCTACTGAGCAAGTTTCTGCAGTTGTAACGGAAGCGCTAGCGCAAGCTAGCTATAGGTAGCTAGCACAAAGAAGTCTTTCCAGTTGATATAGAAGAAGATGTACAAGCACAGCTGCAGGAGAGAGCCGTGCCGCAAGAACTTAATACTGATGCCGAAACTAGTTTGTAGTCTCTTCTGCTCGAGAAAAATTTACATGATCATTGCCACAGACGGCAGTAGACGCCCACACAATAAAGCTGCGTATCCCACTGACTGCATGTCCCAGTCGTCAGTGACAAGGAGATACATGCCCACTGCCGGCGCTTCAATGCCTGTTATTTTTCCTTGAGCAGGTAGAGTCTCTGATAATCGTCCGCAGAATCATTGAAGTCAACAGATTCTCATCTTAATGTTTTATGATAATTTCTGGCACTTTCTTACTTATTCTTATCTCTGTAAACAAGTGTAAGATGTAGTTATGAATTTCAAAATACCGAGAACAAAGCAATGAGCATTCGTCTTCGGGTTCGGTGTGGCAGGTTGCATAACCATACCGCTCCTGTGAGGAAGTTCATAAAGTACTAGTAACTTCTGCTGTCAGAAAAAACTCGAAAGGTACGAAAATGTACGTAAATCTAAACGTGACGAGAATACAAAAGGTGCTTTCTTGAGCACGAAAACGGCGGCGAAAAAAAGCGATAGCGATCTGATACGAACCACCTACTCGACGTGAAATGAAGAAAAATAAAGATCGCTCGTAAAGTGCGCCTTTATTGGGACGAACATCGTAGGTAGAAGATTGAGATCGCGAACATCAAATAAAGACAGCGATGCAAAAGTCAACAAAAATGAAAACGAGACTCAACATATCGAAAGATATGATTGATGCGACCGCGAGCACAACCGGTGGAGGTGTAGTGTTGCTCTGGCACCTAGCCCAATCTACTCACTAGGGAGGGTTAGGTGTCGAGTTACATTTTCCGCTGGTGAGCATTCATTTTGTTGGAAAAACCAAAAGCGACTTTTGCTACAATTTCAATTTGAAATATACGCGAATCAACATCGACAGAAAAAAAATGAAAAAATATATGGGTACTCCAATGCAAGGAGCACTTTCGTGCTACAGTTGCACTTCCTCGGAATCTTCTGTACATTTGCAGCACCCGGAGGCCGCCTCCTTGCTTGTTGAGCGCCGCGTTTCAATGCAGTTGCCTCTAGCATCGTCGTCATTCAGAATAATCTCGGTCTCTCACAAATACGATTTCTAATGATACTTCGGCGTCGTGGCTCCGTCAACAAATCGGTTCTCGTCCACCTTTCTGTTGGTGCAGCCTCGTTCTGAAACTAGTCTGCAAGACGTTGAAAACAGCGTAGAGGATGAAGAGACCTGTTATGTTGACGCTGTCGTGCAACTGAAACAACAAGAAAAGCTTTTTCCCTGCTTCATCGGTAAAATCGTGCTACTACTCTGTAAAATCGGCTGTCCTTTTCGTGCGTCAGAATAGAAAGTGTATCGTGTTTTTTATGCTCTACTACACATCAACTGGTGGAATGTTTCTGGATAAAATGCTTCCATCTCGGTCTCGTTGTCCCGCCCCTCGCATTTTTATTTGGTGCGTCATAAATAGAAGAGGACGCTGTCTTCTGTTGAACCACGTGTATGTCTTGTACATGCAAGAACAGACCACTTGGTCAAGCCTACACTTTGTACAACATAAGTATGCAGCTGCAGGTTCGGGGAGATGCTCATGAACTGGCTTTGTGTTTGATGCACCGTTCTGTTTTAACAGATGATTGAAGTCCAGTTTATTTCAACGGACAGAGGACGAAGGTAAAAAATCGGTGCAGTTGAGTATGTTTTTTGTGCCTCGACCACTACATGAACATGCATCAAAAATGCTAGTACGCAAATGAAGACCACACTGATGGTCCATGTCGAACCAAAGATGTTTTTTCGTCACCGCTCAACAAGTTTCAAGTTCAAGCTTGCCAACCAATCATGATATAACCAGCCCATTCTTAAAACACTCGTTTTTTGATCGTGACCCCTTATTTCTACCCCCTGTTCATCTTTGCTTTCATTTTTTCCCCAAGGTGGACAACAAGAACTTCTCGTCCTCATGATGTAGCTGTCTGTAGATCGTTCTTTCACAATTTTATTGGTGTCCAATATGAAGGCAGAGAGTTCTGCATCATGTGTACTAGTCGAGCTCCGCCAGACCCAGACGGCTTTTCACCCACCACACTAAGTATTAAAACCCCAATCGCTTCGCGGTCTTCTCTGCTCATCTGTCCTCTTACGAACGTACAACTTAAGTCAAGAATTTTAGGAATATTATCTCAGTCGCGAAGACGGAAAGACTCGTGAAAAAAGTATGATGTTGCAGCTGCATCAGCGTCAAGCGATGTTGGGATAGTACTACTCAAGAGCGTGATAGAGCAGACGAACGGCGCAAGAACGGCAACGGCAACTGGCGGAAGTAGTGCACGACATCATGATACACAGAGGACACTCTGCCAAGAAGACGAAGCAGAGTACTACGTAGGATCAGGAGAGCTGCGGAATTTTGATGACTCTTGCAAAGCCTCAGCAGAGAGGCATGATAGCGTCGCGGCCATCGACGGTTTGTTGAAGCTGCTCCCCGGCGAATTGATTGAGCGAAAGCAGAACCGCTTTTGCCCTTTTGGTTCTCCTCCCTTGTCAACCAACTAGGATTCTGATTCTATGCGACGACAAAGACGTCAGACGAGCCGAACAACAACAACTTCTGGTGTGCTGTCCACCTTCAAAAGAGAAAACGAGCAAGCAACTACGACTAGGACGACTACGACCAGAAGTACAACTAAAACTATAGCGACAGGTCTTTATACAACTTGCAACCCGCCGGCAACATCATGACTGTGTTCGAGGAAATGGTAAAGTACCATGCGGCCTGCATCCAGGAGCTACCGCCCTCGGATCAGCGTGCGAAGTTTCAGCTCCAGGAGGACAAGTTGCTAACGCCTGCGTGGACCAACTTAATCGATGTTGTATTGCAGGGGATACCACTCGATCAAGCGGCCACGACCGGTACAACAGGTGGAAGCAACAGCAACACTACTTCCATGGCCGTCGCAGCAAACGCTGCTGTTGTAGATATCACAGGTGCGTTCCCCACGACAACTATGAACGCCGGGAGCAGTAAAACAGCTACGAGCAACACAGGGCCCGACATAAGCAACTTCAGCCTTAGCAACGCCTCTCAACTGAATCCCCCTCTGGACGGGCGACAGACCAAATTTGTGATCGAATCCCTGCTGCACATGACAAAAAACCCTAATTCAAAGTCCTACCAGTACTTGCTGAATTCTCGTAAGGAGAAGGTAATCAAGATCTGCGAAAAGGTGATCACTTCGTTTCTGCCGATTCTGGGCCTGCCTGGCCTGGGGGAGGAAACCAACAGACTCGTGCTTTTGTCGATGGAACTGTTAGCCAGATTCGACACCGCGGCGTTGGAAAAAATTATGCTTGCGAGCTGTATTTATTCCACTTGCTTCTGTAGTTTTTTACTCCTATTTTCACGGAACAACATGCGTAACTGTATCGATTCGACTTTGATAGAAAATTGTGTACTTAGTATAATCTTACTTTGACTTCATTTACGAATAGCAACGGCAGAAGAATATGTGAATGTTGACGACAAGAAAGGATTCTTGCATGAGCAACATTTCGTTGACTGTACTAAAAATTCTCGAAGTTCTTGTCGCGCATTATTAAGTAAACCTTGGGACGAACCACAGGCACTGCCGCGAGCGCACTCCGCAACCAACCGGAGACGAACCACGCCGCAACAACCAACATGAGTCCTCACAACATATCATTGAACCGTAGCCACATTTTGTGCGTGACCCTGTCTATGGAGGCGGTTCACGCCGTGCTGAAGCGGCTGCACCCCTCGCAAGCGCCTCCACCCTGGAAAACGCGGCTCAGTTTCGCCAAAACGGCCGCAGAACTGGTACAGCATAGCGCATCCCCCTTCGCCTACAGCAGCTCGACGGGCGGCGGCGCAGACCACGGTGGTATCCAGCAGCAGGACGAGTTCGTGCTCAAAGTCGCCTGCGTCACCCTCATAGGAACGCTGATGCAGTGCTCGAAGCTGTTCGTCGACGCGGATTTGCCCACGGCCGCACAGTTCGTCCCCGTGCTCATTCACCAAATCAAGCACACCGACTCCAGGAAAGTTTTCATCGAGGCGGCCTGGGCGCTGTATTGATTTTTTAGCTTATAAATTTTTATTTTATTCTTTCAAACGGTGCCTGCTTAACGATGAACCTGAGATTTTGAGTTTTTGTGTCTATGCCAACATCTCCTTTTCGATAATACTGCCAGTACTTTTTGCCTGCAAATCGAATTCTCGTGTGGTTGCAGGTGAAGATCTCCTGCTGAAGTGCAGTATCTATGTCCGGCCTTCTCGTATTGTAATCGAAAAATATCGCAATATCAGGTCAAAGCTGACCTGCGGGAATCGGTTCGCCTGTGAGCACATGAGCACAAGTTTTTTGCTGGAAGCTCTGCAGTCATGTGCGGAGCAACAGAAGCCGGCGATTCGCCCCTTCACCGTGCTGATTCGTCGTATCGCGGGTCTCGCTGGGATAGCGGAACTGCTGGAGCGCTTCCTGCAGATGATTGAGCAGAAGAGACTGCAGCAGACAGGGGACCCAGCAGGAGCATCCCAGAACATCAACAATGCAGCAGCTGCTCCCGGGAGCAGTGCACTGTATCGGGAATTGGTGATGCACCTGTGCTGGGTGATCTCGGAAGACACCGAGGACGAGGAACTGTCCGCCGTGAAGGGTGCGAACGACGAGCCGACGCTGCGAAGATTATTGCAGGCGCTGGCGTCGGTGATTCAGGAGCACACCAACCCGGCTCGGTTTTCCGAGATGGTTGTCGAGGCCGGCGTCAAAGCCATCGCGAGACTGTATGGGAGTGTCAGGATCGAAATCGACAAAGTCGAAATCGAAAAATTTGTAATGCATAAAATGTAGGGCACGCAAGGCCTGTGTTGGGGAGCAGGCAAATCAGACCGATTGCAAGCCTGTTTAGGGGAAGACGATGCGCTGCCAGAGTAGCATGACAGGAGCAGTCCTCTTTGCCCAAACAGCATGACAAGCTGGATTTTGTTGCTCCCGAAATTTGTCATGCGCCAGCTCGAAACTGGTGCTCCAACTGCTAGCGATTTTATGCATCACAAATTATTAATTTAGATTTCGTTGATTTCGATTCTGGCAGTTCCATAGTCTGGGGGAACTGCGTATGGAGCCGCGCATCCTCCAGTTTCTGCGGGACGGGTTGAACACGAATTCCGCCAACATTCGCACGGCCACCCTGGAGGCGCTGTGCAACCTACTGCTGAAACAGCACCACCTGCTCTTCGTCCGCCAGGCGCCCCACGCCGCGGGGGACGCCACCGCCGCGCTGGAGGACATCCTGGCTCTCGTGAACAGCAATCTGGACGACAACACGCGCGCGACCAGTAAGGATGAACTCGGGTACTCGCTGCGCCTGCGCATCATTCTCGCCCCGCTCCGGGTGCGGATGGACAGTATCAGGACCAACACCTCCTTTGACGAACAGCAGTCGCGCTACTACCGCGAGGCCTTCCGACGCGCAACCGACGCGATACTGCTGATGAGCACGACGGGTTCAAATGGTGGCCCGCAATGCGCTCATCATCTCCGCAGTTCAACATCATCAAATCGAAACAGTGGAACAACATCAACTTCGCAACCGCAAAAGACGTACTCCTCTGATGTAAACATAGAGGACGCCGCGTTGCTGCAGCAACTGCTGAGTTTTGGGTCCGACCCCAGTGCGTCGAGCCCGAACGTCGCGACGCTTTTTAAGGATAGATTTCCGGTGCTCTGCGTGTGCTTCGGCGAGCTGCTGAATGACGAGATGTTTCCCAAGGAGGACGTACCTCAGGACGCGTTCGACCGCCTCTGTCTGGTCTTCTGCCGGTGTTTGCAGCAGTGCCTGCCCCCCAGTGCCTTTTCTGGTGCGATGAATGCGAACAACCAAAACAGCTTCCTGGATCCGATGCAGATGAATTCCGATCTGGACCAATTCCACTTGCGCAAGTCCGTGTCGAGTGTTTCCTCCTCCACGTACGAGCACATGATCCAACAGAACACGGCCGTGGCGCTCCAGCCGTATTGCGTGACCGCGATCGAGATTCTCGCGCAGGCACTGCAGCTCTGCTCGCCGAAATTTCCCGTGGCGGAGGTCGCCATGCCCATTTTCGTGGAGACGCTGCGGCACATCCGCATCGATAAGCACGAGTTCATCTCGCAGGTGTGCGGTGCCTTCAACAGCTTGATCGCAAACTCCAGGAAAACCAACCTCCACCGCCTCTCCAGCATCAGCACCGCGGGTAGTTCCAGTGATGACCTGACCAACGTGCTGCAGCAAAACAACGTCAGCCAGGCGGCGTCGATAGAGAAGCGGTTACAGGAGCTGGGTTTAGACCGTATCCTGCAGGATTGGATCAAGTGCTACCCAGAGAACCGCAACCTGCAACGCGAAGCCTTTCTCACGCTGGGCCTCACGATGCAGTCGGCGAAGCCGATTTTGCAGCTGATGCAGTCGCAGTCTTTCGCCTTTCACACCATCGTGGGAGCGGTAATCGCGTTGACCGACTTGGTGCGCTTGGGCTACGCCTACCCCGAAGACGAGGCATCACTCGCGCTCACTTTGGTACAATTTGATGTCTACTTTGTTCACATTTTCGTGTATTGATGTCGTGGTGATTTTTTAGATCGTGTTCGTGATTGTCTGTCCACGCTCCTCTGAAAATAGACCTGCATGCGGGCAGCATTTCAGATTTAAGCTCATGTCTCTTCGTGCTGTTGTACTTCATCATGTGTCCGTGTGCTATACGTGGTAAAAAAAATCCATTTACATGTTTTTGACAGATCCAAGTGTCGATGCAGACTTTTAGCAACTCGCGTTCGAAGGAGGACGGCACGCTGGAGGCGCAGGCCGAGGTATGCGTGGGGTTGCTGGCGTCGCGCACCCAGAGACAGAACTTTTCCTTTCCAAAAGATAGCCCGCACTACGTGGATCCAAAGGCGAGCGCCACGTCCTCTCTGAGTTCGACGACGATGACGAGCAATAACTCCTCGAATAGTAACCCGCAGAGCGCCTTTTCGTACAGTCAGGGACCCAATAGCGCGCCGACCTCGCCACACCAGCACGGCTTTGGTGCGCCACAGATTTCCATTTCCTCCCCCACCGGTGGGTTTAACACGAATCCTATGTACGGCGGCGACCAGCCGCAGCTTTCGCCGTTCAACAAGCCCATGACCAGTGCTGGGTCGTTCTTCGGCGCAGGGATTCCTAATCCCGCGAGCGGAGGGCAACAACACTCGCCGCACTTTCAACCCACTTCCATGACCAGTGCCACTTTCTCGCCAACGGCGGCGCCGCAGCCGGGCTCCTCACCGTTCTTCGGTGCTAGCAGTGGGGGGATGCCCTTCGGCTCACCGACCGGGGGACCGCCACTGCCGCAAATGGGAACCGCAACACTTTTCTCTCTTTCGTGAATGCAGATGCACGGAAGGAGTGCACGACGTGTATGATAGGAGATTGATACAGATAGGGATTATATCTTCGTAGAACAGAACAGGGTGGTCACATGAAGGTAGAAATGTGAACTTCTGCGCGAAATGAACCAGGCGAATAAGTGCAGCTGCCAGCTGCAAGGAGGAGATTTTTTAAACTTACAATTAGGGTCTACAACAGTTTCTGTTTCGCAATCATCACGACCTTTGGTGCGAGGTCTCGCCGAGCTTTCCGCACCGGAAATAACGAGCCCGCGTGCTGCCTGCTTCGCTATCAAGTGAAGCACAGGGGTAGGTGTTCGACTTGGAGTTGATATTGAACTTGATCGAGATCGCCGCCGCGAAACTTTGCTGCACAGTTGTATTTTTGCTATTCATCACAAAAACATTGAAATTGATCTGAGAAGTGAATAATCCAAAAATCCGTCTGAAGATCTACCCACGAGGACATCGTGAAGTAGAGAAAGAGATCATAGCTGTGGAATTTTGCCTCGGTCAAAGTCCATCACTTCTTCACGACGATCACCTTTTGCACCTTCGTGATTTTTCAGAAACTGATCTTGATCTGATGCTGATTGTTCCAAGAAATCCAAGCCACATCAAACAGAGCTTCAGTAAGTGCAGGGACGATCCTTTCCGATAAAAGATAAGTTGTCGAAGCAAGCCTGTTTGTCGAAGCGAGCCTGTTTATGGCGATGACGAAGACGATCCGATAAATTTTTGATGGCTGCAATAAAGACAGTAACCACGACATAATCCTGCTATATTTGTTGTCTTGTGGTGTATCAGGCTTGATCGGAGCATCAAGCTCGTGTCTTCTAAGTACTCTGCCATGATGATCAAACTGCAGGAACAACAGGACGCCCCCTTGTGTAGCCACCAAAACAATTTTTTTTGAAAGGTAAATTCCAATGAATTTGAAGTTTGGTTTTGAAGAAGTTGCGGCCCCTTACTTCTCCTAAGTCTTCAAAGCAGCCATTGCAAATAAAAAGCATACTGATACTTGACTATGTCGACCGCGGAAGAGACTGTTCTGACGTTGGTCCGTGCTTTGGCGGACGGCAAGTGCACGGGTGAGCAGCAGAAGCAGGCCGAGCGAAGTTTCAACGAGCTTCGGGATGGCAAGCCAGAAGACTGCTTATCTGGTCTCCTGACCATTATGGACCGGGTGTGCGAAGGGTCCGCAACAGCAGCTTTGTCCAAAGAAGACACGGCCATCGCGTCGTCCGCTCTGGTGTTGTTGAAGAACACCATCCCCAAGGTCTGGTCTGCCCCGACCGTGGCTCCGCAGCAGGCACAGTTGTGTGAACGTTTGACGACGTGCTTCTTGAAGGATACCTGCCCCGCGACGATTCGCAAGAGCGTGGGACACGTGATTGAAAACATTCTGGTGTCGAAGGACTGCGGGGGGGACGTCAGGGACCTGTTAAGAAAAGGTATACTTAGTTCTAGTACTTCGGGCTTTGTCAACACTACTGGGTTTGGAGAAAACCTTCGTTTTGTTGACGTTGACCCGCTTAGACTTACATCTTGATGAATTTCAATTTTTGTTCTGTTTTCAACGGAAGTACTCGTATTTCTATTTTCACAGAATAAATTTCCATTGCAAATTTATTTGCAAAAATCACGATCAGAACTGGTTCCGACCCTGGGCCGTGCTTTGGACCAGAATATCGCCGCCCACCTTGGTCCGGTATTGCAGTTCCTCGTGGACGGTATGCAGGGCTTGGTCTTTTTCGAGCAGGTCTGCATGCCACATCAGGCGAAAATGGAGCAGCTTCTTCTGACGGACCCCAGCCAGCACAACGTTCCCCTGGGCGGCGAGCTCCGCGCACTCCTGTTCCTGCGCATTGTCGAGTGGACCGCGGCGGAAAAAATTCCGCACGAGCTGGTGAAGAAATTCGTGCCCGCCGGAGTGTTACAAGTTCTAATCAACTCCGATAATACGACAAAGCAGAAGGAAATCCTGCAGGCAATGGTGGAGGCCGCCGGGAAGAACATCTTCTCCGCCCAAGTCGACGCGAATTTGCTCCACGCCGGGATCCAGGCGTGCAACCAGGTCGCGCAGAAAAACGAGGAGGAGCTTTTAGCCACAGCCATCGAGACCATTCTCGCACTTTTGGAAGCGGAGGAGATCGAACACCTGGGCAAAACCGATTTGCTGCAGCAGGTCCTCTCGCTGGTGTTCAACATGTGCCTCAGGATCGACGTGGACAACTACGATTCCTGGATTGAGGAGAGCAACGACGAGGACGACACGGAAGAGGAGGTTGGCGTGGGCCTGGACGCGCTGGACCGCCTGATGCGGAAAACCCAGCTGGACGACGAGTCGGACCCGGCGCTGTTGCAGCCCTTTTTCGCCAAAATGCAAAGTGAATTGCAGGCCAACAACTGGGCCCACAACGTGTCGCGTTTGTTGATGCTCCAGTACGTTTTGGCGTACGTGCAAACGCCCGAGCATTTGGAGCAGGTGACCAAAGCGGCGCTGGACACCGTGGTCAACATGGGCAGCAACGCCCGCGAGCGGTTCGCCGCCTGGCTGCTGCTCGGCGAGTTTTGCCAGAGCAAGCGCGAGTTCTCTCTCCGCGATGAGCAGACAAGGCAAGCCTGGATTGAGGCTTTGACCAACGCAATTGAGAACGAAAAGTGCACCCGGGTATTGGCAAAAGCCCTCGACTGCTTCCTCTACTACGTGGCCGACGACAGCTCGCTGGAGCTCGAGGACATCGAGGCCTTTGCGCCAAGGCTGCTGAAAAACTTCCTGAAGATTGTGGAGGAAGCCGACCAGGTGTTCGACACACGGGATAAGGGAGGCTGCTCCAGCACGACCGCTTGGAACAGCAACAACGCTCCCGGCACCCCTTCGACGGCGGATGGCCAGAGTCCGGCGCACAGTGTACTAGGCAACACGAGTAAGTCGCACGACGTGACGAACCTGTCCGCGAGGATGAAGCTGGTCCTGAATCTCCAAGTGACCGCACTTGGCTGCATAACCGGCGTCGCGGAAACGATGCAAGAGGAGGGCGTGCGCAGTTTCTACAGCGATCTGATGCCACTACTGTTCAAGGTGATGGAGAAGAACGGCAGCAGCGCGGACTCCCGGGAGTTATTGGGCGCCGCGATCGAGTGCGCGAGCACGCTGGGCAGCTACAGCACGCCCGAGCAGTTCGCGGGCGACGCGAAACAGATCTGCAGCGCGATGTGCAACGTGTTGCGCACGGCCACCATGGCCGACGACCCCGTCAAGGACTACGCGTTCGCGGCCGCGGACAAACTCGTGTCCGTGATGAAGCAGGACTTTGTGCCCTTCCTCCCTAGCTTCCTCCCGGAGGTGTACGCCCGACTGAAGAAGGAGGGGTTTGACGCGACCGATAAATCCGCTTTGGAGAACCTCTCCCACGACGACATCTCCGCCCAGCAGATGGAGATTTCCATGACAGTTCGGCTCGACCCGAAGACCGGGGAGCAGAAGCTGCTCTGCATCAAGACGGCCTACATTGACGACCTGCACAACGCGCTCAGCGTGCTGCAGAAGTTCTTGGAGCATTTACAGGGAGATTTCATCCCTTACGTGGAGCAGTGCGTGCAGGAAATCACCCCGTTGTTAGATTTCGAGTACGACGACGCCGTCCGCGCCAGCGCGTACGACGTCTACGCCGAAGTGGTCAAGCTGTGCACCAAGGCCGACAAGAAGCCCGCCGCGCAGTCGCTGGTGACCCAGTTTGCGACCCACGTGCTCGCGGCCTGGAAAAAAACCGACGAAACGGAAGCCATGGACCCGTCCGCAACGCGGACCCAGGCGGACGGCCTGGAGAACGTACTGAAAGCGGCCGGCCCGGGCGTACTGAGTGTCACGCAAGTCAACGAAATCGCGAAGGCCTGCATCTCGCAGCTCAAGTCCACGCTGTCGCGCGAACACAAAGACCAGGACGAGGAAGACCTGGATATGGAGGGAGACTTGCAGGTAAAGTTGTGTTTTCATGCGGACTTCGAGTTTCGCTAGATATTTCTATTTGATGTCCTATGAGCAAAAGCAAGCCAAGTTGTCCAAGGTCAATGCAACGGGCGCAGCAGCGCTGCTCGACATATTTCTTTATGTGTCATACCCATATGGTGAACGTCACGGCCGCACTTGGGACTCCTGGTCCTGGTCGTGCTCCCGTGCATATTCATGAACTTGAACATGTAGGAATACTAAAAGAACCACGAAATCATAAAATCCGAACAGGTCTCTCTAGTAAGCGCGATTGGCGGGTTGATGCAGCACCACCGCGAGGAATTTGCACAAGAAGGATTCGCCCTCCACTCCCAACTGATGACGGAGTGCATCAACAGTCCCGACCCGGAATTGGTTCGCGTGGGTCGGCTGATCGCGGCGGACTTTTTGGAACACATGCCGAACCACACAAAGACCTTGTGGCCCACGGTTCTGCCCAAGCTCATCGTTGCGGTGGACACGAAGAGCATCCCGGAGGTCGTGCAAGCGGGGGCGTTTGCCCTCTCGATGCTGGTCAAGGAGCCGGAATTCGCACTGACGGGGGAAACGAAAAACGTCGCGGACCGATGTGCCAAGTACGTCGAAAAAGTCGCTGGCTGGAAGAAGGGAAGCCTGCCAAAGGGCATGCAGTTCGCAAGCGACAACTGCCTTGCTTGTCTCGGAAACTTGCTTCTAGCACACGGCACGCAGCTCGGTACTCATTTTCATTGATGTGGTTTTGCTTTTGCGCTTTTAAGTTATGAAACTAGCACAGAGACAGACGACCGAGTTGTTACTCATTTTTCGCGATTTCTTTGTACGTTCGTTACGAATGTAGAACGAAATCGCGAAAAACGTAGATGTTGGACTTGGAGACGGAGAAGGATCTCGCAATTCGAAAATACAATCGTAGAACAACCTAAAACTTGTACAGGTGAAAACGAAGCCCGTGGTATGTGGCAAGGCTGGATGAAGTGCTTGCCTCTGAAGGAGGACGAGGAGGAGGCCGTTCGGGTGCACGAGTCACTGGTTGATCTGGTCCTCGCCCAGGACCAGAGGGTTCTCGCCAACCTCGACGAAGCCGTTCGCGTCATGACCCTCGTCTACAAGACACCGATGGCGAACCAGCGCATCAACGAAAAGATCGTCAAGATCGTCCGCGGCGTCAGTAGCACCTTGTTGGAAAAGGCCATATCGGGCTTTTCAAAAAAACTGCAAGCCAAAGTGCGTCGTATCTATCAAGACGTCAATGCATAAAGGAAAGCGAAGCTTTCACTTTTGCCCTCAATCAAGATCATAATAATGCAGCCGAAATCTAGAGAAAGGCAAAAGGAAATACTATTTCAAAGAATAAACTTCTAAAACTTGTGTACCAGTCGCGCTTCTGGTGAAGGTTGTTACGGTCTGACTACAACCGACGAACAAGTTGCTTTCCAACGTGTTGCACATCAAATTTGATCTGAATGTAGCGAAGCGCCTCGCCACCTCATCGTCTTCAGGCAAGCGAGCAGCTCCAGCCTGTCTCCTGGTACTTGATCTCGACGTCAGTACCAAGCTGGTTTAAAAGAACTGTGTTCCAGTACTACGACTGAAAAGGATGCTTGTCATTCTTCACACCAATGATGTGACATCGGTCCGTTGTTTGTTCTAATTGTGATCCGTTATTCTTAGCCCACCCCTTTGCAGCAAGGTAAGACATACGAAAAGGAGCGCGCATCATGCGCTGCACAAAAAAAGAACTACAACATGATGATGATGCTCTCCTGATGTGTCGGTCCCGATGTAGTCGCGCACGTCGACCACACCAACATGCACATCCTTGACAATTGCCTTGTCAAGTGAAGTTGATTTTGACTGTGTCGCTCATTCCAATTTTCCCGCCAGATCCATGGTCCCATAGACGTATTTATAGTTTCCCTAGATCATCTGCAATCAACACAAGAAAGTCATTCCCTTGCATTAGACCACCTCCTTGTAGTTTCCTGTACGATCATCAGCATCATGTTTTGTTTTTGGATTTAGCGATTGATCATGTTGAGTTCGTATTTGCTTTGTTTCGACCTTCAGTAAAGAAATCCCAAGAAGATGAAGATGAAAAGGAAGATCGTCCTGTAGTCCCCCTGTACCTGTTCATGCCCTTGTTGACCGGTTTAAGATTTTAACTCCATTGTTTTGGCCGTGTTACCGCTAGAAACTACTAGCATTTTTCATAGCACCAATCGAACAGCACCCACGCCACCATGTACCCCATCATTTACGACGGTCTTTCGGCCGACCGCATCCCCCTGCAGATTCCCCATCTGCGTAGCTCCTCCACCACGAACTCCGCTTCTCGGCGCAGTTCCAGCACCACCTCCGCACGAACTTCCAGCACGGCCTCGAGAGCAAGAAGCACCAGAAGCACTCGGGCGACGAGCATTGCGGACGAGGAGGACGAGGATGTTGACGCGCGTACTACTGCAACTAGCACAAAGACTGGCGGTGACCAGCGTAATTGTACGAGCCACGGGGACGAGGAGGACGACCCGGTAGATCATAATGGCCGCCTAGGCGGCGAAAACGATAATGAACCCAACACCGAAATAGCGCGAGATGCTTCCGCCTCCTCCAACAAGCCCCTTCCCAAATGGCGGCTTGTTGACCTTTTCCCGCAGCTCCCCCCGCCCCAGCGGTTTTTACGGTTTGTGGACTTGGAGGAAGGGGAGGTGCTGACGCGAATCGATGTGGAAAAGGAGCGCGACTTGGACTTTTCGAATCCCTGGGAGCTTGCCCTGATGCGGCCCGGCGTAGACGCAATGGGCCAGCACGAAAAAGACGAAGAGATCTTGGGGGGCGCGGCGATAACTACAGGTGGTGCTCCTGGCGGAACAACTACAACTTCTGGTGAAAGCGCAGGGGCGCAACAACGTCCGGTGTACAACTCGCCCAGGACTCACTCTATCGACTCCAGCACACAGGCCAGCTCTGCTGGTGCCCGGGAAACTAATAATTATACAGGCGGCTCTTCAGTGTCAACCGGTCGCATCAAGATTGACGATCTCATAAACGCCGACATGAATCATGAAAATGATCGAATACCTCCGAACAATACCGTAGACGACCCATGGGGGCGGGCGCCTGCCGCCCACATCAGCAGCAAAACGTATTCCACGCGAAATCGGCATGCAGCGTTTCTGAAGAACAACTTCGGCACCGCACGGCAGGTAGCTACGTATATGACGGATCTCTACGCCCATTTTGCAGACATTTTGGTGCACGAGGGCCGTGTAAGTGGGGACTATCGAAACCGGATCTTGATTGACACCTTCATGGACTCGGTGCAGAGTGGCAAGCCCTTCTACAACCCCGATGACGACTACTTCCAGCAAGAAGTCGCTTCTGGAACAGCAGACTTGTTCCACGACAACAGTTGTGCCGCGGTGGATAATAAAGTAGAGCGGGCTCCGACTAATTATAGAGACGATCGCCAACATGATGTTCAGCGGCCCGGTACTTCTGCGTTGCCCGCTCCAGGAGCCACGACGGACCACAATTCGGAACTCGCATCCCTCTACACAAATCGAAGCGAAAGCGGGGCGCACTTGTCCGAAATAGGTATCGACTTCTCTTCCAGCTCGTTGGCGGACCTGCAAGACGAAAAGACGCGACGTGCTAGTAGTACAGTAGACGAATCGTCTACGTCTGCAGTCATTCGACTTGCTGGACAACAGGAGGTCGTGAAAATGGTGTCTACTTCATATGACAAAAATTCGAGAGAGTCTCTGAATTCCACTAACTCGTCAAACAGCTTCTCTCCGCGCGTTCGAAGGTCCTCGGGTACGAACCTGGAGCGGTGGCGGCCAACCTTGGCCGAATACATGTATGTTGCGAACGCGGCGATTGCGCAGCTGAGCCAGAATCCCCGCCAGCTCGCCGGATTTCTCGGCTATGCCGCATCCATGGCCCCTTTAGGTATATTCGCGGAGACCCTGCAGGCCGTGCGGCACTGCTGCGGCATCTACGAGGATAACTTGCTTGTTCCGAACGGTGTCTACTCGCTGGACTCGATGACCTCCACACATCAAGGTGTGTCATTAAGCCGCGAAGAGGAGCTGGAAGAGCTGTCCTCGTTGCACCGGCAGACCAGCGGCAGCAGTTTCGCCGAGTACCGCCATACGCCTACGAGATCAGCGCAAGTCGGAGCTGCACCCATGGCCATGGGAGGTGTCGGCGCTAGTAGTCCGCACGCTGCACGCACTTCAACCTGGGAAAATGGGAAACTCGTGGAACTGTCGACAACCTCAACCACTGGTCATGCCAGCACGTCGGTGGAACACGATTTTTATCAATTACAATACCTCCAGTTCCAGAAGCTCGAGAACGAGGTGGCGCAGGCCATGAGCAACAACTCGACGAACTTCAAGCACGACAACCTGCCGCCGCAGATTCGCATCCCGCCCAAGGAGCACATGTTCATGGAACAAAATAGCGTGCTACTCGAGTACCGAGGCAGCCCGGCGGGTTTAGATGACAAGCAAAAGATGAAGCTTCTGTCCTCGATTCTGAACCAGCGCGCTTTTTGCGCCAAGACGCCGCTGAGCCTGGCTTGCGAGAAAGGGCGCCCGCAGGTGGTCCGCGCGCTGCTTGCCGAGCCGCTGTTGGACGTTAATTGCATTTCGGGCTTTGGGCGCACCCCGCTGATGCAGGCCGCCGCCAACGGGCACGAACAGGTCGTGCGGTTGTTGCTGCAGCATCCGGAGCTGCACGTAGCACGACGATCGGACACCAACACGACAGCACTGTACTCCGCGGCGGCGGCAGGACACGGCGTTATTGTTGAAATTTTTCTGGAATACTTCAAAAACCTTCACGCCGTCGCGGCCAAAACGCTTAATCATAGTACAACAGGACGAGGAGAAGTGCGAGGAACAGGAGCTGCTGGAAATCACGACCCACAAGAACAACTACACGAAGTCGAAGACCCTTCTTTCTCAAACGACTTCTCTCTGTCCTGCCATTCCCTTTTGTCGCAGATGTCGCAGAAGTTCGGTCGATCAGCCTGGCTGGCCTCTTACACCGGCTCGGTCAACGTGATCTCCGTTTTCTTGACGCATTTGCAAGGTATTAGAGGGCACAGAACGAGTTGTACCCGCCACGGGGCGCCCACGGCGCACCATCCAGGAGGACCAAATGCGTCGGCCGATTTTGACGTGAACCAACGAGACCCCAGTACGGGGCAAACCTTGCTGTTGAAGGCCGTGGACGCCGGGCATTACAGCGCAGCGGAGCTGCTGCTGGTACGCGGAAAAGCGGACGCGGACTTGGCGGACAAGAGAAACCGCACACCATTGATTGCCGCGGTCACCATGTTCGACAAGACCCAGAGACGCAAGTTTCTTGAATTGCTCTTACTCAAGGGCGGCGCGGTCGTTGTGCCGGGCGACCTGAAGTTGAACCGAGGAATAAGTCCAAAACTGTCAACGTCCCGCAAGAACTTCGGTAGCAGCAGCGGAGCAGGAAGTCCGAAGAACAAGTCATTTCTCGAGAGGACTACGCCTATGCTACTGACCAGTCGAAACTACGAACCTCAAACTTCAACTTCGTCTCTCCTCGCAGGCGGCGCGAAAAACGCCTTCCTGCGTGGTCGCAGCAAGTCGAACAGGCAGGAGCAGTACTTTTGGTACGAAGACGAAAGCGCAGGGCGCAGAAAGAAAACCGCTCTACTTCCAGAGGAAGATGTTGAAACGAGCAGCGCGTTTCTCCAGCGGGCAGTCACAAATCCTTTGCCGACAGTCACGCCGGCGGAAGGCGACGGGCAATTCGATACGACGACTACGAGAGATCACGAGGTTGTGGCTCCTGGTGGTCCTTCTGCTTCTCCTCCCACTTTGGGTCCTGGTGTTCTTTCCGCTGGCACCGCGGGAGTAACAGCTACAAGCAATAACGACGCCAGGCCCCCACAGGTCTTTCGTCTTGTCAAGACCGATGACTTGGAGGAAGGGACCGTTGGCCCTGCGCCCGACCTGCTTGTGGCTAATGCCGAACACAGGAAAGATCCAGTACGGGCGGGAATGCTCAGTCCAAAGCAACGAACTGCCGGCTCGCCACGCAGTCCCGCGATAAAGACGGCGCTTTTTATTGCGATTGAACGGGAAGACGTCAGTTCTGCCCGATTGCTAGAGCAATTTATGGAATCCGGCTGGGTCAGCAGTGACGAAGATTTTTGATCTTTTGGAGAACATGAGTACTCAAAAAAATATTTATTAAGAGTACAGCCATAAGATAAGTACTTACATACTTACAACTTCCGATGGTTAAGCGTACCGAACGTGGAAGCAAAAAAAAGTTGCAAAAACTTTTTCTCCTGGTGGTGATATCCAATGTCAATGTTTTCGGACGAATAAAGATATCTTTCTTCAACAACAAGTGATGCCGTTTCTGCATCAATCTGTTAAACTGACATACATACCCCAAACGTGTACATGTACTTGACTGGTCATATAAAACCCTACTCGAATCTTTTCTGATGCAGGTCTGAACCTGCTTGTGTATGAAGCGACATTCCCAACAAGGTATATATCAACGCGGCCGGTGTAGTCGTGATGCATGGTAGGCTCCACTCATATGGTGTTTTGTTCCGCACTCGCTACGAGCACCCGCTCTGTGTCGGAATTGAGTTGCAGTTGCGGTATAGTTTGGTTTTTGGACACCAACATCTTCTACTTCATCTACTGTAGCGCCACCTTGCTAGCCATGGACATGGTCGGTTCTTGTTACCTCCAGTGCCTCACTTATTGCTAAACTCCTGTAGCGGGTGCTACAGGTGTTGGTTCATTATCGTGCTGCTCCGTGATGAGATTTCTATATGTGTTTTTTCTTTGTGCAAGAAATGTACAATTTGTACGTTTCTTCTTGTCATTGTAGTTGATGTAAGTCGTAAGGTCCGTTCGTTCGTACGGTCACGTTGTAATAAAGTTTTTACCGTAAAAACAAAGAGTCCGTGCATAGTGATAGACTGAATTTTCCGTTCATGGCCTGCTGTGATTCTTCCAGCCTCTTCTTTGTGACATCCTACTTCACAAAATACCGTTGATAAATTCTCGCTGTTCTGGCGGCTTCGTTATCATGCAGCGTAACCCCAACGTCGAGGACGATCAGTTGACGAGTAGCGGAGGCTACGGGTCGCCCGGTCAACATCTGGGATTTCACTCGCCCCACGAGGGAGCGTTGACACCCCAACTACAGTTCGATTACAATGGCGTTCCCGTCGTGGTCTCCGAGCAGCCGCCGCCCAGCATCCGCGACGACCTGGAACGGCACCGCATGGAGCTGCGGCGGAAGATGGATCACGAGCGCGCACAGGAAGAGCGCCTCAGCCAGGAGATCTACGCGGCAAGTAAGACTTTCAGTGGAGCATCAAGCTCCTCGTCCTCCTCAACCTACAACGGTGCGGGCCTTGGCCTTGGCGGCAGCGGAGTTCTTGTAGGTGGAGCCTCTGCAACAACGTCGACCAGTGGCCGGCGGAGCAAGCACAGTTCCAAACAGCACCGGTCCGCCAGCAGCAAAACCACCACAGCCTCGCCCACCGGACCCCCGCCACGCAGCGTGAGCACGACGACGTGGCAGGAGGACCAGCAGCACCAAATGTTGGAGCTGACGACCCAGGTGATGCGCAAAACCCGGTCCGAGGGCTTCTCGAAGCATGAAGGAAGGAGTATTGTTCAGGCCGACGAGAACCACTTGATGTTTGGCAACGAAATCGAGAATCACTTGCAGCACTCGGTGCGGGAGCTTGTAGATGAGGAGGCGGAATTATCCAGTGCAAAAGTATCGTACTCAGCATTACAAATTCCAGTTCTCATGCTAAGGAAATTTGTAATGCAATTCATACTAGGTAGTATGTACGATCACGATGCTTTTGCAATTCATACAGATTTTACCGCTACAACCAGAGGGAGCTCGAGCAAGCGGAACGGCGGCAATTCGAGTACAACCACAGCCAGCACAGCTACCAGAAAGGCGGCAGCACTTCCTCATCTTCCGGACAACTTACCACCAGCAGTAGTAGGGGTGCAGCGGTGAATTCGCAGACCCCGGCGCCACAGCTGTGGGACCCGAGCTCCCCGGCTTTTTACGAGCAAAATGGGAACAAGAAGACCGTGTTTTCCTATCACGGCATCCAGATCCAGGACCAGACCGAAGAGCACCGGGCGGGGAAGGAGAGCGAGCGTTCGGTGCTGCTAGTCGTGGTCGGTTTTCTCCTCGTGTCCCTCGCGATCGCCATCGTCGTGATGTGGTGTGACCTGGCCAGCGAGGAGACGAAAACGCTGCATCGGTACACGCACTGGTGCTCCGCGGGGCTCATCGACTATCTACCAGCCTACTACGCGAGCTACGCCGTCATGACGTTCACCGTTATCTTGGCGCTAAGCTCCCGGCATCCCACGCTCCGCAGGGCCGTGCAAGAATTCATGGACGCGTGCAAGGCGAGGTAAGTACTTACTTGGATTCACTATAGGTTACTAGTCAACTTTTCTCACGCAAAAGCAAGTGCTCATCTGTGCAGTAGATGTAGCGATCTTCCTGCGTGGTTGCACATCACACACACACAGTTCCATGCCACATAAACATTTTTTTCATTTCCACGTAAGAACTAATTTTTGCATAAAGCGCAAGCATAAAGTGGTACACAAAAATGACACTGCGAGCGCTGCTTAAGATGCTTCTGCTCCTTGTCTTATCTCGAGGTGCCTGCCGCACCGCTACCGAGCTCTGGACGACGATGGTGCGAATGGCTACCCACCAATTACGCCATTCCCCACGGTCGCGTCACACAGGGAAACTCCGTTTTCTGCCCACGAGACCCCGCTGGGCGTATTCGAAGAGAAGAGGAAGAAAAAGAAAAAACACCACCGCGAAAAAAACAACTCCCATTCCGAAACACGCGAGAAGGAGCAGCTACACCAGGTACTGTGTCCTATTCTTACTGTTTTTCATGATGTTGAGATCAGTTGGCTTCTGCTTATCATCGTTCTTGCCTCCGTATGGAAGCAACTGTCCGAATGTTTGATCTTCATGTGCTGGAGGTGTAAGTGTACATCTACATCAATCAAAAAAGTGTATCTAAAAGAAAAACAATCGCCGGCACCACTGTTGAGAATATCTCCATCGTGCCTTAGACTTAGTCTTACACCTACTACTTACACAACACTTACTAGCCCTGAGTTTGTTTCTTCCAGCGAGATCATGCTCTGAAGCGTCTAATCGTCGACGTCATTTTTTTCGTAGAGCGGTTGCGGTAGTTCCAGAAAAGCTAGTATAACACCAGGAGCAGATTTGACGCACCGACTGCTTGATGCTCTCTTCCGGTTTTTTTTGTTGGTGTTGATGTCCCTCTTCCGCTTGAGAATATAACCACTGCGTCTCAATTTTTTGCCATCGCCCTCCGCAGCATGCTGATACTTCTGATTCACGCTGCTTATAGTGCACTTCTAAAATCGCTTCTGGCAATGGGACCCACACCATCTACGACCCAGGTTTTTTTGGCCTTCAAGCTCCCGCACCGTCGGTCGTTGTACTTAGAAAAACAATGATAAAACTAAAACCGCCATGCGAGCGTTTAGCGTGACACAGGCAAATATAAAACATTTGCCCCCAAAACAATGTCCTTGGAAACTAGCAGAACTATGGCGACGCACACAAATGCAGCAGACGGCCCGGGCCCCCCTGTCGTCCCTCTCAGCGCGTCCCGAAAGCTATTGGGGTTTCTGAATCGTATCGTTCCCTGTTCAACCAAATGCTGTCCCCCTCCTGAACAGTCTTCGCGTAGCGAGCTAAACACTCGTCGCACACTCCACCTAGTCAGTGCGGAAGACTACAACCGACGGCATTCCCTGTTTGGGCCCGGATGCAGTCGCGCCGTGTCCTTTTTCGACGCCAATGACGGTGGATTGAACGTCGAGGAACAGACCGAGCTGCTGCTCGATTCCGCGATGTCAGTGGTTGTCGGAAATTTGGATTTGGGTCTATTGCCAGAAGATGACAACTCTCCCGGAAGGCAGAGCAGCAAAAGTCGCACCCTGGCTCGGTCCCGTCTGCGGCAATCCCTTTTCGGAGGCGACCTCTTCTTCGAGGATCTGGATCGCGCGCGACGAACAGGAACAGCCCGGAGATCGACGGAATTTTCTGACTTTCCAGAAATTAATACCACTGCCGCGGACCAAACGATAGAAAACGACGACGACGGTGATGATCCAGAGCAGCAGCTTTTGAACGCAGCCGCAGTCCGGGCGCTGCAACAGCAACAAGGTGGAAGCCGGGGTGACTCACAGAGCAGTGCGCTTTCGGGAGAAGATGGTCATCGGTTTCTGACCCCATACGGATCATACCACCCTTCGTACGCGAGTAGTCTGGCACACCTTGCGGCCGAGGAGAAGCACGGACAGCTAGAAGGACGTCAGCAAGGGGATCAAGTTTTGTTGAGCCACGTCAACTCCAGCACCTCGCTTGTACTGACCGACGAACATCAAAATGGTGACCCGTTGCCGCCTAGCGTCATGAGTTTCTATCCCCCGACTACAACGTGGCATTACCACGAGAATGCGGGCTGCACCGATGGCGAAGACCTCGAGCGCTTCTTGTCGCCGTTGCCGGAACCCACCAAGCCGACGCGAAAGCAAAAGCCAAAGAGCAAGGAAGCGTCAGAGCGGACCAGTAAAGGTCGCGCAGCACACCGTGCAAACGCAAAGAGAAGCAAACAGGAAACCAGAGGGGAGCAGAGCAGCAGTGGGATCATAACATCAACCACGACTGTGGCATCGGCGCATACAAGTAGCAGTCATGGGACCACAGCCAGTAGTAACAGCATCGAGTACGTCGAGCACGACACAACTGATACTAGCGGCCTTGTCCATGGTGGAAGCACTACAGACCAACAACAACACCCTCCTGTAAAAATAACCTACCCTGTGACAGTTGTGCCTAGTCGTGAACGCACCAGCTCCTGCCGCAAACCGCAAATCATTGCTCACATCCATTCCCATTCCTATGTCTCTCACACACTAGCATTCTGTCCTCTTGTTGATCTCAGTAGCGCGCTATCTATTAGACTCAGTCGCACCAAAACGACAACGTCATCAACGAGTCGTGGCTAAATATATTGGCACGTAGCGACGCTAGCGCCGAAGGTCAGGGTGAATGAAAAAGGACACGGGTCGAGGACGAACGCGTCTTTGGTCCTTACACCTCCAGATAAACCGTGCGTGAAGTGAAAGAGAAAGATGTTCTCTTTCTTTGAAATGCACACAATCCGATGCCAAACGAAATATCGAAAAAACAGATACGGCAAAAGACAGCGGACATCCACGGGCTGATGGCGTCGAAGATTGGGCGAAGTCCACTCGAGGAGCCTGATGCGGCCGCGCTGGAAGAAGCAGCGGCAAAAATGACAAGAGCCTTGTCCGGGAGCTCGCCGCCTGGCGTTGACGTGGCCAAGAACAACAGCGCTACAAAGGGAACCACCACTTCCACGGACGGCCAAGCGTCGCAAAAGCGCAGCGGTAGGAGGACCAGCAGGACGAACGACCCAACTCAGCGGGCTTTGAAGAAGGAACATCGCAAAATGAAGATGCAAGCACAGCAGCAGCAGCAGCTCCACCAACAGCAGCAGAGCGGGACGGCCAGCGGATTTGCGACGCCAGGGGCGGGACCAGCCACTGCGGGGCTGGATCTCTCGCTGCAACACGCGAGTCCAGTGTACAGCGAAAACGCCTGGGCCAGTTGCATGGGATCATCAAGTAGCAGCTCCTCCTCCTCGAGCGAGTCCGAGTCCTCGGAGTCGGAAGAGGACGGTGGTATGAGCTGCAAAAGTATCGTACTAGTATGAATTGCATTACAAATTGGCTTAGCATTTACAAATTAAATTTGTAATGCGGATTCGCCGTAAGAAAAAGATTTGTCATGCGTAAAAGCAATTAGTACGAGCACGATACTTTTGCACAGGATTGTTGGAGGAGACATCCAATTTCGCAACTTTCGGGGACTGCGCCCAGAAGTTCGCGAACAAGTCTTCCGCGAATTGAATGAAGGTACCAGCTTCACGTTTACGTTTTTCTCACGACTCGATACTAGATTTTGATTTCATCAATCTTCGATGGCCGCTGTTAAGGACTCGCATCTTCGGGCTTGTTCTGTTTGTAGTATTCGGCTTCTACTCAAGCGCAAGAACTCGAAGGCGAACCAGTTGACCGAAATTTTTCAAAGCCAAGGTGCCGACTACTTCTTTGATGCGATTTTCAAAAATCTAAAACAGAGCAAATCCTGATAATTCGGGCACTCATCGAGGATTTGAGCCGCGGCGTGATCCAGCGGATACACCCTCAAATGACGCCAGACAAGGTGGCGTCCTTCTGCCGCTTTTTCGGTGGTGCCGAGTGCGGTTGCATGCGGTTCCTCAAGGTTACCGGCTGGGACCGGCGCAAGGCCATGGAACGGATTACTAAGGCAACGTTGTGGCGCCACCACGAATATGGATTGCAAACATGTCTGGGTCTGGAAACATGGGACTTGTAATGCTAGTCCCACACTTCTGTAAAATCTGTATTGCATGATTAACAAAAAAGACGCCCTCTTTGGTCATACAAAAGCGCAGTTTCTCATGCGGAGTGAGCATGAGAGAGCGTTCTGCAAACTTGTCATGCACATGCTTGGCTGCATTGGGTAATACTTCAGCTATCCACAGTTCAGCATCACAAGTTTCCTGACCCAGACATATTTGCACAGGATAACGAAATGCCGAGACTCCGCCAAACGTGCCGGGATGTGCTGGATGAGTTCAACGCCGTTCCGAAAGAAGCCGTGTTTCCTTGTACAGTTTTTTGTTTTCATCTTTTGGTGTAGTCTGTGTCAGCGTGGTCAACACAGCTGTTACTCCACCTTCATAAGGAAATTTATTTTTATGTGCGGAAAAGATCTAGCTTTCATGCTGCTCAAGAACACTGGTGGCCCTTCTTCTGATGTATTCTGAGACCTAGTATTTGCAGTTGCACTGACTTGCTGCCCAAGAACGGCCGCATAATTGTTCTACTAGGTGTCGGCAGCTACTACACAGACCGCGCGTATCAGGCGTACGACGGGTCTCCCGTGGAGTTCTGGCGGCTGTCCAAGATCAACTTTACGAAGCTGTTTGCGAAGTACACGGAGGACGAGTGCGAGCTCGCGTACGTAAACTACGTCCTGCGGAAGGAGGAGACCTGCCGTCGGTGCCTATGCATTGCAAAAGTATCGTACTACGTGGTAATTGCATTACAAATTCGCTTAGCATTACAAATGAAATTTGTAATGTGGTTTTACCTTAGAAAGGAGATTAGTCATGCATAACAGTAATTACTACGAGAACGATACTTTTCCAGAGCATAGTGCCGCGCGCAGGGCATTTTCGCGGTGATTGACTGCAAAAACGCGAGCGTGAGCAGCATGGTGTGGCAGGTCCCGAAGCTGAAGATCATGATCCGGTTATCCTGAGTAAAACCGTACCCACACCAGAGTTGTAATGCAGATTTGCAAAGACAGGAAGACCTGTAACGCACATCCCCATGAGAGCCATTTCCTATCGTGTCTCGGAATTTGTGATGCTGTGTACAGGATGAGCAGATGAATCTGTGATGCGGCTGCACTTGCTAACCTGCACTACACTGCAGAGTGCAGCTTGTCATGCGTGACTCACAAAACTCCTCGGTTTGTGTTGCAAAATCCCCATCCTGACTCTGGTGTGGGTACGTTTTTACTCAGGATACCGGTTCATGGGTAAATACGGTGAGCAGTTTTTTCCGGATTCCATCTCCCGCGCGCTCGTGTACAATGCGCTATCGCAACAAAAAATTGTTACAGTTACACATTGTGTTGCAGGCCAAGCAAGACAGACAAGCTCTGCCATGCCGGATGTGCATAGGGGCCTCGTTTCATAGGTGTTTTCCCGTAGGATCTCTGCATTACAAGTTTCCTCACTCATGCAGAGAAATTTGTGTTGCTGAATTCGCTACAAATGTGTAACTGTAACACTTTTTTCGTGGGATATGCGCCGAAGGGCGCCGACTACTTCTGGAAGCTGTTCTCCTCCGTGTTAAGCGCCGCGACGATATGACCGTGCACAACTTGCCCTGCTGCTCTCCCTCATTTGAAGGGCAGGAAAAGCAACACAAGCAACAGTAGAAATAGAAAAGGGGCTCTCGCATGACAAATCTGCGCGCGGCTTGTAGTACTGTTGGATGAGGAGGTTCCGAAATTTGTCATGCAAGTAGTACTTACGAGCAAGGTGCGAGTTTGGTATTTTGCATTACAAATGAGCAGGGGGAGGGGGGTTGTGCACTCTCATAGACGAGGGAAAAAGTGCAGATTGTCTCGACCGATGGCCGGGAGGAAATCTCGAAACTCATGGACCTCCGGATCGTCTCCCAACTGGAGCAGCTGCTGCCGGAGTGAAGAAAGCAAAGCGAGTCGCTTCGACCCTGTGCTCTGTCTTTACGACCCAGCGACGTGGACTATGCCCAGCTTCTTCCGCTAGGCAAATGATGATGTTGAAAGAACAGCTCCTGCGCAAGAGTAGGTGAACGAACACCTCCCAGGGCCGACTCGTCTTCGTCACCGCTGTGCTTTGACATTCCCGCTGGTTGTGCAGTGAGTGCTGACCGTAGAGGACATGTAGTTGTCCTTCACTTGCCTTCACCAGCAAGAATGTCAAAGTCACAGCCTCTGGTGGTATTGTTCCTACATAATCATCTTCATGCGACCTTTTCCTAGAACGACCTAACACGAGCAAAACCAGCGCTACTAACTTTCTTGTAAGTACATAAAAGATAAACGAGCAAGAACGCTAACGCATGGGAACAAATGGAGACTCAAGTAGGAGTTTGCAAGATCGGTTTTGATGTTCAGCCACTACCGGAAGGAAACATCGGTTCGTGGTCGTCCTCTTATTTCGCCAATAAAAAACAGAACTCGGTAAATTCATCACTCTCGTTCGGAAACAGAGGCTTTTGCTGAGTGTACACAAAGTTGACACGGACTCGTGACGACATGATCACGTGTCCAATATCAATCTCATCGGTATCTAAACGAAACAGGTCGGTCGCCTTCGTGAATGCTGCTCCTGACCAACCGTATCAGTTGTGGGTCCTGATCTATTTGTCCACAACGCGTCGTGGTACATAGTCCCTGTTTCTCTGCGTAGAAACGAGCCAATTCGACGTGCTCCCAGCTGTAAGTATCTTATCAACAAACCAGAACCTCCTCCCAAACCAGATCGACAAAACCCAATCCCCGACTACTTAGATAAAGATGTTGTCTTCTAAAAGTGGTAGATTTATTCGCTGTGACCTCTCGTAAGCAAGGAAGCACGACATGTTAGAGTTAGATGAAGACAAAATCAGAACTGCTAACTAACGCCAAATCATTTTGTGTTTACCCTCTCTAGTTCGTTTTCTGTGCTTCTCCGCTATTAACACGAGCAGTGACCTAAACGTAAGCGGCGCCTATTACATAATATTTTCCCCCCTATTTCAACACGCGTAAAAATTATTCTGGCATCGAAAGATGGCAACGACGAAGAAGAAATTCACAACCGCCGCTCTGCCTCAGGACGCCTTGTTGGTAGAGCAAGAGGTAGAGCGGTCAGTTGAGACACCGCCTCCGGCGCCGGAAATACCGCCAATCAAAATCGATTTTCATCGTGCTGGCCTCGGGAAGCTGTTCGGAGCTACTGGAGGTCCTGCTGCAGCTGCAGCTGCAAACAGCACATCAGCTAAGGACACAACCGCAACATCTAGCACTGCCGTGGACGAAGATGTGCACCAGACAACTAAGGACAAACACAGCGAGGATGACGGGGATAGTACCGCACGACCTCCCCATTCGGCAACAAGTTCAGCTAGCACCTCAAGCGGCAAGGCGTCGAGCATCTCCGCTAATATCGAAACAGAGCGTGAGAATAGCGCAGCGGCGCCTGCTCCTGGTGTCAACACGGAAACAAAAAACCTGGATGTGGATTATATTAACCAGAATGTTGACAGCAAAGACTCCTGGAGTAGCAAAAGCAGTCCGCACGAAGAGGTCGCGACGATCACGATCTCTGACGAAAGCATTAAAAATCTTTCCGCGTCGGTGGAGGAGAGGCAGCAGCAGGAGCACGAAAAAAAAGTTGCTGCACTTGAGTTCAACAACTTCTCTACCATGAACCCTTCGGTACGAGCGAACATTCTGAACGACCTTGACGCGAAGAAAATTTCTAGTGTCAAGCGGCTGATGCGCCAGCTGCTGGAAGCTGCGGAAAGAACCGCGGCCAAAAATGAGGAGCAGAAAAACGCAAAGAACAGCAAGCCGCGGCAAAAGGACCAAGCCGACAAGCACGACACCACTAGCCTGTCTACAGCGGAGGTCACATCCTTTGCCAAATTCTTTGGCGGCCTCGATGCGGGTTGCCTGCGGTTTCTGCGGGTGGCCCACTTTGATATAGAAAAGTCGCGCGAGAGGATCGTGGCAGCGACGAGGTGGCGAACGCACACGATCGAAAAAGACTTCGCGGGCGTAAGGAACATCCTGCGCAACAACCCGCGCTTCCAGAAACTGTTCTTCCCTTGTGTCGGGTCCGCGATCGTCTCCGCGAAAAACCCCCTGCCACCCGTGGATCTCGAGAACAACGAAATCCTTTGCGGGTACGACGGCAGTCCGGTGGAGCTGTGGCGGTTGTGCAACGTGGATTTCGACACGATATTCTCGGAATACACCGACAAGGAGGTGGAGTTGGCCTACATCACCTACTGCTTGACCAAGGAGGAAACCTGCCGCAGGACGCGGTCCAAGAGCATCATTTCCCTCGTCGATGCGAAAGACGGACCCAGTCTGGCGTCCATGCTGTTCAAGCACATGGCGACCATCCACCGGTACACGCACTGGATGGCGGCGTACGGAAAAGAGTACTTTCCCGACAGCGTGACCAAGGTGATTCTCTACAACGCGCCGCCGGGGGCGGAATGGCTCTTCAACATGTTCAAGGGTCTCACGGTCTCCGACGTCGCAAGGGAGCAGGTAGTCATCCTGTCGGCTGGCATTCCCGAATCTTCGAACCACTACTGGCCAGCCCCACGTCGGGACCGAACGACGAGGACCAGCACCGGCTCCACAACAAGTACGACTTCGGCGAGCGATGGCACAAAAAATTCTTCAGTAAAATCTGGTGCGGATTTTACTGACTCGAGAAAAACCTCGACCACGGCGCAGCCTCCAGCATCTCGCGAGTCCTCGTCAAGAACCACGCGTATTTCGATTTCCGTGGCCACTTCAAATAAAAATATCGACACCCGCGCACTCGAAGAAATTCAAAAAGTTTTGGACTACGACCAAGTCGTGCCAGAACTCTATCGAAGACTACCTGTCGTGAAAGACAAAGACAAGAAAGTCAAAGCATGAAGACGCTTTTTGTAGCGAGGTGTCGTAACGTCGTGTACTACTAGTACTTAATAGTTCATCTCCCGTGTTGATGAAGCTCAGTAGAAGACTGACGCGCAGCTTACGCTTGCACATACATTTTCTGGCACAATCGTCCCTTTCCTGAGTTACTAAACGTAAATCGAGATGACCATAGAAGAAGAGGAACGGAAATCACATATGGCCTGCTCTGTGGATCTCGTAAAGAGCCTCGCCAGCACGTTATTTGATTTCAGTTTTTTCAGCAAGAGCAGCGCTGTCTGCCGTGTCCCTTGTCCCTTACCCGTAGTACCACGTCACTATCACATTTAACGTATCGCAACGCAACCAACAAATCTACGGGGCATCGGGGTCTATCGCTGTGTGGAAGAATTTACATGATCTTGTACGTTCTTCATGAGTATAAATGGTCCACATAATGCGATTTGTGCGTCGATGTTCTTTTTCTCGCACAGGAGAACGCACCTCGTAGCTGTCCAACTTTTACTTACGGTTTTATTGTTCCCACTTATGTGTATGTTTGAATGCCAGTCCGACTCCGAGTGCGACTACAGCACTCCTGCTACAGCGCAACATCAGATTGACCAAAAGTAGTTGTTTCGTGGGATGCTGTTCGTGCCAAGATTGTCTCAATGGGTCTCGCTAGGAAACAATTTTTTTACATCGGTTCGTCCAAAGTGATGATAAAGTCAACATGTTGACAGTTCGTGTCGGTCAATGACTTACGTTCGAGTCGTAACCACAAGCAAAGCGTACACAAAACGAAGAACAACGACCCGTGGCTCGGTGTCAGTTTCTGTCTTCTACAACAAGATTTATTTTTTCTAATGCTGATGCAGCAGATTCGGTACCTCACACTTGCTCAACTTCGTGCATCGGGCTCGGGAAATTACAATTATCGACACACAAATTCTAAAGCTAATGTCATCCTCGTGACCACAACACGTCAGAGCAGCACGACAAGTTTTTATACGTGTACGTCTTGTGCAGCCCGCACCACGCGGACCCACAGCTATCCTCCATTTTTTTGAGAAAATATTGATATTCCCGTTTCGACAGGCGCTGTGGTATTCCCCCGCTCGATATCATTACCCCCCTTTTTGCAAAGTGAATCTCTATCTCACGTGAGCTTGCTACGCTAATGCTTCTAGTACCTTTCGAAACGCTACTTCTTCGTAAAGATAGAGGATCCGAACGAGACACAGTTGCGAGCGCGCTAGTTCGATAGCCGTACGGTTTTTTTTGTTTCTGGGCCACTGTACGAGACCGTTGTTGGTATTTGCTTTCGACGCAGGAGTCACATCACTTGGTGGACACATATTTTTTCAAAAAGAGCTGCACGACGCCACCGTACTATTAAAAGTACCTGTACTAGCTTCTCTTTAGTTTTCCTTTTAGTAAAAGGATAAAATTTGTTTTTGTTTGGTTCTACAAGCGGAACGATTACAAGTGGACTCAAGACCTCCCGCCCCCGGCGTACCATTGTTGCCGCGGTGAGAAAGGAGAGCTCTTAGCCCTTGTTGCAGCAGAGCCAGCAAAGCCGGTGGGATCATACCACCTCGACGAGAACTGAACGATCCCCTGCTCATCTCTTTCAGTGTCAATGCTAGCGCGAGGGCGAGGGGGGACCACAGGGCCATGATCAAGTTCGAGTCAAAGGATTGATACACAGGCGGAGGCGAAGATGATGAAGCGGCAGTCGTGCTGATTTTCGTTATCGTACGGTTACTATGCGAGAAGGCGAGCATCACCAATCTTCGCCGAGCACCGACGGGGGTGTGAAGATGATTCAACACGACGACAGCATGTTCGTGCGAGAGCTGACGGAGAAGAATCTGAACGGGTGTGTTAGTGCGAACGTCGGCACTGATGAAGCTGCACTGGACCAGGACCACAGCAAATTTGAGGACTGCAGCATTTCGCCGGACGATGTGACCCTGTTCAACAAAACCGCCGGACAGCATGGTTACACAAAGATATCATCAGCTGAAGTTCTCCCGCCGAGTTTGCGAGACACAACCGCCAGTGAAGAGAACCCGGATACTAGTGATGCCAGGGAGAATACGACCAATACGACTACCGCTTCCACCTCGACCTTCAACCGCACGAGCGAATGGTACAAAAATAATCTGTACCGTGGGCGCGAACCGGACCAGTTGCCAGTCGCCTGGGAGCCCGGGCTATCACAGGAAAAAAGTGTTACAGTTACACATTTGCTGGAGTTTCTGCATCACAAAGTTGCTCGACATGGCTAAGAAAACCTGTGATGCGCAGACTATAAGGGAAAACACCAATGAAATGAGGATGGCAAGCATTTCCTGCATGACAGAAGTTGCCTGTCTTGCTTGTTTCGCAACACAATGTGTAACTGTAACACTTTTTTCTTCGCATACGGACTCACGGCCGCGGACTTTCACCCGGCCGAGACGGAAGAGGAATTTTGTCTATGCATTGCAAATATGTCTGGGTCTGGAAACTTGTAATGCTAAAAGCGCATGAGAGCTCTACTGCAATACGGAGCCACGCATGACAAATTTTTGGGCTCCCTTGTGTTGCGTGTTCCGCATGGCAAACTGCGTTTTTGCATGACAGTTAAGAAGACCGCTTCATGCCCATGCATGACAGATTCTTGAGTCATGTCAGACATGCATGACAATGTAGCAATCTTCCAGACCCAGACACTTTTGCATTCCATATTGTCGTCGCTACACCTACTGGCGCTTCCCCTTCATCACCGCGGACGGGCGCCGGAAGACGCTGCAGACCTTCGGCGCGGACGTGACTGAGGAAAGCTTGTTGACTGTCGGAACATTAGGTGGAGCAAGAAATAACAATAGTAGTTCTACAAACGCAGCAGGAGCAGGACCTCCAACAAAGGCAGGATACAGTAGCAAAGCAAACAACATCTCGGTTTCCAAGCACGAGCTGCTGATGAAGCAGATGCTGTGTTTTCTGCTGAAGTTTGTGTGCAACCGCGAGGCGATCAACGCGCTTCCGATCGTAAAAAAGAAAGCTCCCTGGTGCGAAGCGGTCACCCCGCTGGCGACAGCGGCGAGCATCCAGTTTCTTGGCGGCTATGAGAACGTCGCACTGCGGTACTTGAAGCTGAATTCCTGGCGGCTCACGAAGGCAAAGCTTTCTTTGATAGAAGCCATCCGCTGGCGGTGCGTGGACCTGCCAAGGATCTTGCTGCACACCAAACCCTCCAGCGAGAAAAACACCACCATATTCGCGCCAGCGCTGGCCCCCTCGGCGCTCCGAGGACGCAGTGCGTCTCGGGGCTCGAAAAGCGGTCCGAATAGTCGCGGGAGCACAAAATCCAAGAGCCGGGCGCGGAGCGGTAGTAGCCCCCGATCGGGGAAGGAACGGGAGATGAACAGGGTGGAACATCAAAGCCGGGAGAATAGTGCCGCAGCAGGAGGCGCTGCAAAAACCAATTTGCTAGAGCAGATGACAGGAGGTTTGTCCACAACTGTGACTACCCCTGTGGCCACCACCCCGCAACCTCCAGAGAAGGCGTTCGTCGGCGAGCATTTGTTTTCCCGTCGCCTGTTTCCGATCATGGGGATACCGTTCGTGGAAGTAACGCCCCTTGCAGACATTCACGACCTGGTGCAAAACCCCGACAGGCTAAATCCGAAGTCCTCCTATAGAACTGCAGGTATCAGTAAGCGCAAGTAGGACCGCTATAATAAAGAAGTACCGTTTATTCTCATGATGTTATGGTTACACTTGTATCTGTATCATCTACATCTATTAGTACAGCGCAAAAATAACGAAGTTAGAAGTAGAAGTTGCGAGTAGAATACTAATGTCAAAAAGTTGCATCCACTACAGGAGCCGCTACGATAGCAGTTTCCGCTATCACTCCGGGCGAGACTCCGGGCGGCGCGGCGACATCACAGCTAGAGTTGGATTTGCTAATGCGCTTCGAAAGCAAGACAAAACCCGGCAGTGGCACCCCGGGAAGATATAATAATGGCACAACAGCAGGAGGACCACATGGTCGTACAGCAGGTGCACCAGAGGGGGAAACGAGTCCGGATTCGTCGCCCACCGTGCAGCCGCGACCGAGAAGGAGTATGTTGGCACGGTGCTGGGGCTCCCTCTCTCCGAGAAAAAGGAAACTTCGAAGCAGCATGAGTTTAGGTAGTACACCGACTCCCGCAATGTCACGAGGCGGGAACAGCAGTAGTACAACTTCTTTTTACAGCAGTGCCGTGCCGCACCCGAGTTCTTTCGCAGCAAAAGCAAACGGCACAAACGAGGAAACCACTACGAGTACCGCGTCGTCTTCGGCGAAGGGTAATGGGAATGGGACATCATCAGCTCAGCACCTCCCAAATGGAGCTGCTGCAATATTGGAGGAAGTGGACGCAAGGTCGGAAACTTTTTCCTTTGTATCGCTGACCGACCCGCAACCCTCCCCGCTCGGCCCGCTGCGGGGCGAAGGTAGCTCGGGCGTCTCGAGGTTCAACGCCAGCGCCACAATTATAACAGAGACCGAAGAAGAGCAGGACGTCGGAGCTGTTGTTGTGCAGCCTGCAGGTGGTGCTTCCACGAACAACGACACAAGTTCTTCCACGACCGCGAACAATACAAACGCTCGCCCCGTCGGTAGTTCCCGTGCGCAGTCGAAAAGTCTCTTGAACATGCTGTCGAGTCCGATCTCCTCGCGCGCGACGCCAAAAGCCCCTTCTAGTATGACGACGCCCTCGTCCGCAGGAGGTAATCCTTACCAGATATTCGACCAAGGCAGCAGCGGCGCAGGCGGCGCGCCGCAGCTGCACCTGGATCCAGCACTAGTGGCGGAGATCGCCGGCGGCAGGATCGAGGCGGTGCTGCACAACCCGAAGGTCGTGCCCTCATCGCCCTCGTCGTCCGCCTCTCGGGTAGTCGTCCGAGACGACCAAAATGCCGTTTCCCCAGCCGCCACGACAAACTCGAGCTCCAGTGTTTCTAACCCGAAAATAGTTTTAACAACAGCAACGAAAGGTTTAGGTTCCTCAACCACGACGTCTTCGAAAATGGAAACAAAACCGCGAACGGACCCGCTCCGGAACGTGAAGATTTACCTGGCGTACGACGGCAGTCCAGTAGAGTACTGGCAGCTGAAGCACCTGGACTTCGTATCGAAAGGAAAAATCCCCCCTCCCCATATCAAAACGGAATTTCTTATGCTGGATTTGTGTACACAAATCAGGTCTGTATTGCAGAGAGGCACTGTGGCCAGATCCCCAGGCTAGGCAGGGGCGTATGGGTCTAGTTGTTCAGCATGGCAAACGGCGCCCCTTTAGGCCCAATTAGCATGACAAAGCGCTTCCATAATGGGGCGGAAGCTTCTGCCCTCGTCTTCTTGCAAGACAGATGTGATTTGTGACCTCAAATCAGCAACAAATATATCAAATATCACCTCCAGGGCTACGTGCGACCCCTCCGACGCTGCGTGTGGAAGGAGGAAGTTCGGCGTGTTGGGGGTGAGGGACCCCCGACGTTGGCCTACGGATATCATGGGGAACTAAGGCTCAAATCAGCAACACAAATTCCCGGAAACATACCTTTTCGATATGGGGAGGGGGGATTTTTCCTTTTGATACTTCGAGACCATGTTTACGGAGTACAGCACGGAGGAGGCGACGCTGGTCTACGTGCACTACTTGTATCCGAAGTAAATTTCCTGTACACGTACAAATGCGGTCTCTGCATGGCAAAACTTGGCTTCGATCCTAGTTTTGCATGACAAGCTTCACACTCCAAATTGGGAAAATTTGTGATGCATCTTGTGCATGTACGGAAAATTTGTATTGCATAACTTGGAAGCCAAGGAGCGCGTGTGCCGCGCGACCGGCTCTCGGCAAACGACGCTGCTCCTCGACTGCGCCGGCGTCAGCATGGGGCACGTGGCCACCTGTACCAAGTTCATGCACCGGTTCAACAAATCGTGCCTGAGTCTCGGGGACAGCTTCTACCCCGACGGCGTGAAACAGACGTGGCTGGTGAACATGCCCTACGCGGCGGCGTTTCCGCTGAAGGTAACCCTGAGTCTCCTTGCCCAGTCAACAAGGGAGTCCGTGCGGGCCTTCACGCGCAACTCCTCGGGTCTGCCACCCGAAATCCTCACATTGTTGCCGCTGGAGGAATATGAAGCCCTCACCGTCCCGATGGAGAACTCCGTCATATGATGCCGGGAGTATAAGTCGCTTGAAAAGAAAACAATTCGAGAACCATACTAGGCAGAAGTTGTCCTGGTAGATGAGCAGGACTGCTCGTCTACTGGTGTTGAACAGTTGTCAACTGTCGATTTTCTACTGGTGTACTTTCAGGCTAAACTGTATGATATGTGATTCGCGTCCACCATCAAAAACAGATGTAGACCGAACATGAAAATCAAAAACGCCTGCACAACCTGTACAATTCATCGAAAAAAACGTCAACATGAACTTTCTTCACCTCTCCGCGCGTGGTGCGTCCTGCTTTTCCGCAGGATCGGTAAGAAAATCGATGTTCGGACGAAGGGGAAGGATGGTAGCGCGCCAAGATGAAAAATCAGATCTTCAAACACGGCAAGATCTTTATCTTCATCTTCTTTCTGAGGATCACATGAGGCTACTAGCTGAACCCAGCTAGTTCGGGGAGTCCGATTAGCTTTATCTTTACGTCGGAGAAGATGAAAGTCGCTCCATCATCTGGAGTTCTTGACTACTTATGTTTCGATTTCGTGGTCGCATTAAGTTGTCAATATTGTTTCCGCCAACATGTTTGAGATCTTCAGGACAAGTTCTAGTTCCGTGATGGTTATTGTTTTCTGTTTCTCTTCGATTTCATTTTCTTTTTCATCCATGATGGTTAGACTGTCAGTGTCACGATCACCTTTGAAGTAGCAAAATGGGTCTCACCGCCGTGATGTCGGAACACAAGCCACCCAGCGGAACGAGCAACCCAGCTACAGAAACAACGGCCTCTCCGAATTATGGCCCCTTTGAATGGAGGGTCATAGGCGCAGACGAAATGGTTCCTCGTGGATTCGAGTTGAGGTGCGACTTTTCAACGGGCACAAACTACGTCCATGTGCCGCAGCGGTTTTGCCTGCCCCAAAAGAACCCAAAATGGCATCAGCACGTCTGTAACCTTGCCGCCTGGGGTGAGCTGGACAAACTGCGCGTGGAATTGTCAGATCTGAAGAAAACACCCCCAGGCGTCCTGCATAATGCCGTGGAGCAAGGGCACCAGAATGTGCTAGAATTTTTACTACAGCGCAAGGCGAATGTGGTAGATTTTGACGAGCACGGGCAAACGGCACTGCATGCAGCGTGTAAAGCAGGCAACGAGCCGGTGCTGACTTTATTGATGAGGCATGAACTGCGGGAGAAGGGCGCAGATGAAAGTAAAAATCAGTTTCACTACCTCGAAAACCAACAAGGCCGCACGCCTGAAGGCCTGTTAATTCAACAAGATTTGCGACCCGTGGCACGGAGGATAACGGAATTGACAACAGAATGGAATCAGATACAGAATCAAAATTGCAAAAATTGATAGAACACCCGAATTCAACACCGAAGAAGAACAACCTGGCAAGTTGTTGCTTCACAAACCGTTCAAAGCGAGAAAAAGGAAAGAAGGAGATCAGATGGAGGTTTGATCTGCATAATCATGATCTGTACGACCTTGAACCACCTTCGACGCCGCGTGCAAAGGTACTACCAGATGAAAGAATGATAGAGATCAACTGGTCGTGATCTATCATGTTTCATCTACATCTTGCAAAAGCCACGCGTTCTTTTTGAACGAAGAAGAACAAGAATTCAAATACGTTGGATCAAACGGATGAAAACAGAGGCGGGAACGACTGCTCATATTGATCGTTGACTTTGTTGCGCTCCCGGTCCCATGCCGTTCTAACTATTCGAATTCGATAGTCGTCCTCCAGCGCATGCAAAAAATAGGTACAGTTTTCCATATTTCGCACGGTCAGCACGTTTTTTCCGTAGGTGGCACAGCGAAGTAGAAAAGCGATGTCCTTGATTTGGATTTTTACGCGACGAGCCCTTTAGTACTACAAGTTGAAGTTAGACTAGGAGTTTGATGATATTTTTGCTTTGTCTTTACTTTCCGGCCTGTCCTCTTCGTGTTTGAAGAAAAAAGCAAAAAAAAGGATGATCGACGGGCTTGATCCTGCCCTGGAGCAGGCGATCGCACGCGACGTGTGTGCGGAAAGCTCCGCGGCGCCGCTCCTCACCGCGCTTCAGTACCCGCCCGCCCAGATGTGCTTGCGCTTGATTGGCCGTGACGCGCAGGAACGGAGTGCGTCGAAGCAAAAGTTGCAACTGGACCTGCGGGAAAAGAACCACGCAGAACGAGACTATGCAGCGTGGGAAGCAACCACGACCATGGTTACGATCACAAGGAACATAAGAATGAACCGTCATCAAAGGCCTCCAGCGAAAAAAGAAGAAAGCAAAAAGAATAACAGTGGCGGTGCTGTAAATGAAGCCGAAGATGATGTTGACACAGCGAAGAAGCAACAGTGTCGCAAGGTTCCAGCCTTTGTTGATTCACATGTTTGCCTGGTACAAACAGACCACTCGCCGTTTGCGACCACGACAGATCTATCAACGGACGAGGAAGAGGACGATGATATAGACAACTTCTCAGAAGCCCGTGCCGAAGCTGCACGTCTGAAACACGTCATTTACGTCTCGTCTGCGACCGGCACTGCCTTGATGCGAGGGGCGAATTTGTATTGTCCAGGAGTGTTGGCCATTCGTCCTGTAGTGGCTCCGGCGGTCCGTAGAAAAAACGGCGACGCCAAAAGTCGCGACGAAATAGTAGCCGACGCTACTGCTAGAAAATGTACTAGGTCTGACACGACCTACGAAACGCCAAAAAAGCTTCATCACAGTAACGAGAACGACAAGGAGAGCAGCATGAGGCACGGGCACGAAACTACTGTCAAGAAGGAGAAGGACCATATCCAAGAGAGGCGAGAGCAACGAGCATTGAAGCTGGGCCAGCGCGTGGAAATACGCATAGCGCCGCCGGAGGCTGAGACTCACATAACCCGTGGCCAGGACGCCGAGGAAAAGTGGGATCACGGCGGGAAGCCGAACAAAATTGCGGAGGGCACACTGCAGGTCCGGTCCCGCGCCGACCTGTTTGCAATGGCTGGAGTCGCTGTGCATATCGATAAGCTGTTCCCTTTGGTAGAGCAAAAACAAAAACTCGCAACAGATTCTAGTACTTCCTGTGTTAAAGAGCAAAAGCAGGCCACTGTGCGACTACCTGGCCGAGAACCTATTATACGTAGTGCGCAGCATGTCATCTACCCCCTGCCGTCAGTCAACGCGTTGCTCCCTGGGCGGATTTATTCGCAGCAGCTCCCTTCCGTGATTGCTGCCTTGGCTCTCGGACAAGACGACGCAACAGGCCTCCGCATCCTCGACATGTGTGCCGCACCCGGAGGGAAGACGTTGGCGGTGGCGGATGCTTTTCCCAACAGTGAAATCGTCGCGCTAGACCGGAGCTACTCTAAAGTCAGGAAGATTGAAGCCGCTGTTGCCGAGCGTGAGAAAGTGCTGGAAAAATACGCTGCGTGGAACGAGAAGAAATACTCCGGCTCGATTACCTGCTACCGCGCAAACTCGACCAACCTCGTGGTCGATCTTCTGGAAGATTTGGACGCGAAAACTACGTCGAAGGTGCTGCAAAGTGAAAATGCAAATGTTGACCACGCTGAAGAAGAAGAAACTAAAACCTCCAAACCCGCCACCAGTAAGCCGTTTTACCACAAGGCCGTCAAGTTGACGAGCGCCCACTGGGAAGCGTTTTACAGGGTTCTATTCAGTGACGAGGCGCGACTGTTTTCTTCCAAGAACAAAGGGGAGAAAAAGCTTTTCAAGGCTGTAAAGCAGCAGTTCTTGAAGACGAGTTGTAAAACGACCGGCGAAATCGTAGGAGCTGCTGAAATTGTAGAAGTTGAGGAGACTTCGAACTGCAAGAAATGCACACGCGAGCACGTGGACGCGTTGCAGAGATTGCACAACAACCCCGACCTGTTGAATGGTGTTGAGGAAGCGCAAGAATTGCGCGAGACCATGGCGAAGGCCCGGAAGAAAGTTCTTGCACCACGCGAACAAGGGGGCGAACCACGAGATCAACAATCTCAACCTGGATTGAATGATAGAGAAAGTACTCAAACGAAGCGCCCCTCGACGACCTCCACCACCGCGACTAGTACACCAGCAAAACCCCTGCTGGGCCGGCCTCCCTGGGTTCCGGGATCTTTTGACAAGGTGTTGTGCGACGCGCCGTGCTCCGCCATGGGACAAAAGCCGTTGCTGCACTACAGTGTCACTTACGAGGAGGTCAAGCAGACCGCGGTGTACCAGCGACAGTTTCTGCGGCAAGCCTTTCAGCTCTGCAAACCAGGCGGCGAAATCGTCTACTCCACCTGCACCATCCCGGTCGAGGAAAACGAGGGCAATGTGGACTGGTTCCTGCGGGCCTTTCCAGACCAATTAGAGCTGCTGGATCTCCGAAAACAATTCGATCACGACGAAGACATACTTTATGGCAGGATAAAGCGTGATGATGATGATGTTGAGCTGCTTGGGACTAGTACACCAGCTTCAGCTTCTGAAAGGCAGGACGAGGAGCCCATTGTGGCTTCGTTTGATGAAAAATTCGTGTTTCGATTCGACCCGCAGCATTGGGATCTCGGCTTTTTTGTCGCGAAATTTCGCAAGAAAGCATAAACAAACGCGTCGCAACGTGGCCACGACCTCGTTTCCATTATTGAATGAAATCGAATAAAACGACAATATTTATAGATGCAGCGCAAGCTGCGTTGGCTCTGAGACAGGTGAACATCCTTCCGCCGACTATAGTTTCTTTTTCACTGCTGGGCCTTTCAACGTGTTCGACATTGGGCCTTTCAACGTGAAAGATCTTCTCCGAAGATCTTTCTATGCTAGTACGCGTAGCGATTGGATCAGTTTGTCCAATAGATCACTCAAGAGATCTGCGCGCTCATGATTGGCGCAGTCAGCCACGACCGGCGCGCGTCTGCGCGGAGGGCCTTGGGGCTTTGTTTCGGGGGCGAGAGCCCGCGGCGCAGCGTGCGCCGCCCCTTCTCCCCGAGGTAGCGCCCGGGCTAGCGAAAATCCCTTGGGGCGCCCCGATGAGAAAGCGGGCGCCTAGCTGCCCGCAGCTCCTGTGGCCCTCGCCTAGCCGGGGCGGCGCGGTGGGGGCAAGCGCTAGCCCAATCACCTACAGCGGTCGCGCAGTCTGGGCGATGTCGAGCCCGCCGACTCGGAGGGGGCCGTCGCCGACCGAGGGCGGTGGCAGTGCGTGTCTCCGCCTGAGTATAGCTCCGCGTTGATACCGAAGCGGGGCATCCTCTCCGCGAAATTCCCCGCCCGGGCCCAATTGGCCGGCAGGAGGCTGCCGCGTACGCGTGGCAGCAGCATTTGGCGGGAAATGTGTGGCGCCCCCCTGCTTACCCCCCGCCCCGACTCTCGACGTGTTAACCAAGCAGGGGCATGCGTTGCGCGGCTTATGGGGCGGCGCCGCGCGCGCGAGTCTTTTCTTTGTGGCCGGGCCGAAAACGCCACGCACCGTGGCGGCAGGGCCGGCGGCCGCAAGGACGGAGCGCCCGCCCGCCCCCCTGCCCCCGTCCGGGGCCCGGCCCCGCGGCGCCAAAGGGCGGGCCTTCCTAGCGATGGGTCTGCATGTTCCGGGCCGGCGAGATGGCCTGCCTTTATATATTGCGTAGGTAAGCTGTTGCGCCGCCATTTGGTTCAGGAGGTCGGCGACCGATCGCGGTCGCGACGCCCGCGGCGGCTACTTTTTTTGCATGCCGAGCCCCTTGTGGCCCCCCCTTGGCGGGCGGGGCTCTTCCGTGATGAAAGGCGGCCCAATGTCGCCCGCCTTTGTTGCGTCCGAGCTCCGGGAGGTCGTTCGGCGTTGTCCCAACTTTGGCACGGTTTACGTCGACGGGGGCTGTACCTGCCCGCGGCGCCTCGTGTGTGATCCGGCTGGAGAGGAAGGGATAAAGCAAAAACGGAAGGACGCGCGCAAAGATGGGGCGCCGTCGCAAATGGCGGCGGGCGCAGGGGGGAAGGTTCGGCGGCTGCCTCGGTGGCCGGCGGCCGCGTGCTTGGGCGGGGGCGGGGCCGTGCGATGGAAGCCGGCTGGCAGCGTGGCCGCGCCCGCGCGGCCTTGGGCGGTGCCGTCGGCCCGGGCAGCCAACAGGATGGGGGCTTGCAGTAGCAGTGGCCCCCGGCGCATCAGCCCGGGGAGGGAAACAACAGCACAGGCTGCGCGTAGCGACCGGCCCATGGATGTCACGCGCGCCGGCCCCCGATCAATATATGCGGGAATGGATGCGCCGGGCCCCAGCGGCTCGTCGCCCGCGAGCCACCCCGCCGCGCGGAGGCGGTAGTGGCTCCTCGTCTTCGAGCAGCTTCTCCTCTCAGCAGAGCCGTGGGGTTACCGCGCGTGGGAGGCGCCGGCCGCGTCGTGGGCGCAACAGCCACCCACGATTCTCGGGGTCGCCAGGGTAGACAGCACTAGCAGGATCAGACAGCAGCAGAGCAACCAACTCGTCCTCAAGCGATCTTCGAGGTCAGAAGTGAGTATCTTTCTCATTGGTGGGCCTTTGTTTCCACGTGCTTGAACGAAGACGCGAGTATGTTGCGCATGGCATTCGTCGAAAGACAAACTGTTCGAATATTTCCATCCTGATCCACCCACTGACTAGAAATAAAAGGAGTACTTAATCATGTTCCCGCGCGTTGACGAGTTCAGGTTCACGAAATTTATTTTTGACGCACACTCGGACCTGTTCTCGTTCATAACATAGCATGAGCAACGCCACCGGGGGATGAACTACCAAGTACAAGCTCACACTCTAGCAATATGCTCATGAATTTGCTGAATTTTATCGTGTGCGTTTCAATTGAATCGATAATTTTCTGAATGTATACGTCAATTACTTCAAACATCCGATCTGTTCTCACTCTCACGAATTTTTACCAACACCGCTTTGCTTTTGTTCCACAGCGACATGCTTTTGTGCTTTTGTTCCGCAGCGACATATATATTAAACGTTCTTTTTTTTTCACATATATATAACTAGCGTCATTGCTCCTTGTTTGTTGTGTGAATTAGATTATGTGTGTGCCAAGGAGCTATATTGTGTGTAAGAACTAAGCACAAAGCAACAGCAAAACAATGAGACTGGAGGACAAAAAACGTATACATAGGTATTATAGTCTCGATAGTGAAGGTTTTTTAAATCTAGCACTAGGCAGAAGAAACTAAAGCCCGCCAGCACTAAGTACGAAGCGGCCATAGCATGGGTATACCGCAGTACCTCTCCTGGCTGCAGCGGGCGTTTCCGAATGCCTTTCAGCAGCACCCGCCCAGGAAGCAAAACCTCCCGGTGGAGCACGTCTACATTGATCTGAATTGTTACTTCCACAATGTGGTGAAGCGGGCCAACAGTCCGGAGCAGCTAGTCGGGCTGATCCAACGCGAGATCGACGGGTTACTAAACAACTTCGCGCCCCAGTATCTGAAGAGCGTTTTCCTTGCCGTAGATGGACCGGCGTCCCAGGCAAAAATGCTTACCCAGCGAATTCGCAGGAGGTTTCATTTTCTGCAACGAGACGATTTTTAAAGTAGACCGAAGACCTGACCTCCTGTACAACTTCGCGTAGTAGATTCCTGGCTGCACTTTGCGTTTTAGTTTTTTATTGTCCGTGATAACAAATGGATGCGTTGGCCTTTTTTTGTTGTTTCGACGTTCGCGTGATGAGCACAGAGTCTTTCTAACCCATGTCTGCTGACCACAGTAATGGAGAAAAAAACTTGTCTGCGTGTGTCCTGACCTGTTCCAGTTGTGTACCCTCACCCGTAACGATTACTCAAAATACCGGCGAACGAAGCAAGTTCTAGTCCTCGGAAGTTGCAGCTCAACAATCTGTTGATGATCTCGACCTCGTGCTGCAACCCTTCTTGCATATCACATCATCCTCGCGCACGTGCTGTTTCTGCTGCTGCTGCAACAAATAAAGATACCCAACGACCAAATACACAGGAAAAAGCAGAGCAGCTCATTGTCCATCGGCTTGAGTCCCGGAACGACTTTGATGAGATTGTTATGTGATCGCCTACCAGCATACTGCGAAAACGTTGCGAAAAAGCGGAAAATCGATGTCGTATTCAGCGACGGGTAATGGATTTATGTTTGATATTGATAGATTATTTTTGCATTTCTGTTTTTCATTCTGTGCAATGAAGAGGCTCTTATTCTTATTATATCTTTCCGCGTTTTAAGCCCGAACTGAACATACGCAATTCTTTTCTTCATCGAAAATAAAAAAGGTTTGTGCCGGGTGAGGGGGAGCACAAAATTATCGAGGCGATTATGCGAAACGACATTCCCACCCGGTCGGGTCACGCCAAGCACTGCGTCGTTGGCTCCGACTCTGACCTGTTTCTCATCATGCTAGGTACAACATCTCTTGATATTTTTACAGCTACAATGTTTGCATACGAATCGCCCCCACGACAAGATCTACATGACTGAAACGGCACTCCCCGTCCTCCCCCCGACAAGACTACATTATTTTTACAAAAAACACTATCATCACCGAAGAGCATTCGCGTTTTTCTTCTATTTTGAATCCATCACACTACAGGGGCTGACGCAAATTGTGTGTACGTGTGGGACGGCGATTGTAGACCGGGGCTCGTGTGGACCAGAAACACGATGCTGAAGGGTATTTTAAGCGCCTTCCCGCCCAAGGCCCTCCAGTCCAATTCCGATGCCGAAATGGCCATCCGCACGGATTTCTCCCTCCTTTCCCTGCTCAAGGGGGACGACTACCTGCCGCCTTTGATCAGCTTTGAAACCGCCTTCCGGACGTACGACAAGATCGTGAAACAGGCCTGCCAGACGCAGCCGGTTGCCCAGTGGGCCATCGTGGCCAAGCGCAACGTCGCCATTCGCGATCTGCAAAGCGACGACCAGGACGACTTTAACTTCATGCGGGACTACGGCGACGCTGCCGACTTGGTGGTCGCCCAGCACTCGTTCCGCCCCACTTTGACGCTCGCGCGGTGCGTCGCCGACGAGAAAATGATGCCCGAGTCGCAATTTCGTTCGGTCTACGGGAAGCCCGCTAAATTTCCCGAGAACGAAGTGACGGCACTGAAAAACTACTACCGGGGTATTCTGTGGGTGTTGGACATCTACCGAAACGGCCGCGCCCTCGACTACCATTTTGTCTACAAACTGGGCAACGCCAAACTGGACGGCCGGTGGGCGGCCATGTGGATGGTGCACCACCAAAACACGGAATTCACCCAGTTGCGCGGACCCGTCAACAAAAACGACCCCGCAACCGGCGGCGCCATTTGCCCGACCACAGCGACCCTGTGCCTCATCCCGGTCTCGAGCCTCAAGGGCGTTTTTACAAAGGAAAACTTCAACGTGATCGAGGATTTAGTGCAACCCGACAGCGAATTTCTCGGGCCGGTGGTCAGCTTCGAGGACGACTCGCAGTTGGACAGACTGAAGAAAACACTGGTCGCAGCGCAGAAGGCCTTCGACGCGAGGACGCAACAATTGAAGGTTTGATGTAGTTGTCTTTGGTACTATTTGTTGGATCGGAACGCAGACTAGTATCGTGACTGTGTTTCTTTCCCTACTTACTTAGTTATTTCCTGCTTTATCTACAAAAATAGTACAACAAGCCTCAAGCCTGTGTAGCGAAAGCGTCGACTAGCGTGCTCTACTGCTAACGAGCCAATTGTGCTGTCGTCTCTTGCATCTTCTGTAACAGGATTGTTGAGTAAATATTTCCCCCACTAGCACTACTAGCTTTGTACACGTCTACATCAGGAGCAAAACGTGGAGAAGAAGCACGACAGCGAGTGGAATAAGCTGAAGCAGGCCCTGGTAACCGCCCAAGGGGCGTACGCGGCCCGGCGTACGGACTTTGTCACCGCGGACATTGACGACGTGGACGTCTCCCTGTTGGACCAAGAGGTGCGGAGTCGCTTTGTGCGGGGGGAGAACAGCGAGGACCGCGCGTGGCTGTCCGTGTACCAGCAGGGTACGGGTGCGCGTTCCGAAATTCGCAGTCGGGACGGCGTCCCCGAACTGGTTGTCGATTACGATGCGGAGGAGGAGCAAGACGAGCCGATGGTCAACGTGGACTTGCTCGACAGCGTCATTAACCTCACCGCGACATCAGGACCGCCGCCGGGTGCGGCGAAGCTCAAACCGTTCCCGGGTAGAATGAACCCGCTGCGACCCCTTCCGGGCAAAGCCTCCGACATTCTCTCCTCGTCGCCGTCGGAAGTTGTAGACGGTCCCGTGGAGCCCAGTCAGAAGCGGGCTAAGACCACAGCTTCTGGGGGAGGTTCATCTTCCGCGGCCCCGGCGGTTTCATCTGCAAACAACCCGTTTGCCGCTGGGTGGAGCAGCTCGAAAGGGAATGATAACCCGTTCGACCACCATGTTAACGACCACGACAACGAGGAGGAAAGCTATCACGACGACCACGACGACGACATGCAGGAACACGTTCTCGAGACGGTCGGCAAAGACGTTCCGGAGGACGAGGCCGCGCGCATTCGGGAGCGAAATCGCTTGCGCAACTTGAAAAACAAAGAAAAGAAGAAACGCAAAAATGCCGAAAAGCGCGCTCTAGTAGAAGGTGGCGCAGGAGACGTCAGTGTAACTTCCAACCTTGTAGCTCCCTCTGCTGCGCCTAGTACGAGGCGGCTACAGGTTCCGGGGACCACGACGGGACGAGCGCAGGAGTACCAAGTGTCGGAACCGCCACAGCACCAGAGGAACAACCCGTTTGCATCTTCGGACAACCCCTTCAGGAGGTCGGTGCCGCGAAATGACGACGCAGATGACGAGCGCGGACCCCCGATCAGGCCGCCAGGAGGGGGAAGTAGTACGCTCAAGAGGGGAGCGGCCGCAATACAACCGGGAGGAAGTGACTATCAAGACGCCAAAAAAACACGGCTGCAACCACTTCCGGGGCGGGGCGGCCCGCAAGGTGGCGGACCGCAGCATCAAACCGGTGGGCCAAGTGCGCTAAAGGTTCCACAGGTGAACTACCACCGAGGGGGCGGCTTCGCCCCGAGCCAGCGGACCGAGTCAAGAACAGGTCCTCCGTCCAGATTGCAGGTTCCCGACCACGCGTCGGGTGGCAACAAAGGCAGCTTGTTCAGTCAACGTGGCCCCCCGCGGCCAAACGGCAAAGACAATCAGCCTCCATCGAAGAGAGGCCTGACGCCGTTACCCACATCTGGTGGCAGACCGCAGGCACCGAGCAACCCGTTCGGTTAAGCACACAGCCGTTCTCGGAAGAACAACAGATACTTTCTTGATGTTGTATCGTGCCCATGCCGAGCATTACAGTTTCACTTGTGTGTGGCTTCCGCACAAAATTTTTGAAGTTATCCACAGTTTACCGTTAGTTTGTATCAGCCGTGTATCTCGTGACAGTGTCAACAGTCGAGCGAAGCAGGGACTACTTAGTTCCACAACTAGCGAAGTGAAGAACATGGGTCTTCACGAAGCTTTGATGTTCGCTGATCTTCTTCATTTTTTGCGAGAGTGAGAAGTTGAGCTGCAGGAGAGGGCCGTGAGTACTTACCGCGAGCGGAGTGAAAGACGATTGGTCGAATGCTCAAACGACGTGATAGACTGAAGACCACGCAAATGTGACGGAGTCGAGTGTAACAAGTGAGCGTGTTGTTTGCAAAATGATGTTTCCTTTATTTACCCACCTGGTCAGTTCGCAGATCGTATTAAAAGTTTAAGTTTTTATTTTTCAAAAGTTATCGGAGAGTTGAGTTGGAGACGTCCTACCTCTCAGTTGCACACAGAAATATGAATATCGGATACAGGATGTTGATGTTGTGCTTTCTGGTCTGAAGCAAGCCAAGGGCACGTGACGTCCCTCTTTGCATTCGCTCTTTGATTCTAATTGACTTCTGACAGATTCCTCATTCTCTCAAGTCACAGCAAGATGTTGGGCACGGTGCGCAGCGGAAACAAAGAAATCAGTGCGAAGGAAAAGAAGGAGATCGAGCGCCTACGCACCATTGCCAAAGGGACAAGTGAAGACAGCAAACGGAAATATGGGCTGTCGGACGAGGATATCATGGTGCTCTGTAAGTACAAACAGGGAGCGCTGTTGGATCTGGGAGATCTCGAGATGCTTCTCCCGCTCGTCTTCTCAATAAAGCAGCAGATTCAAAGGTATTTGTTCGTATTTTATGACTATGCTCCGTTCGTATACTTATACTTCCGCCTCTCGATATTTTTGTCTGCCTTTCCGTTTTGGCGTTGAAATTTGAATTTCAGCATGAGCATAAAGAAATTTCAGTACAATTCAAGCGAACAGTAGCATTCTTTTCTTCTTCAGAAGATTCTTCCAAGTCCAACCAAGCAACTTTCAGGTACCCACAGTATCACTACAAGAAGATCGGGCTGGAGATTTCGAGTGATTGGGAAGCCACGCGGTCACGAATAGCCATCGACGAGGGGGTTTACAAAATGTACATCGCGATTCCGGTCCACGCACGAGCAGAATACTCAAGATGGACAATACGAAACTCCCCCTTCATGTACACCGGATTCATAGAGGTAAAATGCACGTGGACGTGGTCACGAAAAAAGCATTCTACAGTCTAAGTCGTTCTGGATTCAAACATTTCTTTGGAAATAATTGCGAGGTCACCACGTTAATATGTAATGACATTGCCTTGTGTAGTTTTTGTGCGTCGTCGGGACGCGAGATGACGGTGACGCTAGACATGGACGCCTGGAAGACGAAGATGATCATGATGTCCATTGAAACGAAAATTCATTTTGTTTTTCCGATCACAACTACTTACTAAACTCTAAAAATACAGGTATACGAGGGGTACGGAATAGACATAGAGCTTCCGACTAAGGTCGACTTCATCATTTACGAGCCGACAGACGAAGCGAAGAAGCGGAGACAGCTGAGCGCAGAAGATAATTTTTGCCTCAAGCTGATCAAGGAAAAGCACTTAGTTGACCCTGACGCCTGGAACCGGGTGCTATTCATCTAGAGAAACAAGTATAGATAGTTGTAGCTTCGTCGAATAATATAAACACTTCGACTATAATTGGTGCGGCCAACTGTAAGATTCGAACGAATTCGATTTCGTCTCGCCACCAGGAACGAGACGCAAGGCAGGTATGCGAAGATGATCCTCTCCACCCTGTACGATGGAACGCGAACTGCAGGACGACACCTCGCAATTTTGTTGTCGTGCGCTTCATCAAACAGAGAAACGAGGAGGCGTGGCTGGGCCGTGCTGTGCTATGAAAAAATTGAAGTGAGTGTTGAACTTGAACGTCTATGAATGAAGAAAAATGATGAACCCAGGACGAGCGAGTAGTTGTTCAGCGCGAATCATGATTCGACCTACTTTACCTTGGAGGTGCTATTGCTGGTCTCTGGAAAAGGTCAGTAATTTCCCGGAGAGATGAAAACAAGGAGCAGATGCTTGAAGCTTACAAGATAGAAGTTCACCTGAGGAAAATTTCTGTCGATGGGTTTGAGATTCCTCTACTCACGACGAACTTTCGAAATCGAAGCTATTTCCACCCAGCGATCCTTCTTGTCGAGCCAGAACGTGAGTGTTTCCCGTGTGACGTAGTGAACATAGACATAGGTGGCCTACATCTCTACTTTCTGGCCCCGATAGCCATAAAACCAAGTCAGTAGGTCTTAAGTACTTTCATCTTTTCTTTTGCTGTCCTTCTTCTTCCCGTAGTGCAAGAAGTGCTACTCCCTGTAAAATCGAAAAGCGTCCAGCATGTCGAAGGGCGCGGCAGAGGAGCCAGCGTCGGCCTCAACAGCTGGCGCTAAGACAAACTCGTCCACAACGATTGCAAATCCACCTGATCTCCCGACTATCGACGAGAACAGTACTGCACCGGTGGTCAGGAAACGGCTGGCGCCGAAACGCGGCGAAACACAGAACGACGAGGAGGAGCTCACGCCGGAGCAGCTGGCGGAGTACCAGCGACGCCAGAAAGCCGCCCGTCAGCGAAAAGTGTACCGCTCGGCGCTTTTTAAGGTCGGCGCATTCACGTTGATGGTGGTCGTGGCTTTGGGGGTGAAGTACGTGCAGGAATTCTTCACAACCAAGTGGTGTGCGACGGTGTACGTGGACGAAAGCGCCGGGAGCTCAAGAACGTCTACTACTTCTGTGAACACGGACTTGTTTGTCCGCGTCGAAAGAGTGGACAACGAAGAGGACGGCGAGGCGCTGTGTCTGGACGAGACGGAATTCTTGGTGAAAATATCCACAGTAAATTTCCTGTACACGTACAAATGCGGTCTCTGCATGACAAAACTTCGCTCCGATCCTAGTTTAGCATGACAAGTTTTACATTCCATATTGCTGAAATTTGTGATGCATCTTGTTCTTGGCATGGTACGGAATAACAGCAGCTCCATCGTGATTGGCGTTTTTTCTCTACTTGAGCAAGAACTGCAACAACAACAAACAACACTCAACCGCTCAACTTCCGCAAAAGGAAGAACCTTCCTCGCAACTCATGAGAGGGGCCTTCTTGGTCTCCGGTCCTCGGTCCTCAGTCGCTCGCAAGGGAATACCTGAAGAGCTAAGAAGGTCGAAAGCTGAGACACATGAAAGGGAGTTTCTTGGTCTCCGGTCCTCGGTCCTCAGTCCCTCGCATGGTAATACATGACGAGATAAGAATGCAGAAAGCTGAGACACATGAAAGGGGGTTTCTTGGTTTCCGGTCCTCGGTCCTCAGTCCCTCGCAAGGTAATACCTGACGAGATAAGAAGGTAGAAAGCTGAGACACATGAAAGGGGGTTTCTTGGTCTCCGGTCCTCGGTCCTCAGTCCCTCGCAAGGTAATATCTGACGAGATAAGAAGGTAGAAAGCTGAGACACATGAGAGGGGGTTTCTTGGTCTCCGGTCCTCGGTCCTCAGTCCCTCGCAAGGTAATGGCTGACGAGATAAGAAGGCAGAAAGCCCAGACACATAGGAGGGGGCTTGTTGGTCTCCCATCCTCGGCCCCCAGTCCCTCGCGAGGCAATATATAAAGAGAGAAGAAAGGAGAAGGGGGACACACATGAGCGGGAGTCTGTTGGCCTCCGGTCCTCGGTCTGGACGCCCGCGAAAGTGCGGAGCTTTGTCGTGTGTTTTTTGTTATTTTTTCGCTCGCCAGTTACAGTTCTGGAGGAGCAAGTCGCTGGGGCCATGTCGGCCGCCATTGGAAGAATTCAGGCGCGAGCGCCCTTTTTCTTCTTCAGAGCTGTAGCACCGTTGAAGGCGATGGAGGTGCTATGAGCTGTCGCTGCGAAAAGCCGCCCGATTCTCTATGGCGAACGCACTCGATAAAGCTAGGGCCCCTGCGATCCTCCGGCGGCACACTCGGCCCAGCGTTGCTCCTCCTACGAAATCGCAGGCAGATCATCAACACCACCCCAATATGGCACCTCGTTCCTCTTCAAAAAAGCAGGAGTGCCGCAACAGTGGCAGCAGTCAATCAAGAGCGCTCTCGAAGGTCATTTTTGAGGATCTGCAGCGCTACGGTAGTAGCAGCCAGAAGAGCACCGCGGAGGAAATCAACCGCAATCGCGTTGGTTCTGAGGTCCTTCCCAAGCGAGCAGATCGGGAAGTTTAAAAGTGGCACCGTCGTCACAGCTTTGACGATCCCGATAATTAAATCAAGTTAAGAATCAGAAACAGGCAACACGGCATAACGGGCGAGGTCCGGTCTCTAGAGTTATCCAAATGGATGGAGATGAAAGCAATGGGCCTTGAACATTTGACGCCATGCCCAGGCACGAGAGAAAAAAAGCGAGAAAGCTCTCCAAGCCAGGCGATCGGCCATTTGTTTTCCGTGGAAGTATTCTTCTGGGCTTGTCAAGTATCAGGCTCCTGCTTCAGCAGCAGCACCCTGCGGGCTTTACTACGGCTCTTACGAAGCGAAAGGGCCGAGCTGTCGCGGTTTGAGCAATGCCGTCGAGCAAGATAATAAGAGGGATTATGTTGGCGGATTGCAGTTCACTTCTCGGCTTTCTGCAATGTGCAGAGCGGAGCGCTCCCATCCTTTACAGCAAGTCCGCTACTTGCTCCAATATGACACAGATTGAGATAGTGAGAAGATCAACGCACCCTCCCACTTCAGACCAATTCGGCGCAGAAGATCAGCACCGCCTTCAAATGCATCCAGATCCGTTTTCTTATTCTACGACTTTCATCCACCACGCAAGCCGGTTTTTTTTCATTTCCCAAAACCAAAGCAGGACAGGGAAGCTGATAGACTCACTTACAGCCCAGACCTCACAGCTCGGCGCATCATCATCAGAACGCGCACGATCGGAGGCGGCGGAATTGTGGACGCAGATGTCAGGGCGAAAGTATATCTCCTCCCAAGTTGTTGACTAGTAGATTGCTTCCGAGGTGGCCCCTTTTCATTTCTACTCCGCCGACACTGGCAAAGAAAAGCGTAGAAGTGGAGCGAAGTGACTACGTGCGATCGAGTGAGAGAGCGAAACGGACTGACTATGTGCGAAGAACAGCCCAGGAACAAAGGCCGCGACTATGTGCGAAGGAGTGGGAGACAGCGAGTCTAAGTGGGTAGCAAGCGAGTCGGGCACTGCCCTACTCGCCTGCCTGATGTCTTTCCGCAGCGCTCGCAGTCGAACTCTCGGCCAAGTTGGTCCGTCGCTGTTTTGACGCGACGGAACGAAGCAGAGGACGCGCGCGAGACAGCGTCACTAGTCGGCTTCACTTGCCGGGCAAGCTTTCCCAAACCGACACTGGCTAAAGCGTAGAAGTGAAGCGAGGCGACTCTGAGCGAAAGAGTGGGCGAAGTGAAGCGACTACGTGCGAAGCACAGCCCCGGATCAAAGAGCGTGGCGGTGTGCGGCGATTTCTCGCCGTTTTGAGTTTGACGCGACGGAGCCGAACGAGGTGGGCAGTTCCATTTGGGCGCCTTCTTGTGCCACCATCGTCGCCGGTGTGTGATGATGGTGCTGGTGTACATATGTCGAGCAAGAGAAGATCTCTCTTGCCACTCATGTCACAAAGAAACTCGGGCGCGCCGCGCAGATGTCGGCCAACGGCGCTCGCGTATATCGGTCACCGACCGGCTGAGAAGGCCGGCGATGTCTTTTGAGTTCGGTCCTTGGTGTACTTTTACACGAAGAAACTGCGCGCGCATTTGAATGTGGCAGGAGTTTCCGAAAGTCGGCGCGCCTATAAATACCTAGTGCCGCGCGGGGAAAACCTGTCCAAAAGCGTGCGCTCGTGTGCCGTAGCCCGAGCGCAGCGCCATCATCATCAAAATGCGGCAGGTTTTTTTCCAGCAAGCGGCGGCCTACAACGCTCCGGAGATTTCCTGCAAGCTACGGAGGCAGGCGGCAGGCAGGTAAGTTCCCTCGCGTGCAGCGACACGAGTATCAGCATCGCCTTGCTTCGCCACCTTTTGCTTTTTGCGGGGCCGCAGAAATGCTCGCCAACGGCCAACCCACGCACTCGCTGCGGGTCGCGCGGTGCTGTGATTTCACAGGAGGAGGCCCTGGCGCTGCTGCGCGTCTGTGTCGCTACTGGATCGATGTCATCAAGGATGTGCGGCTACTTGCTCCACATGAGTGATGGCGTATCTATATGCGCGCGGGCTACTGACTGGCAAAATGCAGCCTTTTTTCGTAAGAGAACGCCACCCCCTTCGCTTCGTTCCAGCGCGCAAACTTTGGGCCATTTTGTAAGATTTCAGCTCTTTCCTACACTAAGAACGCAACACAGTCCGGCCAAATGGGCTCGCGCGCTGACAAGCCTGCCGGGCCGGGAGGGTATTTGCCTGCCGCTCGCCGGACGTCGTGTCGTACCAACGGGCCGCCCGCCGCTGGCCAGACGGTGAACAACCAGGGACCACATTAGCAACGCTAGCAGCGCAGCCGAAAGGGGGGCGAAGCAAGCAGTTTTCAGCTACACGGGCCGGCTTTCGTCAGCGGCGGCATGGATGTCGTTGCGCACGAGGTCCCCCGGGGGGGGGTGCCGAAAGAGGCCGGCGCGTTTTTTTTTCGTTTTCCCATCCGGCCCGGCGGTGGGCAGTTGGCTACCCCTCGCAAGGGCCCTGAAGGTGGCAGCGGAGGGGGAACCAACGCCATCAGAGGAGAAGCGACGCGAGCTCGGCATGATCGCGCCGTCGGTCGAGAAAGATCTCTGGGCGCGCAAAACGGGCTGTATCCGGGCGCTGTAGCTGTACTGTAATAACAGAGCGGATGGAGGTCGACTTCTCAGACACAGCGGCATCGGCTTCGGAGCCACATGCGCCGGCGCAAAAGTGGGAACGCCAGTCGGCCCGCGTCTGGGACGGCAGCACAGCGGCTCGCGGAGTCTGTCGATGTGCTGCGAATCGCTGCAGCGGGCCAGCACTTTGCGAGGGAGGTACTAGCAACACCGGCGGGCCGGCTACCGGGACCGGAGGCCACAAACCTCCCTCATATGTGTCTGTTGTTTCTCCCTTCTTGTCCCGTCGCGTATTAATTGCCCCCAGATGAACTGAGGCCCGAGGACCGGAGACCATCGGCCTCCTTCTTATGTGTCTGGCGCTTTTGCCTTCTTATCTCGTCATATATTACCTCGTGACGAAGTGGGGACCGAGGACCGGAGACCAACAACCTCCTTCTTATGTGTCTGGCGCTTCTACCTTCTTATCGCGTCAAATATTACCTCGCGATGGAGTGAGGACCGAGGACCGGAGACCACCAGCCTCCTTCTTATGTGTCTGGTGTTTCTCCCTTCTTGTCTCCTCATATATTACCTCGTGATGGAATGAGGACCGAGGACCGGAGACCAACAACCTCCTTCTTATGTGTCTGGTGCTTCTCCCTTCTTATCTCCTCAAATATTACCTCGTGATGGAGTGAGGACCGAGGACCGGAGACCAACAACCTCCTCTTTATGTGTGTCAAGTGTCTGCCATTTTATGTAGTGCGTTGCTCTACATGAGATTCCTTTAGGATCTTCTGTCGTTACTTTTTCAATTCCTTTTAGAGCACAAACACGAAACACGATGGAGCTGCTGTTATTCCGTGCCATGCCTTGTTCTTGTACATGTTGTACGGAAAATTTGTATTCCATAGAAAAACGCCAAAGCGTATCACGGACCAGCGTTCCTCGCGGATAAGGTGGTGCTCGACAAAATCGTGCAGGAGACCGCAAACGACGTCGACGCGGTGGTGGTCTCCGGTATTCACCTGAAAGAGTGCGCAGCGGCGGCAATGCGCGCAGACCTGAACGCGGCGGAGAAAGCCGCGGCCTGCCGCACCGGAAATTTGGCGCAGGCAGTCGTGCTCTGCCACGGAAAGAGGCCAAGTATAATCTCAGTCTCACTGCAGCTTTTTTATCATTTGAAAGAAGCACGTGTATGCTACGACACTCGATACCGCTGTCGTTTTGCGCATTCTCTCGCGGCCGACACGGAACCCGAAAAAGTCTTCCTAAGTTGTCTCGTGACTATCACTATTTATCCAAGAAAAAAAAACTCCAGGACTCCTGTCCTAAGTTGTCGTCGTCCTTACTTCGGAAAAAATGAAAACTACCTTTACAAACAGCGGCCGAGTGGGCACATCAGCGCATCAGTGACATTTACCGGGACCACCGGATCAACCACTGGCTGCACATTGACATCGATTGGCGTAGCGACCCCGACCTGGTCGCCGATGTTGGGCGGTCAAAAGTTGAACTCGCGACGCAGTACAAGCTCGTCTTCGCGCGCCGGTGTTATCCAAGAAAAAACACCCATCCCCATACAATTTGTCATGCAAAACATGCATCAAATCCACTATTTGTCATGCAAAAAATGGATGGGGATGGGTGTTTTTTCCTCGATAAGTGTCCGCTCGAGGCTATGGTCACTCCGGATTACCTCGGGCGACCCAGCGGAGGCAAGAAACCCACAGCCGCAAACACAGCGGTGTCAAAGGCCGACAGTGTCAGCGCAGCGCCGATCAAGTTTGTCCCGAACGCGAGGAAGTGGATTTCCTATGTGACAGTGAAGAAAGCAGCAGATGTTGATGGTGCCGAAGTTGTTGACCATGCAGAACTCCAACCTGCGTCCATCGCTGCGATGATGCAACCCCGCAAGCTGAGCGACGCCGGAGAGCTACAGCCGGAAATCTACACGAAGCCCAAGCTGGTGATCGACAACTTGCTGTGGCTGGCCTGGAGGTTCGATTTCGACCCAGTCGCCTGGGTCAACAAGGAATTCCACCGCAATAAGACGGCAGAAGTGGCGAACGGGAACGGCACGCCTCGCTTCCACCTGCTCCGCTTCAACCTAGAGACCATGGAATTCGGAGACTGGAGTGAGGAATGGTTTTCCCAGAAAAAGACAGAATTAAACGCTGCCACGCAGGACGCGACAGACGTCGCAAAAGTCGAGTCAATAAAGGAAGAATGGGGCTGGACCCTTGACAGTTGGGCGGCAGCTATTGTCTACATTTGATTTTTATGTAGTTCCGGTTGCCTGGCGTTGTCGTCCTCGCAAAAAGAAAAAAGCGACAAAAAAATCTCTGATGTACCGCTCGCGCGGACGGCGCACAAAATGTGCATTTTCATCGAGAGTTCTGGAGTGTGTTCTTGTTGGGCCCTCAGGGTTCTTTCATACACCCGCATGCCATGTCAGATTCTTCCTCGTCCTCCTTTATGATATCTCGATGAGGTTTTCCTTTTCGTTTTTCTTCGTATAAGTGATATCACCTTCGCCATCGGACTCGGAAAGAGTGGATACTAGCCCTAGCCGTAACTATTTCTGCCGAAATGAGAATGTTTTTCACATCACAGCGAACAATTTGCCATTTTTCGAGGGTCTTCGCGGTCGCGCACTGTAGTTTCGTCGTGTTCCTTCTTGGTGGAAGAACAGGCTTCCCTCCCGGAGCCCCCGTCGAAGCAACGCCCTTGACGGAGCGACCGCGATGCTTCACACGGGTTGTGGTGACACCGTCCAAAAACGCGAGCGCCCGCTCTGTGTGGATCCCAATCATCAGCCAAGAAGGTGCAGTCCCACAACAAGATGATGCGCAACAAGGTTCCTGTCCAAAAGCAGCGGCAGCGTTTGCCTCCCAACTTTTGCAGGACTATGGAGCCGGACACGTACGCCTCCACTCCGGTCTGAATTTGACGCAGGAACTGGACATCCTATTCGATGGCATTAGTACACACAGTACGGACCAGCAAACTGGACAAGACCGTGCCACATCCGCCACCTACTTTGACGTTCCACATACGCACTTACGTGGCGACCCGGGCGGGCCACCATTCGGATCCGGTGAGGACGCGGGCGGAGCTGAAGCAAAAAGTGGGCCGGTCGCAGCTGGTGTCCCGTACGAGGCCCCAAGCGAACAGATTCCCATTTCTGTACCCTTGAAAACAATCATGACAGCACAACATGAAGCGACGCAAAATGGCGACCACGACGTCCCGCTTTATTTGCCACGACTGAGAATCGAAAGCTACTCGTCCCGCGAGAAGACCAAACTGCACGTCTTCACCTACGGAGACATGTTGAACTCTTACCTGTGCGTCCTGTCCAGGCTGGTGCAACAACTCAACGGCGGGCGTCTCAATGTCCTCGGCGGTAGCAAGCTCCGGCGTCATAGCGACGAAGTCCTCGCCGCGCACGAACAGGGCGGCAACGCTGCGGGACTGGATTTTAACATTCGCGGTAGCAAGCTGGAGCAGGCCAGTCGCTTGTTTAGACATCTCACGGGAAGCGAGTTTGAAAGAAAAAGCAAGAGTGCCCCTACTTCAAATAAAGAAAGCAGAGAGAAAGAGTTTCTCGCCCCGGACGATGTCATTCTGCTGTCGGACGGGTTCGACGTTTTCGCGCAGAGGGATCTGCAGGGTCTGAAAGATACCTATTTTGACCTGGATTCTTCCGGCGGCGTCGTGTACTACGGCGGAGAAAAGAACTGCTGGCCAACACCACACCACAACATCACCGAGGCAGACTTTGAGCGTCGCAACTGCCTGGTAGAACGCCGATGCCCCTACGATAACCAGCGCGGCCCGTGGCGACTGTATTACCACTTTCCTGAGGAGGACACGCCGCCAGGTGATGCAGCTGCAACGCGACCAAGTGCTGAAGACCGGCTCACAAAGTCCTCAAAAGAAGAGGAACATCAACATGTCCAAGATCAGCATAACCCTTACACGCACAAAAGCGGCGGCAGACTGAGTGTGCTAGGAAAGGACTTGTGCGTCCAAAACTTGAACAAGTACAGCCCGCCGGGCACGGAAACGACGAACCGTTTTCCCTTTCTCAACGCGGGGCTGTCAATCGGCACGGTGCACGCCATTCAGAAACTATCGCGCCGCCTGTTTCAGCTCTACAAGGAGACCAAGCAGCTCGACGACCAAGCGCTGCTTCTCGTCCTCGCGCTTGAGGAACATTTTGTCCGCGTTGAGCCGACCGGAAAACTCTTCTACAACGCGCACGGGTATGGTTCCGGCGACTTTGCCGATCCGGACCAGGAACTGTGCACGGGCGGCTACCTCCTGAAAGACGAAGGCGGTCCGGCGGCGAGCGTTGAAGACAGCAAGACGAAGATGAACAGTGGCGCGCAGCACTCACCGGCGCTGTTGTTCGGTGGGGCGAAGCGAGCGGGACGCGAATCAGTGCCAGAAAAAGGAGCGTCAGAGTTGCAGGTGACCAACTTGGCCAGCAAGCCCCAGGCTTCCTTCCTCGTGCATTTCAACGGACGTGGTCGTTGGTACATGCAGCGGTGTCGAGAGTTTTTCTTTTCCTTTGGGCTCGGAACCTGGAAGGGCGAAGCAGTTTCGCGAATACCGCACGAGGATCATATGGGTGCGTCATCTAGTACTGCGGGCGAGGACCACGACCAGGCGGGTAGCGCCGCTCCTGTGGCGCAACCCGCGACACAAACTACAAGTAGAGATCAATCCCCACCACATCCACAACTAGAGACTGACCACTCGTATTGCAGACTTTTCGACTACGAAAATTACGAGTATTTCGACGATCGAGTGCTCTGGGGCGAGGAGACCGTGTTTGCGATCAACTTTCAAGCAGAAAAGGCCGAAAGTGAGCATCAGTACTCGCTGTAAATAACAGCAAACTTATCGTATTCAGGACGACGAGGGCTGCACATTGCTACGCATACGCAGCTAGAGAAAAGATTTTGATTTTCATCCGAATAAAATTCGAAAGTTGTGTTGTCCGGCTGGCTCGGGCATCTTCATCTCCTCGTGAATTTCATACACACCGTCTCGTCGCAACTCGTGTATTAGATGTCGCATTTCGAAGTGCGTTAACTGAGTGTGGCGAGAGTCCATTTTTGAAAAATCGAAACCGCTGGTTGACTCGGAGACATCGAAGCTGCGGAAAAGTCGCATGGTTCGTAATGCGGGTCGTGGAATCGATGTACATTGTTGCGTTTTTCGTTTCTTTGGCGCACACCTCCAGTGATTGAACGTTTCTTGATGCTGAAGTAAAGCAAAAGCACTTGAACCACCTCTTGGAAAAAAAACCTCTCACAATCATGGGTGTGGTGTCACAATTTCTGCTTCCACCAGACCACGCCGGAGTCCCATCCTTGCCCCGACATGTCGCGGGAAAGAATTTCGAAGCAACTTCTCCCGGTCTTTCCGAAGACCCCTGGTCCCCATCGTCTTTGTGGACCGGAACCTCAGCGCCCTCGTCCTCGAGCGGGAAGAAAATTACCCTCTCTGTTTCCGCTCATCCGTTCAACGAAATAAAAAAGTCTGCTAGAAGTAGTTCTTCATCATTTCTAGACACGGTCGGCTCGCCCGCCAGGTCCGGCTCTTTCAAACGGATCCGCCAGCGGCTACGCAGTGGGCGGACGACACGGCTTTCGTCGCAAGATTTCTTCCCAACAAACGGCAGCGACGGGGGTTGTATGGTCACGACGGCGCAAACAAGTGTTGGCAAAAATCTTCACGAGTCAGCAAATGGTACAGCGAAACCGAGCCAGCATGTAGCAACGAGCTTTTTCCCGACCGTTTCCCCGGACCTGGTATCTTCTCTGGTAGCCGGCACGGGCACTCAGGTCTTGCGACGCGGCACCGGCCAGCTGGCCAGGTACCTGTTTGGCGATCAAACCGCAGGCTCTAGTACAACTTCCGCGTTTGGTGTCAGCAGCGCCTTTCACCCGCTCAGCGGGGGAGGTACTATGGGCAAGAAGACGGCACAGCAGCAACTACACCAGACTCGGTTGCTGGAGGGAAAACTCAGTGGAGGGCGTAGCAGCAGACACACCTCGTTTCTGTCCCTGGCGGAGAATTTCGGGGCCATCGGCATCTTCTACGGGGTCGGCATTTTGATGTACGGCTTCACGCCCCACGATCAGTGGTCCGACAGCTACTTCCCCGAGGACAAGGGAAAGCCGGGGTTGGTCGACTGTCTCATCGAGGGCGGCTACTACGCCACACAGGTTTTAACCACCATCGGCTACGGCGACGTGTACCCCAAGGGGAATTTTCTGCGCATCGTCAACATCTTCTACATCCTCGCGGGCGTCGGGGTCGCTGGCTCGCTGGTCTTGGGAACCATCACGGACCAGATCACCGACAGGTGAAAATAGTTTTAGATGCTGCAGGAGTTTCATGAACTGCGCGGGCGGCTCAATTTTTCGTCGCCTAAGCACGCAAACTCCAGCTCCTGTCTCTCCCTGTTTTTGCTTGTTCGTTGTTTGTGAACAGATGTTATGTCCGAGCTGCATCACGTCGTTCTACTCCAGCAGATCGAGGTCGTGTAACTCTCATGCAATCATGATCGACAAAATAAAATTTCGTGCCACATCAACATTTATTATATACCAGGGTGAAAGACGCCGAGAAACGGCAGTTGCTGGCCACGCTGACGGACGCGGGTGATCCGCATGGTGCGGGTGGTAGTATGGAGAAGCCGGAGCGCGACCGGCTGAAACGACGAATGGAAGTGACCGAGGGAATGCTACTCGTCACGGTGCCCACGCTGCTCGGGTCTTTGGTGTATGGAGCCGTGCACAACTGGGGCGTCGCGGGGTCCCTGCACTGGGCCGTCGTAACGAACTCCACCGTATCAAATGCAAAAATGTCTGGGTCTGGAAGATTACGAGACTTGGCATGCTTGTCTGGGATGGCCAAAAAGCTTGTGATGCGTGTCCAAGAAGAGACTTTTTTGTCTTCCATGCAAAAACGCAGCTTGTCATGCAAAAGTCGCAACAAAACGAAGCGCAGACATTTCTAATGCTTCGCTGGGCATTACAGAGCGTTCACTATTCCCAGCGCAGCATTACAAGTTTCCAGACCCGGACACATTTGCACTTGATAAACCGTCGGGTTCGGGGCCTACAGCATCGACAACCGCGCCATGCGACTGTTCTCCATTGCCTACATGAATATCGCGGTCGCCAGTTTCGCGCTGGGTCTCACGAAACTCACCGGCGTTTTGTTGGACGTATTTAATATATCACGACATTGATTTTGATTCTGATTCATGAACATGATCAGTTGTCGCTCTTTTCTTGCAGCTATGCCTTCAGTTGAAAATTTTGTGAGAAAGCACAAAGTCAAGTGTGTCCATTGCCGCATGAACTGATGTGTAGTTCCCATGATCATGAGGCTTTCTTCTAGTTTCATCAGAGTTGTACTCGATGTGCATGAGTAACTTCTCCTCGCTTGAAACACGAACTACAGGAAGTACAAAGCAGCGAACTGGACCCGGACTCTGTCACGCTCGACCAAGCCTTGGGGATGGACAGCGACGGCGACAAGCGCGTGGACAAGTACGAATTTGCGACCGGTTGTCTCCTGTCCTGCGGCAAGGTAACGGAAACCGACATGACGCAAATCATGAACCGGTTTCGCCAACTCGACCGGGACGGAAACGGCTTCCTCACCATTGAGGACCTCCCGGGCCAGTCGCAGCAGGGACAGACGCAGCCGGAAACTACACGACAGCCGACCGGGGCTGCTGCACAGTAAAAAATGTAAACTCCAGCTACCTTTTTAACTTCAGCGAAAGTAGAAAAGCTGCCGACCCCGTGTCCAACACGCGTCATCTTTGCCTACTTCGGAGCTAAAACGGGTGGCGTCTAGTCACGTTTGGAAGCGCGAGCGTGATTGTTTTTTTGCACAAATGATAAAATGAAAAACTAAAACTCACGGCACTTGTTACGTCAGATAACGATAAACAGCTACAGCACACACGAGATGAGTTGACCTTGTGAAAATATGTTACCCCTTACGCTTCGTCCCTTGTTTCCGTTTCATCCGCAAGGTTTTTTGATGAACTCGCTTCCTTTTGAAAGTCCTCGCACGAAAGCTTCGCAACGTATTTGAAAAAAGACCACTCGATGATATTCCTAGAAGTAGAAAAAGGTAAAACGCAAGAAACAGCAGTAAGTAGACCAATCTCAGTTTCATCGCTTGCGACTAAACTTGTATGGAAATGTAAACAGGTCAGAAGCTGACCACAGCAACGCGAACGTAGAAGTAGTAGCAGAAAAATATCATGCAGAACTGGTGTAAATGGGCACACAGCAGCATTGCGTGCTGCCGACAACATAAATGTTTCCACTCGCTGCAATTACAAATGAATTTATGTCATTCAAAATTTGAACGCTGTCACCGCAGGCGCACCTCTTGTTCGTCGTTGTTGAGTTGTAAGCTGCCTCGATCCAAGTGCAAGTTGAAATTTTCGCTACTGTTAGAAGAGATCAACATATGACTTTTCCGAGCAGTGACAACTATTAGGTGCGCTCAATGATCACAATGCATTCCGCTGACGGTTCGTTTCAACAAATTGCGCACCCTAACACGTCGAGTTTAACGTCATTGGCAAGCATCGTCGCCAGAGATCAGAATAGGCACTGAAATTTCGCTCAGTTCCCGCACAAACAATCGCTATCGGTAAACGTCAATCTAAGTTTGGGAGATCCTCGCACTACTTGGATGAAATTCAAAATGTGACTTCATACTCCTATTCAGGTGTTGTCTTCATGATCAATGTGAGACAATATCGCTAAATACCCTGTTATTTCCAGCGCAAATGCACCAATTCCAATTCAATTGAAAATGAAATTGCGTTTCCCATCCATCTTTGACGTGCTTAGGACCAATTTCATTTTGCATTGAAAGGTGTGCAGTAGCAGTGAAAGTCTCGCCAGGAAACGGAAACGGTTAGTACGTTGGTACAAAGCAGGCGGAACGGCCTTCTAAACTGGCAAGTAGCTCAAGACAAACTCAACAACAAGTTCAACTCAAAAATTATTACTAGTTGCAAACATCAACACTCCGCCACCGCCGTGTAAGATTGAACTCTACATATACTTTTTTGTTGTTGTCTCAACAACGTTCGTAGGAAGTGGAAAATCACGTTTTGATCCCTCTGAGAGAGCATTTCTCGAAGCGCACGACCCACCAAAGAAGTCCTAGTTTTGTTCTCGCTTTTGATAAATGTTTTGCGTAGTATTGGGAACCGGACGAACGTAAAAGTACTTATACACATTAAGCTGAACAAGAAGACGTGACATCATTATATTAGGCTAGTTGTTTTTTACATGAGGTGAAGAAGAACCAGTGAGTTACGTTCTGTGCCGGTCCCTGTCGCAAATTCTTTTTTGGACAGAATTGAGATGACGTTGTCGCGGGAGATGCGCAGCCAACACGACAGAGATCACGACCCCGAAAATCCGCATCAAGAAGCTTCCCTGCTTTGCCACGGACGGTCGCTGCTTTTTGCGGCCGAGGAGGGTGATTCTGATTCCACATTCGTAGCGAAGGCATCCCTGCTGGCCGCTGGAACAACAAGTTGTGGAGAGGAAGATCCTGATCGTGGTGATACCTCATCTTCTTGTTGTCGAAGGTTATTGTGGCTTTGGGTGGTGCTAGCAGTCGTTGTGGTTCTTTTGACCGCTGGCATCGTACCAGTGGCGATCGTAGTGGCAAAAAATAACGAACAGGCGGAAAGGTCGCACACCATCGAGCACGGACAGCCGGGAACAGGTACACACGGCTCGAGTAGTACTCATAATTCGCCAGGGACGAGGCCGCACAACCCTAGGACTGGCCCACCCCCACCAGGTGGTGCGGGTAGGCCACCACCCCCACCTAGTGGTCCCCATGCTGGGCCGAGTGTTCCACCAGCGTCTACTCCTGCGCAGTTTTCCAAGGCCCAGGATGGACTCGCGGGCGCCAAGGAGTACATGACGTGGCTGCGAGACGTGAAAAAGGTGAACAAACTCGTGCTTGCGCATACTCTAGGAAGTTTGAACCCGATGCACAAGGGCCACGCAGCGCTGTTTGACCGGATCTACAGCGAGACCGATGCCGCCAGCGCCGCGCTGACGAGGAAGCGGGAAGAGGATTCTGCCACGCAGTTTTTCGGCGGTCCGGAGTACGACCCTGGTTCCTTTGGCTTCCTCGGGTGGTACACCTTCAATGCGGACACGCACGTCCTCAACAAGATCCAACCGCCGGCGGACCGACCGAACTGGCGGTGGTTGGTCCGGCTCCGCGTGCCGATGGCCCACCTGGCGCTGCGATCGCGGGTCCACGCCTACGCTTCCGACACCCCGGAATTCTTTGCGCAGAAACGTCTTTCCGCCGATTTGTACGCCCACGCCGTCAGGCTGTTTGGTGAGGCGAACGTGGTGAAGCTGGATGTGAACGGGTCGGATGACGTACGCAAGTACAGGAAGTGGCAAAAGTCCCCGGCTGTGTTTCAGGCCGCTATCGTTCGCGATGCCGCCGACAGAAGTATTATTTTGAATACGAAGTACAACGAAGCAACTACGGGGCCCGTGACCGTTGGCCAGAGGTTGCAGGATGCCGGGGACGACTTTGCGAAGAAGTTCATGCTCGTTGACCAGGATCCTAGTAACCAGGCCGCTGCGGCGAGCAGCACAAAGGTCCGCACAGTGTTCACAGCCTTACGAGCCAACCACACGGCCGCTTTGACGCCAGCACAGCAACAGGACCTGCAGGTCCTGCTCACGGACGACCAGGTAGCCATGCTGCAACAGAAATTCGCGGAAGAGATCGGGGTATGAAGTACAAGATACCCTAGCAAGAACCGCTGGGGGACGCGCTGCGGGGTAAATCATTCATTGAAGGATGGAAGATGAGCCTGCAGCTCCGAGAAGTCAGCCTCAGCGTACTGACGATTGCCATGAGCTCCACATCAATCATGCCGATGATTCCGATTCGAGCTACGTGGCTAGCAGTGCGCAAAGGCGCTTGCCAGTTGTGCCTAGCCTTGTACTACAAGTTTTGGCTATCACGAACATACTAGGCTGTTACTACAAGTTTTGGCTGTTACTACAAGTTTTGGCTGTTACTACAAGTTTTGGCTTAATCTTAAACGAGCATACTAGTGTAGTAATTTTGGGAGGTTTTGTTTTTGCTCCCAATAATCATTAAATGATGTCCATAGTTGGGTGCATCAGTAGACACCCCTGCTTATTATAAATTTATATTTGTTGACTACAGAAGTTTTGTTAGCAATCCAAATTAGACTATGCTGGCGCGAATTCGGCTTCGGCACAGGAGGTTGTAGGAGAAACAGAAAGATATATATGTATTTTTCTACTTTTTCCAAGGACTACAGCTACATCGAACTTTCTTCTTACGATTTCGAAAGAGAAAGTTCGACTGTGTGCGCGCTTCTGGAGGCGAGCGATACCTCGTTGTCTGCCGTGCTGTAAGATTCAACATTCGATTACTTATGACCAAGAACACGACTCGAATGACCATAGTGCATAGTGTATGATGCTCAGATGGAGATGTTGTTGACCCAGATAGATGAATCTCTCTCTTCCTTCGTCAACCTCGTCCCACACGATATGCACCGCGGATTGGGATCCGATCCCGAAAGCACAGGACCGTGCTGTCCTTGTCAGGAGTCATCTAGATCTACTGAAGTAGTACAACGACCTCGTACTGTGTATTTGTCGTCGGGCAGATGTGCTTCCGATTCTCGTCTTGTGTCCCGGGAGAGTGAGACGTCCATTCAGAGATGCGCGGGATGAAGCAATTATATGCATATGGTCTTCAACAACGTAAAACTCCGTATTATCTCGTTTCCTTCAGTAGTACAGAGCGCTTTCGAAGGATCAGAATCAAGAGTGACTTCTCGTGGGGTTGTTCCACGAAAATCGTATGTGTATCATCTCTACAATCATGTGTGATGTATGTCCTTGTTCCTCCTTCACGAGTTCATGTTCATCGCACCTGCTTCCGCCCGAAATAACAATGATGCAAGTAAGTTAGTAGTTGTGACAGCGATAAACTACTGCTAATGCTACTTTTTCCTTCAAAAGAGTTGAGCCAAGATTTGGATTTGTTTGATTCGTAAAAATAGCTTCACCTCGGTGTTGTAAAAGGAAGATGCCGTCTTCGTCAGGTTCTGGTTACAGCTTGGGCCCCTGTTAAATAAGCGGCCGCGTAAGCTCTTTGTAATTGGTGCGTATTTCGCGTCTCGGATAATTTCACGAACAGTGCAGTGCACACCCTGAAACTTTCCCCAGGGTCGCAATATTTGGCAGCTTTCGCGCCCGCCGGTCGCAAGAACAAAAGCGGGCCAGCGATCCATCGTGGGTTGGCGCAGCTTTTGTGGCAGCGCCTTT